GCTATTGTAAGAAAAGGAAAGAGTATTTATTTAGAGTTAGGAGGTGAATAAATTGATTACGATCCTAAATTTAAACTATTTTTAATGACTAAGTTGTATAATCCACATTTCAGACCTGAAATTGCTGCTTAATGTACAATCATTAACTTTATTGTTACTGAATCAGGTTTAGAAGAATAATTACTTGCTGCAGTTGTGAATATTGAAAGAAATGAATTAGAAATGAAGAGATAAGAATTGGTTAAATAACAAAATGAATTTTCAGTGCAATTAGATAAATTAGAAGAAAATCTTTTGATTTAATTATCTGAAGCTGATCCTGCAACTATTTTAGAAAATAAGAGTTTGATTGCTAATTTGGATAATACTAAATAAACATCTAATACAATTACAGAATAGAGTAAGATTGCAAAAGTGACTGAAGTTGAAATCAATCAATAAAGAGAAATTTATAGAATAGTAGCTGCAGAAGGTGCTATGCTTTATTTCTTGGTAATTTAATTATGTGTTATGGAACATATGTATCAATATTCTTTGGAATCATTCAATAAATTCTTCTTTAAAGCTATTGAAAGAACTTCAATAAGAGATGAAACTAGAACAGAAGAATTGAGAAAGAATATTAGATATACAATTTATTAATGGATAAGTAGAGGATTATTTGAAAAACATAAATTAATCTTTTTAACATTGATAACATTTAGATTGATGTAAAAGAAAGTAATTGAAGTTGTTTATGAGCCAGCTGAAATGGATTTCTTAATAAAATGTGTTCCTAGAGCAGGAGTTGAAAATAATTTGGATTGGTTACCAAATTAAGCATGGGATTCAGTACAAGGAATGATATAATTAGAAGAATTTAAATTATTTGCTTAGAATATGGAGAAGGATGCTCCAATAAGATTTAAAGATTGGTATAATGAATTATAACCAGAAGATGTAAAATTACCATTCGATTGGAAAAGACTGGATTAAATGCCATTTAAAAAATTATTAGTTTTAAGATGTTTAAGACCAGATCGTATTACATCTGCATTAACAAATTTCATAAGATTTGCATTACCATAAGGAGAATCTTTTGTTGAAATGGATTCAAAATTGAATTTCTCAGATGTGCTATCAGGATCAGTAGATGATTCAGATGCAACTATTCCAATATTCTTTATATTATCTCCAGGAGCCGATCCTGTAAAGGAAGTTGAAAAATTGGCAAGATTAAATAAGATAGAGCCAGGAAAATCATTTTGGAATATCTCATTAGGATAAGGTTAAGATGAAATAGCTAGACGTAGAATAGAAGAAGGTAATAAAGAAGGACATTGGGTAATGTTATAAAATATTCATTTGATGCCTAAATGGTTATTAGAATTAGAGAAGATCTTGGATTCTTTCACAGGAGAATAAGGAGGTGGTAATCCAAGATTTAGACTATTTTTATCAGCTGAACCTTCTAGTGGAATTCCTATAGGATTATTAGATAGATCAATTAAATTAACAAATGAACCACCTGCAGGTTTAAGAGCAAATATGAAGAGAGCTTGGGCTTATTTCAGTAAAGATGAAATAGAAGATAAAGATCCAAAGATTAAATCAATTTTGTTTGGTTTATGTTTCTTCCATTCTACTGTTATTGAGAGAAGACGTTTTGGACCTAAAGGATGGAATATGTCTTATCCATTCAATATGGGAGATTTAAGAGATTCATATTTGGTTATGAATAGATATATGGAATAAGGAGCAGGTGGTAAAGTACCATTTGATGATTTAAGATATATCTTTGGTGAAATTATGTATGGTGGTCACATTGTTGATGATTGGGATAGAAGATTGTGTATGGGTTATTTAGATAATATCATGCATGAAGGAATATTTGATGAATTGGAATTATTCCCTTTCATTGAAGGTAAAAACTTATCATTTAAAGTTCCACCACCAAATAATTATGAGAAATATATAGAACATATTGAATAAGTATTAACATAAGAAACTCCACTTGCTTATGGATTACATTCAAATGCAGAAATAGGTTTCAGAACTCAACAGTGTTTAACTCTCTTCTCAACTCTCTTAGAATTGTAACCTAAAGATAGTGCTAATGAAGAGAGTAGTAGTGGTGTAAGATCAAAGAATGAAATTGTATAAGATCTTATTAAATATTTGGCTGAAGATGTTAACTTAAAATCTATGATATTTAATATTGATGAGATTAAGAATAAGATTGATGCTGAAAATAAAGGACCTTATTAAAATGTATTCTTGTAGGAACTTGAATATATGAATTACTTATTAATTGAAATTGTTAGATCAATGGAAGAAATAGATTAAGGTTTTAGAGGTATTTTAACAATCTCTGAATAAATGGAATAGATTATTGATGCTATTGCTTTGAATAGAGTACCTGCAGTTTGGGTAGCATTAGCATATCCTTCTAAGAGAGGTTTGGCATCATGGCTAACTAATCTTATTAAGAGAATAGAATAATTGAATCTATTTAGAGACGATCCTTATGCTATTCCCAAAGTTACTATGATTGGCAGATTCTTTAATCCTCAATCATTCTTAACCGCTATTAAATAGGTTATAGGTAGATAAAGAGCATAAGAATTAAATAGATTATATATTGCTACTGAAGTTACTAAAAAGAGTATAGAAGAAATTGATTAAACTGCTAAAGATGGTGCATATGTCTTTGGATTTGTATTAGAAGGAGGTATATATTGTATTTCTATTTTCTCTAGCTCGTTGGGATGTAGTCACAGGATAACTTGAAGAATCTAGACCTAAAGAAATGTTTAGTGTCTTACCTGTTGTTTATTGTAAAGCACTCATGGTACCAGCTGAAGGAAAAGAAGATAAAGCTCTCTATTAATGTCCCTGCTATAGAACTGAAGATAGAGGTAATACTTATATCTTCACTGGACAACTCAAAACCAGACTTAATCCAAGAAAATGGATTTTAGCTGGAGTTGCACTTCTACTTGATGTTGAAGGTGTCTCAGATGAAGCTGCTGCTGCTAAAAAAGAAAAGAAANGTGTATGGGTTATTTAGATAATATCATGCATGAAGGAATATTTGATGAATTGGAATTATTCCCTTTCATTGAAGGTAAAAACTTATCATTTAAAGTTCCACCACCAAATAATTATGAGAAATATATAGAACATATTGAATAAGTATTAACATAAGAAACTCCACTTGCTTATGGATTACATTCAAATGCAGAAATAGGTTTCAGAACTCAACAGTGTTTAACTCTCTTCTCAACTCTCTTAGAATTGTAACCTAAAGATAGTGCTAATGAAGAGAGTAGTAGTGGTGTAAGATCAAAGAATGAAATTGTATAAGATCTTATTAAATATTTGGCTGAAGATGTTAACTTAAAATCTATGATATTTAATATTGATGAGATTAAGAATAAGATTGATGCTGAAAATAAAGGACCTTATTAAAATGTATTCTTGTAGGAACTTGAATATATGAATTACTTATTAATTGAAATTGTTAGATCAATGGAAGAAATAGATTAAGGTTTTAGAGGTATTTTAACAATCTCTGAATAAATGGAATAGATTATTGATGCTATTGCTTTGAATAGAGTACCTGCAGTTTGGGTAGCATTAGCATATCCTTCTAAGAGAGGTTTGGCATCATGGCTAACTAATCTTATTAAGAGAATAGAATAATTGAATCTATTTAGAGACGATCCTTATGCTATTCCCAAAGTTACTATGATTGGCAGATTCTTTAATCCTCAATCATTCTTAACCGCTATTAAATAGGTTATAGGTAGATAAAGAGCATAAGAATTAAATAGATTATATATTGCTACTGAAGTTACTAAAAAGAGTATAGAAGAAATTGATTAAACTGCTAAAGATGGTGCATATGTCTTTGGATTTGTATTAGAAGGAGGTATATATTGTATTTCTATTTTCTCTAGCTCGTTGGGATGTAGTCACAGGATAACTTGAAGAATCTAGACCTAAAGAAATGTTTAGTGTCTTACCTGTTGTTTATTGTAAAGCACTCATGGTACCAGCTGAAGGAAAAGAAGATAAAGCTCTCTATTAATGTCCCTGCTATAGAACTGAAGATAGAGGTAATACTTATATCTTCACTGGACAACTCAAAACCAGACTTAATCCAAGAAAATGGATTTTAGCTGGAGTTGCACTTCTACTTGATGTTGAAGGTGTCTCAGATGAAGCTGCTGCTGCTAAAAAAGAAAAGAAAGCTTGAAACTCAATACATTTTATTATATATAAATTCAATCAATCCATATTTATTACTTAAAAAATTATTTTTTATTTCTATTCTCTCATATTAATTTATTGACAAAGTATAAATATTTAGTTAAAAGAAATTAAAATAATAATTAATTATCTCATAAAAAGAAAAAAATTGAAAAATTGCAAAGTTTCTTTTATGGATTTCTAGTTTATTTTAATAAATTTAATTTACCTAACTAATATCATTTTAATTAGACTTGATCCAAATTATAAAACTTTTTCAATTTAAGTTATACTTCCAGAGCTAAAGTTCTCTTCAACCTGCGTATATAAATTTCAATATTTAATTAAATAATTTCAATTTTCATTTGAATAACAGAATTATTTGGATAAAAAAATTGAATTTCTAAAACTAATAAATTTAATAGAAATTAAATATTAAGTGTTAGAAATATGTTTAGATTAGATTAAAACCATTAGTTGTATTCCCTTTTATAAGACTTTCAAGAATATGTTTACTCAAGTACTATTGTTAGTAACCAAAGTATATCTTTCAAATTTAAATAAAATTTATGATTCTTCAATTTTATAATATTAATAAAGGCAAGCCTAAAATAGACAATGGAAATATTCTCATAGTTATAAAGACTGCTATTTTTAAAAAGTTCTAAGATTCATTGATGAATCAATAATATTTATTTAATTCTGGTGAATTCTGATCTTATCTTAATTTAATAGATAGTAATCTAATATCATAATTAATATAAATAATGAGATAGTAATTAAAGGCTCTAAAAGAACTTCAAGAAGGTAAAATCTAAATAATCTCAAGATCTAAGTTTGATTGAAACATAAAAATATGAAAAGGCCATATCATTTATTGATAAGAAACTTGAGAATAATGAAAAGGATGGAGTACTTTATTATCAGAAAGGTACTCAATTAAAATTATTATTGAAAGGAGTGATACTTTTTTAAAAAGACGATTATCAATAGGCAATAGAGTATTTTATAAAAGCATTAGATTATGATGTGGGAAATAATATTATTATATACAACCTAGGTATTTTAATTTTGAGAATTATAGGGATCTCTTATAAAGCTATTGGTAATTTTTAGGAAGCATTAAATTAGTTTAATAAAAGTTTGAGTATTCATCCAAATAACAATAAAGTACTGTTTTTAAAGGGTAAAAAGAATTAAATAATTAGGGGATACATTAAGATAGATGAAAAGATTTGAAGAAGCTGAAACTATTTTGTCTGAACTATATTAAATTGATAATAATAATGGTTAAGTTATTTCTGGATTAATTGAATTAAAATTGGATTAGAATCTAATCAGTGATGCTTAATTCTATGCAGAAAAATTAGAATCTTTGAAGGAAATTGATATTGAGCTTTTGATCTAAATTGGTAATTAAAAAAAATAAATATAATAGCATAAAGATTGATATTATCAAAGTTGGAATAATAGGCTTTGAAAGTACTTAACCTAATTCTATCTCATGATAATTAGATAATAGAGGCTTGGTATAGTTTTGGAATTCTATAATATAATTTAGATTAATTTACTGAAGCTTTGAAATCTTTTGAAAAAGTAATTGAATTAGATTCCTCAAATACTTCTGCAATGCTTTATTTAGCTTTATCTTTTGGATAATTGAATAGGTATCAAGATGCTGTATAAATATTTGGGTAATTATTGTAAATAAATCCAAAAGATGCAGCAATTTGGAATAATAAGGGTATTGCTTGCAAAGAATTGAAATAATTTCAACCAGCATTAACTTGCTTTAATTAGGCTTTATTGATAAATCCATCAAATCCTCTTTATAAAATTAATAAAGCTTTATTGATGATTGAAATCAATAAAGCAGAAGGTTTAAGATTACTTTAAGAAGCTAAGGATTCTTTTAATTCAGATTTACTACTAGAAAATAATTAAGTGTTTACATCTACTAATATCAAGTATATGTAAGAATAATTTTAATTGTTGGAACAAAGTGGAAAAGATTCTAAATTATTAGATGACTATACAATAGTTTAAACAAAAAATATAGATAGAAAGCTAAGTGATTAACGATTTTAATCAGCTCAAAAATAAGTTGTAAGACTTCCTACAGAAGAAGTTTAAAGTGAAATTTTTAATAATTAAGATTAAAAAAAAGAAATGAATGGCAGTTGCATTCAATAGAGTTGCTTAATTTAAGCTAATAGTAGTGATTTAATTTAAATAGAAAATACTCTAATTGGAGGATAATAAGGAAGTTTTAAAAAAAAAAATACAAAATATAAAATTGAATAACTAACAAATTTATATCAATAATTAAATTAACAAATTAATACAATATAGTAATAGATATAATTGGTTGGATTAGACAAAAGAGCTTCAATTCATAAATAGTTATAAGAATTTTAAAAAAGTGCTGAAGGGCTGAATTAATTAGCATTTTATAAAGCATTTTTCTGGACTCTTTTTAATTATATATCAGCTTATGCAAATTAGAGTACTGGGCTCTTTCAACATAATACTAATCAAACCATTGAAACAGCAACAGAAAAAACTGTTGATAATTTAGAAACTGGTTTAGCTATTGGAGTCAAAATATCAGCATCAATTCCATTAGTAAATACTATTTTATCTACTATTCATTCAGCTATTTAAACTACTTTCAAAATACATAAAGACAATAAACATTAAGATAGAATCGAAGCTATAAACGAAATCATCTAAAAAAAAATTATTGGAATTAGTGATTTAGAATTATAAATATCTATTGCAGCTCTTGAACTTTCTATAAAAAAAAAAGATACAATTAAAAATTTAGAGTAAATAGAAAGGAAATAACCAAAAACTTTTTAAGAAGAAATGAATAAGATTATCAATCGAATGATAGATTCTAAATCATCTCTATACTAAGGTGGAGCTAGTCAAATTGGTTTAGAAGATGCTCTATATTGTTTAGGCTATTATTATTAAAATGGATTAATAGATTAAGATGAAGAACTCTCTTAGTAAATTATATCCATAATTATTGAAAAAAAATATGTTTATCATAAAACTGAAATCACTGATTCAAGAGATTGCTTATCTTGTATTTGCTAAATCTAATGAATGATTTTGCTCTTTATATTTTACTGATTATTTGTATTTTTATTTTATTTGATATAAAATATATTGCTGGATTTATTTAAAAATTATTTCAGATATATATATGAATAATAGTTTTATCATTATTATCCATATCTAAAAATGATTATATATGTATGGGAATGTTTTGCTCATTAATACATTAGGTTAAAGATAGGCTGATCAAAAAATATTTATGATTTTTTTATCACCTTAAAAAATTTAATTGAAATGAAAAATTTCTGATAATATGTGTAATTTTTCTATGTAAATATTCTCATTGTAGTTTTTTTTATGTATTTTTAAAGTATTAATAAAAAAATTAGAAATATGAAATCCATTTTCTTTAATAAAAAGATTGATCATTGTGTGTTAAATAAAATAGAATGAATGAATTGATAGGGAAGGAAATATTTGAATTGAATGAGGATGAGAAAATAAATAATTAAGGAAAAAAAAAAATGATCTGATAAAATTTTATGTTTGTAATTGCAGGAAATTGGCGGGAAAAGAATAGATTTTAAAGGGGGAAGAGTAACACGAATGTTAAATGTAATTTTATTGGTTGATTATAATTTTATAGGGATTTTTTTGTATTGAAATTTTAATTAAAAAAAAAGCATTGAATCTCAATTTAAATAACAAAATACATTAGCATAAAACAAATGACAGATAATAATACTAAAAAGGTATATATATAAATTAATAATTTGTTTAGGAAGCACCACCAAAAAGACCATAATGTGCATTCTTTATTTACAAATAGGAGGTGTACTAATAAGTTAAGGATGCCAATCCTGGCAAGAAAATGACCGATATAACTAAAATCATTTCTGAATAGTATAAACAACTACCAAAGGATAAAATTGATTAATATGAATAGAAGTATAAGGATAGTAAAGCTATCTTTGAAAAAGAAAAGAAGTTCTTATATCTATTTACATTTTTATAGAGTTTATGAGGATAAATATGGAAAGATTAAGAATGAAAGAAAGAAGAAGAAGGATGACACTAAAGCTACCAAAAAACCTTAAAATAAAAAATAGAAGAAATAAGAATCTGAAGAAGATGAGAGCAGTGAAGATGATGATTGAAATAATTTATATTTTAATAAATAAATATTTTAATTTTACAATGGGAGGATCTAAGTCAAAAGCAATAAAGAAACATGCAAAAGTTGCATTTACAGATTCTGAACTTGAAATTTTGGAAGTCTATTTTGAATTATTGAAATGTCATGATTAAATGTACAAATTCAATACAATATGATCAAAATAGAAACGGATATTTGACATAAAAATCAATGGTCCAAGAATTTCCTGAAAACCCTGATTTCTCAATTAAACTATATAATTGGATGAGAGAACGATGCAAGAATTAACAGATAGATTATACAAATTTTGTAATCACGTGTATTGAATTAAAATTAATATTAAGTGGAGCTTCTATTAAAAGATTAATAGGAATATTATTTAAGTGATTACAAATTTAGAGTTCTAGAGAAATTTGAGTTATTTGCATTAATAAGTTTAGGATGTTTAGAAAATGAGAAGGAAGCAATTAATAGGTATTCAATATTAAATAAATTAAGATTCCAAGTAAGTTACTCTTAAGGTAGTACAGTGATTAAAGAACTTTTGAATATGTATTATTTTAACAAGGAAGTGACTAATAGCTAAAGAAATGATTTGGCAGCTCGAAGTGTTGCAAATTCTATTTTTGATTAAAAAGCATCATTACCATTTAATTAATTTATTGGATAAGCCAAATAGTAACTAATTTATGCTAATAAAATGTGCAAATTGTATTTTACTAAGAAATTTATTTAACCTCATCTTAAATATGGAATTCCAACTTTAACATCTTCAAGTTTTATTTTAAATGATAAAATACTTGCATTATTACAAATGAGTTCTCCAGACTTTAACAGAATAAAATAACTAGATCTTAAATTCTCATCATCAGTAGGATATGATGATTTAGAACATATTACTGAGATAATAATTGAATCCCAATAACCATTGTTATTTATTTTTAGAAATAGGGAAGATGAAACATAAAATGATAGTTTCCAACAATAAATCTTTGGAGCTTACATTAGTATTGATTAAACAATAGAGACTCATTTTATTAGAAAATAATAGAAAGATCCTATGGGTAATGTTTATAATTATTATTATATAGGAATCCTCTATAATCCTAATGATTAAGTATCCCTTTATTTTGGAGATGAGAAAAGCTTTCTCTTTTCTTTATAACCTAAATATCAATTATTTATGAGTACATTTGATATGAAATCAAAATAATGCTTTGCTTATATAAATAGTAGAGCTTTTAATTTGAAAGTGCCATAACCCTATGGATTAGGTTTTGGAGGAGATGGAAAAGGAAATTTTAGAATTTGGATTGATGAAAATTTGAAAGGAAATGCAACAAATCGCATAAATAATTCATGTGATTAAACTTATGAAATGGGTTATTTATTAGAACCTCATATTGAGTTTTTAAATGTATATATTTATTTTTAAGTTAGTTAACTTCAATTGAGATTTGGGGGGTTTTATTCGAAGAAAAAGAAACTAGAAATTCTAGTCAAAATAAATTCAGAAATTGATTTACATAATTGATTGATAAAAATTATTAAAGATATTAAAATAGTAAGATGATAAAGTTTCATAAATTAAATAAAAATGATCCTTTTCAAAAAAATATCTAGATAGAATATTTTATTTTTTTTGTACTAAAAAAATGTTCATTTTTAATTCTTTTTAAATATTAATATTTTGAAAAATGGCACAGAATTTGATGATGACTTGTAGATTAAATAAAGCGAATGATAATTCTATTTACAATATATCACATAAAAGAATTTATAAGCCTATAGAATTAGAATTGCAAACATCAGGGGGTTTTAAGGTCGTTAAAAATTCATTTTAACATTAAGATGATTAATAAAATTTTGATTAAAGGTAAAAATATCCATTAAATTCAAAAAATATATTTGATGGAGGATTTCTTTCTGAAGATTAAGAATTTTAGAATTTACATAAAACAAGAAAAGAGATGAATGAAAGTAAGAGATAAATAGATTAGATAATATAATAACATAATCATTTAGGTTTATTAAATGTTATATTATTTAATTGTAAGTAGTAAATAGATGGATAATATAATACAATTTATAATGGTAATAGAATTAAAATAATGATATGTATAACTATGTATTCTGAGAAATTATCTGAATTAGAGAAATCTTTGAATGGGATTGGAAAGAATATTGATTATTTTTTAGAAATGTATTATTATCTGTGAAATTAGTGGAATAGCACCACATTAAATAGCAGTGACAGTAATATTTGATGGTATAATAAATGTTTGTAATATTCCTGGAGCATATCGTGATAATATAATTCGTACTAATTGAATATTAAATTTAGCTTATTTTTAAAGTGAAATAGATAAAAAGTATGGAATAGATTCTTAAAAAACATTGACATATTAATATAATATGTATTCTGAATAATGGAAAAGATTTTAGGATTATAAGCCTGAGAATATAAAATATTTAAGAGCACATCCTGATGAATTATTAAAAAAATATAAGAAACATAGAGAGGCTTTAAAAAAAACGATGATAAGGTTGAAAGGACCTTAATATAATTTTGTGGAATAAGATGAATATATAGAATAGAATATAGTTGATGCAATGGAAGATTAATATTATAGAGCAAAAACATATTTAGAGAATAGAAAGAATACTTCATGGGTATATTAGGATGCCTTGCATCATAAAAGTTCAGAAGGTACTTTACCAATATTTTACACATTTAAATTTACAAATGGATCAAAATTATCATCTCATATGTGGTTTTTTAAAGGTTTTTGTTAAGAAATTTAACCAGATTATTGTGTATTAATGGATGTTGGAGCTAATCCTGAAAAAGATGCAATATTTTAATTAATAATGTCTATGGAAGAAAATCCAAAATTAGGTGGAGTTTGTGGAACAATGAGAGTTTAAATTGAAGAAGATGATAAAGATGATGTTGATCTAGATATAGTAACAAATATTTTAGTAAATAAAGTATTTTCAATATAAAAATGTTAATCTTGTGAATATGATATTGCACATTTACTTGATAAATAAGCAGAATCAGCACTTGATTTTATTCATGTTTTACCTGGAGCATTTTCTGCTTATAGATATAATGCATTCTTTAATAATTATCATGATAATTAGAATAATGCAAATACATCTAATCAACATGTTCAAGTAAATTAAAACGATAAGGAAAAAATTTTAGATAAATATTTGAGATAAGTATTAGATTAAAATTATGAACATTAAACTCTTTAAGAAGCAAATATGTTTTTAGCTGAAGATAGAGTACTTTGTAAATTACTTTATTGTAATGGATATTATTTGAGATACATTCCTAATTCATTTGTTTATGTTGATCCTTGTCCTTCACTTAAATTATTGATTTTATAAAGAAGAAGATGGATAAATGGATCATGGCATGCTTTATCATATATATCTGATAATTATGATCAAGATTTAAGAACTAGTAAACATTCTTGGTGGGATAAATAAAAATTTATATTTTCTATTACTCAAGCTAAAATTTAATAACTTATGATTTATTTTATGGAATCATTTTAAGTTCTATGGCTATATATGATTATGTATGCTATTGTAGATACAGGAGATCTTGGCTTAAACAATTTTATAATCTCCACAGTTATTGCTTTTTATGTTTTTCTAATTTTTATGATTATATATTTGTCTATTAATTATGATCCTGCTTTAATTAGATAATTAGAAACACCAGAAAAATAAAAAGCAGAAGTAGATTATTATTTTTCCAGATTATTTTTTGTATCAACTTGTTTAGGATTTATCAGTCTTGGCACTGTTGTGTACACTGTTTATTTATTAATAACAGAAATATTCTTCAATTATGGATTTAATGATATAGTTGAAAAACCTCAAGTTCCATAAAGTTATTATTTAGTTCTTGTTGTTGTATCAATAGGTGCAATAGTCTTACCAATTTTATCATCTATTTTTTAATTACCATAAAACATATTTAATGCTGCCTTAACAATGATACCATACTTTTATTATTAACCTACTTATATGCATTTATTTGTTGTCTATTCATTTTGTAGAATTGATGATTTATCTTGGGGTACTAAAGGATTAACAAATGCAGGTTCAAGTTCAGTCAATTCAGATAAAGCATTTTAAAAATTTAAGTTTTTATTAACTTGGCTTGTATTAAATACTATCTTTACTGCTGTTTTGTTGATATTATTTTAGATTTAAATATACTTGCTTCCATAAGGACTTATTTTATTTATTTCAGTTATATTAACAATTCTTACAATCGTCAAAGGATTTTTAGCCTTATGGTATAGAGTTAAATTTTGTTTCATTGACAGAAACATGAAATTATATATAAAAGATAAATCTCGACATAAAACTTTGAAAGATCAGTAAGAAAATTTTAATAGAATAAAAACAGCTCTAAAACAATAAATCCAGAGTAACTAAAATATATACACCCAACATAATGAAAATAACTTTGATGATCCTCTCAAAAACAGTTACATAAGAGCATCGATATTTACTGCCTATTTAGAACACTATTTTAAATAAAAGTGATAATAGGCACATATTTTTATAAAAATTATTATTATAATTTAAATTAAATAGAACAAAACTATTTTTTTTTAAATGGTTATTATTTGGAATAACTTTCATTTAAATTAATTGATTAGTATTTTAAAATTTATCTCTTTATTCAAAGAATTCTTTCTTGCTTCTTTTTCTTTATCTTATTATATCAAATCAATTGTCATACTAAAACTTATTGTATAAAATTCTCAATAATAGAAATTTTTAGCAAACAAAAATCAATGTGATACTCAAATAATTCTTTTATATTATAAAACTTTGTTCCAGTCATTCTTACTGATTAATAAAATTATCAAATAATTCTATCTACAAGAGATTTTCCATTCAATATTTATTAGATCTTTAATCAAATATACAAATATCCATTTATATTAAGATAAAAAAATTCAAATCCTTAAAAGTATTTTGATCATTAAATTCATAAATATACCTTAATTTTGATATAATTTGACCATTATCAAATATAATTGATATTCATTATTCCGATTAACAAAGAAATATTAGCTATTTTTTTATTATTCATATAAATTATAAACTTCTAAATTCAATCTTGAATACTAAATCATTTGGTTGACTATATAGAATTTATAATAATTAACCTTATACAGTGAAAGAAATAATTCTAAATTTCACATATTTATAATCCATTTAGATATTTTTATAATTCAAGTATTATGAGAATTGAAACTATTATTTTTATTGTCTACAATACCAACTTCTTTGGATATATTTGTAATTATCAAATGAATTATAATGGAAATAATATAGAAGTAATATTTATATTTTAACAACAAAATATTAATAATTATAATAACTTCTATAAATCATTTACAATATGAAAAGTGTTGTATCTAATAAACAAAATAAGTATAATAGATAACTATACTGTCGATTTCTTTGAAGTCAAGATTGTTCTTGTTCCATTTTTTTCAAATTGAAATTAAAATATAATTTGATAAAAATTAAGGATTAATTAAAAATATCAATAAATTTTATCATGTTATTTTGAAATTTAATTTTAAATTGACTCCTAATAATTATTTTGCTCTATATGATAGATTATAAAAATATTTAACAGATTATTAAGATATCAGACAGTTAATTAAATCTCTTTTGAAATATATTCCTAGATTAATTATTGGATGAAGAATTAAAGATCTATCTAAAGTTTTAATAAGACTTTTAAATTGAACGAATGATAAATTTGATGGGGCTGTTTTGTATTCATTTTATAATATATTTTTTATATCATATTTTAAAATTTTAATAAATATACTTTTATTTTAAACATTAAATGTATTAAGATATCTTAGTGATATATTTTAAAAATAAAATCGCTATTTTGATAATTCAATTATTTGGATTGAAACATGGATAGAACAGTGAGAATTTATATTTTATAATTAGTATATGATTTATGATTTTACCAATAAATAATAATAGAGGAATTATTTTGAATATTTATTTACAATCTTTAAGAGTAATTTGATTGGATAGAAATGCAAAAATGAGAATAATGATTGCTCTTACTGTAAAAATTCGAGATTTTATAATTATGAAAAACCTGGTTATGAAATATATATAATAATATACATTTTTATTTTTATATATACATATTAATGAATAGAACTCAAAGTTGTCGAATGGTGCAAAGTAACAAATTATTAGAACTATTGAAAAAAAAGAAGAAAGCTGAGTCATAAAATCCAAGTTTGAGTCCAAGATAGTAATTATCTCCTGCAAGATTAGTAAAACTAAAATCTCCAAAACAAATTGATGTTTAGAAATGTAATAACCAAAGTGTTATACTAATTTAGTTGTAACAGCTGCTGTAAAACTAAAAGGTGTTTCTTATATGAGAACCTTAAATAGTGATAGAGACAATTATGAACTTATAATAGCGCTAATAACATAGGAAAAACAGTAAATAATGTTATAAAATAGATATATTGTTCCAATAGGATTGGATCAAAGTACAACAGATCTTTATTAGAAGTTAATAACTAAGATGAGTTTTCATGATCCTTAAAATTATGAAAAGATTGCATATTTTTAAAGCTATACATAAAATTACAATGTGGATTATTACTTGTCATTAGATGATAAACCTTTATAAGTGTTTAGCAATGGGAGAACTTTAAAATTGGTTCCAATTTATTATAATGAAATTCAAAGTAATTCTTTTGATGATTATATATTGATAAAATGTATTGGTGTGGGGTAGAGATTTAAAATTTTGTAGTGGTTTTTCGAGAGTGTATATGGTAAAGTCAAAAAAGAATGGACAATTCTATGCGATGAAAATAATAGATAAAATGTTTATAACAAACAACAATAAAGAGAATATGATAAACAATGAAAAATTGATAATGAGTAATTTGAATAGTTAATTTTTGACAAGACTTCATTGTTCATTTGAAACTAAATATTATTTGGTTTTTGTGATGGAGTATTTTAAATAGATATTTTAGTTATTGTCATGGAGGTGAATTATTTTTTCATCTTAGAAAAATGGGAACTTTAAATGAAGAAGTTGCTAAACAATACTTTGTATAATTATGTTTAGCAATCTATTATCTTCATGAATAAAATATAATATATAGAGATTTAAAACCAGAAAATATCTTATTAGATATAGATGGGTATATTAAATTGTCTGATTTTGGTCTTTCAAAACCAAATATGACGAGAGATAAATCAAGTTATTCTTTTTGTGGATCTCCTGAATATATGTCACCTGAAATGGTATCTAAAAGAGGACATAATCATATGTTAGATTGCTATAGTTTAGGAACAGTTTTGTATGAATTTATATATGGGTATCCACCATATTATGATTCGAAATTATAAAACATTTTAAACTCAATTTAATATGATAAATTAGAATTTCCTGATCATATTAAAATAAGTGATTAACTTTAAAATCTTTTGACTAATTTATTAATTAAAGATTAAAATTAAAGATTAGGAAAAAATAATGGAATTGAAGATATTTTAAAACATTAATGGTTGAATAATTTTGATTACACAGCCCTTTACAAAAAATAGTTAAATATAAGTTATAAACCTTTGCCCCTTTAAACAAATTTTAATACTGTAGAATTCAATAAAGGGGATAAAGAATTTTAATAAAAATTGTAAGATAATTTGTATAGAGAAAAATAAGCAAAGTTTGAATAAATTTTCCCAAACTTCGATTATATTTCAATTTAAATTAAAAGTAAAAGAGAGTAGTTTATTGAGAAGATTAAATATACTAGTTTAAAATCTACTCTGTAAACTGGTATCATTAAAAATAAAATTTAAACTCTTTCTTTAAATGGTAAAAACATATAAATTTACTTTAATATAGCCCCTTAATTAAGTGCAATATGTCCAAAATTTTAATCTGTAAAGAACTCATCGATAGCATAATCTTCTTCTACTTAATCTTTTAGAAATTCTTCATCTAGTAAGAGATTTAATACCGATTATGACATTCAGAAATTACTAAAATTTAAATAATGAAGATAAATTATTATTTGTTTATATATATTTTTTTTATTAGACTCCATTTATTTAGTTAATTTTAAAAGTATATTTCTTAAAATGGGATTCTTAATTATATAAATTAAAATATATGTAATAAGTAGAGGAGAAGTGGTTGATATGTGCTGATCCTGATAGTTGTCAGATCTATACATTAAACATCAATACAAATGAAGTGAGATTGGAATATGATGTAGATTAAGATTATCGATAGAAAGCATTATAAGCAATCCAATAAATAGAATAAATATTGAAATTAAAGACAGGTATTTTAAAATTGTAGATTCAAAGGTACTTGGTTAATGGCTTCTAAGTAGATTGATTAATATAGAAGAAGAAAGATACCATCTTATTTGTTGCATAAATAATCTTCTTCAATTCCAACATATTTATGTTAATCAACTTTGAGTTAGGCATTTGTTAAAGTAAATTCAATAAAGCTTTAAGTTAAATTGAATCAATACAAAGAATAATTATAATTTTAAAATGTGACAGAAGATATGTCTCCAGACATTAAACCTAATATTGTAGAGATTGAAGCAGGATTAGTAACAGGAGCTGATGAAGTAATAAAGAGTGTATTGAGAGAAGTGTATTAAAGATTCAAAAAAAAATTAAAACCAAAAGATGAGAAAAATTAGTTTATATTACAAATCTCTGGTTTTAAAGAGTTTTTAACAGGAAATCATCCAATGTTATCATATGATCGTGTGAGAGTGTAATTAAGAGGAATGAAACATTTAGAAGTAATATTAACAGAGATTCCAAAATAATCAAATTAAACATTTCTATTTCCTCCTATTATTCATAGAATAAAAGGAAGTGAACCTTTTCCATAAATAGATTGGATTAAATTTAAAGATGTTCCTGCTCTATTATGGTATTCTCCACAAAAATTACCTAAATATGAATCTGAAATTGCAAATACTAGATTATCTGTAGGAGTTGTGCCTACACCTTAATTGAAATTTGATAAAATAAAAGTATCAAACAGTTAAGATTTAATTTCAAATATTGAAGACAGAGTTAAAAGAATGTCTATTGATGAAAATCCTATTCGTCCAACTTTTTAAGATTCGATATCGAAATAGAAAACTAGTGGATAAATATATGATTTGATTTCAATGAGAAATGAATTACAAAAATTAAATATGTTGAAAATTGAATAAAATGTTCTTTATTCAGGAGAATGTGATTGGCCTTTTAGTGTTAAGATTTGTTCTCTTGAAAATTTATTGTAAACACTAGAATAAGACAATAAATTTGAATTACAATAATAAAGAGCCACTTATAATGGATTGATACCTCCATTATATATTACGAAAAAGAATGCTGGTACTAAAGTTGAAGAAGAATAACATAAATTAAGTAATAAGAAAAATGATGAAACTGATATCAATACTATAAATAGTAAAAGATAATAAGTTCATCTAAAATTACATAAAAGGACTGGACGTGTCTTGGATCCCAAAAATAAAGATATTAAAAGATACATTCCATTTGGAGGATAAGATAATCTTGATGAATTAGCTACTTTATAAGAGAGATATGATTTAGATTTTTTACCTTATCTTATTTCAGTTTAGGTAAGTTTATTTCATGGAGGTAAATAATTAACTCCTTGGTGTTAAGCAGAAACTAAAAAATAACCATTTAGTTAATGTCCAAAATTTTATTAGACTATTACATTTTAAGGCATTAAAATATCTTAATTGCCTTAAGAAGCTAGATTATGTTTTAACATTATTGCTCATAGTGCTACTGGATAATAATAAATTATTGGATGTACAACTATGTATATTTTTTATGAAGAAAGAAAATTTAGATCATCTATTAATCAATTAAATATTTGGCCTTTTTATAAAATTGATCCCAGATTACTTTGTATGGGATAATACTGGGGATGGGTAAGATAACAGAATTAATAATCGATCACTCCTTAATTGATTACTAAATCTTATGGAAGATTATTAATTTAATTGGATTAATTTAATTAGACTATGAAATGGAGTCTTAGAGATGAAAAATAAATGGAAGAATTAGGTTTTTCTAAATCTGCTAGATCATAAAGATATTACGAAATGAGAAATAAATTTATACCAAATTCTGATTATTCAAATTATTAATAATCATAATCTACTGCTTTGACATAAGATTAATTTAATTCTGCCTATTAAAACACAAATAAAAATTCATCATATTAATAAATAAATTCTAATTCATAATCAAATAGTTTTAGTAATTCGCAATTGTTCTTAAAAAAACAAAGAACTGGAATGACTTCTTTTTATAATGTACATTAAAGATAACTGACAAATCCTTATGAATAATATATGTAAGTAGGATATTCTTCATAAGATTAAGGCACAATTCTACGTTTTGGAGATATGTAAGATAGATAGACTCATTTTGCATAATCAATGATGCATATGAATTAAGGTAGTAGTTTTAATGTACATGATTAATCAAGTACATAATTAAGTACTTTTAAATTAAGTCATTAATTTTCTCAATAAAGTATATAATAAAATTAGAGTTACTAAGAGAATTATAATTAAGTATTTCCTTATAAAAATTGGTCTACAACTCCAAGAACTGAAGATTTAGCAATATTATAAGCTTTACTTAAATACAATCCATTAAATAGACCTTATTATACAGATTAGCATAAATATATATTAATGATTTGTAGAAATCATTATAAAACATTGCCATATGCATTATAAATTTTTTTAATGGCTATTGAATGGGATGATCCTGAATAAGTAAGAGAAGCTCATAATATGATAAAATTATGGACACCATTACCACCTGAAGATGCATTACCATTATTAGATGCTTAATTTGCAGATGAAACTGTTAGACTATATGCTGTTGAGAGAGTAAGTATATTATCTGATGATGAATTATAATTATATATGTTAGAATTGACTTAATGTTTGATGTTTGAAAAACACTTATTTAACCCTTTAGCTGAAATGCTATTAGAAAGAAGTTTATAAAATCCTTGGGTTGTAGGACATGAATTATTTTGGTTACTTAAAGCTTAATTACATGTAAGACCCTCTTATGAGAGATATTCATTATTGTTAGAATAATTATTAATGTTATGTGGAGAATTCAGATAATAATTAATGAATGAAGTTCTTGTTGATAATGAATTGTACAATATTGCATAAAAAATTAAGGAAGACAATGTACCCAAAGATTAACGTTAATCATTATTGAATGCTGAATTAACTAAACTTTATCCTAAACTTCCTAAACCTTTTTCATTTGCTTTAGATTCTAGAATGGAAGCATAATCAATTTAATATGATAAATGTAAAGTTATGGATTCTAAGAAAATGCCATTATGGCTTGCTGTCATTCCCAAATGTCTTGAAAATGATGATGAATTATAATTATAATAGCCTAAACAAATCAAATAATAAGAAGAAAATCTTAATGGAAATGTCTCTCTGATCATGCAATAAGATGAAAATTTACACAATAATCCTAAATAATAATTAGATTAAAAGGAATAAAAAGAATAAATTGAAGAAGAAGAATAAAATAAATAACATTTACTCAAAATTATATTTAAAACTGGTGATGATATTAGATAAGATATGTTAACACTATAATTAATTAAAATTATGGATAAAATATGGTTAGATGATGGTTTAGATTTTAGAATGAAACCATATAAAACAATTTCTACACAAGATAATGTAGGAATGATTGAAGTTGTTAGCAATTCTTTGACTATTGAAAAAATTCATGGCTAAGGAGGTCTTATGGGTGCATTCTAATAAAAAACTATATGGAATCATTTAAAAAAAAAAAATACCGAACCTTAATCTTTTGAAACAGCTACTGATAATTTCTTAAGATCTTGTGCTGGATATTGTGTTGCAACCTATGTTTTAGGAATTGGAGATAGGCATTCTGGCAATATTATGATTACTGATACTGGTCATCTATTTCATATTGATTTTGGTCATTTTTTGGGAAATTTCAAATAAAAATTTGGTATTAAAAGAGAGAGAACTAAATTTGTATTAACTGAAGAGGTATTTATAATCATTTAATTTTAGATGGCATTTGTTATGGGAGGTAGAGATGGAGATCTATTTAAAAAATTTTAGTAAGATTGTACTAATGCTTATAACTTAGTAAGAAAGCATGGTCATTTTCTTATAAATATATTTTTAATGAATTTATCAGCTGGTATGCCTGAATTACAGTAGGCTTCTAACATAAAATATATTGAAGATTAATTGGCTTTAAATATATCAGATTAAGAAGCTACAGCCAAATTTAAATAAGAAATCATCATATCTCTTAATGACACTTGGAGATAAATTGACAATTGGTTTCACTATATTAGAAGAAATTGATTATTTAATAGAATAATAGACTCATTTAAATTGTTATTTTTTTAATCTTCTAAAAAAATTATTAAATTTATTCTTTAAGTTCATTCAAATCTAATTATTTTTATGATAATAGAATTTTTCAAAAATTGCAACTCTTTTTAAAGTTTTATTATCCATAATTCTCAAGAGTATGATGAATCAATTTGACAATTGCTTATTTGACTTTTTCTTTTGATCCTATTTTTTCTCTAATTTATTCGTTTGAGATTATTTTGAATAAGAGATGGCTAAAATAGATTAATCAAAAAATCAAATTAAATTATATTTGCTTCTTTCATAGCTTTCATTTATTTCACTGAGTTAACATAATTTGAAGTATAACAGATTAGAGGGCAAATTAATAATTGAATTTGAGTTTTCTTATTTTTTATAATTGAATGAATGTTCCTACTTTTTCTTATTAAAACTAATCCTTTAACAATAAGATCTGTTACCATATTTTTATCACTAATCAAATTTATGTGTGGATGAGATCAAACTTTCAAAAAAATCTCTGATTAATTGAATAGTCTGAGTATTTATGAATATCAGTAACAAATGTTTCAAATTACTGTTTATATTATCAAAAGGTCTGCCCTAGTCTTCTTTCTGTATTATTTAAAGTATTAATACACAAACTCTTTTAATGTACTAAATGTTTTGAGGTTTTTTGAAATCACTTATTTGAATGGTAAATTCTTTAATAAAGATTGAGGGATTCTTAGTTGTTTCAAATAAAAATTTGAACTAATTCTAGAAATTTTTATTAAAATTCCACAACTTTTTTCTCTTTTTCTTTCTAAAAATAACACTGAATAAAATATTTATTAAAATAGTAGTATTTGGATTTTTATTTGCTTTTGATAAAGTCTTACTATTAATATTTACATCATCGTACAATAATTCAATTTTGAATTGTTAGAATCTGATTGAAAAGGAATAATAATTATATTGAATTTTTTATTATTTTACCATAATTTAATATATTATAATGTATCAAACTTAGAAGGTTTTTAGATCGTTGGCAACTGTTAACTCAAATCCTGTATTGGCTCTAACCCATTCAAGAGTAGTATCACTAGCAATTTCAGTCAAAACCAATTGGCCATCTCTCTTAACAAACACAGCCTTGTCTAAAATTATATAAAAACTGAATACCTGTGATAACTTGACTAACTTTGTTCATGCCTGTAGCTGGATATTATAATTCTTTAACAAATTTAACTTCTCCTTTAGCAGTATGCTCCATAACAACAAGTACTTTTGATCCAGATGCAACTAAATCCATTGCTCCTCCCATTCCTTTTACCATCTTTCCTGGTATGACCCAATTAGCAATATGTCCTTCTTTTGTAATTTACATAGCTCCTAATACTGTCATGTCTAAATGTCCTCCTCTGATTATTCCAAAAGATTCACTGCTTTCAAAAGTTGTAGCACCTGAATTCAAAGTGACAGATTCTTTTCCTGCATTTTGAAGATCTCCTAATTCATGACCTAATCTAGGATATGGACCAACTCCAATGGCACCGATTTCTGTATGAAAATGAATTGTCATGCTTTAATCAAGGAAAGCAGGAATGAGTGTTGGGATTCCAATACCTAAATTAACATACATTCCATCCTGGAATTCTTAGGCTGCTCTCTTTGCAATTCTGTTCCTTGTTGCATTCAATTTTCCTTATGGTTTGATATCTATATATATAGATTTTATAGAGTACCCTTATGTTTATCATATACACTTTAATCATAGACAAGTCTTTCTACAGTCTTAAGATAATTATTTCCTTAATAGAGATAATCAACATAGATTCCATTGACATGTGCTTAATCAAAGCCAAAGCTTCCTACTGGTACAATGGTATCGACTTCGGCAATGACAACTTTGGCAGCTTTGACCATGTCTTGATTGAAATTTCTGGCTGTTCCAGCAAATCTAAGATTACCATTGGTATCAGCCATGTTAGCTTTAATCAAAGCATAGTCTCCCCATATAGAATCTTCTCTAATGTACTTCTTTCCATTGAAATATTCAACCTATAAAAGTCAACTAAAAAGATTTACAGGTTTAGGTTTAGATTCTATTTCTACAGAATCTCCACCTTTATGATATTTGATGGGTATTCCTCCTTTCTCTACAACAGTATCTGTTCCAGTATGTGTGTAAAATGCAGGAATACCAGCACCAGCAGCTCTTAATTTTTCAGCTAAAGTGCCTTAAGGTATTAATTCTAATTCCAAAGTTCCATCAAAGTACTACCTAAAACGATTCTATATTTCTATTACTTAGCAAGATTGTGATTTTCTCCTGCATATGAAGCAATAACTCTCTTTAATTATCCATTATTTAAAAGTAATCCTAATCCAAGATCGGTTGTTCCGCAATTATTGCTGACAACAGTGAGATTCTTTGTTCCTGCATCTTTTAAGGCATTGATGCTGCATTCTGGAATACCACATAACCCAAAACCACCAACAAGCACAGTTGATCCAGCTGGAATTTATTTTACTACTGATAAGTCCTTAATGATGCGGACATAATATCTGCCAATGTGAGTTAAAGAGGATATTGGTTTTACGTACATTAAATTTGAATCTTTTATTAAATTAATATCTCGATAGTTTTCAGAGGATATAAATAATGATTATAATACGTAATATATTTCAACCTTAATATCTTATTTATAATATATATTATAATAATTATTATAAAAATTATAATAATTAATTTAATTGTTTTTATATTCATCATTTTACTTATAATTTAATCATTTGTTTTCTTCTTCTTCATCACTACCCTTTGATGATTCAGCATCTACTTCCTCAATATCATCAAAGGCATCATTAATTTTAACTCCCAAATAATATTCCAACGAATAAGGAATAATTTCATCAATTATCATACGAGCAATATCATAATCAATATCCATACGTTCAGCATATTTATCTAATTTATTTTCTTAAACCCATTTTTCTATTTATTCTTTATCTTCTAAATTAATTGGTTTAAAGAATATAAAAAAGCTTTCTGCATCTACTTCTTGAGATATTGTTTTCACTATGCCACTCTTTTTTTCTAATTATTTTTTCTTTATCAATTTTCTAGTCACATTTTTACCATCATTCCATTCAATAATAGTTCCTTCACTTTTTACTGGATTTTCACCATCTATATATATTAATTAATTTTTAACCTTTCAAAATGAATTTCTTCTTCAAAACTGTGTTTTTGAAATAATCATTAGGAGCAAAGTAAAAATTTAATGAAAAATTATCACTCTTCTCTTATGGTTCATATTCAATCTTTGTTAAAGATTTTAAAATTGGATCATCTCTATCTTTTATTTCTTAAGCTATGATATCAGAATTCTTTAGAGCTTTAAACCAATAACCATTTATTGGTTCTGCTGTCAATGCCTAATTCTTTTGTGTTGCCTCCTCTCCTTCTAAATAAAAATCAACATCCTTCAATTCTTCTTCTGTGAGCAAACGTGTCCCTTCAATTATTTCATTTGACTATCTGTTATTTCATCATATCTACTGCTTTATATATCTTTGCTGCTTTTTCATCAAATTGAATTTGAAGTTTTTTCATCTCTTTCTCTAACTCAATATCCAATTTCTTTTTTTATTACAAGTAATAATTCAATGCCACTGCTTTCAACTTCTCTTTCAGTGGTAAAGCTTTGATTTTCTTTTTTATTTCCTCAGGATTCTCGGCCACTTCGATGATGGCAGGATTTTATGCCATTATTTATATTATAATATCAATTATACATCACATTTTCTAGAAAACTCTTTCCTTTACTTGATATTTCCACTAGAAATTATTAAATTAAGCTACTTAATTTATGCATTTACATAAAAGCCTGGTCGATATCCCCAGCTTTATACTATGTCATCAGATGTAATTTTATTTGATCACTTTTCCATTATTATTATTTATGTTGTTCCTATCCTTTTTTTTCCACTGTTTTTTAATTATATCCCAAATTAGATCCCTTTTTATTATCAGTATATCCTAAATTTTCAATATTTATTTAAGGTTGTTTTTTCTATTAATATTAATATTAATTAAGATCATTCTCTCCCATCAAAATCTCTAAACTCAATTCTTCTTCTTCAAATTCAGATTAATTTTTTTGTTATTACTAAAAAGAATTGCCATTCTCTATTGATTCTTAAATTAATTTTTAATTAATCTACTCATATTGAGCACTGATTAAACTCTTCTCTAATGCTTCTTAATATTCTTACTACTATTTCAATACATATTTATTAACATTTTTTTTCTCTCTACCTGCTGGATCTCTATTTGATTAAATAGCGTCTGTAAAAACTTTGAATGTACCATTTTCATTATCCATTTATGAAGGTTTTAGAATAAAATTATCTAAAGTTCTTTATGTATTTTTTTAAGCTTCTTAACCATATATTTAGATATTATAAAAAGCAATATCATCCTATTCAATCTTTATTTAGAGTTAAGTGTAAAACTTCATTAAATTTAATTTATACCTAATCTGTCGTAACAGAGCTATTATAAATATGTTTTTGATTTTCACTAGTAAAATAATTAAACTTAATATATTCTGATATTTATTAATTTGATTTTGATGATGAGTTCTAAAGTTTAGTTAACATTGCTACAATATTTTTAGGTTTCTGGTTTAATTCTAATAAATATGAAATTGTGATTTTTACTTATAACAGCTGAGGTAATTTTTGCAGAATTAAATTTAATTAGCAATGATTTCCTTTTTAAAGGATTTTCATTATTTTCTCTCATAAGAGGTTATAATAATGAATCCAAAACCTAATACTAAATGAGATTAGATTAATTCATAAAAATTAAATTAATCATAAGTCTAAAAGACGGGAATGAATAAAATTCTAAAAAAAAGTAATAAAAAAGATTCGAACTTCATTAAACTTTTATGTATTAAGGCTAATACCGAAAAAGGAAAATAAGTTATGAAAATATTGAAGATAAAAAGAATTGAATTTTTAAAGAATAAAGAATTTAATGAGTTTATGAGTTTGAGTTAATGAAGGAAACAAGAAAGATAAAAGAAAAGAGAAGGGATTATAAAATAATAAATATTGGGTAATAAAAAATTATACAAATTAGTTAATATTAATTGGCGCTTTCAACATTATTTCGCGGATAATAATTAAATTATGTAAGAAACTCGCGAGCAATAAGTTTAAAATAGGTTCCTCCTCTTTTTACAGGAGTTTAAAACAATAGACCCTTATACAGGATAAAGTTACTATTACTACCAAGAGGAAGCTCGTATCATGAGAGATAATGATCGTACTACATTGAATTTAGATTTCACTCATATAAGTTAGAATGAAGGATATTTGGATTTATCATTAATTATGCTATCAGATTTTTATCAATATGAGCCAAGTTTTAGAAGAGCTATTCAAGAATTTATGTTTATATAGCATTAAGATGTTGAAGATTAATGTAATTGTTGATATAAAATAAATTTAGAAAAGCTTTACTTTTTGGCAGTTTTTAACTTATCAGGAACAGAAAAGATAAGAGAATTAAAGGCAAATAAGATTGGGAAATTAACTTCATTTGTAGGGACAGTAACTCGTACTTATGAAGTAAGACCAGAGTTATTATCAGCATAATTTAGTTGTTAAATGTGTGATAGAATAATAGATAATGTTGAGCAGTAATTTAAATTTACAGAACCAAAAAAAGTAATAAAAATGAATAAAAAATTAGTGTCCAAATACAAAATGTGATAATAAATCAAAATGGACAATAAATCTAAATAAATCATAGTTTACAGATTTTTAGAAGGTGAGAGTGTAGGAAGATTCAAAAGATATCCCTGCTGGTTCGATGCCTAGATCAATAGATGTGATTTTGCATAATGAAAAATGTGATGCAGCAAAACCTGGTGACAAATGTACATTTAATGGATATTTAACTGTTATTCCTGATGTTTTTAGTTTAAGTAAACCAGGTTTAAAGTGTTCTATGTCAACATAGAATTACGGAAATAATTAAAGAGGATAAACATAAGATGGAATAACTGGATTGAAATAATTGGGTGTGAAAGATCTATGTTATAAGTTTGTGTTTATAGCTTGTAGTGTAGAGACAAATAATGATAGATTTAACTTTTAGAAATAATTAGTAGATGATAAAGAATATACAGATAGTTAGGCTGATTAGGATGCAAAAAGAAGGTAATAATTTGATGATATTGACAAATTGGAAATTTTAGAGATGAAAAGGTAGCCAGATCTTTTTAAGAATTTAGCAAATTCAATTGCACCTGCAGTATAAGGATATGAGGATATAAAAAAAGGAATATTATTAATGTTAATGGGAGGAGTGAATAAGACAACTAAGGAAGGAGTTCATATAAGAGGAGATATAAACGTATGCATAGTAGGAGATCCATCAACAGCAAAATCTTAATTTTTAAAATTTACTTGTAATTTATTACCTAGATCAGTTTATACATCAGGTAAGGCTTCAAGTGCTGCAGGTTTAACAGCCTCAGTACATAGAGATATAGAAAATGGAGAATTTTGTATTGAAGCAGGAGCATTAATGTTGGCAGATAATGGAATATGTTGTATAGATGAATTTGATAAGATGGATTCTAAAGATTAAGTAGCAATTCATGAAGCTATGGAATAATAAACTATATCTATAGCTAAGGCAGGTATCTAAGCAACTTTGAATGCAAGAACATCTATATTAGCTGCAGCAAATCCAATTTTTGGTAGATATGATAGATCAAAGACTTTAAAATTTAATGTTAATATGACTCAACCAATAATGTCTAGATTTGATTTATTCTTTATTATCACTGATGCTTGTAGACCATTTGTAGATGAATAAATTGCAACTCATATTGTAAAATTACATAGCCAATAAGAAGGTGCTATTGAACCAAGATTTAGTTAAGATTAACTGAGAAAATATATTAGATATGCACGTACATTTAGGCCTATTTTAACTAATTAAAGTGCTTAATATTTAAAAGAAGCTTATATTAGATTAAGAGAAAATGATTAAACAAGTTAGAGAACAAGTTATCGTATAACAGTAAGATAATTAGAATCTTTGATTCGATTATCAGAAGCTTTAGCAAGAGTTTAATGTGATGATGAAATAAAAATTACATATGTTTAAGAAGCAGAGAAACTATTGGGTTAATCTATTCTTTAAGTAGATGAAACACCTAAATTTATTGATGAAATCGAAGAATAATAACCTATACCAACTAGAGCTATGGGAATTATTGAAGAAGAATTATAACAGAGAGAAAAAGATAAAAAAAGATAAGGATAAAGAATTTAATTAGCTTAAGATGAATATTTAGATATTGTAAGAACATTAACATCATTTATGATTCAAAAGGAAAGAGAAATGTAAGATGAAATTACAGAATCTAAAGGTGTTAAATGGGAAGATATAACTGAATGGTACATTGTTAACAAATTAGATTAAATTTAACATGAAGAAGAAGTTCATTAATATGAAAGATTGGTTGGTGCTGTTATTAGATAAATGATTAATAAGGAAAAGATGTTAGTTGTTGTTAATGATAATTTAGATCAGAATCTTTAAGAATTAGCACTACATCCTAATGTACCTAGATGATTATTATAAACTTTGTAAAATATTTAAAAATTATTTATATCTTCAAATGGCTGAAAGTACCACAGCAAATGTTAATTGGGCAGAGATCTCTGATGATGAAGAAATTGTTCCACAACATCCATAAGAAACATAACCTTAAGAAATTTAACCATAAGTTGTCAAACAAGAATAACCATAAGAAATAAATAATGAACAAAAGAAATAGTCAAAAAAACCATATTAAAAGCATCATAAGCCAGAATGGCTCAGACTCAAAGAATTATAAAAAAAATAGGCTGAATAAATTTAAAAAGAGTAGTAAGCTGTATTAGAAGCTAGAAGAATTAAACCAAGTGTATTTAAGATTTATAAATCTTTAGAAAAATAATTTCCAAGGACTTATGTATGAGAGTGATGAAGATGAATAAAAACCTTAAGAATCAACCTAAAATGAAGAATAAACTCAATCCTAAGAATAAACTCAACCCTAAGAATTACCTAAAGAAGAAATTGTTGATTAATATCAAAGTATTTATATATTTAAACTTAGTCTTGAAACAAAGATAAACATAAGAAGAAAAATAAACATAACAAAAGAAAAAAGATTAAAAAAAAAAAGAAAATGAAGATTTAGATGCTATTTTGAATGAATTAGGATTTACTTAAAAAGAATCTGAATAAACTGGAGATTAAGAAAAAAAAAAAAAGAAAAAAAATAAAAATAAAGATGCTGATAAATAGCCAGTTACCACAGAAAATAAGCAGGAATAATAATAACCATAATAATAATAAACATAATAATAACAAATATAACCATAAACTGAAAAAGTTGATATCAAAAAGGTTTTAGCCGAAAAAGCCAAAAAAACACAAGCTGGCTCTCATTAAGTTGATAAAGTATACTTAATTAAAAATTTTAGGATTTAGAAAGAGTGAAATAAGAAATTGAAAAGAGAAACTAAAAGTCTAAGAAAAATAAGAAATAAGACTTAGATCTTTGATTTGGTAAATTGATAAATAATACATTAAATAATAGTATATATTATTTTATATTNAATATGAAAGATTGGTTGGTGCTGTTATTAGATAAATGATTAATAAGGAAAAGATGTTAGTTGTTGTTAATGATAATTTAGATCAGAATCTTTAAGAATTAGCACTACATCCTAATGTACCTAGATGATTATTATAAACTTTGTAAAATATTTAAAAATTATTTATATCTTCAAATGGCTGAAAGTACCACAGCAAATGTTAATTGGGCAGAGATCTCTGATGATGAAGAAATTGTTCCACAACATCCATAAGAAACATAACCTTAAGAAATTTAACCATAAGTTGTCAAACAAGAATAACCATAAGAAATAAATAATGAACAAAAGAAATAGTCAAAAAAACCATATTAAAAGCATCATAAGCCAGAATGGCTCAGACTCAAAGAATTATAAAAAAAATAGGCTGAATAAATTTAAAAAGAGTAGTAAGCTGTATTAGAAGCTAGAAGAATTAAACCAAGTGTATTTAAGATTTATAAATCTTTAGAAAAATAATTTCCAAGGACTTATGTATGAGAGTGATGAAGATGAATAAAAACCTTAAGAATCAACCTAAAATGAAGAATAAACTCAATCCTAAGAATAAACTCAACCCTAAGAATTACCTAAAGAAGAAATTGTTGATTAATATCAAAGTATTTATATATTTAAACTTAGTCTTGAAACAAAGATAAACATAAGAAGAAAAATAAACATAACAAAAGAAAAAAGATTAAAAAAAAAAAGAAAATGAAGATTTAGATGCTATTTTGAATGAATTAGGATTTACTTAAAAAGAATCTGAATAAACTGGAGATTAAGAAAAAAAAAAAAAGAAAAAAAATAAAAATAAAGATGCTGATAAATAGCCAGTTACCACAGAAAATAAGCAGGAATAATAATAACCATAATAATAATAAACATAATAATAACAAATATAACCATAAACTGAAAAAGTTGATATCAAAAAGGTTTTAGCCGAAAAAGCCAAAAAAACACAAGCTGGCTCTCATTAAGTTGATAAAGTATACTTAATTAAAAATTTTAGGATTTAGAAAGAGTGAAATAAGAAATTGAAAAGAGAAACTAAAAGTCTAAGAAAAATAAGAAATAAGACTTAGATCTTTGATTTGGTAAATTGATAAATAATACATTAAATAATAGTATATATTATTTTATATTGTTATTAACGAATTTCTTATGAACTTAGACAATCCTGCAAAGGCACTTATCCTTTCACTTCTAATGACGATTATTCCAATTTTAATATTAAGGCTTTAATATTTTGAACAGAATTTCATAAGTCAAATGGTTAAATTTAAAAATTTAAGCTAAAAAATTATGAAAATGCAATTATTATTTTTAAACTAAGATAGCTGGGTTATTAAAAGATTTATAAAACCATAGAAAAAAAAATGATAACGTTGGAATAAGAATTATTAAATTAAAAATAATTAACTTAAGTTTAATAGGAAAAATTAACAAGAATCAAATAATAACAATAAGAAGATAAGTTGTTAATGGAATCAAAATAATTTTATGAAAAATTAATTTTTGAGAACCAAAAAGGAAATAGAGAAATTAAGATTATATATTTGATTATACCTTAAAATTACTAATGCCAAAAAGTGATACTAGAGGATGATATTCATAAATTATTATTATGTTATGATATCATGATAATGCGAAATGATGTTTTCTAAGATTATTTGCTTACTATTGATTTAATGTATTAGGTTTTCCAATAAGTGGTCGATGTATATCATGAGTTTATGAAATTAAATCTCCTTTAGTCTATCCAAGATTAAAATGATGAGATCTTAGATTAGCACTTGCATGTGGATCTAACTTATTTGGTTATCCTTATTATTAATTCAATGCTTCCACTTATTTAGTTGTCATGAAAGTATTTTTGCTTACATTATCATTCAAACCGAAATGTGAAGATCGTAAGTCTTTTAAGAGTTTATCAGATAATTAACCAGGTTATCCTGATGGGTTCTTAAAACTTAAAGATGAATGAAATAAAAATACTTGGATTGCATTTCTGATTTATATGAAATGTAATCTGTACCAACTTTAAAATTTGATCCTCTATCCATTTATTAATCTCTTGTCTATGAACTTAATTATTATTCAGGAGGCTTCATTGTTGAATTGTAAAAAGTTTAAGTTTTGTGATTCATAAATCTAGGATCTCCAATAGTGAAATGACTTCCTTATAAGGCAGCAGTGTTATTGATATAATTAACTTTATTTTCTGAATATGGTCTGAAATGTGACATTTATTCGGATTGATATGGTTGATTATCCTTTCCTAAAGTAAAATGAGTAGCTAAAAAATTAAAATTAATTAAACCTCTAAGATTTTATCTATTTTCTTCAGCAAATGGATTTGAAGCGACTTCTTATTGATGAAAGAATTCTTGATTCATGGTTTTAAAATCAGGATTAGCATTTCCAAAATTAAAATGAGTTGACTGGAATCCAGGTTTGAAAGATGCTTATGCACCTCCCTCTTTCTTGTTATAGTCTTCTTACTAGGCTGTAACCATGGGAACTTACTAATAAATATTGATATATATTATTTACCTCCTTACCAAGAAATATATTGGAAACTCTAAGTTACCTTGCTCTTTCTGCTAAATCTTACTTTGGTTCTAATTGTTGAGGTTGATATTGTTAGTTATAATTTGTTTGCATCATTTTATGAGAACTTTCAGCAAAATTATGATGATGTGATCTCATTTTATTTTTTTGTACTCATATTTAGGATATATGCATTTTACTTTCTTATTCATTTTATAATCCTGGTTGGAGTGGTTTTTCATTATATGTTGCTCTTGTAATTGATACTTATTAAGCCTATTGATGACCAAGTACAAAATGATTAGTTCTTAAGTCATTTTTTTTTTCTTCATTCAAAGTAGCAGGTTCACCAATTTGCTTACCTTAAAAATCAGTCTTAAAAATAGTGTTATAGGAAGCTAGAATATGAATATAAATGATACGTTTAGATTCTCCTAAATGAAAATGAACACCTCTTAAATTTAATTGATCACCAACTCCAGTAGCCTAATTATTTACTTAGTCCCCTTTGAAATTCATTTTCATTGTTGAAGTGAATTAATTCTCTAAAATTAGCATGAATAATCTAAATACTCTAATCTGTTTATCCTAGTTAGAAATGGCTACTCCTCAACTGTTGCATAAAAAAAAATATATATAATTATATTAATCATCTACTTAATTGCTGAAGCTCGATTTCTTCAAATTACATGTCATGATTAATTAGGGGAAGAGTTTAATTTGCCATTACTTCATCTGTCAAATTATCATACATATCCTTTTTATAGGTTTCTTGTAAGAACCTAGAATATTCTTATTAATATAAATAATTACCATGTCAAACCAAGAGCAAGTATTGCCATTAAACCAACTATTGTAATTGCACTTGCTTATTGATAGATTTCCTATACATAAGACACATAGAGAGGGGCAAATGTACTTCCAAGCTATCCAAATGTCATACAAACTCCATATCCATATGATCTAACTGTTGTTACATAAGCTTCTCCTGTGTATGTATTGAGCATTGAATTATAAATAGTTATGCTTGCCTTTATCAATATGGCACTAAGTAAATGAAGAATTTATTGCCAACATAATGAACTTTAACATTCTAAAGGAATATCTATATAGGCTAGTGTTGCACTTAAAATCATTGTCAATAGACAAAATTATAATGATATTATTCTTGGGTATTTCAATTTAAAATATACTATATTATTATTATTATAATATTTTACAGCTTGACATTCCAGTCATTAATTCAACCAATGCCAACATTCTCAATGTAGTAGTCATTGAAATTCCAAATGTTGATACTGAAAATTATAAACCATAATATGTGAAATATCTTAAAAACCACATTTAAACCAATATTGAGGTTTATATCAGTAACTTTGATCTTTTTAATAATTCCCAATATCCTGCAGACTAATTTGTATGCTAATTTAAATTTATTTATGTTTCCACTCTCTTTACAGTAGCTAATTTAACACATCTATTGTTAAACTTATCTAATTCTTCGATGAAATTAAATTCAAAAGGTCTCCTTTTATTAAATATGCTCATAAATCTAAACACTTTTCTGCATTCATCATATTATTATTTAGAAATTAACCATCTTGGTGATTCAACAAAATAAAAGTAATCCAATATAACTGTAACTAAAAGCGGAACACCTATGCTCCACATCATCAATAGTCTCCATGATTACAATATATCTACTATAAATGGATATATAAGCATTGAAGAACTCCAAATCACTATTAATAATGAACTAGCTATTGATCGAAATCTTAATGCACTTATCTCATTTATGTAAACATAAACTACAGTCTCATATCCACTCAATCCAAAACCTGCTATAAAGAACAGTGCATATAGATATAATAAATTATTACAAAGAGCTCCAACAAATATTGAGACTGAACCTATACTCATTCCAAATAATAATATTTTTCTTCTTCCAAATATATTTGCCAATATTGGAAATGTAAATCCTCCAAACATTTAACCAACAAAAAATAATGCTGCTATAAATGCTTTTCTACCATTACAAAATAACCCAAATTCTTTCGCTATACTATCAAATCCAATTAAACTATCTATTCTATTGTTACAATTAGGATATTCAATACAAATTTCATCTGTACAATATTTTGATGGATTTTATAACAAATACGGCATCCCCATTACAAAAAAGGAGTAAAACAAAAACTATATGCATAATAATAATGTGATCCTCTATTGATATTTCGAATTGTCTCCAACATACTCAAATGCTTGATCTAATGTGACAAAGGCTCTTTTCATGTTATAAGCTTCAAACGCAGGCTTCTTGTACTTCTTATTTTAAAGTAATTCAAGCTATTGCTTAAATTAGTTTTTAATTGAGTTTATCATGCAAAAACAATTATTATTAATTGAAGTAATTTCATTAAATATTCAAGTTTCTCAAAAGTTAATTCTAATCTAAATTTATGTTTTCTTTCTTAATTTATGAATTTCTATCTAAATATTTTACAGATTTAAAATTTAGTTTAAATTATAATTGTTATTCAACATAAAACCCAATCTAAGAAAATGTCAAAATATTATTTTTATGATTGTTTTTATCTTAACATAAATGAGAATAAAAAGAATATCATGTTGTGAAATTTTTGTATGTATAATGATCCCTAGTGATATTATAAATTTTTAATAATACTATTAGTAATGAATCATTATAAAAAAAAATTAGTTCTTTAAAATGACTTAAATCATTTATTGCTTCCATAGATTTATAACTTCAGATCTCTAAGTATTAATAAAGAATCAATATTATATACTGAGGAGAAAGAAAAGAAATAAGATTAAAGGCAAGCTGAAATACTAAAATTCTCATTTGTAAATTCAAATTACAATCACTCAGATAGATTTCATCCAAAACCATAACATATGATGAACATTGAAAGAAGAAAAAAGATGTTAAAGTTATAATTAAAGCGAGTATGCGATTCTTTTAAGAAAGTATCTCCTCTTAGCAAAGATTACGAAACTTTATAAGATATTCATTTCATCAAATACAAAAAGATTGTTTGATATAATATTTGTGTTGTTTTTATATTTGATATATTGATTGTATAATACATTTACAAGAGATCATTTAACTTATAATGATGAAGATCAACATTCATGAATTCATAATTAATTAATGTTAAAATTTTCATCATCGTATAAGGTATGGAAATTATTTTATTTGGTTTAATTCGTTGTTTTTCAATTTCATAACTGATTGAAAATTATTCTAATCCTAAATTATTTTGTATTTTTTTTATTTGAGAACAAAAGTTAAAATATTATCTGATGTTATGTGTTATGGAAAAGATAGCTATATCAAGAAAAATTTATAAATACCTGTTATTCAACAAAAATCTAAGGTTGGAAAGAGTAAGGAGAGACAATAAATATATTCTGCTTTTTTTTAAAATGGTCTAAATTAGAATTACTGTGGCTTTTGGTTTTTGTTGACTATAGGAGCTTAAGGATATTTTTATGTTTTGACTTACTTTAGTCAACAAATAGAGATACTCTACATTTCTTTTCATTCTGAAAGTAGAGAATGTAGATAAGGAAGTTTGAAAAAGTTTTTTTGATATATCTAGAAACTCCAGAAGTAGTGAGATATTTCAATTATTGGTTTAGCAATATATATAGAACTTATTTTTGTTTTAAAATGTCCAAAAAAAGAAGATAAAGGACTATTATGTACTACAAATACATGAGTAAAGATTATCACCTCTAATTCAAGTTCATCTGATCCAGGTCTTTTGTCTGTGAATAGATGCAAATTCTAAAAAAATAGTTTTGCCAACAATTTTAGAAGATGAATTTAATAAGCTTTAGTGAATATCAAACTTTATAGATTGATTCAAAATGATGATCTGATTTTTATATAGTTCAATTCAGCCTGAGTTCTAGCGAAAAGAAACAGTTTAAAACTGCATAATTTGAAATCATTACATGAGTAAAAGGTTAATACATTATTTGCAAAACATACGAAACATTGCAATTTGTATCATGACAAGGAATACCTTAAGCAAATGTAGGTAATTCTATAACGTTAAAATCATGATCTTTATGAGTTGAATCGCCAGATTAAAGAAGATTATCAAAACACGCTATGCCACAAAAATAGTTATCACAAATCTCCATTCATATCTTGGTCACAGTATAAAGTTTGAATCTCATCTATACATTTATAATATTGATGCAACCCTTTTTTATCTGTTTAATTTTCTAAAACAAATATTACATTTTCATTAAATTCTCCTTCACTTATTTTTTTTGTTATAGTTTTCATACCATATATCAAATTTAGCTATTTTTTGTTTTGTACCTGCATATTCATGGTTATAATGCAAAGCTACATATATTACAACCCATGTCTAAAAATATCATTGCTAGCAAATATTTCAACCGTTTTAACTCCTGAATTATTTCTCACTTGACTAAATATTATATTATTAGATATTTTATAATGATATAGTTCATATTCTTCTGGAAGATACTTATATCTATAATCTTATATAGCCAACTCTATTTTATTTAAATCAATCTTTCATTTTTTAATTAAAAATATGCATAAATATCAAATAAAAATAATTTAAATCATAATTGAAAAAATTAATGATAATTATTTATTCAAATAAATAAGGTTTACATCCTATCACACATATTCGGAGAAAGTAAAGATATTTGATTCTTAATTGAGTTTACTTTGAAAAAGTATGATAAATATTGAAAACATACATTTCACAGATTAAACAATTGTCTAAGTAATCTCTATCTCATCCAACAAACGACTATATGAAGAAGATATAGTTAAATTTTAAGAAATCAAATCTAAAGGTGTAAAAAAAAAAATTTTAATGTTTTATGTATTTATTCTAGAAAGCATAAAAAAAGAAAATTCAAAAATTATTATAGGAAAAATAATTCCAAAAAAGAAGAATGAATCAAATTTCAATAAATAAAAATGAGATGAATTCGAAGGCAAGAAGAACAATCTATATGTGGAATATTAATTGAAATTTACTCGATATTGTACTTGATCCTTTTTTTTATTTTGGATTTAAACATAAAAATCTTGAAAGTAAGTTTTCAGCATCTCTTTCCAATCTGTCAATATTTATTCTAGATTTCCGTTATACGGGTTTTTTGCAATTAAATAAATTGGATCATATTCTTTTTACTTTTTTTTTTTACTTATCTATTTACTTGATTGAATCCAACTCTATATTGGAAAAATAATTTCCATAAGTTTTATACACAACTCCATATATTGATGTACCAAAGACTTCTAAAACTTTAGAGTTATTATTGATGTCATTTTCTTCATCAATAATTTATTCCATATAATATAGATTATTTATGCGTGGGTGAACTTTAAGTTTGGCTTTCTTTATTAATTTTTCTTGAATTATAGATTATATAATTCATGATTACCAGTCATAGAATTTTATATAAGATGATGAAATCGTACTCTCGAATTTGTTTAATTGATCGATGATGATGATATAATATTGATACTGATCATCGATGATAATTTTTAATCTCTTAGTATCCATAGCATTTTCCAATTAATCAGCAGCCTTCATATTTGATTTCTTTGCTGTCATTAATATTTATGTTGACGAAAAGCCTATAGAAATTAATATAATCACTATAAGCTAATGGTGATATTTGACTTAGAAATATATATCCTTGTACTTTTTCTCATAATATCTTCAAATTTTATTCTAGTATCATTTTCCATTATTTTAATTTATTCATTTATCTATTAATTGTTCCAATGATTCTTACAAAACCTTATTTTATGTCTTTAATTGACTTTCAAATTAAGTTTTCTTTATATTTTAATTCTTTTTAGAAAAATTATTCATCATACTACTAATCATAATATTAATTAAATGATAAATTTTAAGAAAATTTATTATTTTCAACATATTAAGTACTTAATAATTACTTAATTATATCTAATCTTATTATCAAAATCGAAGATTATTAAAAAAAGCAAAGCAATAAGAAATTAAAAAAAATTTTATTTAGAATCATTATAATGATTTAATATTCCTTCGAGCATAAAAATTAGGATATTTTATTATTTTAACTATCAGAATCGTTAACATTTCTGTAGAAACAAGTAAGAAAGATAATTTATTTTTTTTAAGATAGGCTAAGGGAGTGGATGTTCTTCTGATAATTATTTTATAACTATTTTCTTGAGAAAATTGCTTCACTCTTCTTTTCAAAATTTTTTTTTCTTCTTTATTTTAACTACTATGTCAACTTCTTGAAACAACTTTTAGTTTTTATATTCAGAAGGTAAAGTAAATAATATATCTTCATGAACTGAAGCAATTGTGTAGAATCTATTTCACATTTAATTCAAGAATTATTAACAGATGTTCTATTTAATGGAATAAATTTCGAAGATTAAACACTATATCTAACAGATTCATTATTATTTTCCTAATTTTCATAATAGTTTGTTGTTGTAATATTATTCAGTCTGTGTTTAGGTAGTTATATTGTTTTTATCATTCTTTTATTAATAGCTATAATTGGGGTTTTAATGGACAATCTACTAAATTAGAATTCATAAACCATTTATTAAAGGGAGGATTCCTTTTTAGATCTTTTTGTATTGACATCCCATATCTAAAGCTTGAAATGGAGAATGCTGATTGCCCGTTTCTTATAAAATACATTCTACAGATATCTGATTTATTGTTGTCTGGTACAACTCTCATATTTCTGGTGATACATAGACTCAATTTACTTAATCTAAAATTACATGGAATACCTGTTTAAGTGTATAATAGACCTCAAGGCTATTGTGCATTTAATACACTAAATTATTAACCTCATTTGATATAAAAATGTTAGCAGATTTAATATTTCGATGAAATATCAATTTTTCATGTAATTCTTTCAAACTCTGTGTTATTTATACCAGGGCTTACTAAATTTCTTATTCTTGAAACTTTTGTGTCTTATTCTATTTACTTGTTATTTATTTTGCAATATTTCCTCCATAAGCATATTCAGATTATGATTCCCAAGGTTTATGTTTCTTTATCTGCAAATAATCAATACCTTCTATATAAAGTGCTTCTTTATATCCTATTCTGAACTCCTGGTTTAAAGATGTTAACAGCCGAATTTTATTGAAAGCATTTAATTTTTCTTTCTCATTAATTTTACCCATTTTTATTTCTTCATTGCATAAATTTGATGATCAATTCTCCTCAAAACTTATTTTTATAATACTAAATACTTTCCAAACTTCGTTGAACAAACCTGCACCTATTTTTTGTAACTCTTAAAATTGAAGCATCTGTTAAAAATAATTAATAGAGATCAAGAATAAGTGAATTATTCATCTTACTCCTCACAGTCATAATATATCAAGTAGGAATGATAACTCAGAATATAGTAATTTTTACTGAAGTTTATTTATTTTTATAAATAATGATTAATAAAACATTTTCTACATATCACCTCATCTTATATTGTGTAATACTTTTCATTAAGATTTCATACATAAAAAAATACCTCGTATATCCACTAGTCCTAATTACTACTTTAATTTATAAAAGATCTTCTTAATTTTTTTCATGGAATAATAATGTGGCTTAGATTTAAATTCAATCTCAAAATTTCCTTTTATTTTTATTAGCTTAATTTGATGATTAAGTTTAATCAGTCAGTTAATAAGTCAACAATGAAATCATTTTTTATTTTTAACTTTTAGGATTGTGTTAAATTCTTAATATAATCTAATTTATTATTAAATTCTTAATTTCCTAAAACTCTTGTAATATTTAATTAGAAAAATATGAATAATAAAATATTTAGTTAAGATTAGAATCTATTAATAGGGGAGTAATAATTTAAAGGAAAAATAAAATAATTATCATTAATTAATTTAACTGTATTCATATAATTGATTATTAGCTTAAATTGTTTAGTTGGTAATATTAGATGAAATAATATATGGAAATTAAACCAAAATGGATTTTTTGTTTGCTTCTTTGCACTAACATAGTAATAAATTTAGACTAAGGTATCATTCCTGTCTTAAGCAATATAATAGATTGAAGATTCTCTTGAATCAACTTCAGAGTAATTAGGCTATTTAGGGTCATAAGTTTATGGAGGTGTAACTCTAGTTTTTTTATTTGGAGGAAAGTTGTTCCTCCATTTTAATTTAAAGATGATAATTGTGCTACGTTATTTTGGAATGATTTCATCCTTAACTTTATTTCCCTTGAATTATGGATCAATTTTACATATTTAGATTTCTTACAGTTTGTTCGAAACTGGTTATAGTTGATAAAAATATAAAATAGAGTGATATTATAATTCGATACTGCATTTTAAATATTTTAGGCATCTATGATGATTATTTTCCTATTTGGTTTGATAATTTTGGAGATGAATATAAAACTATTTTTTAGATAAATATTCTACAAGGTGTAATTCCACTTGGCATATTTGTTGGAAGTTCTTTATCAAGTTTATGGCATAAAAATTAGTGTTACAATGTTTTTAATTATTGTTAACAATAAAGACTTTGAGATTGAAAAATATTCTAAAAATAAAATTGAAAGTAAATCAGTATATGATTTAAAAAAAAATGAATCAATTGTTAGCATAGAATCCAAAAAAGACTTATTAGTTTTTAATTTTGAATGGCAGATTATATTGATAAATGAGATGCATTGAGAAAAGCAAACAGTGAATATAGTATTTGCAATAGTATTTCTAACATTCTTAAAAATTTTAATTTTATTTCAATAATCTCTTCTTATAATAGTCGAAATAAAAATAGAAAATTATTTCTCTTAAAAATGAAATCAATAATCAAATCGCTGGATTACGATGTAAGTAAGGTAAAGTATTGGGATCCTTAGGCATTTTCTCATTCTTTATAACAGAAATAACAGGCCCCGGTATTCCACTCTCTAAAAGAGTCTTTTTGGCTTCTCTCTCTAATATTTTTCGGATAGAAGAATTTGAATGTATATTTGATAAATTCTAATAATAAATACTATATATTTACTTTGTATTAATTAAGAATTTCATCAGCAACATGTTTTGCAATTCTATCTTCTAAAGTTGCTTTTTATTCTCCATTAGTAGTTGTCTTATCCCAATCTTATTTCCCTTACTCTATTTATTCCTACTTTTTCCTTAGTTAATTAATAGAATCTAAATTTTATAGAATTCAATACTTTAAGTTTTTTCTGAATGAACTGATCGGGCTTCATCATTTTTGCCTAAGGATTAACTAATTTTATCATAAATATCAGGCTCTCTCAATTCTTATTTTTATTCACCTTGATTCTATGGCTTATCTTCCTAAAAATCTTATTTTTTAATTTCAGTTATTCTTTATTAGAGAGCTTTCAACATAACATTAACCTTAACATTAAAATAAAAGTACCTCTAAGTCGTTGATGTAAGAATCATAGTCTAAATTTTCAACGAAATTCAAAAGATCATCTTCTTCATTCTTAATATGTTATTCTTCTTCCTATTATTTAATATTTATAACTGTTAATTACTTCTTTTGTCATTGCCCAGACTGGTTTGGTTTTATATCTCTTTTTTTTATCTCCTGGTTTACTATCAGATTTTGTATCTTTTTCTTCTAACTTTTTCAGATTTTCTGCAGTCAAAGCCACCCTTAAAGATATTAAAATTGTTTTACGTTTTATTTTTAGGTACATCTTCTTATAATTCCTTTTTAATTATCTCATTCATCTATTTATAATCTTCTTTCATTTTCTTAGTCACTTCTCTATCCTTTTTTGCTAATTCTCTAACTCTTAAAAATTTTTCATCTTCTTTTGCTTATAATTCTTCCTTAGCATGTTTTTTAATCTAATTTTATAGTTTGAATTCCTCCAACCATTTTTTATGTCTCTCTAAAACAGGATTGGTTTGAGGAACGACAACTTTTGGTTCTTCATATTTTTTTGTTAATCCCCATTAATCATAAGGTTAAACTCTTGAGCAGAATGGTCTGAATAATTCTGTAATTCATACTTTTCTTTTACGATCATAACATTATCATTAGGTCTATTACAGAGCATAACTCCTTTGAAATTATTGATTGGAACATCCATTTTGATAATTGTAAAAAATTAATTGAAAAAAAGACTAATAAATATGACTGCAAAACATATATCATGTAATAATAAATATTATTTAATCTTTAATTAAATAGTGATGCTCCTTTCATTTTTTGAATGGCTTGGTGGCTTGATAGGTCTACCTGAAGACCAGGCAAGAATGGTGTTTGGATTCATAATCACAATACCTTTGGGCTTTTTATTTAAAACATTAAAGAGTATTAAGATTGAATCATGAATTTCTAGGTGCTCAATTAAGAAAATATTTTGGTTTAACTGTTGGTTTGATATTATCATACATGCTCTATTAAGAAAAATTGATAAGTGTAATAATACAGAACATAATTGTATATGAAATGACTAAGCGAATTACATTAAATAAAATAGGAGTAAAGGCCAAATGGGTATTTTATGAAACTCTCATATATGTGGCAGTTCATCATATTTATAGACAATACACAGATTATGGAGGATGGTAAATATGTAAATTAGGATTAGGAAATTAGATATAACAACAATCTTAATGATGAACACAGTCAAATGGACATCATTTGCATATAATTATGAAGATGGTTTAAGAAGAGATGAGGAACTGAATTCCGATTAATAAGAGAGAAAACTATAAAAAATACCATCATATACAGATTATTTTGCCTTCATGTTCTTCTTTTGTGGATGTTTAGCTGGAGTAAAACTTAAAATTAATTTAGCCCTCATTTGACTATTATGATTATGATACCTTTGTTAAAAGAACTAATGTATATTAGAACATTCCAAGTACTGTTGGGGAGACATTCCGTTTGTTTAGAAATGCTCTAATTTATAGTTTCTTTATTGTAATTGTTTATCCAAAATGGTCTCTTGAGTCTTTATTTTCTACAGAATATGAAGAAGCATCCTTACTTTATAAAATATTGTGGTTAAATCTAACCATCACTTTACATAGAACTAAATATGTTTCAGGATGGTTATTCTCAGAAAGTGGATTGGCTGCTGCAGGATTTACTTATAATGGGAAATTAGATGGATAACATAAATGGTTAAGAATCAGATCCATTGATCCTTCTATTGATTTAACTACTAATCCAAAAGATAAAATTGAACTATGGAATATTTCTGTTTAAGTTTGGCTCAAAAAGTATGTTTATTTAAGAGTCTATCCTGAATCAGTATTAAAATCAAGTTCGGCTAAAGCCTAAAAGGCTCAATTAATTACTTTTGCTGTCTCTGCATTTTGGCATGGATTCTATCCTGGCTATTACATTTCATTTTTCCATTGGAATTTAATTGGAATGATCAATAAATATGTACATAAGCTTGGATAAAATACTAATGTTTTGAAAATATGGGACTCTAATCTAGTCTTTAGAAGCATAAGATTTTATTTCGTTAATTCTTTATTCAACTGTTTTGGTATAGGATTTCAATTGATGAATATCAAGGACAATTTAAGATTCTATGGATCTGTATAGTATTTAATTATGTAAATAATATAGTTACATTTTTAACTTAACGACATATATTTTGTTTGCTTTTTTCACAGTAACTTAATTTGGTCAAAAGCCCAGAAAGAAGTAATGAACACACATTTAAATATACATAGATTAATTAAATAAACATATTAAATAAATAATAACCCATATATATATATATATGATATGATAATAAGAATTTATCATTCTTCTTTTTTGTGGTCTAACTTATTTTCTCTATTATCATAGACATTTTTATATTTTCCTGCAGAGAAGATTCCAATACCTACTTTCACCATGAAAATAGTCCAATATATGTGCATTCCAAATAGTACAATCATCAAACCAACTTAATTATATAAGGCATGTTTAGTATTTTCCCTATATTTATAGAATTGATTTAATACCAATAAAGTGAAAACCCAGGGTGGTAAGTAATGATATCATAAATCTTAATAGGGAATACATAGATTCTAGTATATAGCCAAGAAATTTGAATTGCTGAGAAACTTATATAAACGATTATCTTATTCTTTCCAATATCTGCATAAGTTCTTCCATAAGCAAGAAAGAAATCACTAAAATCATGGAGCACCAAAACAACAATTCCGATACTTTCACAATTATAAATGGTCGAAAAATAAAGTAGGCTTACAGCTAAGAAATGATGAAGTAAATATTCCCAATACTTCAATTCTATTTTTGTACCATAAATCATTAATAATAATAAAGCATGAACATGACTTGAGGCTTAAATCATGTAATAAAATGGAACCCAAGGATTCTTAAATTATTTATTTAAAATTGTACATCAGGCATATTAGGAAAATCATACATAGTTTCTGTAAAATTTGTGCCTCCTAATTAAGTTGGGAACCATTTTTCATGTCTGAAAACTACATATGCAAAGATTGTAGCTAATGAGTAGTAAAAAGTATCATAAATCCATTTAACAATTTTTTAAATCCTTAATTATCTATCATAACCAACGTATTTTTTGTCAAGAGAATTGCTAACATAATCATATACCAAATATCTATTGATTTCTTTTGTGATCTTAATCAATAAAAAATTGACTTACATGAATTAAGATTAATCCTATCAACATCCACTTAAGATCACACCAATCGAACCTTCTTAAATTCTTCTCTTTTAGAAATTATTAAAATTAGATGATATCCAAGCTGTACAAAGAAATAATGACTATGAGCAATAAAAATTCTAAGTTACTTAAAACCGCAAAGAAGGAATATTTGAAAATGGTTTCATAGTGTGAAAACTTGACTAATTTGCCTAATGAAATGTTTTATTGTCCTTCTTACAATAGCTATTATTTTTTTGGTTTGAAAATGTTAGAAATCATAATTAATAATTAGTAATAATATTCAAATAACTTCCTTCAGAATTCCTTATAATGTGTAATATTTTTATAATAATAATTAATTTATGTATAGATATATATAATTATATAATTAATAAATGAAACTAGTGATATTTTTAATTGTTGTATTGTAATTAAATGGAAGCTTGCTTAGAAACAGAAAAGATTAGGTGAAACAATAAGTGATTAAAGTAAGAATTGATATAGATGTAAAGTAAATAAGAGAGACAATAAAGAATCCATATTCGCCATTGTACCATTCATCATATAATCGATTGGCATATTATGTTGATACATTTGGTCCTAGAATGTGGGGTTCTGAAAATATGGGAGATGCAGTAGATGCATTAATAGAAGAATTAGAAAGTTTAGGTTTTGATAGAGTATGGAGAGAGAATATAGGAATTATAACATCTTGGGAAAGAGGTGAAGAGAGTGTTACATTACATAAACCAAGAGAATATCCATAGAGATTAAATATGATTGGTTTAGGATGGAGTCCAGCAGGAAAAGTGAGAGCAGAAGTAGAAGTGGTTCATTCATTTGAAGAATTAAGAAATATTGATGTAAAAGGGAAGATTGTTTGTTTTAATTATGAATGGAAAGGATATTCTTCAGGAATATAATTTAGAACAAATGGACCAAGATTAGCAGAGGAGGCAGGTGCAATAGGTACAATAATTAGAAGTGTTGCAAGTGTATCAATTGATTCACCACATACGGTAGATATATAAATTAAAATTAAGGGAATGACAAATTATTAAAATTTAAAATATCCAGCAGTTGCTATTACAGTAGAAGATGCAGATATGATAGATAGAATGAGAAAGAGAGGATAGATAGTAGAAATAGAAATAATAACAAATGGAAAATAATATTAAACTACAAGTGATAATGTTTTAGCAGAAATAAGAGGATCTAAATATCCAGATGAAATTTTATTAATGGGTGGTCATTGGGATTCATGGGATGTAGGATCATAAACTGGTGCTAATGATGATGGAGCTGGAGTGATTGAATGTTTAGAGGTTCTTAAACTCTATAAACATTTGGGTATTAGACCTAAGAGAACTATTAGATTTATTGCTTGGAGTGGAGAAGAAATGGGTATGGCTAATAATGGTGCATAACATTATGCTAAAAATCATTTATAAGAAAATCATATACTTGCATTTGAATCAGATCTTGGATCTACTAAACCTTATGGATTTGGAATTACTGCAGGAGAAAAATTTACGTATCACAATCATTCATTTATAGATAACTTGTCAGTTATTTAGCTTAAGAATATTTAACTGAAATTGGAACAGAAAAGATTTATCCTAATGATGGCGTTTCAGCTGATAGTGGAGCATTAAGAAATATTGCAGGAACTCCAGTCTTAAATAATAAAATTATTGACAATAAAACTCATGACTTTTATTTCACTTATCATCATACTGCTGGAGATTCTATGTGGATGATGAATCCAGATGATATGGATGATAATGTTATTGCCATTGCTAGCATCATGTATATAATTGCAGATCATGATGATCCTCTACCAAAAAATTGATTCCACATTATTATTATTTTTAATGAAAACAATATTTCTTATCACTTTAATTGTTTTTTATACCAATTGCAGTCTTGAAACTATAGGATTGAGACACAAATTATCCAAAATTATTTAAGAACATTAATAAAGTCTTTAATAAGATAAATAAATGTCAGGAGGATGGATCAAAGTAATTAATTTTTAAATATCTAAAGTAACCATTAGAAGAATTTGAACAACAAAACAATAATATCATAAAATCATCTTAATTTGCTGTAGAAGAAAAGTTTAATTTATCATAAGATGAATATCAATATGAAAAGTTGCTTTAGGTTACTACTTAAGTAGTTGCAGGAATCAATTATAAAGTTCTTTTCTAATATGAAAAAGATGATGTTAAAAGAATTTTTGAAGTTTAATAATATATTGTGTAATTTACATCTTTTAAATTAGTCCATGGAATCCATCAGCTAACTCTATTACCAAAGTAGAAGAAATAATATCATCAAACCAATGAAATAAATATTATAATATAGAATGATATTAATTTATTATAATTTTCATATTGAAATATAAACATATAAGCTATATCTGATTATTCTGCTATTCGTTATTTTTATTTCAAATATTAAATTTTATATACTAATTTTAAATTTTAACTTCAAGTTTTTTATTTACTCATTAAAAATTCAATCGATTATATATAATCGTATATCATACATTATGAATAGGTATGTTTTTCTCTGTTATTATTATTTTATTATTTTCTTTGAGTTTTCATAAATAAATATTGACCATTTTTTACTCAAAATAGTGAAATGAGGTTTAAAAGTAATAGTTTGAGTTTAATTATAGAATTCCTTTCATATATTTTATTATATTGAATCAAAAATTGCTTCATTAATTAGTGAATTAATAAGATTGTCTTCATCATAACTCTACGAAAAAATTAAGAATTCTCTTTAGTCCTAGTAAATATCAAGATTTCTGAGACATTGTCTTTAATAGTATTATTCTTCAAATTGTTCCAAAATAGTTGGTAAGTTGGTTTTAATAGTAATATTAGAAAATCTCTCCTTATATAATATAATAATAATTTATACTTGCAATTCTTGTTTTATCTTACTCCAAAGTTTATAGAGAGTTTCACGAGTTTTTTAACTTTTCAATTCATGGGGAATTTAATTACTTGCTTTATTTTGTTATTCAGAACTTCCTTATTGTACTTACTTTATTTCCATAATTGTCGCAAACCTATAGGGGTCAAATGGTTTGAGTGTGTCATCAATAAGGCAATCTAAGGCTTGTTGTAATTTTGAATTGAAAACACTTTATTAGCTCATAAAATTAATTGAAAAATGAAGAGTTCCTGATGTATTTAAGGAATTTAAATAAAATTATATTTGTTCCTTCCAAAGTTTACTTTTTAAAATATTCCCAAAAAGTTAAGTATGAAATACTGAAATGACAAAAATATATAGTTTAATCTTTGCCAATTCAAACACTTTAATTATTCATAATTTAAATTAATTAAAATAACCATTTTTTATGAGTTTTTGTTTAAAATAACAAATAAATTGAAGAAAATCAATTAGAGTACGCTTTATGTTTTTTCAATTTCTCTTTTTTTTGATACATATTATTCTATTTAGCTCAAAATTTAAGTCGATTCTTTATTTTTCTTAAAATTTTTATTTAGAAAACAGAATTATTTTTGATTAATTTGCATATACTTTATTATTAATAATTTAAATAAATATGAATTGTAAAATATCTTATATCTTAAATTATTGCATCAAGATAACGGTTATCTATTCTAATAATTGTGCCCTATGATATTTCTTTCCTAATTATTACATCCCTAAATTATATTTTTATTTACATCATCTGTTTCTTGAATTTTAAAAAATCTTCTTATTTCTTCCTTATACTTCCATATCAAAAATATAATCAATCCTAAAGTAAATGGAATTGAAACTGTAAGACTAATGATCAAATCTACATCTAAAGATTCTTCCTCTTAAACAATCTATCTATCTATGCATTTTTCGCATTTCTAATTTTCAGACCAGGCAAATGTCATCTATTTTTGACAATCATCCTTTGAAACTATAGTTAGATCAACTTGTTCTTAAATTAAGCATTCCTTACCAGACCAAAAACAGGGAATTTAAATCATACTATCATTTTAATAAATATAATGGCAATTTTCTTCATTTTTATCTTTACAAGTCTATTATATACAAGACTTATCCTTATAATTGCATTCATTTGATTAACATCCAAATTAATAATCACTCCATTAAGAACAATTATGTGTAGATAAATTATATGTTTTACATTCTCCATCATCATTAATAAAACAAATTAATCCTTTTCCATTTCTAGTGTAATCACATTAATCTTTATTTATTTTGGTACAGTTCAATTCATCTATTGGATCTGAACATGTTCCATTTTAAAAAGAGCATCTTTCAAATGAACAATCAATATCATTTGAACAATCTAAACTTTCACAATTTCCTAGTACTGTCCATGAACAATTATTTTTATATAATAAACAATCTATAGAATTAGTTATTTCTTCACATTGAGTAGTTTCAAAATCTATACATTCATTTTTTTATTCATTCCATTTACATTTATAATCTGAATAATATCCATTACAATATGTTCTTCCTTTATTTTTACATATGAGATTCTCACAAATGTTTTTATTCTAATTCCAAGAACATTTTGAAACTTTGTCACAAACTTTTTACATAAAATACTATTCACAAGAGCACAATTCTGTTGAATTGGGAGATTAAAGTAACGCTTATAATAAATAGGTACTTAAAATGATGATATTAAATTTCATGAAATATTTTCAAAAACTTTTCAAGTATTTATAAAAAATAGATCAAAGATATTTTATTTATGACTTGAGAAGATTTTTATTAATAAAGCAACACTTAAATAAGATATCAATACTTTTATTAATTGTTCATTGCTTCTTTTACAAAAATAATTTAAATTCACTAATAAAATCCTTATATAATCTTTTTGTTTTCTGTTTTTAATTTCAGATAAGATAAAATCTAAAATGTTTAGAAATATCAAAAAAGTAGAATCTAGTTCATTTATTGACCATAAATTTAAAATGATAAAAATGGTTTAAGATTTAAAAATAATTTTTGTTAAATTTAATTTAAATAATATTTTCAGATAAAAGAGCTTAATCAATCAATCTTCAAGTATAAAAAAATTTGAGTTAAATTATTTGCCTAATCAAATTTAATATGATTGTTATGATTTGAAAAAATTTAAATAATTTAGAGATTAAGTTCTTATTCTATTTAAAAATTAAAGATAAATAACTGTTATCAATTATTTTATGAAATCTATTCTATTAAGACTCTTATCATTAGATTAATTTAATTTAACCAAATATGTGCTCCAGTAATGAATAATTTTAAGAAAAATAACTCCAATTCTTTTTCTCATGAAATAATAATTCTTAAATTGATTTATGATTATAAATGTAATTAAGATTCAAAATCAAATCGTTATAAGATTTTTATTAAATCTGAGATGGAGATTTTGGGATAAAAAGTCTGAAGAATTTTAATAATAATTAAATTTGAAAAACAAATTCGAAATGTGAATCTTCGACTTTATTATTGTTGATTAATGTCCTTTGGATAATCATAATTATAAAAAGGGAATCTGTTTATATGGAATCCATCAATTATAAGAATTTTTTTAAAGGGAATGATATATAGAAATTATATTCAATTTAATTTTACTTTTTTCTTATCTTCAGCAAATTCAAGTTTTAATATATCATCATAATCTACTTCTTGTTTATTTCTTAAATCTTAGGGAGATAATTATAAGGGCTTTGATATGTTTCTTTCATCTCTTAAGACTTTTTATAATTTTTATGTAGTTGTTGAAGTTGGTCTGAGTTATTATCTTTCAAGTTTTTGTTATTGTAATCTCATTTCATTTTTTATAAGAGTTTCATGAAATTCTTTTTCAAATTAAGGCATTTCATTAGGTTAACAAGGTTTTGGATCTTATTTGAAGAATTCATGATTTAAAGCTTAAATAGCATTTAATCTTTTATTAGGATCTAATATTAAAAGATGATCTATTAAATCTAGAGTGACTTAATCAATTTATTTATTTAAAGCTTAACAAACATTTTAAATGTGTTTAATTAATATTCTTTCATAATGTCTTCTTGGTTTAAATTCTTCCCATTATCTAAGATTAACACAATTAGGCCAATTTTATTCAGTAGCACTTCCACATAATTCATAAATTCTTTCCATCTATCTAAATTCAATATCTCCTTTGAAGAGTACCTCTCCTGTAATCAATTCAGCAAAAATGCATCCTAAACTCCACATATCAATTTATGTATTATAATTAGTTTATCCAAATAATAATTCAGGTGCTCTATACCATAATGTCACTACTTTATAAGTATATTTTGGATTATTAACATTAGATAGTGTTCTAGCTAATCCAAAATCAGCCAATGTTACTTATCCTTTATTATTCATTAGAATATTGGCACATTTCAAATCTCGGTGTATTATTTTGCTTTCATGAAGATATTTAACACCCTCTAATAGTTATTTAAATATGCATTTTAATTGTGGTAGTGTAAAGATATTTCTTTATCTATGAAGACCAGCAAAATCATGATCATAATAATCAAATACTAAAAACGTTGATCCTCTGAAATTATTTCTAAAAGAAGCTTTGCTTACTATTATCTCTCTTAATCTTAAAATATTTTTATGATTCATAATTTTCAATAATTTGATCTCTCTAATAGCAGTAATTGGAAATCCTTCATAAATTCTTTATAAATATACCTTCTGCCATAATTTTTTAATCTTTTGTATCAATTTTTTTTAAAGCCACAAAATCATTTGTTTTTAGACATTTTGCTTTATAAACTTTACCATATGTGCCAGATCCTACTTCCCCTATCACTTTATAGTATTTATTAACATTTTTTGTTCTACAAGAAACTTGCATATTAGATATAAAATTAATTATCAATTTTATGGTAAACTTTCATTTCTAAAGTTTATTGAAAATTATAAAAATTATACTTCCAATTAAAGAAAAATGATATTCATTTCCTTTAAATTAAAGAAAAATGATATTCATTTCTTTAAATTAAAAAAAAATGATATTCATTTCCTTTAAATTAAAAAAAAATAATTAATACACTATTTTTTTAGATTCTTTATTATTATGTAATATTTAACTAATACTCTTAAGATGATATAAAATTTGTATAAAATAATTATCGAAATCAATTTATTTTAATTTATTTAGCTTTATTTAAGGAAAATAAAGTAGAATATAAGGTATTTAAATTTTACATAATAAATTATAATTAATTTTAAATTAAAAAAATTATGTTGACAGCGAGATTTGAACTCGCGCCCTTGCGGATTGGAGCCTAAATCCAACGCCTTAGACCAACTCGGCCACATCAACTTTGTTAATCATTATTCATATATTTTCCTAATGTAAGTAGAACAGTCTTCTTTTAATAAATATTTTTATTCAATATTTTGATTAAAAAAAAAAAAGCATACAAATTATTTAAAAGTTTAAAAAATCATTTTAGATCTTTAAAATTGGTTCTTTTTACTTATTAAAAGATTAAATATATATTTATAAAATGAATAATATAATATAGATTTTTATAGATGTAGATCATAAATAATTAATTTTACATCATTCTATAATCATTAGTAGAAATGTTATGTATAATTTCTTACATAGTCATCAGAATCTGATTCTTCAAAATCATCAACTACAAAATGAACTTTTCTTCCTTTTCTAATTTTTTTTTGATGCAAATTTTAAAATAACTTTGTCATTAAACCAGGAACTCTTGTTATTTCTTATTCTAAATTTGGATTTAATTTATGGATCTTATCAAAATCATCTATAAACATAGAATTAGTTTTCTCTAATAATAATTGAGATATTATATTCGAATGTTTCTCTACAAATAACAATATTTATAATATATTGCTACTATCTAACTTTGAAATAATATCTTCTTCACATTTTTATTTTAAGTCTGTAATAAGATATTCATCAGCAAGCAACATCAAATCACAAGTATCTTCGATCTCTTATGGGAACTGTTCTAATAATAACTCTAAAGTACTTCCTTCCAATACCCACAATATATCCATTATAACATGACTTTAAATAAATCAGGTTTCTTGTGTTCAACCTTAACTAATGTTTGATTACTCTCAATCATATTTGAAGAAAACATTCCATTAAACTTTGGTGATCTACAAGCTAGAATACATTTATGTAATGGAATTGGCTATTATTAACAAATCAAAATACACTTTCTTCATTAATCTAAAGTATAATGTCACTATGAGTCCCATGTGTGAATAAACCTTAAAAAGAAGTTTTTAAAGGGTTTTAAGCCATTTAAGAAAACTCTGTTGTATGAATCACTTTCACTAAACAAGATGTCATTATACTTGTTTCAGGCTTATATAATAATATTTAAAAGTACTCTTATATCTCTACCTAATGATTAAAATCTAAGCATCTTGTAATTTAAACCTGTAATCCCACAAAATTCAAGACTATATGATAAAAATGTTCTTGGTCTAATAATTGGAAGCTTTATTGAATTATTCTTTATCATTATCACTTGATTCTTTGAGATGTTCAAAAGATCTTCTCCAGCTTCAAATATTATATCTAATTAATCTGAACCTTTCTTTTTCAACATTTTTATTATTTCTTTTATAATATTAATTGAATTTGAAATATTGGTTTATAATTAATAAGAAAAGAAGATCTTTGAGGATTGATTTGTGATTTTTATAAACTATTATTATTTTTAAATAATAATGGAAATGAATTTAGATAAAATAACAAATATTTTGACGAAAAAAAAAGAAAATATTAAAAAACCCATTTTTAATACACACACATCATTCCTGTCTATTTTTGGTTTTTGTATTATTTAAAAAAATGAATGTTATCCAACAAATAAAGTTTTCAATATATCATGGGAATCTGTGATGATTCTAAGAATAAGATATAATTTACTTGATATTGTGAATAAGAATTTTAGTGATATTCATCGTTATTGTAATCTTGTTATATCAATATGTAAATTTACTTGTTTTAAATCCTTTCAATACATCTTATTATATTTTCTAGATGAAATCTGCCATTTTTTAGTTTTCCATAAGTAGTTTCTCTAAAAATTCTTCTTTGTTCTAAAAAGTTTATTTTAAATCAATGAAAATTGCGACTTTCTATTTTGTAGTTAGATTTCCATAAAATTCGTCTAAAGGCATACTTAAATTATAAGTATTTGATGTTTTATAATTCACTTTCTCTATAGCATAAGGTACTGTAATAAAAAACATATAACAAATAAAAATCATACATATTTTTAAAGAAGTTAGACTGCCATGTAATTTAACTTTTAACTCTCTTCCTTAAAATTTATATCCATTTAAAGTTTCAACTGCTAGAGTGGCTGTAAATTCATCATAATATTCAGCAGTGCATGAAAATTTAACTTCTCCTTCTCGTCTATATTGAATTAGATGATTTACTTAGGAGTCCATTCAACTAATGGGCCAATTGTTTAAAGAAGTTATTCAACTTCGTCATTTTTTGCTAAACTCTAAATATTGCTGACATGAATTTGATTTAATTTAGGTGGCATAATTTAATTATATAATTATGCAAGAATAAGGTATGTGTTGTGATGGAACTAGGTCTTTTGTAGCTACAACACTATAACCACCATAAGTGATATTTAGAAAAACAGTATCTATTGATGTGTGTATGAATTAATTGATATCAAGTAGTGAGTCCAGATTAGAAAGAATAGTACTTCAAAGAATCTAAATTAACAGTGTCATTTTCATCTCCTCGTAATTCAGGTTGTGAAAATTTTATCCCTGATGAAGAAGTAATTTCTTACTACATTCCAGAAGACAATCAATCGTTTACAAATTATAAACATGTTCGTTTCTCTGAATCATCAGATAAGTATTATAATAGATATTTAAACAGAACTGCAAATTTTCCCTAATAAAAATACAGGAGACAACGTTCAATACCAATACCTGAAAAAGTACAAGAGGATTTAATAGGAGAAACTTCATAACTTTCTCCAAATTTGAAGTCTCAAACTTATCCTAAAGATAGTTAATAAATGAAATAGCAAACTTATATGATGAATGAAACTGAAAACCAATTTAATTTCAATGCCTTATCTCTTTAAAATAGCTTTTGTTGCAAAACACTCTCATCATATGAGTAGATGGATCTAACAAATTAGATGGCAGATGAGTTAGTCAATATAGTTAAAAATTATTTAAATGATATAACATATAATGAAAAACATTTTACATTTGATGAATAAGAGGATGATTATAGAAATAAATTTAATTTTCAGTAAAAAGTCTTAAAAGTAATGTGTTATGATAAATGTAGAAAGCATTAGAAAATTTAAATTTTAAGATGAATGTAACAGTATGTTCTCCTATTTCGAGGATTTCAGCAACTTCTCCTCATTTTGAAGATATGCATATAAATGTAAAAGACTTATAAAATAAAATTGAAGAATTAAGTGATGCGAATGATCTTCTGAAAGATAAGATTGAAATATAGGAGACAAGATTACTGGAATAGTATGATTAAATAAAATAATTGCGAATAAAAATATTAGAGTTAGAACTTGAGAATAAGAGTATTAAATATTAAAATGAATAAGATCAAAATAATAAGAAGAGTTTAAATGAACAAATAAATTAATAAAGATAATAAATAGAAAATTAAATATAGACTTTAAAATGTTAATAAGATAAAATATAGTAATTAGAATAATTAGGAGGGAAATATAATAAAATAAGTAAGTAGGATACACAAAATTAAAATATGAGTTATAATTAATAGAAAACAGGAAGAAGACATACTAATTCATTTCATGAGGTTACTTCTTAATTGAATGGTAATAAGTTAATGATTGTTAACAGTAGTACAATTAGTTCTTAATAATCTCCTAAGAATATGTAAATATAGAATAATTAGAAAATTGAAAATTCTGATAATACAATTTATTTTGGATCTATTATAAAAGATAAGAAATAAGGATATGGTAATTTAAAGAAGGGTGATAAGAAACTTTATATGGGTAAGAATGAAATGGATAAATTTAGGTTTTTGGAAGGATGATAATTTCAATGGATTTGGTCATTTGAATAATGAAAATATTGAAGAAGGAATTATTGATGTGTTTAATTTAAATACGATAGGAAATAAGTGGATTAATTATTAAGGAGAATTTTAGGATGGATTATTTAATGGTTATGGTATATGGACATTTAGTGATAATTCTAGATTTCATGGTTAATTTTAAGAAGGAAAAGCTAATGGAAGAGGGTAACTTTATTTATTTTTCGAATTAGTACTTATTATACAAATCTTAATACAATCAAAGGACTTTGGAAATAAAATATTAAAATTTGATTCATAATTAATAATATCACATCTTTATAAATGTATGATAATTTTTATGACTTGTAGCAACATAACATTTCCAATCATCTTTTTTAAGAGCAAAACATTCTTCACAAAAATAGAATCCAAAGCAATTTTCACATTTATAAACACTTCCTGATTTTTCTAGTTCACATCCCTAACATTTATAGGTTTTTTTGGAAAAATTCTAGACTTCATAGATTGGTTCAAAACGGTGATCTGCTTTATGTCTTGGTCCATTCAATTCAGATTAAGTTCTTGAAAAGAAACAATTTTAACCTAGATAATAGAATATAAATACATAAACTAAAATTAGTACATTATTTGCAAATAAATTAAACACCTAATATAGGTTTTTAAAAACATCCATTACATTTTGCATCATGACATGGAATACCTTCAGCAAATGTAGGTAATTCAATAACTTTAAAATCATGATCTTTATGAGTTGAATCACCTGATTAAAGAAGATTATCAAAACATGCTTCACAACAATCATAGTTATCACATGTTATACATTCAAATCTTGGACCCCATATTGGATTTTAATCACATCCATTACATTAATGATATTGATGTAACACTTCTTCATCTGCTTTATTAGCCAAAAAAAATATTTCATTTTCATTAAATTCTCCTTCACTTATTTTTTTGTTATAACATTCTTAACATATATCAAAATTAGCTATTTTTTTTGATTTAAATCTACATATACCTGGTAATAATGCAATACTGCATATATTACAACTTATTTAAACTTACCATTTTTAATATGTTTCTCCTAATTAATTACCTATAGAAAACCATCCATGTCTAAGATTATTGTTTCTAGCAAATATTTCAACCTTTTTAGCTCCTGGCATCATTAATTCAATTATCTCATACATTTCAATAGGTTTCTATGATTTATTTCTCACTGGACTAAATATTATATTATTAGATATTTTAGAATGATATTCTACATGTTCACCTGGAGGACACTTATATCTATTAATCTAATAATATATTACCCAACTAAACAAATTTCAAAAGAATGCATAAAATAATATCCTGTTGAAAGATATACATTATTTCCTTAAGGATTTAATTTAACCCAAATAATTTGATCTACAATTTCATATCCCCATTTACTAGCCATTTCATATGCTATATTTAATTAAGTATTAAGAATCCATAAAAATAAGAAACCTTTTTTACTTAATTTTTCAATTTTAATATCCATTATTTCTTAATTACTCATAGTATTATAATCCAATGAGAATTTACTATTAGTAAACATAAATGATGAATCATTTTATTAACCTCCTTTAATTCTCCAAGGTGGATCCATTAAAACAACTAAAGAGAATATTAATAATTAATACCATCAAAACCACCAACTTTTTCAACTAAAAAGTCTAAATTAAAATATCTAATATCACAATTAATATAAGACTTAACTTCCCCTAATTTAGATAGAATTTCTTAATTTTCAATTCCTAATAATTTTAAATTTCTTTTTGTTTCGAAATCTGTCCCATCTTCTGTTAAAATACGAATTTATTCTTCTTCTGGTTTAATTTCTTCATCTTATTATTTAGCATCACTTATTTATGCAGTTGAATATTCTGGAATAGATAATTATTTAAGTTCAGCTGCAGATATAGGAATATCTTATAAGATATAATTTATATATTTGTACCTTAAAATATCTTAACATAAACATTTTTAAATAATTCTTTTACAAGATTTTCTTATTCACTTCCTGATGCTAAAATCTGTTTTTACTCATAAGATTTCTTAAATATTTTATTAACTCTTTTCAATATAAGTCTTCTTTTGTATTATTCTTCATCAGATGAATCCTCAATTTCTAAGCGTTTATGTGTTCTTTTAAACTTTTTAGACTTCTTGGCTTTTAATTTTGGATCAAAATCTGATGAGTTATCAGATTCAAAGACTAATTATTGACAGGATATTGTTTATTATTTGATCAAAGTAGGTTCTTAAACTTGCTGAACTTCTTCACGAGGTGGAGTTTATAGTTCAGCATTCTTCTTTTTATAACTATGCTTATTCTAAATGATTTTTTTATGTTAAATTTAAGGAATAGTTAAAAGTGCTAAGACTAAAAGAACTAAGAACCTGGACCGCCAGTTTGCTTACGTTCCCGCTTGTTATACACTAGATTATCAAGATTGATCTATTTTAATCCAGTCTTTTGTTTTTAGACATTTTTTTAACCATCCTAAACCACTTTAACATCACTACTCTTTTCTTGGTCAGTCATTAATTTTTTAATTTTTTTTTTTATTCAATCCTCAACTTAGAAAGCCATTACAAATATTTATAAATTAAATAATTGGAATCACAGACATTTTACTATCCTTTTATTATTTATAATGTCCTTCTCAAATATATCTATACATGTCAAATCTGATAGAAAATCATCCTATTTAGACACTAAATTAAATCATAAAAAATTTAACTCATACAAGCATACTAAAATAACAATATCACAATTATTCAATCTCGAACTTATTTCACAAATCCCATAAATATCAAACCTTATATTAATCAACTAATTCATACACTTTATTAGATTCAAATTCAGAGTATCTTATTAATACTCCAATTTCTAATAATTCCTCATCTACTATCTCTACTTCTCTTTCTCTCTCTATATCACCATTTCTCCTCTAACAGTATTATTTACATGTTCAATTAAAACTTTACAATTTCTAATCAACCTTTTATTACTTAAACTCAATTTTACATTTCTCTTCATAAATACTATTCATTATAAACACAATAGAACTCTATATAAAATACAAACAACTTTTTTATTATTCACTATAAATAACTCCATTCCATTAAATATCAAATGGATTAATTTGAACTTAAGTAATTTATATTAATATATTATAATTTATCAAATATTATATATTTATAGATTTGTCTCTCTCTATCTTAATAGTAACAATTAATAGACATCTCTAAATCTTATTACTCTTTTTCATTTAGAATATATGTTATTTGATTTTATTTATAAATTATTATATCTTGCTATCTTGTATCATATGAGAAGCTCTTTTTATATAAAATATTATATCATTCAATTTTCTTAAACTTTTTATTGCTATATTTCCTAATCATCTTAAAAATTAATTGATTTTTATTTTTCTTGTTCTAACAAAGGTTTAAAAAAAGGATGCTTTAATCCATCTTCAACTTTGATCCTTTATTTTGGATTTAAACAAAGCAATCTTGAAAGCAAATCTTCAGCATCACTATCAAATCCATCTATATTTATTATAGATTTCCATTAAACTGGTTTTGTTGCAACAACTGAAGGTAATTTAAGATCATATTCTTATAAATATAAATGTATTAATTTTACCAAACTGCTCACAAATCTATTTAACTTATTCTGAACCAAATAAACTTGCCAATTCTAATATAAAATTAACATAAAAAAAGTTTTTAGTTACAACAGGTTTATTAATCATACGTACATTACTAAATAAATTATATTTTTTAGTTAAAAATTGTAGGAATATTACTCCTACAGCCCACATATCCACTTCATAAGATTGGTCCTTCAATAATTATTTATTTATAAATACATAATAATGTAATATGCTCTCTAAAGGCATAAAACTTTCTGTACCAATTTTATTATTTCCAATTTGATCAATAGTTTTTTAGATTTCATTATAAAGATTAATTTTTCTTCTAATTTCTTATACTTCATCAGATTAAGGTTACTTAAATTTAATAGAGTGTTTATTTATACTTTCTTTGATAATTCTTTTTCTTTTTCAATCAATTTAGCAACAAATGATCTATCAATTTCACTTAGTCCATAATCAATTAGAATTCCTTTGCCTGTCTTTGGATTATAGAGAAAGTTTCCAGGTTTAACATCACGATGATAAATTCCATTTTATTTCAATACATTCAAGGCTTTTAGTAATTCATATAAATATCGTCTAATTTCCATCATATCAAAAGTAGCAAAGAAAGTCTAAATTATTATATGATTGATACGATGAATGGTTTGTATGTAAAATACTCAATAACTATATAAATTTTTTGATCTGTAAGAAATAAGTTTACCAATTATGGCATATTTTCTTTGCCATAAACTAATTTCAAAAATCCAATTTCAGCAAAAATAAGTTCTGGTGAGACAGTTGAAAAATTAACCTTAATAGCATATTTTTTATTTTTATCGATTTAACCTTGGTTAAGTCCAACCCTACAATGTAAAAATAATTTAGGTACGCTTTATAAACAACTCCATAACCTCCTCTACCCAGTTCTCTAACAACTTTATAGTTATTTTTGATGTAGACCTCTTCATCAATAGATTAATCCATATAATATCGATCATTTGAAGAAGGATTAACTTTAGCTTTTGTATTTTATGTTTTCTTATTATTTTTTTTCATTAATTATAGATTATATAATTCATAATTATTTATCAAATGAATTTATATCATCTGAATGAAGATGATAAAATCGCACTCTTGAATTTGGTTTGTTAATCATTGATGACTATCCAACATTTGTACTAGCCATTTATGATAATTTTGTAATCTCTAGATCTCTATCTTTTATAGCATTTTATAATTATTCAACAGCCTTCAATAAATATTTTATTTTTTCACTGTCATTAATCTTTTATGCAGATGAAAAACCTTATTAAAATTTAATAATATCATTTAATACCTGATGGTGATATTTAACTTAAAAGTATAGATTATGGTAATTAACTTGTATTTGATTATTATTGAGATAATTGTTACTACATTAATTGATTATTCTCTTTTAATAATCTATTTTCTCTACTTAATTATTCATTCTCTTTTAAAATATCTTCCTTCTCTTTTTGTAATTGTTAACATAAATCTAATTTATACTCAATCTATTTCTTCACTTCTTCATCAAATCTTATTATTGTTCCATTTTCCATTTATTATTTCAATTCAATCAATTCTCTATTTGCTGTTCTTAGTGATTCTTATAAAACATAATTTTATGCCTTTAATTCACTTACCTAATTACTTTTCTCAAACATACTCAATTATGCTTAATTCATTAAATTCTATTTATGAGTGTTAATTAAAATTTCTGCATTTTATAATTGTAATTAAAGTGTACTCACTTAATTCTTTAATTAATCTATTGTTGATTCATATGTCATTCTTTCAAATTTATACTATTCGTCATATTATAATTTGAATGATTCTATTTCTTATTTTATTTAATCCTAAATTAATATAACATTATTTAAAATACAGCATATTTTAATTATGCATCTTCTATTGTATAACTATGCATATCCCTTAATACATCAATTTGAGATTCTAATTCTTTTTTTTCTTCTAATTTTTAGTTCAATAAATTTGAATAATTGGTTCTTAAAATATTTAAATCTACTTTTAAATTCTCATAAGCAATTCGATATTCATCTAATTCCTTTATTTATTAATTTTGCTCCTCAAATAATTTTTATAGCTATTAATATTCATAAATATATTTTAATTTCTCTTCCTTTAAAACCTTTAATGCTTAATCCAAATGATAAGTTTATTACAAACTTTATTATAACTCTTCTGATTTAGCAATAAATTATTATTTTCCAGATTAAATAATCTGATCCTTTATATCAATCACTTAATTTATTTGTTCCAGTTCATTTAGAACCTTGTTTAAATTTTGAGTTAGTTCCTATTATATAACTTTGATTTTATACTTATTTTTATAGAGTCAACTTTTAAACCTGAAAGGCATACTCTTCTGATTCGATGCTTTTTTATTTTAATCTTTCACAAATATTATTAAACTCTTAATTGAGCTAATCATATAGATTAGAAATACAATTTAATTTGAATGTTCCATCTCAGTTAATTAATTTTACAAATCGAGATTATGTTCTTTAAGAACTTCCATTTCTTAAGAGGCTGTTCCTAATACATCTGTTAGCTTCTCTACTTCACTGGTGAGGATATTTACTCTACTATAACACATATTATGTATATCAGTTGAAAATGTATCATCCATTCTAGACACTTTAGTGTTTGGAGTTTAACTTAATTTCATACAGATATTAAATTATATATATTTTATATTCTTTTTAATTAATTAACTTGTGTCATTATTATTACTTGAGTGAATCTGATAGCTTTTATAACTCATCAATTTTTATCTCTATATGTTTTATTTCTTAATTCAACAGTACTATCCCACCTATTGCCTACAATAATATATGACTATTTTACAGCAAAAATAAAGAGTGAGGAAAATACCATAGATTTTAGATAAAAGTTGCTATAAGATCTAGGCACTCCAACTAAACTTTTAGTATTGTTGTACCAAATCAAATGTGACAAAGTACCTGCGAAATAAAATACAAACAAATATGGAGATAAATAGTACATTAAAGCACTATTACCTAAGAGGCATATTAATTAACTTGAACTGTATAATCCCAAATATTAAAAGGGTTTTCCAGAGACAAAATGACATCCCACTATTGCACCTACGATTCCTGCAAAACCAAAAATATATATATCATTCAATTAACAAAATGCATTTGTAAGTTGATGAGAAAAATATGGATTTTACATTTAGGCCATATCTAAACAAATTAATGGACCTATCAGATAGAAGCTTTACAAATAATTCTAACATTATTTACAGTTTCTTCTATAATCCTATTGGAAATCTATAGAAAGGCATTTTCCTTAAGGAATAATCAATTTCTTTTTCTTCTGATGTTTCTTCCTATTCTATTTAATTATCAATTAAGGGAGCTCTTCTTGCTTTTTGAATATTCTTTTCAAATTAAGTGCAAAATTTGAAGAATACTTTTTTTAATAACATTAGATTATTATTATAATAATAAATTAAATACAATATGTTATGTGTGTTCTGTAATAATAGTAATATCACATTAATTTTGATATAAATTTTATTGTGTTTAATTTTTATACAATTCTTAAGATAATAATAAAATTAAATGTTTCAACGTAAATCAGAGGTTGGAGAAGAGTAAGGAGAAACAGTAATAGCACTTTACTCTTAATAAACAAATATGAGTTACATTCCTCCTGTATATTTAAAAAATGGTCCAAATTAAAATAGATCTTGTACAAATGTATGTTGCTGCTTGTTGTTTTTGTTGTCTATAGGAGCTTTAGGATATTTTTATTTTTTGACTTACAGTAGTCAATAAATAGAGAGACTCTACACTCCAGTGGATTCTGAAGGAAGAGAATGTGGATAAGGAAATTTGAATAAGTTTCCGTTGATATATTTCGTAACACCAGAAGAGGTGAGATATTTAAATAATTGGTTTAGTAATATTTATATAGAACAGTTTGTGTTTAAAAGTGTCCAAAAAAAGAAGATAAGGAATTATTATGTGCAACAAATAAATTAATAAAAGACTGTCATAATAATCCAAGTCCATCTGATCCATTAAAACGAGTTTTAATATATGAATCTCATTCATATTCAGGAAATATCTGTCTGCCTGTAGATGATAAATACCAAAAAATAGTATAGCCAGCAATTTTAGTAGGTGAAATTTAATAAGCTTTAGTGAATACCAAAGCAAATTTACCAATCATAGCTATAAGTGGAGGAGCTGCCTTTTTATTGGCATTCTTTTTCACTATTATGATTGGATTATGTACTACACTAATTGTTTATGTATTCATATTAGTCTATATTTCTTTAACAGGATTTCTTAGTGCTTATTTTCTGTTATATTTTATGAGATCTCCTTTAGAGTATGTATTCTTTAAATCTTAATTAGTTTATTCCCTTATTTTGATAAAAGTATATATGCATGGAGTCCATATATGTTAGGAGCTTCAATAACATTTGGAGTATTGTGTATTTATGCAATATTTACATTATGTTGGAACTTAAGAAAGATGAAATTTATGATATCACTTGTTAAATTAGCAACTACTTTCTTATATAAAAACAAAACAATAATTATTGTTCCCATTGTGTTCTTTGCACTTGTAATGTCAACTCTATTGATATGGATTGCAAGTGCCTTGGCTGTACTATCTGAATAATAAAGAGACTATTCTTTAGATGAATAAATATATCCATTTGAAAAGATTTAACTCAAATTCGATACTATTATTAAATTGATGATTACTGTACTTGCTTTAATTTGGTTAATGCAATACATATTATCTTTGGCAAGATTCCTTAATGCTTCAACTGCAACTCTATGGTACTTTCATGCATCTTCCAATAAAGGATTTGTTTATGATAGTTTTAAATTAGCTGTGAGATATCATAATGGAAGTATAACAGCTGAAGCTATTTACAGTTTCTTTTTTAGTGGGATTGCTAAACTATTCAATCTAATTTATGTAAAATATTCAATTTAATCATTTATAGGATTCATTGAATCGATGTAGATTGAAGAGACATAATCTTATTTTAAATTGTTTTGCATCATTTTCATTATGTTTATGTTGTCTTTGTGAGAATTTCATTATGTACATTAACAATTATGCATTCGTTTATATTGTAATGACATCAGCAGATTACTTTGAATCAAGCAAGGCTGTTCATTTTACTATCAAAAGAAATAATTAAGATTTTGAGACTCTTTCTGGATTAGGGGAACAATTTACTCATTATAGTAAAATGTTCATATTTCTGGTTACTACCTTTGGAACATTTATTTATGTTAAAGAATAAACAGATTTTACACTTCAATTGTATACTTTTGTTATAATTGCATTTATCACATTGTCAATAGCCACATTATTTATGGATATGTTTGGACAAAGTGCAGATGCCTTAATTTTAGCATACTTTACTGATTGTGAAGTGTAGAAGTATCATTTTGGACTTGATGAGTGTGGTTCATGTCCTCCATAAATAAAGGATTAAGTATAAAATATAAGGGAAAAATAAAAGATTTACTATGGTTGAATAGATATTATTTAGAATCTAATTTAATTAATTTATCAAAAATATTATATATAATTAAAAGAATTAGAAATTAATAAATTTCAAAATTACATTCATTAAACTAAAATACAAAATATTGACACAAATTAATTTTAAATTAGAGATAGATGTTATAGTTTAACTTAATGATTTATTTGGTCTTTGTTTCTTTGGAATAAATTCAATATTTAAACTACTCTCTTCATCTTCAAAAATTAGTTAATCTAATAAACATATCATATTTCTAACTACTATATTAATTATAGCTCTCAAATTCAATATTCTCAAAAAGTTCACCTTTTTTAGAATTAGATATTGAGAAAATTGTGGCAAAAGAATTTTCAGAATATTCAATTAGAACATTAATATCTAATAACTTTTGTTCTAATTTTTAAGACTTCTTTCTTAGATTCTAATCTCTCTCTTTAAGTTAAATATTGTAATTGAGTTATTTCTTAATTATTATCTTGTATTTAATCTCTTTTATTTATACATCTATTATTTTTGAGTTAATATTAATAATTTAGATTGAACATATTGAATTCCAAAACATCTGTTATACTTCTGAATTAAAAATCTGAATTCAAAAAAAAAGTATATGAAATTAGGATTAACATGGAAATAATATTATTTTATAATTTATTATANTTATGATAGTTTTAAATTAGCTGTGAGATATCATAATGGAAGTATAACAGCTGAAGCTATTTACAGTTTCTTTTTTAGTGGGATTGCTAAACTATTCAATCTAATTTATGTAAAATATTCAATTTAATCATTTATAGGATTCATTGAATCGATGTAGATTGAAGAGACATAATCTTATTTTAAATTGTTTTGCATCATTTTCATTATGTTTATGTTGTCTTTGTGAGAATTTCATTATGTACATTAACAATTATGCATTCGTTTATATTGTAATGACATCAGCAGATTACTTTGAATCAAGCAAGGCTGTTCATTTTACTATCAAAAGAAATAATTAAGATTTTGAGACTCTTTCTGGATTAGGGGAACAATTTACTCATTATAGTAAAATGTTCATATTTCTGGTTACTACCTTTGGAACATTTATTTATGTTAAAGAATAAACAGATTTTACACTTCAATTGTATACTTTTGTTATAATTGCATTTATCACATTGTCAATAGCCACATTATTTATGGATATGTTTGGACAAAGTGCAGATGCCTTAATTTTAGCATACTTTACTGATTGTGAAGTGTAGAAGTATCATTTTGGACTTGATGAGTGTGGTTCATGTCCTCCATAAATAAAGGATTAAGTATAAAATATAAGGGAAAAATAAAAGATTTACTATGGTTGAATAGATATTATTTAGAATCTAATTTAATTAATTTATCAAAAATATTATATATAATTAAAAGAATTAGAAATTAATAAATTTCAAAATTACATTCATTAAACTAAAATACAAAATATTGACACAAATTAATTTTAAATTAGAGATAGATGTTATAGTTTAACTTAATGATTTATTTGGTCTTTGTTTCTTTGGAATAAATTCAATATTTAAACTACTCTCTTCATCTTCAAAAATTAGTTAATCTAATAAACATATCATATTTCTAACTACTATATTAATTATAGCTCTCAAATTCAATATTCTCAAAAAGTTCACCTTTTTTAGAATTAGATATTGAGAAAATTGTGGCAAAAGAATTTTCAGAATATTCAATTAGAACATTAATATCTAATAACTTTTGTTCTAATTTTTAAGACTTCTTTCTTAGATTCTAATCTCTCTCTTTAAGTTAAATATTGTAATTGAGTTATTTCTTAATTATTATCTTGTATTTAATCTCTTTTATTTATACATCTATTATTTTTGAGTTAATATTAATAATTTAGATTGAACATATTGAATTCCAAAACATCTGTTATACTTCTGAATTAAAAATCTGAATTCAAAAAAAAAGTATATGAAATTAGGATTAACATGGAAATAATATTATTTTATAATTTATTATATAATTATAATTGAATATTCATTCTATAACAATTGAATTAGGATTTACAGATCTATTAATTTGTTGTTCAGATTCATCAATTTCATTATCGATTTCTTTTCTTTAATTGCTTAATGTTTCTAATTGTAATATTCTATTTTTGGTAATTTTAGCATGTTCTGGTAAAATATGAAAATCTAGATATTTAGAAATGAGATCATCTAAAATATTTCCCATATGATCAAATGAAATTTCAGTGTATTTTTCTGATAAATTGTATTATCTAATAGTTTACAAGATAGTATATTATAAAGCATCAATTTACAATTTGAATAATTTAGCTTTACAAATGGGACATCTCCATTTTCTTGGATTAGACAATTCAAGCATCAATAAATAGTTTTCTAATGAGAAACATTAAATATGATTGCAATAGATTCCTCTAACAGGAGTAACCATTAATGTAGAACACAAACAACACAATAAAGAAATAGTTTATTTAATTTATTTAATACCTGTAGATGATATGTAATTCATCTAAAGTATAATAAAATCTTAAGCTTATTCTACACTCATCCAATTTTCACCACATGATATAATCTTTTCAATCAATTGTTTAGCTGAATATTGTTTAGTCTTATAAGCAGCAACATAATGTAATTATTCACCTAAAATTCTATATTTTCGTTTCTATTCCATACCTGGAATGGTTTCTTTTATCATTAATGAACATTCTTCATTTTATGGAATTGTACATATTAATTTCTCATCTTTACGTTTATGTTAACAACTCTATTAAGCCAAAGGAATAAATTCAGCTACTTTTTTATTATTTATATGTAATTCTCCTAAATCTGGCCATGTTATTTCTTCTGCTGATAATGGACAATCCATTCTAATACATCTAACATCTATCTTATTTGTATCTGATTTAAATTTAACAGTTTTTGTGCTTGTTAAACCAGTTTTCTTAAATGAAAATGGTTCTATTATTACTGATATTATTTCACAAAATTAATCCATATGATATAAAGTACATCTTGGACATGTAAAATTCTTAACATATCTTTCATCATAACTTTTATCTAAACAATTCACATGAAAATGTTTTTCACACAAATGACATTTTACTATCTATTTATAATGTAGTTAATTTCCACAAAAACAATAATCACAATTTGGTGTTTATGTTTATCTGTAATATTTCCTTTTTATTTTATTACATACTTCTTCCATATTTTATTTTTCAATCTCCATACCTTTTTATTATTCCATTTCTATTGAAGCATTTTAAATTTATGTACTCTCTTAACTTACTTATAATTCTTCCAATTCTTTCATCATTTTTACTTCTTTCTCAATTAATACCATTTCCTACAATTTTTCAATTTGTTATTCAAAATACAAATGTATTAACTCATTAATACTCTAAATTGGTTCATCTAATTATGGTTATTATCTCGCTATATGAGGATCTAATCGAAGAAGACTTTAAAAATATAATTATTAAACTGAACTAGGCTTTTAATCTTTAAACAATTTCTCAAAATAAAGCATTTATCCTATATCCTAGGTTACTCTATTAATTATTGTTGGAAGTGCTTATTTTAGCTATTTTTGAAATGCTTCTAACTCTTTTTGCAATTACTATATTTTCATTATTTTCATTAAAATATTTGGTCAAACTATTTTAAATAAATTTTATAAACCCAAATGTATGGAAATATTTGCCACATTTTTAGATATGTATAGATTCTTTAATTAATCACTGTGTACACATATTTTTGTATAATTAAATAGCATTCTAAAAAACACTTCAAATATATAAATTGTTTAATCTTTAAATAGTGTATTGCTTTTTGTTATCAAAAAGAATATAATTACTATTTTTATGCAATTGTCATATTCTATAAAAATAAGTGTTTCTTTATGAAGTATTCTTATTGTTGCTATTCTTATTATGCTAAATTAATTTAACAAATGATAGATGTATGTGAATGGATGTCTATTATTTCATTGATTTGATATTAATTTAATTAAAATTCTAACGATATATTATGTCTGAAGAGCTTGTGAGATTACAAACAATCGAGTTCAAGTAGGAAATAGAGAAGCGATTTGCAAAGAGTCGACATAATCATATTTATGTATTTGAGAGAGAAGGGAATGATTAATCAGATGATGATTCATTAGATTCTTTAAGAAATATTGGATTATACAATTTATGCAAACCTATTCGTAATAAATCAATGGAAACAGAACGTACAATGCCGAAGACAAGCAAAACATTATTAATACGGCTACTAAAACCTAAAAAACAACCATCAGTAAATGAAAATAGATCTAACAATACTTCACTTTATAAATCTAGATCTCAAAGTAAAAATGGAACAACAAGATTACGCACTGAGTATTATGTTTTATTTTTAATCAGAGGTTCAGTCCTTCGAGAATCAAAAAATGTTACCTTAATTTCTCCAAAAATTCCAAAAAGTCCTTTGTACATTCAAGTCGACAATTTGATTAAATCAGCAAAGAATTAAAACCTTTACAAACTTAATAATTACTCTATGGCTGTATGATTTATAATTTGATAATTAATGTCATTAAAAATTAACTAACCTACTCTTCTTTCTAAACTACATCCTATTAAAATTTAAAGTATTTTTTAATATAAGAATTACAATTTAAATAGAAGTAGCTTCTTCATTATCTTCAATTAAGTAATTTAAATTATGAAAAATTAACACTCCCTATATAAAAATATGGAGTTGCTGATCATAATGTAGATTTGGAACATAAAACTAAAGCACATATTTTTTTTTAATTTATGGAATTATCAAGTTAATAACAATTTTAATCAATTTAATAGCCTAAAACAGAAAGAGCTTAATATTAATTAAAAATCAAAAACTTTATCAANCACATATTTTTGTATAATTAAATAGCATTCTAAAAAACACTTCAAATATATAAATTGTTTAATCTTTAAATAGTGTATTGCTTTTTGTTATCAAAAAGAATATAATTACTATTTTTATGCAATTGTCATATTCTATAAAAATAAGTGTTTCTTTATGAAGTATTCTTATTGTTGCTATTCTTATTATGCTAAATTAATTTAACAAATGATAGATGTATGTGAATGGATGTCTATTATTTCATTGATTTGATATTAATTTAATTAAAATTCTAACGATATATTATGTCTGAAGAGCTTGTGAGATTACAAACAATCGAGTTCAAGTAGGAAATAGAGAAGCGATTTGCAAAGAGTCGACATAATCATATTTATGTATTTGAGAGAGAAGGGAATGATTAATCAGATGATGATTCATTAGATTCTTTAAGAAATATTGGATTATACAATTTATGCAAACCTATTCGTAATAAATCAATGGAAACAGAACGTACAATGCCGAAGACAAGCAAAACATTATTAATACGGCTACTAAAACCTAAAAAACAACCATCAGTAAATGAAAATAGATCTAACAATACTTCACTTTATAAATCTAGATCTCAAAGTAAAAATGGAACAACAAGATTACGCACTGAGTATTATGTTTTATTTTTAATCAGAGGTTCAGTCCTTCGAGAATCAAAAAATGTTACCTTAATTTCTCCAAAAATTCCAAAAAGTCCTTTGTACATTCAAGTCGACAATTTGATTAAATCAGCAAAGAATTAAAACCTTTACAAACTTAATAATTACTCTATGGCTGTATGATTTATAATTTGATAATTAATGTCATTAAAAATTAACTAACCTACTCTTCTTTCTAAACTACATCCTATTAAAATTTAAAGTATTTTTTAATATAAGAATTACAATTTAAATAGAAGTAGCTTCTTCATTATCTTCAATTAAGTAATTTAAATTATGAAAAATTAACACTCCCTATATAAAAATATGGAGTTGCTGATCATAATGTAGATTTGGAACATAAAACTAAAGCACATATTTTTTTTTAATTTATGGAATTATCAAGTTAATAACAATTTTAATCAATTTAATAGCCTAAAACAGAAAGAGCTTAATATTAATTAAAAATCAAAAACTTTATCAAACAGTATAAAAGAAAAAAATAGATTTTCTCCTAAATCTAATGTTATGTTCTAAATATTACTAAAAAGATAGGAATCTGATATTGAAGTTAAAATAATCCTATCAATAAAATCATTAAACAATTAAAACAAAAAAAATGAGTCCCATTAAGCTAACTATTTCATTTGAAATCATCTTTGCTAAAAGTTATGCAAATCTAAAATATTCGCAATAACTGTCGAATTCAATCAAATACTTTAATCCTTATTTAAAATAATTATTTATTTTTATGTATCGTGGAAATTACTTTTTTTCATATCAATAAATTTTGAACCTAATTCAATATATTTAATTTTGTATCTGTTTTTAATTATCAATATAATAATGCTTATTATATTATTTTCATTAGTTTAAATGAAAGAAATTTTATTTATAATTTAATCTCTTTTTAATCATATTTAAATTATATATAATTATAATTTGAATAAATAGTTAATATATTAATAATTATTTTCATTATTAAGAAGCATTTTCATCAATCTATTTAGCTGAAAGTCGAGGAGTTAATTGTTATATTTGTATTGCATAGCTTGATTAAGGAACTTGTAACTTATTTTAATTGTTTTATTGACACAATTACAATACTTTGTATTAAAGTTTTCCTACAGTTACTTATTCACCTGATATAGTTTTCTTTATTTCGCCTTATATTTCATCACTAACCTTAATGATAATATTGTCTTTCAAAGGAGTAGTTGTTATATGAGAGTAACTTTCAATATAAATGACTTCACCAACTGAAAACTATTCAAGATAAATACTATCTTACTTCTTCGTTTTATTTAATTTTTTCTATCATCATTTATAAAGATGTAAATTCTTAACAATGAAACCCCATAATACTTTCTAGAAATTCTTTATATTCTACAGGTTTGCTTTTGTATAGCAGTTTATGATCTTAAAAAAATGAACATTAATATGTTGGGGGATTTTTTCCAAGAAAGGAAGAAGTGTGCTTAACACCGAATAAATCTAAATTTTGAATAACAAAGATAACAAATTTCGATTATTTATTAATGGATGATAGAAAGTTGAGATTGCAATATCTGCTATTATTAAATTTATTCTTTGTAAGTTTGTTTAAAATCAAAAAGGTCTTCTAATCTTATTATTCAATCAATCGGTTAGCATGGTATTTTTACATTAAAACTACTTCACTTATTTATTTTCGAAACTCTTTTTCTTGCTTTTTGTTATCGTTATTCTAAGGTGAATTATTGATTTTTATTGCTTAAAAAGTATTTTATTCGTTGATTCTTTTTGCACCAAAATTAATTTTAGGTTATTCCTTTTTAGATAATAAATGTTATGATGCTGTTTTTGTTGGTTATGTGATTTTCAGTAGAAGATGCTAGTTTGCCTTCTATTGTTATAAAAAGGCTTGGTGATTATAAAATTTAGGAACAGTTTTAATTACAGGTTGTTTTTCTTTTGGCTTCTTCTGTAATTAGTTCTGTTATTTAGGATTCTAGAATCATAAATAGTTAAGGTTACTGAAAGTTGACAATTTTGAAAATCATAAAGAGGTTGTTTGACCTTTTCTGAATATATATCCTTCACCAAATAATTATTCTGTTTCATTAATAATTTAAATAGTATATTTTTTAATATTGTATAGATATACACACACCTACTCATAATTTGAAATTTTTGATTTCTTCAGAATTAACAACATTATATACAAGAATCTTTTTAGAGATTCAAGTTTTTTTCAGAAATACTTTTTTTTTTGATCTCATCTGATGATAAGTCTAGAATAATAAGTGAATTTACTCAGTTATTTATGAATACTTAATTCTGAAGATGTTTTGATAGAATTTTAGAGTTTGGCTTCATATTTGCTGATTAGATTGATATATTGATCAAATATCCTGGTAAATCTTTCAATACTAGACCAGTAATCAATTATCCATACACATATAGGTGATGTTTCTTTGGAGATTTGATTTCTTTTGATTTCAATTAATCGATCAAGAGGGATATCTGAGTCAGTGACAAAAGTTGGAGTTTGGAAAACAGGCTCACTTTGAATCAATTTGGTTAATGTGTCTAACTCTTTAAGTGATATAGCATTAAGATGTTAAACAGTAGCACTTGTTATGATATGCTTGGATACAGTAGAGGGTCGATATTGGAACTAAGTTGCTATTTGAGAAGACTCTTCTTTCCTGACCCAACTTAACGAATTACAATAGTGTCAGTAGGTTGACACTCATTCTGTAATAGAAGCTCTCTCCAAATATCATAGTACTTCTCATATGAAACCTTCAATGCATGGAACTCTGAAGTTGTATGCTAAAAACATCTTTATTAATGTTTTACTTATAATTGTTATTCCAGAATAAGAAGTTCCTATGCATCATTCATTTTGGACTAACTATATTACTCTAATAGCTGATTCAACTTGAGTATGCTTTCTTAAAGCATATATATAATTAATATATATTTTAATGTAATTGCCAATTCGTATCATTGATGGTCTTTACCTTGGAGATTAGGGTGCAGCCCATGTAAATGTGATCTAAAACATCAGGATTTAGAATTCTTGGTGACTAACAAAATTACTAAGATAATTAATTGTGCTGCCAAACACATTCCTAATCATTGGGAATCCATCGGCATTTAATATTTATCTTATTAATGGTTAGAAAGTGAAACACAATTTCAATTTGATTATACCAGATGTTTTACATTCATAAACGATGCACTTGAAGCACAAGAAGCTGTCTTAGTTCATTCTATTAGAGCTATTAATCGATCTGTTTTTGTCGTTGTTTTATTTTTAATGCGCAAGTATTTTATCTAAATCTTACTCCTAGATTTAAATGGACATTATCAAAAACATTATAATACATACATAATCTTAAGAATTAATTCGATATTAAACCAAATGTTTATCAATAATTACTTAATTATGAAAAGTGGTTTCATCTCACTAAATTAAGTAATAATTGGGATGTAGCTAATAATGATGATGAAACATTAGCAAGAAATACATATCTTAATAGTTAGCGAACATATTCAAACGAGCCTAAGAGGAAAAAAGAAATTTGTCTTAAAAAAGTTTAATGGAAAAAAAACTTAGTTTCTCAATTCATTCCACCATATTACTAGATGTAGAAATTTGTAAAATATTAAAATTAGAGAATTTAAAAAATTCAGTACACCATAACCTAAAATATAACATTCATAAATTCCTATAAAACTAAGAGTTTAGCTCTCTGATAATAATTGGATGAATAAAAAATACACTTTAAATTAAATTGTTGATGAACAATTATAAAAAAAGTTGAATCTATTTAGTATCAAATCAGATCGTCAACCAATCAAAAACATAGGAAGACCAGGTACAGCACCTTCAAAAAGATTGCTCAAAGGGAAAGTTGTAACATCATCTCATAGACTATTAGTTAAGTAATCATGATTAATAAATATAATAATTAATCTTCTATTCCATCTAAATAATAATCTTCTCCAAGATTATTTATATGAACAATCTTTTAACTTTAAAATAGATATATGAGAATATAAAGAATATAATTTTGATCTTAAATAATGACTTATTGATCATACTCATAAAGATGGGAAATCTTTGTCATCTAATTGAATTCCTTATTCCTAAAATAATTTAAATATTAATTATTACTTATTATCTTTATTAAGGTTTCTTTTCTTATCTATCATCTCCTTTTCTATATTTATCACCTCTTCTTTAATCTCTTGTGTTATTATCTCTATTTTATCTATCATTTTATTGTCTATCTTATCTATCACCTTGATATCCTCTATTTTCTCTAGGACCTCTATCTTATCTAGGTCCTCTATCTTATCTATCCCCTTTATCTTATCTCTCACGTCTTTCTTATCTATCACCTCTATCACCTCTTTCTTATCTTTCTCCTTTAACATCTTATTCTTAAGTTTAACTTTCTTATTATTATTATTATTATTATTATTCTTAAACTGTGTCTTATTTATCTTATTATCTTCTTTCTCCTCTTCTTTAATTCTTTCTTTCAGGTTCTTATACTTAATTTGTAAAACCTAAATATTCAGCAGCCTATGTATTCAATTCACTTCTATAAGTTTATTATTATCTTGTTTTTTTATTCTTTTATTCTTATTGTTTTTTTTCATCTTCCTTTGTTTTCATTACAAATAGTTTTTCTTTTTTTAATGCCTCTTCATCAATTTATTTGACTACTTAAGGTTTAGTTTCAGTCTACTTAAGAACATCTTCAACATTCTAAATATTATTAACAATATTACAGCTCCTCTTTATTAATAATAATCAGCAAGAGTCTTTTCAGGGGCAGGTGGTTAAACTGGTTATGTTGTCTAATCATTTGATTCTTCTTATGGTGTATCCTATGTTTTTTTCTCCTTTGCAACATATTTCTCTTCTTTGAGGTCATCTTTATAATTTCCCCAATTATTTCTGCCTCCACCTTCTTTTCTTTATTCTTTTCCTCTTCCAGTACCAGACTATCTATCCTTTGGATGTGGCTCAGAAGGAACACCTTTTTACTTAGGAGCGAGATTTTCATGTTTTGTATTCTCTTTTTGTACTTACTCAACTGGAATTATCTATTCCTTGTTATTATTATTTTTCTTAGACTTTTTTTATTATTATTATTATTCTGGCACTTCTTCTGTGTCAGAAAAGTTGAGAACGTTGAATAAATTATTGCTCATTAAAATTTGAAAAATTATTTAATGTTTTCACCTTAATTACCAAGAATTAAATTAATCGCTATATAATATATTTTTTAATACTATTATTTTTAAATATTAAAATATTATTAATATTTTACATTAATTCTTTATTTTCTAAATTCTCAAATTTATATAACTTCACAACTGCTAAATCTTTATCTAATTAAATATCCTAAGAATTAATCATTTTTACAAAATCCTATTTTCACTCTATTCGTTTAATTTATACTATATTACATAAATTTTAATACACAATCCTATCTAATCCCCTTATCTGATATCTAAATATAATTAAAAAAGTTAAAAAATTTTCTCCTACTATTTGATAAATTAATTTATGATATATTTTAAAAAGCACATGCATGTATAAGAAAGAAATTATATATTTTAGAATTGATTTCATTTAAACAAGATGAAATTTTAATAAAAGGAGATATTACTTTCATTTCAAATTATTTCAATAAGAATTAGTCAAACAAATTAAAATATTAGTTTAATTTTTAATCCAAAAATGAAGGTATTATTCATCCATGAAATCCTTTAAAATCGCCTTAATTAGTTAGTCAAAATCACTCTAATTTATTAGAAAGATAATAGTGATCTAAACATAGGCTGTAGGAAAGTTTTAAATTTAAAAAAAATTCAATGTATATGATTCTATTATATATAATTAATAAATAAAAGATTTTTTCATTATTAGTCTAAGATCATTTTAGTTATTTATAGTTAGTGATTATCCTTTGATTTGATTATATTTAATTATGATATTGTTTATTTAAATAATTAAATCATAATAATAAGTAAATATATTTTCATCATCTTATTAAAATAGAGATTTGAGAGAGATATCAAAGTAAAAAACTTTGGTATGTAAACTAAGAGAGAAGCAATTTATTTTAATTACAAAATTAATTTGTATTCTGTATTATTTTTGTTAAATATATATATCAAAATTACTCTAGATGGATGGTTAACATATTTAATTCATTGATCAGGGCAATATATTGTTTTAATAATGAAATTTGAATTTCTCTCATTTCATAATTGTTATATAAAATATTATACAGCATATTATGCATAAAAGATACGATGCAATATTAATGCAAAAAGAAAGCATGATTTGAAATTTTATTAAATATTATAGGCTCTTCTATTTGTATAAGATGGGTTGTTGTTAAAACAGGCTTTTGTTGGAATATTAAAAGAATGAGCTTCAAAAATATAAAGCAAAGAGAAATAAAATAAAATTGGAGCCCTTATGTATTTCTGTAATTGGTGATTCAGAAGGATTGGATATGATGGATGACTTATTGAAAATAAAATAGACTTCTTTAAAAGAAACATAATCTCAAATTAATTAAAAGATGCCTTCAGAATCAGTCATCATAGATTTAAGATCTGGGACATCTTTGGCAAGTCCATAAAGAGAAAAATCAAGTAAGAACCTTAATTAGAGGTTTCTTTAAATGTTATGATTATACTAATAATATAAAATATATGCTCAAATTAAATTAACAGAAACATATGAGTAGTAATCCAAAAAATTTTAGTGAGCATTAATAGCAAGGAAGTAAAGATTCCTATTCAAAAATACATACACCGATAAAGCGAAAATTATCTGAATACGTATTTTAGAAATAAAGCTCATATGCATAAATACACAAACCTGAAAGACAAAAACAAAAATCAACGCCTGATATTTTATAATTACTCAAGAAATATTAAAAATGTCATACTAATCAATCTTAACATCAACCTGCTAATTAAAAAGATATTGTGAACAATCAATAAATAAAAAAGCATAAAACAGTTTATAATAATGATGCATCACCTATTAGAGTTAGTTAAGAAGCATTACCTTTGAAAAACATTATAATTAACAGAAAAAGAACAAGTAACAGTGATAGAGACATTACACTTCTTAAGCTGCAAGAATTAAAAAAGAAAATTTAAGAAAAAGTTCCAAATCCTCTTGAAATTTTAGGACCAGAAACAAATCCTATTTCAAACAGAATTACATTTTAAGCATCACTCTAAACAGAAGAGTCTAAAATAATTTAAAAAACAATAGATACTCCTGGAACAGCTTAATTTATGTAATCTAATCGAGATGATAATATGTAAGAACCAAGGAATCCTTTTGAAAGAAGGAATTCTTAAGATGTATAAATTCTAGAAAATTAATTTACGCTTTAAAAAAATGTTGAATTATTTTTTGAAAAAAGAAAACCTTCTTGTTGTGAAGATAATTTTAAGCCTGTTTAAAAAACATAACAATATGGTAAACCCTACTTTGAATCTAATAAAGGCGAAGATATATAAAATACAAATTTTACAAATAGACTTGAATGTAGAAAAATTATGATTATATTGGATTAAGATAAAGAAAAAATATTAGAATAAATAGCCTTAAATCCTGTTGAAATTCATAATTCTCCAACTAGTAGTGTTTGGGATAAAGCATTAAAAATTGATAGATTAGATGAATAATTAGGAAAATAAAAAACAGAAGAATCTTTAAACATCAAATGCTAATAAATAAGATCAAAAAGAGGAAGTGTAAAAAATGAAAATACACCATATTGGAAATTGAGAGATTTGGAATTTAAGAAGAAAAAAAAATGATTTTTTATACATAAATTCTCATTATACCATTTTTAATTTAAAAATAATTCATCTTTAAAATTTAAAATATTCATAATTATGTTTAAGTTAATAATAGATTTTATAATGAGTTGAATTTCAAAAATTATATATAAATTTTCATTTCAATTTGAAGTGAGATTTTTTAAATTCTATAGCTGTTTACATAGGATTAATAATCTTATTATGAGAAGTAAAAGGACTACTATTTACTCCTCCTTTTGGACTTTTCTTAGAATTTATAATTGGTGGTAATTTTATTTTCTATTTTTAAGAACTCTAAAAATAAATAAAAGTATTCACATCTCTACTACTGTGACTTGAATTTAAACAAGAACTTGTAGGGATTTAAATTATTTTTGGTTTTTTAGGACTCTTTTATTTTGAAAATAAACGCTTAGTATTTGGTAAAACTATTGCTTTAATAACATTTTGACTATTTTATTTAACAAATTGTAGGAACACAATAAGTTTTTAAAACTAAAGTAGTAATTGTTACATACCTTAGTAAATATTGCTATTCCTTTATAAGCTTAAAAGATTTCTTTACTTGTCATTATCTATGTTTCTGATGATTGACAAGTAATCCATGGATGTAATAATGCTTACTCAGCAGTTATCCTTGCTTCTGGTTCAAAAGCAGCAGTTTTTTCAAAAAAAGAAATAGCAGCTCTTTCAAATTTAAAATTATACTTAGACATACCACTAAAATCTACTTTTTATGGTTGAAACATCTATTTGATATATTTTTCTTTATTTTAATTAGTCCAAAATGGATGACGGTTTTTTAGTAATTAATACTGGATTATGCCACAACTCCAAATATCAACAGATTTGAAATATTCTTTTTTCATTAGTATCTCTGGGGCCATATATATTAAAGTTCCACAATTTTAATGTGTAGTTATTTACTAGGTAGTCATGTAACTTAGACCAAAGTCTATCAAAGTGAGGTTCAGGTTCTTATCAACAATTATGTTATCTACTTGCAACAACCGATCTTACCTGGCTTTATATCTCGATGAATAATCCGATTGGAATGTAGATAACTCAATACATTAACCAATTAACGAATTAATGCTATGCATTCATTTTCAGAAAATCTGATATTGAAATCATCAATGTACTCTTAAAGGGTTTTACCATCAATGAATGACAATATAAAATAAAGTCTTCTTTTTGATTCAAAAGTTTTATAATATTGTACGATGTTAGGATGTTTCAATTAACTTAAAATTAAAGCTTCCTATTGTAACTTCTCTGTATTTCCTTTCATCTTTTCAACTATCTGTCTATGATCATGTTAAAATACATCACCTTAATAGCAAAAAATTCACCATCATGAAATACTTTAAATACACTACTGAACGCACCCTGTCCAAGAAATTGAATGATTCTATACTAAGCCAATAATTTTGCTATAAATTTTGGATTCTCATTCGAAACAAAAAGGTCATAAACTTAAGTATTCATAATATATATAATATGGTTTAAATATTAGTAATTTTTGCAATTTAATTTATATGATAATGTATTTTACTGTATTCCTAAGTCTAAAGATATTTCATTTTTTGTGATCAATATGTTAAAGATTTAGAATATCTAAAGTACTAAATTAAATCCTTTTTCGATAGTTCTGTAAAAGATTTTAAACAATACGTTATTCTGAAATCTATAAGGTATGAAGAATAAAAAAAATTACTATTTCTTTTTCTATATTTACCATTTTTATATCGATTAGAGTATACCAGAATTTAAGCTATAAAATTTAAAGAAGATAATCCTTATCAATATAAACAATATTTGAATGAGGCGGCTATTCGATTAGTGATCATTACCATTTTTTTAATCTTAAAGAAATAGGGGAGAGTTAATTTTAATATTCCTTTTTGAAGCTTATTTTCTATTTGCTTTCTTTTTAAATTAAATTAATATTCATTTCAAAGAATAAATAATGCTGAAAAATATATATTCATCAATCTTTGCAAATTTCATTATAGTCTATTTAAACTTAATATTGTTATTTCTAAATTTTTTAACTTTATTTTAACATTTAAATATGTTTTGTTGTTGCAATCCTTTGTATTTTTTTCAAATAATAAATATTATTTTATAACTTTAATAATTAATAGTCTAAAAATAAATGAAGTGAGAAATTTATCTGTTTAACAAAAAGATTGAAACATAATTTGAAATATAAATTAATAGCACTTTATTTATCTAGATTTATTATTCATATTTAGAATAATTTCATTATCATAATTGCCCAATAAATTAATAGAATTTACTCATTTCTGAAATTTGTGAGTCAGCAAATTGTTATACTTTTTGAAGTGATTTAAATACTTAGAACAATCCATAAATATAAACTATTATATGTAGTACAGTAAAATCTTTAGGGTATTTTAGGTTTAAATTAATTTAATCTTTGTTTTAAAAATTAAGGGTTTCCAGTAAAGGCATAATCAATATTTATTAGTCTTTAATAAATTTAAATCTATTAGGAAATTGTAAGTCAACAATAATTTTTTAAGAAACTTTGCAATATTTTTGAATAGAGTCTAAAGTCTTTGAATTTGAAATTTATTTTGAACTCTTTAAGTAATTGAAATTTTGGAATTTAAAATAAATAATAAAGGAAATGAATGATATTTAAGATGAATGATTAATACAAAGAATTGAATCTCAAAAAAAAACATCACAGAATAAGGATTATGTTTATATTTATAATATAAATCTATTAAAAACTAAATANTTTATATGATAATGTATTTTACTGTATTCCTAAGTCTAAAGATATTTCATTTTTTGTGATCAATATGTTAAAGATTTAGAATATCTAAAGTACTAAATTAAATCCTTTTTCGATAGTTCTGTAAAAGATTTTAAACAATACGTTATTCTGAAATCTATAAGGTATGAAGAATAAAAAAAATTACTATTTCTTTTTCTATATTTACCATTTTTATATCGATTAGAGTATACCAGAATTTAAGCTATAAAATTTAAAGAAGATAATCCTTATCAATATAAACAATATTTGAATGAGGCGGCTATTCGATTAGTGATCATTACCATTTTTTTAATCTTAAAGAAATAGGGGAGAGTTAATTTTAATATTCCTTTTTGAAGCTTATTTTCTATTTGCTTTCTTTTTAAATTAAATTAATATTCATTTCAAAGAATAAATAATGCTGAAAAATATATATTCATCAATCTTTGCAAATTTCATTATAGTCTATTTAAACTTAATATTGTTATTTCTAAATTTTTTAACTTTATTTTAACATTTAAATATGTTTTGTTGTTGCAATCCTTTGTATTTTTTTCAAATAATAAATATTATTTTATAACTTTAATAATTAATAGTCTAAAAATAAATGAAGTGAGAAATTTATCTGTTTAACAAAAAGATTGAAACATAATTTGAAATATAAATTAATAGCACTTTATTTATCTAGATTTATTATTCATATTTAGAATAATTTCATTATCATAATTGCCCAATAAATTAATAGAATTTACTCATTTCTGAAATTTGTGAGTCAGCAAATTGTTATACTTTTTGAAGTGATTTAAATACTTAGAACAATCCATAAATATAAACTATTATATGTAGTACAGTAAAATCTTTAGGGTATTTTAGGTTTAAATTAATTTAATCTTTGTTTTAAAAATTAAGGGTTTCCAGTAAAGGCATAATCAATATTTATTAGTCTTTAATAAATTTAAATCTATTAGGAAATTGTAAGTCAACAATAATTTTTTAAGAAACTTTGCAATATTTTTGAATAGAGTCTAAAGTCTTTGAATTTGAAATTTATTTTGAACTCTTTAAGTAATTGAAATTTTGGAATTTAAAATAAATAATAAAGGAAATGAATGATATTTAAGATGAATGATTAATACAAAGAATTGAATCTCAAAAAAAAACATCACAGAATAAGGATTATGTTTATATTTATAATATAAATCTATTAAAAACTAAATATAAGTGATTATTGCTTGGTGATACGTAAAATAAATTTTTAATTATGATAAGATTCAGTTCTAGATTCAGATTTGGAGCAAGAGCAAACCCATTTATAAAGGCTTAGAAAACATTGAAGGTAGATGGAAAGGAGTATAAATACTTTAGTTTACCAGCATTAGGTGATTAAAAATTAAGTAAGTTTTGTGATGTATATTGGATAGATTATTTACCATATTCAATAAGAGTATTATTGGAATCAGCAGTGCGTAATTGTGATGAGTTTGCAGTTACTCAAATTGATGTTTAAAATATCTTGAATTGGGAGAGAACTGCTCCAAAATAGATAGAAATTCCATTTAAACCAGCACGTGTCATATTGTAAGATTTTACAGGTGTACCAGCAGTGGTAGATTTGGCAGCAATGAGAGATGCAATGAAGAGATTAGGTGGAGATCCATAAAAGATAAATCCATTGTGTCCAGTTGACTTAGTGATTGATCATTCAGTTTAAGCAGATGTATCAAGAGTACCAAGAGCCTATGAAGAGAATGAAAAGATAGAGTTTAGTCGTAATTATGAGCGTTTTGAATTCTTGAAATGGGGATCAACAGCCTTCAAGAATTTTTTAATTGTTCCTCCAGGTTCAGGTATAGTTCATTAAGTAAATTTGGAATACTTGGCTCGTGTAGTAATGGAAGAATAAGGATATTTATTTCCAGATTCAGTTGTAGGAACAGATTCTCATACAACAATGATTAATGGTTTGGGAGTAACAGGATGGGGAGTTGGAGGAATAGAAGCAGAGGCTGTTATGCTTGGATAAACTATATCAATGGTTTTACCAGAAGTTGTAGGATTTAGATTACATGGAGAATTACCATCTAATGTCACAGCAACTGATTTAGTACTTACCTGCACATAAATGTTAAGAAAGAGAGGAGTTGTAGGTAAATTTGTTGAATTCTTTGGACCTGGAGTTGAAACACTATCACTTGCTGATAGAGCTACTATTGCTAATATGGCTCCAGAATATGGTGCTACTATGGGATATTTCCCTATTGATAAAAAAACTATTGATTACTTAAATTTAACAGGTAGACCAGAAAGCAAAGTTAAATAAATTGAATCTTATCTTAGAGAATAAGGATTATTTAGAGATTATAAAAGTGGAAATGATCCTCATTTCTCTGGGGAAGTCTTAGAGTTAGATCTTGCATCTGTCTAACCATCACTTTCAGGACCTAAAAGACCACATGATAGAGTACCATTAGCTGAAATGAAAAAAGATTGGACTTCTTGTCTTAATAATAAGGTTGGATTCAAAGGATTTGGTATTTCTGAAGAAAAATAAGCTGATGTTGCTGAATTCACTTATTAAGGATAAAAATATTCTCTTTCTCATGGAAGTGTTGTTATCGCTGCTATTACTTCATGCACTAATACAAGCAATCCAGAAAGTATGATTGGAGCTGGTCTTTTGGCTAAAAATGCTGTTGAAAAAGGATTGAAAGTTAGACCTTATATTAAAACTACACTCTCTCCTGGTTCTAATGTTGTAACTAAATATTTTGAAGAATCTGGTGTCAATAAATATCTTGATTAATTAGGATTTACTACTGCTGGTTATGGTTGTATGACTTGTATTGGAAATACTGGTGAATTAGATAATGAAGTTGCTGATGCTATCAAAAATAAAGATTTAGTTGCTGCAGCTGTTCTCTCAGGAAATCGTAATTTTGAAGCCAGAATTCATTAATAAGTTAGAGCTAATTATCTTGCATCTCCACCATTGGTTGTTGCTTATGCTTTAGCTGGTACTGTTAATATTGATTTCGATACAACACCAATTGGTACTGATAGCAATGGAAAAGCAGTATTTTTGAAAGACATTTGGCCAACCAGAGAATAATGTAGTAAGGCAGTTGAATAAGCACTAAAACCATAAATGTTTAGAGATATTTATTCAAAAATTGCATAAGGAACAGAAAGATGGAATTAATTAAAAGTAAATAAGACTGATCTTTATTAATGGAAACCTGAATCAACTTACATTCATAATCCACCATTTTTCTAAACAACTGATTTGGATCCAAAACCAGTTTAAGCAATTTAGAATGCTTATTGTCTTTTGAATTTAGGTGATTTTATTACAACAGATCACATTTCCCCAGCTGGTTCAATATCAGAAAACTCTCCTGCTGGTCGTTATCTTAAAAGCAAAGGTGTTACTAAAAAAGATTTTAACACTTATGGTGCAAGAAGAGGAAATGATGAAATTATGGCTAGAGGTACTTTTGCTAATACTCGTATAATTAACAAATTGGTTAATAAAGTTGGTCCATAAACTGTCTATGTTCCAACTGGAGAGGTTATGGATGTCTTTGATGCAGCTGATAAACATAAGAAAGAAGGAAATTAAACTATTATTTTAGCTGGTTAAGAATACGGTTCAGGAAGTAGTAGAGATTGGGCAGCAAAGTAATATAATTTATTTTAATTTCTTAGAGGACCATATTTATAAGGTGTTAAATGTGTCATTGCTTAATCATTTGAAAGAATCCATAGATCCAATTTAGTTGGAATGGGCATCTTACCACTTGAATTCTTAAAAGGAGAAAGTGCTGATACTCTTGGATTAACTGGAAAAGAGCAATTCACAATCAATGTCAATAAAGATAATTTAACTGTTGGTTAAACCTATACTGTTCAAACAAGTAAAATTAATATATCTATATCTTTTTAGCAACTGGCAAGAAATTTTAAGCCAAATCAAGATTAGATACAGAGGTTGAAATTGAATATTACACACATGGAGGAATCTTATAATATGTGTTAAGAAAACTCCTCAAAGCATGATATATATATGCATTCAAATAATATAAATTACATTCTCAAAATGTTTTCAAATTCAATAGATTTGAAACTCCATTTCCAGTTGGAATCCATGTGATATTTGGGCTTTTAGCTAATGTTTCAGCAATATGTTTGGCAGTCTCTAATTTCTTGATTTCAATCTAAGCTATTGAATATGTCAGAATGAATACCTGTTCCATAAGCCTTTACAGCATCATTAATTAATCTTGCTGCTTCTGATTCTCCTTCAGATAAAATAACTTTAGCATTCTTTTCTTCTTCATCTCTCAAGACTATAAACTTTTATCTTTCAGCCAATTACTATGCCACTTATTTGGCTTCAATAGCTTAAGCATATTCTTTCATGAATCCCAAATGAGTGATAGATACATCTTCTAATACAATTTTGAATTCCTTTGCCCTCTCAATCAAACCTTCCTTAATTTCTTAAGATATCTTTTCTCTCATTTTGATTAATTAATCTGCATCATATTATGCCACAACTGCTTTTAAAACTTCATTAGCAATGGATGGAAGAATCTTTTCTTCATAATTTAAACCAATTGTTCTAAGAAAAATATAAACAGTTATTCTACTTATAAATTTCAGGTAAATATTATTCAATTGGTTTATGAAGCATTCTGATAGCAATATCAACTGTTTACAAGTCTTTTGTACCAGTGTGAGATGCTACAGTTTTTGGTTAAAGTCGTACTTCAGCCACTATTGGTGACTAGATATGATTATGCTATTTTATACTTAAATGACTGGAATAAAAAAATGCATTCCTTCTCCATAGATAGATTCTTTGACTCCTTAAAATCTATCAAAAATTAATCCTCTTTATCCACCATCTACTGTATAGAAAAAGGACTTGAATAACAATCCACCTCCTACAAGTAAGGATCCTGCTGTTAATATGAGATTTGCAGCTCTTTCCATTTTTAATTATTAATTATGGAGAAAAATTAATTTCAATATTTAAGAAAGCAATTGATAATTGTATAATGGTTATGATCATTTAAATTATTTATTATAAGTATTGATTTTCATTTAAAATTAATCACTTTGAAAAAGAAAAGAAATAACAATTTATTATCATCCAAATTGCTTATTAATAATTTAATATATGGATTAAACTAAAGTGAAGAAATCAGTAGGATTCGAATATGGGATTAATTCCGCAACTTTATAGAGCTACAAAACATTAGGGATTTAATGTTCCTACTCCTATTTAAAGAAAAGTATAATAATTCATTTATATTATATAGGCAATACCATAAATTTTGGCAAGACATGATATAGTGGCTTGTTCAAAAACAGCAGCTTTTCTAATTCCTATGATAAATAAGCTTCAAAATCATAGTACTGTAGGGGGTATAAGAGGATTGATTTTACTTCCAACAAGAGAATTTGCCTTATAAATAGCATCAGTTTTAAAATACTTATGCAAATTTACAGATTTACAATATTCTATAATGGTTGGAGGTCATGGTTTAGAAGGGTAATTTGAGAGTTTGTCAGCTAATCCTGATATTTTAAAATGTACACCTGGTAGAGTATTGTTACATTTATTGTATTTATAGGAAGATAGATTAAAATTATCTAGAGTTTAAATGGTAATTTATGATGAAGCTGATTTCCTGTTTGAAATGGGTTTAGCTGATCAATTTAAATAAATCTTAACTCATCTTTCTTCATAAAAGCAGACATTAATGTTTTCTGCTACAATTCCAGAATAATTGAGTATATTTGTTTCTGTTGGTTTAAAAGATTATATATTTTGTAAATTAGATAAGGAATATTAATTACCTGATTCTCTGTAATTGCATTTTATGTCGATAGCAAATGAAAATAAAGTGCTCTAATATATTTGATAAAACAACTTGAAGATACTTGTTTAATATTTGCATCAACTCAATTTTTGGTGAATATGTTATCATATGCATAACAAAATTTCATATATCATCAGTTCATGTTTATGGTAAGATGGATCAATTGGATCGAAAAGAATAATTAGATAACTTCAAAAAGAATCAAGGAAAAGTCCTTATTGTAACTGATTTAGCCAGCAGAGGTATAGATCTTCCATTTTTTGCCAATGTAATACATTATGATTATCCTTCTAATCCTAAAATATTTATACATATTATGGTTGTACAGCAAGAGCAAGTAAATTAGGATATGTATATGCTTTGATTTCATCAGAGGAAATTCTATACATTTAAGAAACTATGATTTATGTTGGTAGGAAATTAGTAAATGATGGGGATTTTACTGATCCTAGTTTGCCATTTTTATTGCAATATTCCAATAGAGTTGTTGATGTAAAATCAAGAGAAGTTGAATGATTTGAATGATTTGAATGATGATATAGAGTTTTAGAATTATAAGGACATAGCTACAAGAGCAAATTAGAAATTTAGTAAAACAAAAGGTTCAGCAAAAAGTTTATTAATATTAGTTTAGTGTATCCATTATTTAAGGATAAAATATAGATTGAGGAAGATACAAAAGGATATGCTAAATTAAATAAAAAATTTCAAATCTAGTTAGAGTGTGATATAGATAAAGAAATTTGAATATAATTCAAAATTAGATCCTTTTATGAAAACTGTATCTCATTTGAAAGATGTACAAAAAAGAAATCCTATTCCAAAGATAGAATTGAAAGAACAACCAAAATCATTGAATATAGAAAATTTTATGGATTAAAAATTTTTTATTCCAATATAAAGGGATCCAACAAAAAAATCTGAATTTGAAGATTTACATAAGATAACAGTAGAGAATATAAATCTAACTGTAATATCAGATGAGACAGATGCATTAAGAAAGAGAAAAATAGATGGTTTGTGATAAAAAGAAGAAGTAGTATGTAAATTAGAAAGGGAATCAATAGCAAGATAAAGAAGATGATGGTATGAAAGTAAAGTAGAGAAAGGGAAATAAAATTTTAAGAAATGGTAGAAATAAACAAGCATTTAATGATAGAATGTTGGAGAGGAAGAAGTAAAGATTTGGTCTGGATCGAGAAACAGTATCTTGAGCAAAAGAGCTTTTTAAGAGGAGATAAATGAGAGGGAAAGAGTATTACTTTAATAAGGAAAAAGGATGTTAATAAAGAAATGGAGTAAGATAAGAGATAAGGGGACCAAAGTAATTATTGAAAGTAATGATTTAGTATAATAAACATGTTAGTCTAAAAAGATAAAAAAGAGTTTAAAATTGAAGAATATGGAGAAAGGTAAACGTAGATAGATCGAGAGGAAGCATAGAAAGAATAAATTGTGATTAATAAATATATTTTATTATTATGGACGGAAAGAAGGTTTTGGTAGCAGATGATGAGCCCTTTGCTCAAAATCTATTAAAAATGCTTTATGGAGCTCTAAAAGTGGAATGTGTAGTAGTATCTAATGGAAAAGAAGCACTAGAAGCCTATTAAAAGACACCAAATTTTGCTCATGTTTTAATGGATATTCATATGCCGGTTATGGATGGATATGATGTAAAAGATTAATATATATATAATTAGTCTACTAAACAAATTAGAGCTCATGAGAAGGCTAAAGGGTTACCTAAATGCAAGATATTAGGATTAAGTGGGGGTAAGAATAGATCATGATTAATTAAATTTCAGATGGTGATCCTAAGACTAAGACAGCTTGTTTAACTGCAGGAATGGATGATCTTTTAGTAAAACCAATCAAGAAAGAATAATTATCATAGTATTTGTGATTTACACAACTTATTATTTATTGATTTCTGCAGCATTTAATATTTAAAATAGAAATCACTATAATAAAATAGAAAGAAAACAATATTATAATTGCTAATATTGGAATCAATTATCATAATCACCAAAATGGACACCATCCCAAATAAGCTTATGCTATGTTTTCATGATTAGTTGCTTAAAGTATAAGTTAATTCACCTGACTTTCAGTTGACAACACTTCATGTTCTTTAAAATCTCTCCCTTATAATTTTTTCTTAATTCTTTCTATTACTTCTAAACCCTTTTGATTTTATAAATCATCTGGAATTTCTCTTTCTTCATCTGCAAATTCAAAATAAATCTCTTTCTCTCTTGCACTTTCTTTCCTCTTCAAATTCTATTGTTATTTTCCATCATCTATTATACTCCCTCTTCTTTTTGCCTCAGGAATAGCTTAAATTAAGCTCTTTCCTTAATTCATCTCTTTATCATTCAATTAATTGATCATCTATTATGGAATCTATTTATGTAAATCAACATTCCTTGCTTCTTTCTTGGGTTTATGATCTTAAGCATTCAAAAGTCTCCATGTAAGTAAAGGGTCATAAACAAATGAATCTAATACAGCTAATAATGATCTAAATATCATATATTATTATTATACTCTTTATTTTCTCTAAGTACTCTCATTACTACATTACAAGTATGTCTATATACTCCCTCTATACCACAGGCTTCCATAGCCTTTACTAACATTCTTGTTAATCTAAATGGTACTCTCTCTGGATATTTCTCTCTTTTCATTGCCACCTCTATTTTATAATTACTATCAATTATTACCAAAACAATCTCCAAAATCTATATGTACGATTTTACCAGTTAATCTTTATAACATAAAATTTGATGGATGTCTATCACCTAATCCTAAAATATATCCTACCATTGACATAGTTGCTAGTGATCGAGTATAGTTTATTCTTCTTTCAAGCCAAACTTCAGAATTTGGTGATTTTATCCACAAAACCTTTTACAAATCTTCACCTCTTGTATTTTCTAAAATATGTCTATAAATCTCCACTTTGTTAGGTAATGGTAAATTCTGATATTAAGGACAAAATTATTCCATCAGAGTGCTCTCTGCATTAGGTCTTATAGCATATTTATCTCGATATTCTCTTACTAATTATTATAACGTATCACAATTCTGTACCCATCCTAATAAACCAGTATTATGAGAGAGAGGTATAACTGAATAACGAGTAATTGTTAGATCCTTTCTTTCTGTCTCTGTATCATTTGTTAGTAAACGATTTACGAGTGAAAATAATTACATCACTCTTTCATCTTACCTTAAGTCTTCATGTCCTTTTAATAAGAAATGATATTCTTTGGAATCGTTTCCAAACATTTTCACTTATCTTGGATGCTACTTACTTGATAAAACATCTAATCTAGGAGCAAATCCATTAATAGTAATAAGTTATTTATTTGGTTTATATAACCCAGGAATGCTAATTTCACAATTTTAAGTAGCTAATAATTTAGGAGAGACATTCTCTAAGTGAACTTTTTTCATTTTTTCTAAACTCTTTTAAACTTTATGATAGATTCTAGTATAGATATCAAAAGCAACACATAAACAAACTTAATCTTCAGTTCTCAAATATCTCTGTAACCATGCTTCAGCTTCGAAAATTTCTTATCCATAAGTTTAATGAAATGAGATTTCACTTAAACTCTCTAATTTAACTCTCATATTATCATGTAAACCTCTTAAAATTCTCTCAACATGAGTTTTGTTTTTATCTTAAGAAAATGATGTCCAAGCCTCTTAAATACCTTCTCTCCATGCTTCTTTCAGTAAAATAGCAGTTCTATTAAGTTCTTCACTAATAATTAAAGCTTCATTGACAAGTATTGGAGAATGTTTTTTCATATCATCCAGAATCTTTAAAACTTAAAGTCTTTTGATTTGATTTTTAGATTTACAAGCAACTGTTAATGGATAGATAAGAGCCTAAGGATGAATTCGACTGATATGAATTAATAAATCTTGTAATAACTATTGAATAATGGGATTTTGAATTTAGATTCTGGCTAGAATTTATGGAATAACATCAATCCAAGCAATAACATCTATTTATTTATAATTCTATCTAAATTCATCAGAAATAGTAGCTTCCATTCCATATTTAAAAATCAGAGATAACAGACGTAGAGTATCTTATAAAATATATCTTCCTTTTTTAATATCTCTACTTCCTAAAGATATTGATTTAAGGAATCCTTTAACAGCAGCAAAGACATGTGCATTCATAGATTATCTATTTTCTTATTACTCAATTACTTCGAAATTACATAATCCATAATAATGCCATGCCTTTGCATATGTAGAATTATACTGTAAAGATTCATCGAATTATTTGGTTATTTATTCTAAATCATTAGGAGATTCTGCTCTTTCATAAGCCCATTTTCCTAGAGTAAAAAAAGTCTTAGCTTTTAATTTAGAATCAATTGAGCTAATCTATTCTTAATTAGTGAAATACTCTCTAACCTAATCTAGAATTTATATTTCATGTTTAGCATGCACATATTCAAATTGCATATTAAAAATATGAAGTGTAACAGGTAAAGTAGCTTATCCTTAATTTTGAAACTATTCTTTGAGTATTTCAATTGTGGATTTACATAATACCATTTTTTATCTTTTCAAACATAACTTTGCAAATTTAATCCAAATGTCAAGATCATGTACTTTAGGTAAATACAATTATCTAGTGGAAAGTAAACGATACCAGACATCAATATCTTTAGGAGCTCCACTTAATCTATCATGCCAAATATCTTTTAATTTCTTTTTACGAATTTCTAATTCATCCTATAATTTAATATAAGAATATTCTCCAACATTTTCTTGAGCTGCTTTTTATACTTTATATTCAAATAGTTTGATTTCTATAATTTCTTCCATTTCAACTAATTATTACAACTTTAAGACTCCATCTTAAGCTCTATCATAGGATTCCTATAATAATCCTGTGACTAAACCATCTAATTTTTCTCTACTTTTTCTTACTTATACTTTAGCTTCTTCTAATTATCCTTTAGATATACAAACAGCAGCTTTCCAAAATGGTTTATCTAATTCTTCAGCATTAACCTATTCATTATAAGTAGCCAATTTATCCCATTATCCTAAATGCATAGCAGCATTAGCAGCAAGATGAGCAATTTCTTTTTATTTAGCATCTTCGTTATTATTTTAAAAGATATCATCAGCTTAACCAATTAAAGTTTACCATTACATTAATGCATTCAAACATCTCATCTTTGGAACTAACAATTTTTTAATTAAATCATTTCTTTAATCGTTTTCATATTTCAATTGCTATTATCTATATTCTTACAAAGCTTCATCCCATTTCTTTAAGCGTTCATAATCTGTATTTTAGACTTATATTTTTAATGATTATTTTGCATAAGTCAACAAACCATTAGCAGATTCTTACAATCCTAAATTAGTGTATAAAGATATTAAAGATTGAATAGCTTTGGAACTAGCAGTCTCAAATTCATGTTCTCTATAATAAAGTGCTTTAGCATAAGCCATACATTTTTCAGCTAATTCTCCTAAAGAACTTATATCAATCTATAATCCTTCTTTATCATGTTACATAAATTCTGCCAAATTTAAAATTGTTTAAGAAATCTAAAGAGGAATATTATCTGCTTTTATTACTCTGACTAAATGTTAAACCATCTATTCTTTATGTTTATCATTCAAAAAATACCAAGCTGAATCAAATGCTATATTAAATAATTCATATGCTAATGTTTAATACATTTCTGCTATTGATGAACAAGGACTCAATACTAAAAATGGAGATAACTTTAATAATTCAACACTTGTATTACGCATCCATTCCTACCATTCTTCTTTTAATTTTCTTTATTCTGTATCAAATTTAGCTACTAATTCATCAGGTTCAATCTTTTTATACATAGGAGCATTTGGTTCTGTTGTATAATAAGAAGTAATCTATGAAGGAAACAATTACTCTATTGCTTTACAATCTTCATCTAAAAGATTATTTAAATCTTCCAAATTTCCATACATTAAAAATATTTCAACCAATTTTTGATATTATTGATGATGTATCTTATATTTCTGTACTTGTAAATGAATCATAGGTAAATATACAAGCATTAAATTCTTATGTTATAAGATTAAATTCACTATACAATTTAGTACTGTTTAATGCATTTCTAATTGTTATTATGTTTTTGCACTCAATTCAACCAAATTTAATAAAGAATTCACAATCAAGGATAAATATTAAACTGTTGTTGGACATTTCCTTGATAAAGATACAAATAAATTTATTATATCTTTTCTTACTTCCAATAAAACACTTGAAACTTCTTTGCTTAATAATTTACACATAAATGGAATAAACATATGTAACTAAGAATCTAACAAACTCTCTAATAATATGTAAATCTTTATTCCTTTTCGAACTAAATCTTTCTCTTCTTCAAATTAGCTTATTTCTTAATTTATTAATCTAACTAAAGGTTCCACTTTATGTCTCAAATGCTATTTACTACTCTTTATTAATGTTTCCATGATTTCTAATCCTATCAAAACTAATTTCGATGACTCTTATCCCTAACAAAAAAGCATCACACAAGCAATCACTTGATCTATATATTGAGGATTAAATTATATTCCACATAAATGAATTACTTTTTATAAAGATGTCAAAACCTTCTCTCTCATTTCTTCATTCCTTTATAATAAACGAGCAAATACAGGAATCAAATAATTCAAATAACTTGCTGTCTTTGCTTTCAATGTTCCTATTATCCACATTATTGTCTCTAATGCTAATTCATGATTATTTGATAATGATGGATCTAAAAGAATTTATAATAGAGTCTTCAATGTTACTTTTGAATAATAATCAATATCATTTAATTGAATCACTGGAACTTATTAAAATAATTCTTCAATATCTAAAGAATTTATAGCTTAATGATAATGAGATTAAGTATCTAATGTTGTTGATTTAGGTATCAAAATGTTATTGTTTTGATAAAGTAATGTATCTTAATCAGTTTACATTTTCAACTTTCCTAAATGTAAAAACATTTTAGTACTAAAATTACCAATTAATATTAAATCTTCACTATATCCTCTAACTTCATTCATTAATTCACTTGATGAAACAGAATTGACAGCATTTTAATAATTTTTTAAGAACTTAAATTTTTATTTAGTTGGAACTCCTTAAACACTTTTATAAATGAATGAATCAACAGCTCCTAGATTACCTAATAATTTTAAACATTCTTATCTCATTTCTGGTATAGTTTCAGTTCTAATCAATTAGAAGATAACTTCCATTAAATTAGGAAAACGATAGTAGGGAAGAACAACAAATCCTGTATTTTTAATAATTAAATTAAGAGATTTAACAGCAGCTTCTCTTTTAAGAGTTGAACTCTTATCTTACATTGCTGTAATAATGATATCAAAGACTTCTTTTAAATTAACGAGTATTTCTTAATTTGCAGTTTCTGTTAATTAAGCAAATGCCTGTAATAAAAATGAAGTGACAATAGCACTAGTATTTGGATTCTTAAGATGTTATTGAATAACCTTAGCTATATTACTAGTATATGGTTGTACAATAGTACGACCATGTTTGATTAATGAAGTTAGTAAATATAATTTATTAATGGTTTATTTTTCAGGTTGATTACTATCAAATGTAAGAGTTTAAAGATATTCAAATAAAGTTTTCTTAAGAAAGGGAATGATTTCTGATGGATTTAATATGGATAGACGACAAAGAATTGTTAAAGCAATCTCTTAAACTTCAGAGATTGGATCATTCATACATAGAAATAGCTTTCTCAAATTATTAGGTGAATTCAAATAAGGATCAAAATTCTCATTAAGAGATGCAAGCATAGTTTATCTTATATCTTATTCAGTATCAGAAATAGCAACATTCATAAATTTATCTAGAATTTCATACATAACATTTTTAGATATCATTTATTATCCCATAGATCTACCTTTCTTAATATATAATAGACATCCTGCTTTTGCTGTAGCTTTTCTAATAATTGGATTTGAATTAGCAAGATTAGGTAAAACTGCATCCTTAACAAAGATGGCAAGACTATCCTATAAATCAAATGAGAAAGTGCTTAAGGTTTATATAGCATTAGCGATTGCTTCAGGAGATTTAAATTCTGTTGTTGTTATAGCTTTTTGTAAATAACTTTAAAAATCATTCAAAATGCTGCTATCAAAATTCTATTATTTTGGATTCACAAAATTAATAATCTTTTTAAGTAAGATTGCAGCAATAGTTTATAAAAGTTTTTGTTATATAAAATCTGATTGTCTTGGTTGTAATCTGCATAATTAATTAAGAAATTAGACTGATTATGGATGCAATCCATTTAATAATATTTACTTAAAGAAATAAAATATATTGATACATCCACAAGTACATCAATTGATGTGAATTCTGCAAATTTTCTTGTGTAATTCTAAAATATGACTTATAAACAATTAATCATTTCAACACAAAAGTTTTTCTGTAGTAATTCTTATCGAATGTGTTAAATAACTTTTTTAATTAACTCTTACAACATATTTTCATTCAAAAATGATATAAGCATTGATAAAGTCATATAAGGTAGACTCTTATCTTTAACAGTTCTAGCTTATACAGTCTATGATAGAAGGAATGATATAGATTGTTCCATGAATTCTTATACTGATTAATGCTTGGCATGTTTAGCCAGGATTGGTAAAGTCTCAATAACAGCCTTATTGATAATTGTTGATTTGTGATCTTTTTTAGAGAGTACGTATTCTCCTTAATCTTTAATTTAACTTTGTAAGAAGATCTGTTTTGATACTAATATAGATTACATCTTGTTTTGCATAAGTTAATAAAATTTTGATCATCATAATATTGCCATGAATATATTCTTCTTCCTTTGATTTTTTTTTGGACTCTATTTCATCTGTATATATTTTCACTAAATAATCTTAATATGATTCTATATTCTAAATCTATTTTAAATACATTCTCTCTATGCAATTTATTTTACAACTTCACTAAATAAATCTAAGGCAGCTTCTCTTAATGATTATTATTTAGATCGTATTGCACCATGAATAAGTGTAAAATTTCTATCTGTTTGCATTGTTTAAAATAACTTATTAAAAGTTATTGAAGCAGCTTCATTCAATATTTCTTTTAAAATTAGTACACCAGCTAATTTATATTTTTCACTCCTTAACTATTTTTATGCTTCTAAAAAATGGGCATCTACTACTTAAGCTATTTTAGTTCCTCCCAATCTTAATAACTTACCAAATACTTCTGCACTTTTCCTTAAAAACTTTTCATCATTGTAAATAAATTAACCAGACACATTTGGAATAAACTTATTTACAAATGTAAGCACTTAAGCCTCTTATACAGTTGATGTCAATTAATCTAATGCTAATATTCCACCTATTTTTTTATACTTAATTAATATTACCAAATTTCTCATGGATCTCAGAACTATTTATAAGCTTCTAAATCTTATTGAACAATTCATCACTTTATTATATGTATTTATAGTAAACACTCTATAATTCCATTGCTGCTTTCTCTTTTTATTCATTTGGCACTTTTGCAGCAAGGTCTTTGAAAATTCTCTACAATTCTGGTTTCTGCATAATTATTTTAATTAGATACGTACATATATACATGTAAAATTAAGAGTCCTAAAAGAATTCTTCAGTATGCTTTCAAATTTATACTCAAGATTATTGAACCTGACCTCTAATAATAAGTTTGCTAAAACTATAAAGCTTCCATTGAATTCATTGAACAACTTCCTAATTGCATTACAAGTAATTTACTAAAATTAGAATCCAAGCTCTAAAAAAACAATATATTTTAGATTAAGCAACTGAGAACAAGAGATTTGTAATTCTATGTTTGACAACTTTAACTGCAGCAGGTTTGACAGCTAAATGTAACAAATTTTATTTATGCAGTCAATCCATCATTTATTAAGATTACAAGAAATGCCTTTATAAGTTATTTAGGTGCAGGCCTTTTCATTGTACCAGAAGTGTTTAACCCGTACTTAATTTATAGAAAATGAATATTATAAGTACACAAAATAAAATTAATGAATACAAGTCTTCTACCACTCTAAATTCTATGCATAATTGCTCTAATTATCCTCGTAGGACTTATTTGCATCATCATTTATTACCTCTATACACTTCTAAACATTTGTTTTATAATTATCCTTTTATTTTCTGCTTTAATATTGATTGCTAGATCAATTTGTAGATTCATGGTATTTCCAGGCTCTAATTGCTTATACTATTATTATCAGTTTTTACTCAACTCTAATAGTGATGATATATATCAAACAATCAAATTCATTTAAAACCTAAAATACATTGATCACAATAATTCATAATAAAAGTTTTTAAATATCAAAAGATTCTTTGAAATCTAATACTAAATATTCTATAATCTCAATGGAAAATTGAATTAGCAGTAAAGAAAATATTATTAATTATTATCCAAATTTATACAAACTATAAGAGATGAAACAAACATTACTTTAATTCAATAGGAATCAACTAATTTATCAAAATTTTTAAATTCCTATTTAGATCATTCAGCAAAAATATTTTTTATTTTGAAGCCCTTATTTTAAGACATTTTATTTGGATTAGAATATTGCTAACAACAAATATTATTGAAGAATCCTAATTCTACAAGAGAAATTATTAAATACAATAATAACTCAATTGATTGTTTATATATTTTAAAGGATCCAAAAGGTCCCACAGTTTTATTTTGTAATCCAAATGGTGTATATTATGAAAACTTTTATTAGAATGTAAATAAAAATAATATTATATACTCTAGTTTACAACAAAAAAAATGTATAAACAGAAGAATTTCAATTTAATTTTTTGGAATTATTGTGGATATGGTTTTAGTACTGGTACTCTTAGTACTAAAAATTTGATTGATTGTGGATTATTCATTGCTCAATATTTTCAAAATAAATACAAAATTAAAACTTTGGGGGTTCATGGATATTCATTAGGAGGAATGATAGCAACAGAGATTGCTTATAAACTTAACCTATCTTTTTTGGTTGCAGATAGAACCTTCTCTTCATTAGGTTAAACAGCATCTATTATGTATATTTACATTATTTATATATTAGGTTTAATTTCTCATATATGAAATTAATATTATATTGCCTTGTTAACTGGGATTATCCAAACTATTTATCTTATTATAATTTTAAAGGACCTAAAATTATAATTCAAGATGCTAATGATGAAATGATACCATACTAAGCATAATTATAAACTAGTTTGGTTCGGTTATTTTTCACTAATACAACATAGGCTCAATTATATTCCAAATTTTATTAAGAATCTAAATGTATATTTATCTATTTATTATTATTAGAATATCTAGATTTTTTTTTCTAAAAAATTTTATCTAAAGCTCAAACAAATAGTTTAATCTAATCCTTATAAATTTTAATTAATTGTGAAAATCATAATAATAATGGAAAAAATCATAATAATAAAATTTAATCTAATAATTAATAGAAATATAAAGAATTTGTAGAACTACTATCTTAAATAGAGTATTGCAATAATAATATTTTTTAAGTCATAAATCAAAATCCTACATCAGAAAAAATTGCATTGTTTTTTGGTAGTTGCTTTATTTTCGAATAAAATTTCATAATTTCTATTAAAAAAATACTTGCTAGAATTTAAAAATTTTTGAATCAAAATTCTGCTCAATATAATGAATTAAATTAGGATCACATCCCATATCATGAATAATTAATACTTAAAACAATTGTTCAAATTGTTAAAAATTTCAAGTCAACAAAACAAATTCAAAAATTGTAGGAAATAAAAAAAAAGAAAACGCTTTTTAATTTGATAGCAATACATTGTGGGCATAATGAAAACATAGGTTTAGAAGATGAAAAAAAACTTTAGGATTTTTTAATGTCTAATTTAATTATATGAATATTATTTGTAACAAAAAATTATTATCAAAAACATATTGTCTGAACCTTCTAATGATCATTCAATATGTTTTTTATATCATAAATTTTAACTATCATGTTACTTTTAAAAAGAAAAAGTTTTATTATCTCTTGAATCATTTTCAATAGATAGATAGATAGATAGATAGATAGATGATCAATATTAATTATTAAAGTCTTCAAAAGAACCTTTTTAAAAATAATTCTCGGGTGGGGTTTTCTACAATTTGAATTTTTAAAATTACAACTTCTATAACATTTAACAAAAAAAAAGTCTTTCAATTTATTGAATTTTTAAGTCAATTGTAATTTTCAATATTCCACTTTTTTTCCCAAATAACTAAGCTATTGCCTTTCAATAAGTAGAAAAATATTTAGATTTTAAACTAAATAGCTTTAGAGATCCAATTTTTTTTTATATATGAATACAATTGTTATCAAATTTTTTATAAAACTACTTTATTGATTGATTATATATAATTAAATTAAGTCAATTTATCCTATTTTTAGAGGATTCTATAGGCTTATAATACTGATCTTTCTTTAGTAATATTTATCGCAATTATTGTTAAAATCCTATTTGATTTCATCATTATAATTGACAGCTTTTTTATCACTTTTATTTTTGAATATCACACCTATTTTGATAACTATCTAAATCAGAAATACACACATAACTAATTTCAAATTATCGCTATGTTTTTCAGAAACTAAATGATGATAATTTTAAATAATTATGTATATTTATAAATAATTAATATGAAAAATATAGATCAAAATAGTATAATTGCAATTCTAATGGTAGAGAAGTTATGTGAAGTTTTTCTTTTTATATTCCAATTAGAAATTATTTATTTTTTAGACAGAATCTATTTATTTTATTTTATTCAATACTCTTAAGCTATTTATAAACTAGTTTAGGAAATTTTTTTATTTTGGTACTTTCAATTAACAATAATTATCACAATCTTATAGAGCAGAGATTTTAAAAAAAATACTTTTTAAGATTAATATTTCATTAATTCATTTCATTCTATTCATCTTTTAAGATTAAATTTAAATTTTTGCTCAAATGAAAAGCACCAAACTGTATTATCGTTCTAATTAGGATAGAGTTACTGTGAACTATTACAAAATGCTCGTTAAGCTTATCTTATCATCCTGGCTTTGAACATTGTTCTTTAGTATTTTCACTAAAAAAATCAAGGACTTTATTGATGATAACAAAGATTTCACCAAGAATCAATAAATACCTGCTTTATAAAAATTATTGAATAACTTTTACACATTGAATCTACATTTCATTCAAAATATATAGAATTATTTGGTAATTTATCATCATAAAATAACTAATGATTCTTATTTTTTTAATTGAAAAACATCTTAGTTTCTGTTACATAAGCTGATGTTTAAGATTATAGATGATAGCCTATAAGAAAGCCTAAAATATTTCGAGAATTCATTTTTATTTTAAATTTCTTTTTATTAAATAAATTATATCATTATAAATCTAAATGTTTGAATTCCTCGAGATTTAGGAAATTATTTATGGTTTAAATAAAGATTTTATAATTAAGATGGCGTAAAGTTGTATTTTATCAAATTGATATTGTCTTCATGAAGCCTTGAATTGGTTTGTCATAAAACGAGCCATAAACAACTATTATAATATATTAATATTGTACCATGTTATTTTATGCAACAGCACGAATGGGTTTATTTAGATAGTTCTAGTGTAGTCTTTGATTGCTTGTTCATACTTCTTCAATGTCTTATAAATAATCAATAAATTATTAAGTATTAATATTATACCACGATTAAAATATTGATTATCATACATTTTAGAAGTATGAAAAAGCTATAAAAAACTACTCTAGCGCTAAATAAATGATTTCTTTAACCCTAGCATGCTGATGCAATCCTCTAAAAATTTCATAATCAACCCTTTATTATAAGATATTTATGATTACCATAATTATTTGGTTAGTATGTATTTCTCTAGAGTAATCTTTTTTTGCTTCACCTTGTTTTGCCAATTTGTTTAAACAAACCCTAATCTTAAGATGTTAATAATTTACCATAATATTTCTATACCATAATTTATTATGGAACAATTTAGATTCCTCTGAAAATGTCTTTAATTAATCCGTAAAACTTCTTCATTATACCATTAATTACCCCTACTTATAAAATATTAATATTTTACATCCATCATAAAATGTATTAGCTTATTATGAGATTAACTACATTACTCTATTCAGTATTTCATTGCTTGGTATAATTTCCTTATTTTAGAATTCTCCAGATAGTCAATCTTAATTCTAATATGATATATCTTATTTTTCACTTTTTAAAGAATTAAATTATTAGTAAGAATATTTAATATAAATCTATATACATATTAATATTACTGAATATCATTAGTCCATCATAAGAACCATTAAAAATTAGATTAATAAAATTATCATTAAAACAATCTTAATATGTATTTGTTTCAATTTTAGGAAATCTGCATCAATTTTTGAATTATAAATTTATTACTAATCTCTGACTGATAATAGAATTTATAATTATAGTCAAGAGTAATTATACTTTTAATGATTATGAAAAATGGAAGTATCGAAATTTTTATTAATCTCTCCATCTCTATTCTAAATGAATTTAAATTTTACTTTGCCTCCTTGTTAAGCCAATTCTTAAATAATTGGAAATCACATACAATATCCTTTTTATTACTCCCTTCACTCTTTTCATCTATCTTATTGTTTCCAAGAATTGCCTTCATACTTTAATCTTTATCATTTTAGAGATCCCTTAATTTAAATTGATAATCAGATCATTACAATCATCCATAATTAATTTAAAGTGATTAGCTCTATTATTTCATTTTCTAATTGACAGATCTTTTTCTTAGAATATCAATTTTATACTAAAAAAAATCCATTTATTTATAGCTTAGTGATTTCTAGTATTCATTATAAAAAATTAGAATCATATTAATACAAAAATTAATAAAGTTGAAAATTACATTGTACATTATCAACAAAAAAAACATGTAGATATATATTTATATTTGTGATTAAGTAATTTAAACTAAATAATTTTAGATTTATAAAATTATCAAATTTTTTTTTTCTCTTCTAAAATTATTATTAAATATGTGCACTAAAATAGAAAAAATAAATAAGATTGTGTTAAAAAATGAATTTTACAATTAGTAACTAGAAAATTTCGATTAGTTTTTGGCTTGTAAATTAACTCAAATAAATGATAATGGGTGATGCAATATTAGTAATATAAATAGTATTAGATGTTTATTAAGATTGTGAAGAATATTATTATCAAGTTGAAAATGGAGTTAAAATTAACGATAAAATTACATTTACAATATAACAATACTGTTTGACTAAGGATATCATCAATATGCAATAAAGTTATTTAATGAAATTTAAAATGAGAGAAAATTTTTTTTAGTGTTCTTGGAAAGGAAGAATATAATATTCTACTTAATTAATTAATATTCAACATTATGTATGACTAATAGAAAAAGTATAGTTGATTGAAAAAAATAGATGAGAATATGGGGAAAGGTATTAAGCAGTTATCTGATAATTTTGGAAGAGTATTCATCCTAAATATAATTACATCAGGAAATGAATAGGAATATCTAAATTGAAAAAAATTTGATTGTATTATTATTTATATAACAAATGCCAATTTAATATACATAGGAGGAATTGCTCACATTTTAATATTACTTTACTATGTGTGATGAGACAGTAATTATTTATAATCATCAATTTTGAAGGGTTAAGGAAAACTTGATAAAGATAAGGTGATCAATTTTTTTAAGGCAAGTGGTTTGAATTAGTAAAATTTAGGGGTAATATACTATTACAATATATAGGATATTTGGTAAATAACATCATCTAATGAATAGACATTTACAAAAGATGAATTTTTTGCTGCTCTTAAATTGATTGCATTAGCCTAAAATGGTTATAAGCCAAATGAGAATTTACTTTCCATGAACATTCTTTCCCCATTACCTTTACTCTAAGGATTCTAATCACTAAATTATGATATCTCAAATGAATAGTTGCAGAAATATGAAAATTATTTTCAGACTCTAGATTAGGATGGCACTTAAATTATATAGGGAATATAAGCAAGAGCTTTATTTTCTAAATCAGGATTAAATTTAGAATAACTAAAGGAATTATGGAATCTTTGTGATATAGGTGAAAAAGGATATCTCAATAAAGGAGAATTTATTGTTGCCTTACATTTAGTTTTATTATGTTCTAGATAAAAATACCCTTTACCAATCACCTTAACTGATTCATTGCTATAAATTATTGGAAGATTCTCCAGTAATCCTAATGGAAACCTATTAGCTACAAATTCAAATATTATTCCACAATAAAGATTTGGTTCTAATTCAAATTTACTTAACTAACCAAGACCAAGATTAGGTTCTAATGCAAATATTGGAATATAACCTATTTAAAATACTTTATAAGTACAAACTGTTATTTAACCTTTAAACATTCCAACAAATGTGAATATGATTCCAGGATATGATTAAAATGGCATTAATTCTGCACGTTAGCAAGTCAATGATTCTACATAATAAGTTTATTTAATGTAGAATTAATTGAATTAACTATAGTAAAGTATTTTGCTTGAAAAACAAGAGGATATTAAATAAATGTAACTCTTAAATGATAAGTATAAACATTATTGATTTGTAGTTTGAAACTTATATTGTCAAATTTGTAAGAGCAATATAAAGCTATAAATGAAGAATTAAATAGAATAAGATCATAGAAATAGGGTATAACTTAGTAAAATTAATAAATGCAATAATAAATTGGAACATAAGTATAATAAAATAAAGATTATTTTGCTCTGTTCTAATAAGAATAATAACAATATTAATAATAATAATATTTATAACCTCCAAATTAGTTTTCAGCATTGACATAAAATTAATAATAATAATTAAACTAGCCACCAAATGATTAATAATTAGGATTTTCAAACATGATTGTAAAATTATATGTTACAATAGAATTATGGTACTTCTAGTCCTTAACCTTAAACAAACTAGATTAAGATACAACCTTAAATACCGATATCTTTTTTTGGTGAAGATGAAGTTTAAAAGTAACCTGGTATATTAAAAAATCAAGCAGGTTCTTAAATATTAATAAAATTAGAATCATAAAAAAAATAAGTAAAATTTGCGGGTGAATCATTGCCATGGTGATTGCAGAAAAATTAATAAAATATTAATTAAATCATTTTAATTTTCTTGGTTTATCAGATACATCTGAAATATTAAGTTCGCTTTACATTTATAGTAGTTTATCTTCCATTCTTCCAATGACATTTTTAAATTTAAATAAAAATTATTCTTGAAATTCCACTCCAGTTCTTTAATAATCATTTTTATCTATATGGAAACTATTTTTTTAATAAAGATTTTCTCTCTCTTACAATTATTACTATTATAGTTAATGATTTATTTTATTATTTGTAAAAAATGTTTTTGGTTATCTATGTGAAATAGGTTGAGTGTAAATTATATTTGTATTCATAGGTTCATTGTAGGTATGATGTGAGTATGTAGCTTAGGTAAATAAAGGTTATGTTTATGAAGGTTAAATTTAAACAGATAATGCAGGTTAAATATATTATTCATATTATAATGGAGAAGTTTAAACTTATTATTATTATTATTATTATTATTATTATTATTATTATTATTATTATTATTATTATTATTATTATTATTATTATTATTATTATTATTATTATTATTATTATTATTATTATTATTATTATTATTATTATTATTATTATTATTATTATTATTATTATTATTATTATTATTATTATTATTATTATTATTATTATTATTATTATTATTATTATTATTATTATTATTATTATTATTATTATTATTATTATTATTATTATTATTATTATTATTATTATTATTATTATTATTATTATTATTATTATTATTATTATTATTATTATTATTATTATTATTATTATTATTATTATTATTATTATTATTATTATTATTATTATTATTATTATTATTATTATTATTATTATTATTATTATTATTATTATTATTATTATTATTATTATTATTATTATTATTATTATTATTATTATTATTATTATTATTATTATTATTATTATTATTATTATTATTATTATTATTATTAATATTATTAAAATAACTACTACTAAAATTATTATTGTTATTATAATGTAGTTACTTTTTAATTTGAAATTAATTATGGGAAATATGTTGAATTATCTTGAGCATAATGTTATGACTCAATTTACTTTTTATCACGATTCATTATTTTTTCATAATGAGAAAGTAATTCTTTTTAATCTTTTATTACACCTTATAATTTAAGAATTTCATCTTTGTGTTATTTAAAGAGTTAATCATATTTCTATTTTTCTTCATTAATTTTATTTGTTAAAATGATGTTTCTATTTCTTAATTCCATCATTTAATCTTCAACAACCATTTATTGTTAATAGAATGAATTCTAGGTGTCTAATTTTTCAATCTCATTCAATTTTTCAAATGATTTGATTAATTAACTTTAATTCTCAATTATACTTTGTATTTTTTTAATTTCATCAAAATGCTATGATTATTATAATGCTAATTATTTATTAAATTCTTCTTTCTATTATTTAATAGTAGTATCTTTTTATAAATCTGATTATCTACTTTAATCTAATTATATTATGAGTTTTTCATTTTATTCCTTTAGAGTTATAATCTAATCAACTTATTATTAAATAAGATAAGAAAACTCTTAACAATTTTTAATGAGTTATTCATTTTCTTATTAGAAATCTAGAGTAAAATTCAATTTTACTTTGATTATCATAAGACAATTAATTTATAGTATTTTAGACCTTTTAGACTTCTTTTGTCCATGATTCTTTTAAATATTATTTTTCTAAAACTGATTCATTTGCTTCTTTGAGTTATTATTTAAGTAAATTATTTTATTACAAGAGAAGTACTAGACTCCCTTTGATTTCCTAATATTTAATCTAATAATCAGACATCGAAGTTGAAAGTAGTTAAATTTGAAAATAAAATAGTTTATATAATAATATCATTTTTTTTGATTAGCATTAGCCCTTATTGGTTTTGGCTTTTGGTTTGGACTTTTGACTTTTTGTACTTTAGCTTAAGTTTTTATTTTAGGAGGGGCTTATTAGATTTATTACTTTTATTAAACAGAAGCTCTAGAATTATAAGTATTTTCTAAATTATAAATTTATTTAGATTTTCTAAATTAGGCTGATTATTGTGTATCAGTCATGAATTATTATTTATCAATTTTATTTGGTGATTCATTGTGAAAATTAAGATTTTTATTGACATGAGATTCACTTAAAACTTTCTTAACATCTTCATAACAAGGATTAAAAATTTAATTATTCTATTAAACAATTTCTTCATTCTTAATTTATGAAACTTAAAGTGGAATTTCGACTTATCGTAATTAATTAGTAATTAAATTAAAAGTTGGTCTTAGAGTTGCTTTAACATTTACACAATCTTATATTAATTATTTAATATGACCTAAAATGAGATAATATAAATTATTTTACTTGGTATTTGTAATTATTCAAGATTATGAACATAGGATGATAAATTATCATTGAGTGTTAAATTCTTATAATCATAAATTTAGGCATTTTTAGGATGTACTCCAGTTAATAAATATATCATCATGATCCCAAAATTAAAAATAACAGCTAATTCACTATTAAATGATGGAGGACTATTAACTTTTAAAGAATGCATAACTTCAGGTGCAATCATCCAATCATCTTTAGATACTTCATTTAAATAAAGTAATTCATAATCTGAAATTTCTGTAAATAATTATGTATTAACAACTTTGATTCGATCTCCAAACTATAAAATTTTAGAAGGACAGAATTGACAATTATTAACACCCTTTTAATCCATAACTTAAAGTGCTTGGATTACATCTAACATAAATAATTTAAGATCTTTAAGTTATTGAATTTATTGATCTGAATAATCGGCTGTTAAATATATTTTAACATAATTTGAACAAAATTCTTCTTATTTTTATGTTTCTAAACGATTGACACATACTAATGATGAACAATTAGGTTAGTTTTATGATAAAACATCTTTAACAATTATTTTTTTGAGGGACTCCATTTAATCTTTATATTAAGACTCTTCAACAATAACAGTTTTTAAACATTATAGTTAATCTTATGGTCCTTTATATATTTTGATATGTCCAAATAAAGGATGTTATTTGATTTCTCTGATAAATGTCCATTCAGAAGAATGAGCAATACTTGGTTTTATTTATTCGTTACCCATTAAATTTAATTAAAATTATAATATCTATAAATATCATAACATTCCGTAAGTTTTGGGTAAATATTTTTCCAACAATTCTAAATGTATACTTGATACATTTCCATAAGGATTGTCAAATAATTTATCTTATATACATAATGTTAACCAGCTAATCCAAGGAAATCTCCCTTATCATCGAATTTATGTTCTTACACCAAAAGTCTTAAAAAGTGCTTCAGGAGCTCAAATATCCCATCTACACATTCTTACTCTCAAATAAATAAAAATATCAGCATCACCTTAAAGTACAGTTAAACATTTTTTTCCTGATCCTCCTACTTAATATAATTGACAACCTAATGATTTAATTTTTTATAATTCTTAATTAGTTATTCTATTTCTTTATGTTCATAATCTCACATTTAATGGATCATATTATGCTTTTTTAAGTTCAAATGGAATATTTGATATACAATCGTCTATATAAAATATTTTTTATTAAGGATGATGACCAAAATAGATTTTAGGTTTAAATCCATATGTATTTTAAGAACCTTATGATTTAATAAAAGGTTATGAAATAATTCCCATTAAAGCTTATTATTTATAAGAGACTCCAATTAAAGTAGTAATCTCCTTTAACAAAATCTAATATTCCATCTAAAGGATCAAGCCAAATACATAAATCATCTATTTGATATTATGTTCTAATAATTTGATTATCTTTTGTTGTATTGAAAAGAGACTCATCATATAATGAAATGTTAGTATCCGGTAAATCAATATGTTATGAATTCTATATACTTTCCTCTCCTAAAATAGTTAAATTTGGCCTAAATAGATGTTTATTTCATTAGGAATACGAATGTTTATGCAATTATTAAACAATGTAGGATTGTACTTAAATATCAGCGATTGTAAGTGGATCATCTATTGCTTTCCATTTTTAACCAATATTTTAAGATAATCTAATTGTATTAATAATTTTAGCAGAATTGTAGGCTAATTAAATACCTACCGAAAAAAATTCATGAACTTTAAGCATTTATTAATTAATAAAAATGAATAGTGATGAAATATTATCTGTAGTAGCTGATATAGGGAATCTATATACAAGAGTAGGATTTACAGGCGATGATTTCCCTAGATGGAGTACCTTTACTAAATGTACAGAATCCTATTAATTTGGGGATGAAGCTTTAGGAGTTGGAAATAAATAAATTCTTGATATTCTTTAACCATTTAATCCAGATCTTTATGAACATCTTTTATAAAAGATATTTGAAAAGATTTATGTTTAACCTAAAGATTATAGTCTATTGATTGCCAATAACTTTTAATCAAAATAAGATCTTTAAAAAGTAGTTGAAATACTTTTTGAGAGTTTGGAGGTTCCTAATTTCTTTACTATAAGAAATGCTGCTTTAGCTACTTTTTCTGCTGGAAGATCAACTGCATTAGTTTTAGATATTGGAGCATATTCTTCAACTGCATCAGCTGTGCATGATGGATATACATTATTAAAGACATAATTATAAGCACCTATTGGAGGAGAAATGCTTAATGAACCATTTAAATAATATATTGTTGGAGAATATAATTTATTCAAAAAAACATGTTAAGCTAGAGATATTAAATAATCACTTCTTACTTATGAAGCTATTGATACTAATCCATAATATGAATTACCAGATGGAAAAATTATTTAATTATAATAATCGTAATTATTAGAAATTGCAGATAAATTATTTTATAGCAATGATAACTTTAAAGGTATTTAACATATGTTGATGGATATCATTAATAATTCTCAAAATGACATTAAATAATTATTATCTTCTACTGTTATTTCAACTGGTGGTTCTTCTAATATTCCAGGATTTCTCAATAAATTATAGACAACTTTATCAGCCTTAGCTCCTCCTATGTGTAAAGTTAAATTAGTTATGTATCCATCAAATGTAATAATATATTCATTCATTTTTAGTAAAATCGATATCACTCTGTTTTTATTGGAGGATCTATTCTAGCTTCTCTTAGTTCATTCTAATCCCTTTGGGTAACAAAAAATGAATATTATGAGTCAGGTAGACTTAGTATTATTGAAAGAAAATGTCCTAATTGAAAATTCATGTTCATTTTGTTTTATTTGTCTATATTATTATTATTCATAGGTTTTCTATAATTTATATATACATATATATCTATTTCTAATTCCTATATTTATATTATTTATTCTTTACATTCATTTAAACTTTGTACATATTCTTAAATATTATATAAAATTTCTTTAATAATTTATTAATGATCAATCAAACAACTAACCTTTTCACTCAACTAGCTAATCAATATTTAAAAGGTGAAATTGAATAAGATGTTATTACTGATCCTGAAATACAAAAAGTTGTTCATGGACTTTAAAAAAAGAGTGAAACAACTAAAAGTAAAACCTTATCAGAACTTAAAACTCTCTTACCAAATAAATCATAAGACTTCTTTGATCAATTTACACCAACATTTGTAAATATTTATCGTAGATATGTTGATAATGAATATGAAAGAAGAGTTTTAGAATTAGCCAATTAAGTTTTATCCTTAATTTGTGAATATGGAAAAAAATCATTATCTAAAAAATTCAAATAATTATTTCCATAATGGTTTATCATGATCAATGATTACAATTCAGAAGTATAAATCTAATTTATTTATTAATTAGATTTCATCAGCTGCAATTAATGCATTTCAAATTGCATTCCCAACTCAAGAAAAATAACTGTAAGCTATCAAAATGTGTAGTGATCAATATATCATTGACTTAAAGTTGTACTTATCTCTTTCAATATCTACAATCAAATAAGAATCTAATTTGGAAGATGAAAAAGTTGATCACATCTATGAAAGATTAAAAGTATCAGCAATAAATTCAATAAAAACTGCTATATTATGGAATCCCGATAATGAATTCATAGAATAGATTATGAAATTACTTGATTTCACTAATAAGACTACTATAATTGTTGAATTACTCAATACATAAAAAACAAGAATTGTGGCTACTATTATTGAAACTCTACATTTTCTGTTAACTAATGATTATTCTGCTCCATTTGTATTAAATAAAAGTGATCAATTACTCAAAAAAACTGTTTAACTCTTTGAATAAAAAGATCGTTTGATTGTTAGTGCAATATGGAAAGGTTTTGTAACTAAATTATTCTAAAGAGTATAATAAGATCAAATCTTAAAACTTTAAGGTCTTGAAAATAAATCTTTAGATCTAATTTCTAAAGCTGGTTTTGGTGTTGGAAAATTATTATATGATTAATTAGTTATATTTGTATCACTTAATCCAATTTACAGTGTACTTGATATTAAAAAAGAAGAAGTTTTTAGATAAAAGTTAGCATCTATTACAAAATTATTAAATGCCATCTTATTAGGTATCACACATGAAGAAAGTAGATTTTTTTCAGAAAATTTAATCAATAGTTATTTTGAAATTCTATACTTTTTAATTTGTAAAAGAATGATTCCTCCTCTTATTCAATATAATTAATGTTTAGGTTAAGTTAAAAATATTATTGTATAATCAATCAAATAAGTTTTATAAAGTACTTTGTCTTAATAAGCTGTTTAAGCATATAATCATAATCCTTATAAATAAGTACCACAGAGTTTATTATAGTTTTTCAATATATTAAAAGTCAAAGAAGAATAATAAGAATTCTTACTTGAAATTATTAAAGCTATTATTAATGAGTTTAAAACTTTATAATTAGAGGAATATTAAGTTTTTGTAAACATAATTTAATAATTACTCAAAGTTAAGAATGATAGTCCTTCTTATTAAGTAGTTTAATAATATTTGACCTTTGTATTTGATGAAATCTATAACAATAATGATTTCTAAAGAGGATCTTTACTCTTTGAAGTCATACCAAATTCACAAATTTTTAAAAAAGAGAACTTTGGTTTAAAAATTTAAGAAACTATTTATAATCTATTTAATTCTATTGAATTAGTTTCTACAGAAGAATTATTGAAAAAATGTGCTTAAATTAAATTATATATCTATAATTTATAAAGAATAAATGAACAATAAATAATTGAATCTATACTATAAAAAATTATTAATCAAGAATATAAATAGGTTATTCCAAAAGAAGAATAGTAAACTTTTAAAATAAAGTGGATTTGTTTACATAATCTTGTTGATGCAAGTTTAGATCCAATATTTTATTAAAAGTATTTAACAATGAAAGATTCTTCATAAGAATATAATCTTATCGAAAAATTTGTAAAGTATTAGTAATTATAATAAAATGAAACCTTTGTAACTAAATTCTTAAGCCAATCACTTAGTATCACAAATTTAAGTTAAAAAATATTTATTCCTTGTATTATTTAAAATGCTAATAAATAAATTTTAAATATATTAATATCTAGATATACATAAATAGGTTAATAAGTTATTAAGACATTCGATAAAAATTATCTTTAAATATTTGAAGAGTTATCATTCATAATGAATAAATTGCAACCATAATAATTGATTTTCGAAGTTTTACTATAATTGTATTTGAAAAATCAAAGTTAAAAAGGAAGTTTTCTTTATAAATTAATAAACAAAAAATATTAAAATTTGTTTGTATAATTTTTTAAATCTATTTTGCCATCAATAAAAACTGAAACCTTACCTTAATATTTACATTTCTTTTAAGATCTCTTTGTATAATTAAATAGCTAAGAAGTATTACAATTTTTAGATTTTAACTTTTAAAGTCCTATATCTTGGAAAATCTTATCCTTAATTGAGATTCCATAAGATTATTTCAAGAAAATGTATCAAAACAATTAGCTAGAGTAAATAGCTATGTTTTTAGCATCGAATTATTCATCTATCATGTTATATGATCATAAATTGAAAAGATTCATTTAGAATATTTTAGGAAATCAAATTATTCCAATTATCCTTGATTCTTATGAATAATCAGAAACAAATAGCTTAAATCTAATAAAAATTTTATTTAATAATACTGAAATAGTTTATGGAGTAGCTCTAAAAAATCTTATAAAATAAATAATGACAGAAGAGAAAGAGAATAAATATAGATCAAAATAAACAGATTTCTTATCTTAATTGATAGTTGAATAACTTTAAATAGCATTGGATGTAAATAATGTTAATAAGTTAATAACAATTAGATAAATTATAAATATAGTTGATTTAAAACCATAATTTTAAAATATTTTGTAGATTTATCAAGAAAAAAAATAGATTTAATATCTTGATTTTTACACTCTTATGCTAAGGTAATAAGCTGATCTATTAGAATTAGAAGATGAGTTAGAATTAGACTAAACAATCAAATTGCTTTTCGATATGAATTTGGAAACAAATTATGATAAGATGGTTGCTTTTGATTTTATAAATTTAATTTGCGAAAGAAAAACAATCACTCCATTTGCAGCTTATATAAAACAAATTAACAATTTATTTAGGTAGTTATTTTAGTAAAATGTTTAATTAAAAAGATTTTACTCATTTAGTATAGTATCAGCACTTTAATTTGTAAGAAAAATTTTGAATTTTATTGAAGCATTTCCAATAGAATTTATAGATTATTTAAATTTTGAGTTAACAGATTCTTTATTATAAATAATACAATTTTGTGAGAATCCAAATCCAGATTTTATGGATGAACAAAATGATACTTTATTTATTGAATATGCGGAAACTCTTTTGCGTTGTATTTAAATGGAATAGTGGTAAAAGATTGATGATAGTATATATTATCAATTATTATAATGTCCATTTATAAGTATACAAAAAGCTGCATTTATTGCATTAAAGAATATATAAAATCATATTGGTTTAAGTGCAGTTTTGGATGGATTTGATATGAAAAAAGAAGAAATGAGAAGATTAAGATAAGAAGATGAGGAAGATGTAGAAGATATCATAACATTTCCTTTGGAGGGTAAAATATTAACAAATTTACTTGCTTGGTTAGTGGTTTTATAGAATAAGAATTGTGTTCAGTTTAAAGATAAGTTTCCTACTTATTTGAGTAATTTGTTATACATTTTATAATTCTTAAATGATAATGGTGTTATAGCAAGATTTAATTATAAGGAAATTTATTAATAAGAATTGAATTTAATGGTAATTTAGGATGATCAATCAGAATTATTAAAAATGATAGTTATTTCATTTTACTAATTTATTGTCGCTTAATAAAGTTATTTTAAATAATGGTATAATTAAGAGTGTAATACAACTTAAAAGAGATAATTGGAGGATTTGCTTTAGGTAATTAGTAAAGCAATTTACACAAGGGAAATTGAATTGATAGAATTAAATTAAGAAGAGTGGCGTAGTGAGGGATTTGATATTTATATTTCAAAAAATCAATAAGAAATAACTGCTACATATTAAAAAGAAGAATAAAAAATAGAAATATTAATATAAGTTCCAGCTGGTTTTCCTTTAAAACCTTTGAAAGTTGAAACTAAAAAAGGTGTAAAGATTAGTGAAGATAAATTAAAAAAGTGGAGTTTAATGATAAGAATGATTTTATAAAATGAAAATGATACTATATTAACTGCATTAAAATTATGGAAATAGAATATAGATTAATAATTTTAAGGTATATATTTATTTATAAAATAATATTGTTAGATCTTGAAGAATGTGCCATATGTTATTATATAATTCATTAAAATGGAGAATTACCAAAAATGGCTTGTAGAACATGCAAACATAAATTTCATTCAACTTGTATTTAGAAATGGTTTCATAGTAGCAATAAAAGTGATTGTCCATTATGTAAGAGTTAATTTTTATGATTAAAACAAATCATTATAATTTTTATATTTATTCATGATTTATGGATTATCCATTCTTTGCCTATACAAGGATTTTTTCAGTTTATCTATTCTTTTCAACTTTTTCAAATTTATCTCTTATTTCTCGTTCTTTTTCATCCTTATCCTTTTCAGGTAACTTTTCAAATATTTTTTTGTAAAATTCTTGTTCATTTTTTGAAGTTTTGTTTTTCTAAGTTTTTTACAAATATTTTTAAACTTCTGTCAAGTCTTCATTTGGAAATTTTTGAGCAATTTTTTAGAATAATTAAAAAGCTTCACTTTCTTGTCCTGTTCCTAAATGTGCTTTTGCATATATAAAATGTGCTAAAAAAATGAAAAATTTAATACCTTTAAAATTTTCATCCCATACTTAGATAGCTTATTTTGATGTTTCAATAGCTTTAGTAAAATCATTTATTTATAAAAAACAAATAGCTTGATTAGAAAAGACTCGTGAAAGTTCAATTTTAAAGAATGTCTTTTATTCTTCAGTCATCTTATTCTTTTATATTTTGGGTATTTATCCTATTTTAGAAAAGAGAATTTTATATATTTGTATAGCTTCTTTAAATTTGGATTCTTTAAAGAGTTAAGCAGCTTAAGGTTTCAAGATTTTAATTTTAAGTTCTCTTTCTTCTAATGTAAGTTTTTCATTATCTTCAATATCTTCAATATCATGAATTTCAAGAATCCAAATTTAAGGTTGATCTAAAAGTTTTTAATATTTAGCTTCTACAAAGGTAATCATTGGAATATCTTGGCATTCTTTTTCAGTTTCTAATTATAAAATAGATTTTCTAAGTGAAGGATTGACTTCAAAAACAGCAACTTCTTTATTGCCCATTTGAGCTAGACATAAATGTAATCCAAAATATGATTATTTATCATGTTTTAGTTAAATTTTTCTTATATTTTTATAGTCTTTATTCAATATTTTACCTTGTATAGAATATTCTTTAAGAGTATAACTAATCTTAGATGTTTCTTGATTAAATTAAGATTCAGGAGGTTTAGAGAATTGAGTATCAAGATATTTCCAAAGAAGACCTTCATGTATAACAATTTTAGGTTTGGAACAGATATCTCTAAAATCTAAAATACTATCATTGTTTTAATTTGCCATAATATTATTTAATAATAAAAGAAAATATTAAAATGGCAAAGGATAAGTAGGGGGAAATAGATGTAGATAATATAATTGAGAGATTACTAAGTGTAAGAGGAAGTAAACCTGGGAAGAATGTAAATTTGACAGAACCTGAAGTTAGAGGTCTGTGTATAAAAGCAAGAGACATTTTCATAAGTTAGCCAATATTATTAGAATTAGAGGCTCCTTTAAAAATATGTGGTAATGTGTTAATTGTAATGATTTTATAATAGGTGATGTACATGGTCAATATTTTGATCTTTTAAGATTATTTGAATATGGTGGCTATCCTCCAGAAAGTAATTATCTTTTTTTGGGGGATTATGTAGATAGAGGTAAATAATCCTTAGAAACAATTTGTTTATTGTTAGCTTATAAAATAAAGTATCCAGAAAACTTTTTTCTTTTGAGAGGCAATCATGAATGTGCCTCCATTAATAGAATCTATGGATTTTATGATGAATGTAAAATTGATCAATAAAATGAGGTAAACGTAGATATACAATTAAATTATGGAAAACATTCACAGATTGTTTTAATTGTTTACCAGTGGCAGCTCTAATAGATGAAAAGATTCTATGTATGCATGGAGGCTTATCACCTGAACTTTCTAATTTAGAGCAAATAAGAAGAATAATGAGACCTACTGATGTTCCAGACACAGGTCTCTTATGTGATTTACTTTGGTCTGATCCAGATAAAGATGTATAAGGTTGGGCTGATAATGAAAGAGGTGTTTCATATGTATTTAGTCAAGAAATAGTATAAGTATTTCTGAAAAAACATGAATTAGATCTTATTTGTAGAGCCCATTAAGTAATTATTGTTGTTATAAATTAGGTAGTTGAAGATGGCTATGAATTCTTTAGTAAAAGACAATTGGTAACTCTCTTTTCAGCTCCAAATTATTGTGGTGAGTTTGATAATGCAGGTATTTGTATGCAGTCTCATTTCCAGGTTCGATGATGACTGTTGATGAATCCCTTATGTGTTCCTTCCAAATACTAAAACCTGCCGAATAGGGTGCTTAGGGTGCCTCATAATAAAACAAACCTCCTAGTGCCAAGTTTGTAAACTGATTTAAATCAGAGAATTTATATATATATTTTAAAACAACTTAATTGACTAATTAATATGTTTTCAGATTTGATTGATCAATTTAGACAAACTTATCAAAATAAATACTTAACACTCTCTGAATTTTCTAATATCTTGGATCAATATGCCAGATTAGATATCAGATGTGATTTAGATGATAATGTCAAAGAATAATTGTATAAGTTTATTAAAGAGAAACAATAAAATGTAACATATTGTGCACGTAAGAATAAATCCATATTGCATAGTTGAGACTGTCATAATTGAATTCTTATTATAATAAGATGTTATTCAACCTAAATCTTAAATCAATCTTGATTCTCTTGGTAAATGTGCTCGTAAATTGCCTTTAGATATGTTGCAAAGTATTACAAATGATTTTCTTTTGCAATTCAAAAATTTCTATAAGCTTGTAGCAAATAAATATGTTAGTATTGTTGATTATAGAGAATTAGAAAGATTAGGTAAGGAATTATAGAGAACTATTAAAATTAATTCTCTTGAAATTCTGAGATTTATTCAACCATTAGTTGATAATCAATCTAAAGTTAAAATTGATGAAATCCTTGAATTATCTAATGATCTTGAAAAATTACTTTATGAATAAAATAGAAGATAATCTAAAGGCCCTGAAACAAAAAGACCAATTGCACTTGATTAATCAGCAGATGATAATCATTATACTAGTGAAGATGAAAATTTAAAATAAAATAATTTTATTAGCAATGCATCTATTGAACGCAAAAACTTAACAAATCTTATTTATTAATAGACTGATTTAATTAAATAGAAGTTTATTAATAAAGCAGGTCTTCCTTGTCTTAGTGAAATTAATAAAACTACTTAATGCATTGAAGCTTTGATTGCTAATTTAATTAAAGAAGTTGATGTTAAGACAAAAAAGATTGAAGAATTGATTATTGAAAAAGAATTGACATCAGGTTCATTATAATAATTTGAAATTGAAATACAAAATAAAGATTAATAGATTTAATTATGTTTATAAGACAATGATATGTTTTAAAGTTAAATAAATGTAAATTTTAATATTATTTTATAGTAAATATTGGATTAAAACAAAGAATTAAAAATTCAATTAAATGTTTATAATGAAGAATTGAAAAGTATAACTAGATTAGAGACAGAGTTAAAAGAAATGCAAATAGAGAATAAAAATAACAAAGATTAATTAATTAAGATGAATAAGGAGAATAGTAGATTGTAATTAAATAATAAATCATTAATGGGAATTATAGAAGAATTAGAGAGCAAATCTTTATAGAATAAAGATGTAGACATTCTAAAAAAATCGTTAGAATAACATAAAGAATAAATAAATGAATTAGAAATAAAAGTTGATGAGTAATTTATTATAAAAATAAATAGTTTATAGATATAGATCTAATAATTAGAGGATTTGAATTAGGATTATGAGAAAGCTAAGGAAGGACTTGAACAATAAATAATAGAATTGAAAAGAGAATTAACATATTATAAGAAGATGCTTGAGAATACAAATATAGAAAATTAATAGTTGAGAAATAGTTTTATGCCTAGAACAAGTATATTGAATTCTTAATAAATGAATGGGGGAGGATTTGGTAGATTGAGTAAAATGTCGATTGGAGGGGGATTGACATCTTCAAAAATATTCATAATTGGACGTAATTCATCATAAAGAGTGTCTTCAATTAGAGGAAATTAATAAGCTATGTATGGAAGCAATTTCAATCCTTTAGAAGAAATTTAAAGTGTTCCTTTAAAAATAGAGGAAGCTTAAGATTTAGATGATTAAAATCCAGATCAACAAAATAATAATAATAAATAAATATAGATACAAAGTAGGATTGGTGCAAGAATTAATTTAAAATATGAGAATAGTATAGTTGAAGCAATTAAAGAAGAAAATGAAGATAAAGAATAAGTTTTCACAGTTTCTTAAAAACCTTAAGAAAATTAACTTTTATAATAATTTGATAAATTTTTGGGAGAGTTAGGAACTAAAAATTTAGAAGAATTAGCAACTGATTCATAATGTATTAAGATTGATGAAAATATTTTGTATTATAGAGATTTTTTGGGAATAAGAGATGATCCTAAAGCATTGGAGTATTTGAAATTGGAAAAGAATATATATAAATAAATAATTTAGAGATGTTTTTCTGATGGTGTATATAGAATTGATGCAAAAGGAAAAAAAGCAAGAAGAATTCTATTTTTGACAGAGCATACATTTTATATTTTTGAAGGAGAAAAAAAGCCTGGAAAATTGTCTAGATCATTTCCATTAAAAAATATACATACTTTGATTTTTTCAGAGGTGAGGATTTCAAAATATATCTAAGGCTTCACCTGTCATTTGTTGTATCAAAGTAGCAGGTTCTGATGATTATTTAATAGAAACATTTAAAAGAAGTGAATTAAATTCATTTTTGACTGAAATATTTGCTTCATATAAGATACCATTATTTTAAGTAGAATTCATATCTTAATTTAAAATAAAATTTAAAGGAGTAAAAGATGAAATCCCAATTTCTTAAGTGATTAAAAAATAAACCAATTAAGATTAAGGAACAACTCCAACTTATAAAGTGAGTTCTAAATAAGGATTATATTCATAGAATATGGGATGGTTGTAGATATTTAAAAAGAAAATGTTTTAAGGTGATTGGTAAGAAGTCTTTGTAATCTTAACAAATGTTGGATTAGTGTTATTTAAGAAACCTGGTGATGCAGAACCTATATTATTCATATCATTTGTTGAAGCTATTGTAATTAAGAATCCTTCATTTGAAACTAGTAAATAATACATAATTAAAGTAAAAATATCCTTTAAATAGATTCGATATGAAAATTGTGATTCGGAATTCGTGTTTAATGCTACTTCAGCAATTCTTTTAGATCAATGGCATGATGCAATTTAAAATGCAATTATAGAATAAGTCAAATAAAAACTTTAGTATATGGTACATTAGTAAAAACAAGTAGTAGATCATAGAACTTAGACAATGATGGATTAATCAGAAAGTCAAAATCACAATAATAAATTGAGTTGATAATTGAAATTAATACCTTAAATCATAAATTTAGTCTTAATACTAATATTTTCGTTATTTTTATCTTATCTCATAAATATGGTATAAATTCAATTTGATCTTATGAGTTGGATATAATATTATCTATTAAAATTTAATTATTTTTTGTTTATAATAATATTAAAGTTATATTTAGGCAATTAAATTATTGTTGTCTCATTTATTTTTGGTAACTTTAGTGGTTGATTTTAAAAATATTTGCATTAAATATTTAATTTTACTATTCAAACCTTATAATTGTAATTAAAATCAATTATGTTGGATAAAAATTCTAATAAAAAATGATATAAATTCTACAAAAAATTAATATATACTAATGAAATATAATTATGTTTCTAAACTCTAAATTAATTAATAATAAAAAGTTTCATTTTAAATTAAATGGATTAATACTCAAGTGCCTTTTAGATGTTAGGGTAAAATATGTTTTCAAAAGCTCCATCAAGTGGTTATAGTCAAGGATATCATCCTATGATATAAAAAAATTAAAATAAATAGAAGTTTGATTAACTAATACAGTTAATGTAATTATAAGAGTAGACAGTATTAAAAAAATACTTAAAAAGGTTAGCGATTATAATACAAGAATGAAAGAGAAAGAAGATCAACTTTATTAGTTGGAATAATAATCAAATCAACTATAAAGAGATCTAATTTAGAAAGATAAATAGAGGAATGAGCATAATCAAATACATTATAAAAACTATTAACCAACTTTTAATGTTTAAAACAATGTTGAAATTGAGGAAGTGTAGTCTGATGTATAATAGTAATTTAAGAACTTAAAATAAAATAAATCTATGTAAGGAGCCGATCATCCAGAAGTGTAGTCTTAATAAATGCAAAGGAAGGCTTCTTTTTAAAGTAATTAGAATTAGACTAGACCATAAACTAATGGTATTTAAGGGAACTTAAAATTGTAAAATATGCAGAAATAAATTGAAGAGTAAAATTAATATATTTAATAACTATCTGATTTAGTAGGGAATAGGAAACCAAAATATGATGCAGAAAAGGAGGATAGTTTAACATAATTATTGAATGAAAGAGATGATTTATAAAAATAGCAAATATTGAATGAGATAAAGTAATTAAAATAGAGAGTAGATGGATATGATTAATCTAGATAATAAATGATACAATAGCCATTTTAAGGATATGGTTTTATGCCTTAATAATAATTATTGTAATAATAAGGGATGATGTAATTATAGAATCCTTATGGTATGTATCCTTAAATGTATCCTCAAAATTTTTAATAATAATAATAATAAAGTGATGAATCAGATGAGAATGATTTGAATAATGAGATATTGATGAAATTGATTGATTAATAAAATAGATAAAAAAAGAGAGGATCAAGAAATAGATAGAATAGTTAAGATTAAAGAGATAAAGATTAAAGGAGAGATAGAAGACATGTATAGAAGAGGAAATAAAAGGATGATAATAATAATAATGATGGAGATGGTGATTGAAATTTAAAAAAGTTGTATTTTTTGATTTTGATTGTTATACAATAATTGATAATGATTAATCATCAGATTGTGGTATCTTTAATTTTGGTGCCAGGTAAATGATACAAATCTCTGACAGCTTAACTTGCAAATCTAAGAATATTAATTTTAATCTGACCCTTTACAATAGTTGGCTGGATTCAATTTATTGAAAAGGCAACTTTAAAATTTTGTTAGATTTTCTTATGATTCGGTTGGAGCATCTTAGACTGATTATCCATATTATCCCTTTTTGGTTAAATATGTTATTATTACTTATGAAATACAATAATAATAGCTATCTACAAGTGGTTTACATGGTAAGAAACCATTTGGAACAGCTTTTTCATCTTCAAGATGTTTTTAGAATATTTATTGTCTACAAACATCAATACCTGTTAGATAATATTAACCTATAGTAATATAATTAGATGTTATGTGATACAATTTCTTAATCTGGTAGCAACAATTCTAACTTCATCTTCTGAAGGCACTTTAAGCGTGTATTCATCATCAAATTCACTATTTTCAATAGGAGTAGCTTATCCTGTGAAAAAGAATCTATTCATTAATTTATTTAAAATGGATGAACAAATAATAAATGTGATATTTGATCCAAATTTCACTTCTTTTGATTCAGATTTAGCAAATATGAATCTAGATAAGATGATGTAAGTCACATTTTCAGAAGAGATTCTTTAAAAGAATTTTTCTGTCATTATTTCTATTCTTAAACAGTTACATAAGGGTATGGTACTTATAAATGGATAAGTTAAAGATAATAGTGATTGGGTTTAGGTAATAATAATTAATAAATAATAGAAATTAAGAGAAGAATCATAATAGACTGATACAAAGGATAAAGTTGATGTGATTGATTCTTAAGTTAAGGAAATTCATTAGAATTTTGCTACCAAAGCAGAACTTTAAGCTTTAAAATAAAGATATGGTATCAAATCTATACCCATTATTATACTTTAGACAATATATTGAGAGATTAAGATGTCTAAATTAAAGAGATTGCTAAGGCTTAAGAATAGGAGCAATAATAAATAAATAAAAATGCTGAAGATATTATTTAGAAATAGCAATACATTGATTAAATTAATCAAGAATTGGATAAGCTTCGTAAACTTATTAATGATCAAAATAAAATTATATCTGATTTATAAACTTAAAAACCAGATACAAATATTAATTAGATCTAATCAAAACCATTAAATGATGATTCCCTCAAAGATATACAAAATCGTCTTGCTTAACTTGGTAAATTCATATTTCTTATTAATTAGAATCTTAATACAAAGAATTACTAAAATAATTGAATAATTAACCAAAAAATCTAATTTAACCACTCTAAGTTAAAGATTAAGATTATATTGAATAACCAAATTCGGAAGTTGATTTATCTGATATTAATAAGAAGTTAGATAATCATGAAGAAGAAATATAAAAATTATTTGAATTACTTGATGAATTAAAAAAGAAAAATAGAGATGTTGTTACAGTAGGTGGATAATCTAATATTGATAGTGAAGATTTATTAATCATTAAAAATGATATCAAAAAATTGTTCACTTTATTAGAATAATTACAAACATAATTGAATTTAGCATCATTTGGTAATTCAGCTGCAGGTGAAGAAGGTAGTAATATAGCTGAAAATTAAATGGTTATTATTCTAGCTGAAATTAATAAAATTAGAGCATTATTAGAAAATTATGCTACTTAATAAGATTTAACAAATCTAGGTTAAAAAGTTGCACTCTAATAAAAATAAACTTATGATCATATTGATGAAGAAATTGAAAAAGTTAGAAGAGAATTTAAAATAAATCTAGGTAAAAAAGGAGAATTATCAGAATAAGAAAAATTAAAAAATGAAATAGCATAAATAAAAGATCTTTTAAATAAAAATAAACGAGGATCTTAACCATAATTAGATAGTAGTCCATCTAAAGGACCTTAATTAAGTCCAGATTTCTTAAATACTTTTAAAGAATTATAAGATTAAGTTGCTTAAAATGAATAGTAATTATTTTAATATATAAAATTAGAGAATTAATTAATCATAAATCTTAATTTTCATAAAATGCTTAGTAAGTTTAATAAAAGATAGCAGAATTAGAAAATAAAATGAAATAAACTAAAACTGATTCAATCATTTCAGGTTTATAGGAATTGAGAGAAATTTAAGACTAAATGAAAAAAGATTAAGATACAAATAAGGCTAAGATAGCATAATTTGGAAAGAAGATAGATGGAGTTGTTACAAGAGAAGATTTATTAGCTTTATTTGAACCTAAATTGAAATAAACTCGTGATGAGTTATCTAAATCTATTGAAGAATTAAGAATAAAATTAGAAAAAAAGGCTGAATTGGAAGATTTAGAAAAACTTTAAAATGATCTTGTTTCTAGATTAGAAGAAGTTGTTTAAGCACTTATTAAATAATTAGCTAATAAATCTGAAACTAAGAAAGCTTTAATATATTTAGAATAAAGAGTATAATTATTTTAATAATAATATAGATTAATTAAATATTTATGATGCTTGAAGGAGAAGGAGGATCAAAAGATTAAGAAGGATTATTTGCAAAAAAATAACTTTGGTCATGTGCTTCATGTGATAAAGAATTAGATAAATTTAAAGGCTAATTAGGAGATTATAGAGGATGGGCACATTTCCCACCTAAAGAAACATCTCCAGAAAGAATGGGAAGAGTATTTATATATTATTATTTTAGTTTGGAGTTGGATATAAATAAATGCAAGAAAAATCAAAAAACAATAGAGATAAAATAGATAAAGAAAGATATTAAAATGATAAAGACAGACCTAATAGCCAAGCTAATTAATAATTCTATTAAACAGGATCTTAGATGAGTCAAAGTTAAAACAATCTTCCAAAGATTAATAAATGACATTATATATATTTAATGAATAATTACAAATAAATTATAATTGTTTTTAATTAAATCAAAGACTATTAATAAAATATTCAAGTTGAGACTTAAAAACTTTATGTAAATAAATGAAATAAAATATAAACTAATTTGATTACTCTTTCTGAATAATAAATAATGACCAATATTGAATAATTTTATTGAATTAAAAATAAATTATAAAGTTGAGTTCATTAAGGTTTTTACAGATCTTGAAGATAATGAAAATAAATTGCTTTCATCATCCATCTATTTTTTAGCTTATAAGAAGTTATTGTCTGTCCTTAAAAAATATAGAACTCAAAAATATATCAAAATTTGTATTGAGGTCTAATAAATTTAAGAGACAAATCAATTCATAGAAAGAATCGGATTAACATTCTTCATGGAATTTGAGCTTCCTAAGGATAAAATAAATAAGAATATTCAGAAATTCAGTATATTTAATTGATTAAAACCTTAAATAACCCTTTCATTTTTCAGCAAAGAATTAATAAATGTAGATAAAATAGAGATCCAATTCTAGAAATTGAATAAATTATTGAAAGTTTGAATGCTATTATATTTTGTAGAATCAGATAATCATACATGTAGAATTAGATAATCAAATCCTAAATTAAGAATTTCATTAAAGTTATTATTAAAATTCATCTGAATTCCTCATAATTTGATACAAAGACAATTTACAAACTAGTTTAGCCATAAATTATAAAACTATTTATGATTGTACTACAATAATATATAAACGATATCTTTTTTATTACATTAGGAATTACATAATTCAATAATTTTCAAATCATATAAAGATTAAAAAAAAAAAATTTTATTTACATCTGCTAATCAGCAACCATGCAAGCCGATCAAATAATTACTTTATGATCTTTATCTAAAATAAAAATGGAAATTAATTATCAAAATAAAATTCTGTTTCACAAGATAATTAAAAATGTAATAGTAAAGTTTGAAATCTTTAATTGATTTGATAAGAAAATGTCAATAGTATTTGCAATTACCTAATTAATTAAAAGAAGCTATTAAATTAGTATCTAATGAAACTAATGATTATTAATCTATTGTATTTAAATAAAACATTAACAGTTTATTAAGTTGAGAATATTGGAAGGTATTTTATGATGAAATATATTTAAACAATAAAGAAATTTCAAAGTTTTAAGAAAGTTTTGTAAGTCAAATAGAATTAAAATCTATTAAAAATCATAATCTAAGCCAAATACAAAAGTTGAAAGAAGAAATTGAGATTAAGTGGCTGTTATTTTTTAATTAGATTAAAAATCATATATCAAAACATTGAATTAAAAAATGAATAGAATTTAAGTCATTATCCTTTATGTGGAATATAATTTGTTTTGTTGCAAAAAAAGTTGCATCTTTTTATTTAATATTTTTAACAATATAGAATTGTTTTTTTTTATATCAACTTATAGTGTGTGTATTAAATTCTACGAAACAAGCTTTTTTTTTAAGAAGTTGTAGAATTAATGAAATATTAAATAAATATAATGCTATCTCAATACATGTGATTAAAGTTATATCATATCAAGACCATATGTTATAAAATGATTAAGTAAATTAATTTAGATTAATAAATATTTTATAATGTCATTTATTGTTATTTAATGTTTTAATAAAATTGAAACATTCTAATACTAAAGGTATAAATTTGTTAGATTAATTAAACCATGAGGTATATTTAATTAAAACAATAAACAGTGAAATTTAAAGGATCTTTATGATAGGAGGGGTTTCATAAATTGTAAAGAAAATGAAAAGAATTAAACAAAAATACCTTGTCAGAGATAAATATACGGAGAAGAACTTAAAAAATTTTAAATGTTATTTAATTTTAAAGTTTATTTGGTTATTATTAACAATAATGATGAATTTTAATGGTTTTAATACTGAAAGAATGTTTACTGGCCGTGGAGAACTTACAAAACCTGAAACTCATCAATATGCAGAAGAAGAGTCTCCAGAGAATTCTTAAGTTGAAGGGTTTGATATGATGTGGAAGAAGCATTCTTTATAGATTTTTTGTACTGCCATCAAATTTATGATAAAGTTAAGGACATCGTTAGATTAATATAGACTAAGAAAAATTACTCATAGAATATATTAAATAATTGGAGATAAAGCATCAGATTATTTTTATTATTAAGTAAAAGGTTTAGTTAATTAAAAATGGACATTCCAATCCTATATCAAAAGTTTGTTGATATATAATTTTTGGGTTGAGATGTAAATTGGAGTCATTAAACCAGATAGCAAAATTAAATTATTAGTCGATTGCACTATTCTTATTTTAATTGTAATGAATATTTTCTATATTCCAATGTAACTCTCATTTTCATTATAGAATAATGCTTAAACTGTTGATTTTTTATTTAGTACAATACCAAGTTGGGTATTTTTGATGGAAATTATTATTAATTTTAACACCGCTTATTATTATAAGGGAATGATACATGAAGATAGAACTAAAATATTCTAACATTATATTAAAGGAGATTTCTTTAAGGATTTATTGGTTGTTATACCTTTTCTTATATCATAATATGATATTCCTTATCTTAATTTTGTATTACTATTAAGAATTACAAGAGTTAATAAGATTTTTGAATAAATTGAGGAAATAACTTTAATTAGAGAAAAATTTGCAGCTCCAATAGATGTTATGAAACTTATGATATTTTTAATTTTTGTAGCACATGTTAGTGGTTGTTCATGGCATTATATAGGTATTTAAGAAGTTTTCGAAAATAACACAGGTTGGTTAGTTAAATATGGTTATTCTGAAAAAGATTGGATTTCAAGATATGTTGTATCACTTTATTTTGGTACTGTAACATCTTTTACTGTTGGTTTTGGAGATATTGTACCATAAACATTAGTTGAATAAGTTTTCTTAATTATTATGGTTTTGATTACTTCACTTGTTTTTGGTTATACAATTTCATCAATATAAAATATATTTGGATAATTAAGGGAGAAAACTGATTAACATCGTAATAAAATGGCTAAAATTAATTCATATATGAAGAAAAATAGAATAAATCTTGTTCTTCAAATGAAAATTAGAAAATATTTTGAATATTTCTTTACTTTAGATGAAAGTCCAGAATTACTTATGGATAATTTAAATGATGATTTGAAAATAGAATTAAAACTTAGTATTTATAAACCAATTATAAACAAATGTTCACTCTTTAAAAAATTTGATGAAAATCTATTATATTAATTATGTAGAATTGTTTAAACATAAAAATTTATTCCAGGTTAAATGATTTTTTAAGAAAATGATTAAATAAATAAAGCATATTTCATTATCTAGGGAGAAGTTGATAAATAAATTAATAAAATCTCAATCCAATAGCAATCAGAAGGATCTCTTGGAATTATGGAGTTTTTACTATAAAAACCTATACATTATTCATTGAAAGCTACTCAATTTACTGAAATTGCTTATATAGTTTATGATGTATTAATATAATTTCAATCATTAGGATTTTATAACAATCATAAAAGAAAAATAATCTCATCAAGAATAATATTTTTAAATGAAGGATGAATTACTTTATCAAACCCATTAAATGAAATGTGAAATTTGCTCATAATTTCATCATTTTTTAAGATGTCCTATTGTATTTTATAGACCTTCTACTAATCTTGTAGTTTGTGATTAAAGTGACACTATAATATAACCTAGATATAAACATAAAAGAAGATAAAAAATTAAATAATCTACTTTAGTTTCAACACAATATAATCTTTCTGCTGCTGTTAATTATATGTGTGATAATGATTTATTAAATGAAGGTATTAATGATACTGTACTCAAAAAATTTGGTTATGTTGATTAGGAAGAGAAATAATAAACTATAGAAGATGTCAAACTTAGGTCTTTGAAAGTTATTTAAAAATTACAAGAACATCATGCTCATACTCCAAAAATGAAAAGAATGATATATAAAAATATTATGAAAAAGGATGATCATAAATTTATTCTAAGTAAAGAAGAATCAATTTTAGAAAATATGTATTAAGAATTTATTAATTTTAAAAAAGAAGATCTTAATAATTTTGATTTGCATATGGAATTTTCACATTATCATAAAGAAAAAAATTTAAGTTAAGTTCTTTAAATATTTTCTAAATAATAACGCTATAAACCAAAAGAACAATTTTTTAGTAAAACAAGATTAGGTAAAACTAAATAATTAAACTCTCATAATTCAACTTAAAATATTTTAATTACAAACAATCACACAATTATGAAAACTATATTTAATAAAAAATGAAAATTTTATTTTTTATTTTATTTATTATAAATTGATTACTTTAACTAAATTATTTTTCAATTCATATAAATTAATCAAATTGATTTTCTATAGTCTATGATCAAGTATTCCTTTAATAAGAATTGACTTAAAAAAGTAATGTATAAACTAAAATTGAAAATATTGTCTCAAAATATGAAAAAGTATAATTAGAACAAATTTTAATTTTAAATATTATAATTACTTTTAAAAATGATGATCCTTCTAAACTAGTTAATTTAAAATCTAAAATAATAGAAAAACATGAAAAAACTCAATCAATCCCATTTTCTAAAAACATATAATGATTCCTTATTTTCAAGTATTCCTCTTATAAAATGATTTCATTAGGTTCTTTAATTTAAGAAAAAAGCGAAAATGCTTGGTTTAAAATACCAAGGGATTTATAAGAAAAACCTGATAATATTGAAAATTTTGTTAAAGATCAAGTAAAATATTATTTGATACAAGTTGAAGAAGTAACATAACCATTGTAATAATTATATGTTATTAATTTGAAAAAAATTTTTAGTTATTATTTACACTTTGTAGAAAATATGTATTATGAATAGCTTTTCCAAATGACATAAAAGACTAATAATGATTTCTAAATGTATAAATTTTGTAACTAAAATTGTTGAGAGATACTTCTTATCTTTATTCAAGAATTGAAAGATATAAGTTATATTTTAAATTAATTAATTAAGTTTGTCTATCAATTGAATCAAGTTCTTTTTTATATTTATTTTTAATTCATTATAAAAATAATAATAATACTATAATTTTTTGGGTAAGAATGAATTAGATAAAATTGAGATTTGTATTAAATTATTGAATTGCTATAATAAATAATTTGAATAAAAAAAAAAGAAAGTTTTAGATTTTAGAAGAATATGAGAATAATAAAAATAATAAACGAATTTGAAATGGTTTATTAACAGTATAATTAATTAATTAATTAATATATTCAAATTCAAAAATGAGCAATGAGAATATGTACTCAAGTGATTTATTTTAATCAACCGTAATGAGCAAATCCTATTATTAAGTGTTACAAGATTCAAATTTAATAGAATCATAAGTGTTATAACCTGTTTGTTAGATGGCAACATCTTAATATATGACATAATCAATGTAAAAGCCAAAGAAAATGGAAATATTTCATTAATTGAATGAAGAGCATGATTCAGAAGATGAAGGAATTGAAGATTATAAGTTAGGTGGATATCATCCTGTTCATGTTGGAGAAATCTTATAAAATAGATATGTTGTAATACAAAAATTAGGTTGGGGACACTTTTCAACTGTATGGTTATGTAAGGATTTTAAATTTGATACATATGTTGCTATAAAGATATAAAAATCAGCAGAGAATTATCTTGAAGCTGCGTATGATGAAGTTGAAATATTATAGAAAGTAGCATAACATGTGGGAGATGAAAAATGGTTGAAAAAATTAATATAATATAAACCAAATTAGAGATTAAATAGAGATGATACTCATGTAGTTTAATTGTTAAATTCATTTGTATATAGAGGTCCATATGGATGTCATTTTTGTATGGTATTTGAAATTTTAGGAGTTAATTTATTGGAGATAATAAAAAGATATGAATTTAAAGGAGTTCCAATGAGATTATGTAAGAAAATAGCAAAAGAAGTATTGATTGGATTAGAATTTTTACATGATCATTGTGGAGTTATTCATACTGATTTAAAACCAGAAAATGTTTTATTATAATTAACATAAGATGAAATTAAAGATATTATAGAAAATGGTTAATTAACTAAAAATTAGATATTCAAAGAGAGATTGGATTTTTATCATTAATTATTTGATATTAAGAAGGAAGAACCTATAAAACTTGAAGAATCTGTGAAAACTGTTATTTAAGAAGAAACAAAAGTAATAGAATAAGATTAAGAAAATGAATATTAAAAATTGACAAAAAATTAATTAAGAAATTTATAGAGAAGATAAAAGAAAAAATAATAAAAATTATAAAAGTAATAAGAAATTGAAATAAAAAAGATTGAAAAAGAGTTTGAAAAGTAAGATAAAGAAGAAATATAAATTGAAAATAAAGTTTAGGATAAATAAACAGATGATTAGATTACAAAGAGTAATTTATTTTAGATAGATAAAAAATCATTATTTAAATAGATACAAAAGAATGAATTTTCAGTAAAAGTAGCAGATTTAGGTAATGCTTGTTGGACCCATCATTAATTTTCAACATTAATATAGACAAGATAATATAGATCACCAGAAGTATTAATAGGTGTAAGATATAATTAAACAGCTGATATATGGAGTTTTGCTTGTATGTTGTTTGAATTATTGACAGGAGATTTCTTATTTGAACCGAGAAAAGGAGCAAATTTTTCAAAAAATGATGATCATTTAGCATAGATATAAGAATTGATGGGGAAATTTCCATTGAAATTCTGTTAAAGAGGATTAAAATCAAAAAGATACTTTAATAAAGATGGAAATTTATTAAGAATACCTGTATTAAATTGTTGGTCATTAACTGATGTTTTAATAGAGAAATATAAGTATAATCCTAAAGATGCAAAAGAATTATGTAAATTAATTATAATAATAAATAATAATAGCTTCATTTTTATAACCTATGTTAAATCCATATCCAGAAAAGAGAGCTACAGCATCATAATCATTATAACATTCTTGGTTATAAAGTGAATCAGATGGAATTAAAATGAGTGAAGAAGAATTTAGAGAATATAAATTATAAAGAGGTTAAATTGAATTCAAAAAAGTATTAAAATAAAAATAAATATTAATAGATAGTTGAAAGTGAAGAAGAAGATGCTGATAGAAGTGAAACACCTGAATCAACATTACCATTACCATCTAGATATAGATATAAAATAGAACCAAGATTTGTTAATAGAAATGAAATTGATAGATCTTTTACAGATCTAGGATATATAGGATTTGGAAATGGTATAGAAATTGATATGTTGGATTCAACAGGCAATTGGCAATTCATTAATTGATATATCATTCTTAAGTTGTTTTAGGTACTTTGTAAGATGAACTCTTTTTAAATAGTCCTATTTTTGGAGCTTAACTATTTAATTTCTATATTGCATCATCTAAATGTGCAGATTCTTCATTTACATAATCATCATCTTTACTCATTTATTTTTACTAATAAGAATTCTTTAATGCAAATTTATGTAAATCTTATTAATCTTTCTTTTTATTTAAGGGAGAAGCCATAGTATTACTATTACTATCTTACTATACACTTTTCATTGTCTAACAAAATTAACTAAATTTTGATTATTATTATTATTATGGTTATGCCTTTTCTAAACGGCTTGTAGATCCTTATCCTGAACAAACAGATAAAGATCCTATAGTATCAATTCTTCCATTTAAAATTGGAGATCTCACTACTAATTCCATTGAACCTACTTAACTATCAAAACTTCCTTTTTTTTATAATCTTCTTTCATGTTCTATCTCATATTCAATTAAATTCTCATGAATTTCAACCAAATCATTTTTATTAAATATTTCTTCAAAATAAGCATGTTATAAACATTTCTCAGCATTTGGTCTATCTTTTGGATTTTATTATAACATTTTTCTTAATAAATCTTATAATTTCGGAGATGCCTATTTATTAAACTAAAATACCTATTGAATTTATTTTATATTATAATTAATTTCACAATTCTTATTTGCTTTTAATATTGCCTTATAATCTGATCCTTAAAATGGTTATCTTCCAGTCAATAATATATAGAATATAACACCTGCACTAAATATATCACATTTATCATCATAAAATGGATCATCTTCCTTATACAGTAATATTTCTGGTGCTACAAATCCTGGAGTACCACATCTTTTAAATAAAATCTCCTCTCCTAAAAATGCTGCCAATCCAAAATCTGCTATTACTACATCCACATTTGACTCTTTTGATTTTAATAATAAATTTTCTGGTTTCAAATCTCTATGTATACATTTCTTACTATGTATATGTACCAATGCTTTTATAAAGTTGTACATTAATTTTTAAAGAGTATCTAATGAAAAAGGATTTGCTTTTGCTCTTGCAAGTAGTTCCCCTCCTTAAAGCAAATCAATCACAAAATATATTGAATTTTATGTCTCATATGCTTCATGTAAATGTACAAGATTCTCTTAATTCAATCTTCTCATTACACGTATCTCATTCTCTAAACTTTCCTTCCCTTTAAATTACTCTAACATAAATTCTTTGTTAAATGCTTTTATTGCATATTACACTCCTGTTTATTTCTTTGCTGCCAAATACACTTTTGCAAAACTTCCTTTCCCGATCATTTTTGTTACTCCAAATTCATCATGAAACGTTGTCTAGAGACATTTATATGCTAACAATTGTTTAAATAGCATTGCATCTGTTGTTATAATATCAATGTATTATTCATTTCTTAATAATCTGATCATCACTCCATTCTCATTTTTTTAAATAGTCATCACTACTACAGTCAATAGTAACATTCCATGAGGATTCTTATTTTTGAATAAATATAAATGTTCCTAACCTAATTGAATTATTATTGGTTTAAGCTTTTAAGTTTTTCTACTTATTTTATGACACACAGATTCAAAAATGATGGAATCATTCTATCGATTTTCATATTTTATTTACTTCATATGTACTAAGCTAAAACTTAGACCAAATATGTTTGATTTTAGGTATTACTTCGAGATTATCAAAGAATGATGTAAATTCATTCAGCATCATTTTACTTGAAAATTAATTATATTATTGAATAATAAATCAGTATCATTTCAATAACACTCTTTTTTAATATCACCATTAATAAATAATGAGTCTCAAATAATAAAACTAATTAAATTCCATTATAAAATTTTTATACTGCACACTTTTGTCTTAAACAGCATTTACATGAACTAATGTTTGAATAATAGTTTACTCATATCGATTCATAATTAATAAATATCTAATTCTCAGATTAAGTTTAATAATAAGATTTATTTTCTGTGACAAATTTTTAGATTTCTGAGTCAAAATAAGCAATTTATTATGATAAGTACTTATTCTACAAATTAACCTACAGTTTTTATTAAAATATTGGATTACTTATCAAATAAAAAAAAAAAACAATTATTTAGAATTACATTAATCAAAATTTAAATTATACAATAAAAATAAATTTCTTATATTTTCAGAATCTAAACTTCTCATTGTGATTCTTAAAGGAAATCCATTTCTCATCCATTGTTTCTAATTCAATCTTTATTAAGGAAATATTAAAAAATTAGAATATTGATTATTCAAATTTAATAGAAGCATATTTTCTAATGAATTTTTAATAAATTTTCATTAATTAAAAATAATTTATATCAAAATTTTAAGTATTTATGATAATATTAAAAAAAAATTATTACCATTTTCTTAGACAATGATCAATTTATTTCTAATTAAAAAATTTCTATTTCAAAATAAATAAGTAAAAATAAATAGGAATTTGTTTAAAAAGAATAATTATAATCATAAATCATAAATCATATTAACCAAAAATAGTCCCCTTAATAATTTCAACAGTGTGATATTCCCAATTTTAATAGAATGGGTATTGATAAATATTTTATGATACAATTAACATATCTATTAAATTTAGATCTAAATTTTTCATTTTATTATGTTATTATTCATCATTAGATTCAATTTAACCCTCATTTAATATGTTTTCTTATTCATCTTCCTCTTAATTGCTATCATCTTACTCTGAAATAGCACCTACTTTTTTTTATTTTTTTTATCCTTCCTTACTTTCCAAAACTGTATTTCTTCTTTTGCTTGTAGATCCTAAATTACTGATTGTCCTTTTAAGTGCAGGTTTTTCAATCAGTAAAGAATTTTATTCTGGTTATGTAGTATCTGGAATATCATTATAGTTGATAGATAAAAATTAATTATTTTAGGGATTAAAACTTTGATTCATTTTTGGTTGAGATAATATTTATTGAGATTAAACCTTTTAATCTTCTATAGCATTAAGATCTAATACAGATTACTAAGCAATTATAGTCTTTTAAGACTTTTAGGGACTGTTTTTATTTTTTTATTTCTTTTTTTTAGGTATATTTATTTTATTTGATTGATCATTTTCCAAATCACTAATAGATGGATCATCATTAAATTATTTAGAAGTGAGAGGAGTAAATACACTAGGTTCTTTTGGTTCATGAATTGTTTAATTATGTGGTTCTTAAGGACAAAATTCTGAATGTTCAACAATTATAGATTATTATGGTGTTTCTTCAACAATTTCTTATGCTTCAACAATAGGAGATTATTATTCTGGTTAAATTAATTCTGTTTATTGAGATTGATATTTTTTAATTTTAATTGGTTATTTTGGTTTTAATAGTGTCTTGATTATATCCATATGATTTAAAAGCTGTAGAACTTACTTATCTAATTTATTATTTTAAATATAGTAGTCATTAAAATCTTAATATAAACAATCATATTCATCTTTTAGTTTTACAAGTTTCACTTAAAAAGTATCTTATTGAAGGGGTTCTTTATAGAATTATTAAGAGGAAAATAACAATTTTACTTTCCCTACTAAATTTTTTACTTTGTCTTAAATTTATTGATCTTTACGATCATTATTCAATCGATCTAGTCGAATAGTAGCACTTGGATCTTTAAATGAATATACACGAGGATCTCTTGAATTTACTCCTTCTTCTTTTTAAGGTTACATCAATTATCTTAATTTACTCCTATATCGTCGAAAAGTATTCACAACGGATGTACTTTAATTAGTTTATTAGATCTAAGTTATGAATTCTCCTCCATTACGATAATCAGCTGTTTTAAGCTTTTCTTAACTATTATATATAGCTATAGTCATTCCTCGAACTCTCTTTTTAATTGGAGAAGGATCATAATTCCTAAGAGGACTACTTTAATGTTTAATCATTGATGAATTAGATAGATTATTATCACCGTAACTAAGACATTAATAAGAGTCTTTTGGTTATAACTTTAGTGCTGGTAATTTAAAAGAAGTAGCTTAAACTCTCATAGTATTTTTATTAAATTATACTATATATACATAACTAAATTAATTCACTCCTGTAATTTAGTCTATATTATATTTTACTCATTATTAGATTAATGGATTTCTATAAAATATTATAATCATCATCTTAATTCATAATTATTTTATTTTTTTCATTCTTATTCTATTTTATTTTAGATTTCTCTTTCAATTTTATAAACTTTCTTTCACTGCTATCAATAGTACATTTTTTTAAAGCTTTGTTTAATTTAACTAAAGAAAATCCAAATAATCCATTAAACTAGATCATTTTAACTCAAACTATTCTTTTTTACTCCAAAAAATAATATTTTTTATTTACTACTGTCATATCTAAACAAATCAATACTTTAAATTTCCCAATCAGCTCTTCGAATTGAGATAATATATTTCTTATTTTTTTTTATTTTTTGTCAGTTTTATTTTTAATTAAGTATCAGAAATGTATAGAAAGAAAATTGATATCCTTTACAACAAGCTTTTTCTCAACAAATTTTTTTTAATTAGGACTATCAATTTTCTATAAAATATATCATACTATTGATATTATTATAGCAATTTTTTATTTTTTGTTTAGATATGATCTTTATATTTAGCAAGTCTAAAATTAAGATTTAAATATTAAAGTATAGTTGTATAAGGATTATGCTCTATGATTGTCTTTCAACATTATTTTAATTAAAAAAACAAATGGATTAGTTTAATTTGATATTTCTATATATCATATTTAAGGGGTTTTATTTGAACTAAAAATTTGTCCAATCAACAGAATCATGATATTTATTGAATATTAATGAATATAAAATATCTTTAATTTGTTAAGTCAGACATAAGGCAAAAATAAGATGAAAAATATTATTTTGTATTGATACTATTAATTATAATAAATTAGTTTTAATATATTGAGATAATTTTATATCTTCAAAAATAATAATGGTATTTGTTAATAAAATAAATTTATCAATTATGCAGTTCAAAGTAATTAATAATTACTGTGATGTCATTTAAATTAAGATTTAAGCAATTATGTTATTTTAATAATTTTAATTTTTTTTTTAAATATTTTAATGTTTAATAAATCAGTGTAATCTAATAGAAACTTGCTATCTGGTTAACTTCATAGAATAATATTGAACAAATAATCATAAAGAGATGAGATTGATCAAATTTAAAAAAAGAATTCATTAAAATATAAGTTAAGAGAGTAAATTAAACTTTAGAAGAGCAATAACCACTTTAACGCAAGGAATTCAATGGATGGTTTAGAATCGGTTTTTAGAGTGGATACAAGCAAAAAGATAAAAAGCCCAGTCATTGTGATACCAAATAGAAAGATTTTTGTATCTAGCAAAAATAGTAGAAGGAGTCATTAATCAGCTAGTTAAGAACCTGGCCAATCAATGCCAGGAGTTAAGAAATCTATTGAATGTGGCTATCGAATATTAGTGAATAGATCTTCTAGAATTCCTACACTATAGATGGATGAAGAATTGACAAAGGAGTAATCAAAAATAATTATTTCAAAAGACCCTGTTTCCTTTACTGATTGGGTTGAGAGGATTTATGGTAAAGGATGGTTTTATTGAGATTCTGATAATAATTGATCATATTTTCTTATTCATTGTAGAATATATATATAATTAATTTAAATTTGGATGATGACGAATAACAGTGAAAATTTCAAATTTAAGAAAAATAAATAAATTATTTAAGTTAAATTGATTAGAGTATAATTGTAAGTATTCAAGCATGCATGATTTCTTATAATTTTTGCTAATTTCCCTCTGCTAAAATTATTAAATTTTATATTAATTTTTTCTTTTAACATTATATTTTTACATAAATAAATCAAATATTGATTAAGTGATTATCTTTTAATATTAATGTCATCAACCTTTGAAAATGCCAATTCAGTTAGTATTCTAATTTACCAATTGATTTTATTATATGTGGCATTTTAAAAATATTCATTTTAATGTTCATTATTGTGCATTTTAAATTAATCTTTTGTGAGGATTGATTCAACATTTAATTTGCCAATAATTATTTAGATTAAATATTAAATTTTAAGATTCAATTTATTCTGTATATATTATGTTGAGAATGAATAGTTACATCAATCATTATGAGTAATATAGTTAATAGCAGATGTTTTAATATTTAAGAATGAATTAAACATATCTAAAATGCTTTGCCAAAAAAGTTTATAAATTTTTGATGTCTTCTTTAGAAATTAGAAATACTTTTATTGTGATATCTAGAGTAAAGTAGGTTAATCTCTGTAAAAATTAAATGAATCTTAATTTTCAATGTAGCTACCATGCCCATACATTCTAGAAATTACAAGTTAAGTTTATTTCTCTTAATTTATAATTATCTCATTGATTTCTATTATATGTAATTTAAATAATATTAAGTGTACATTCTTAAAATGTTTAAAATACTTTATTTTAAGAAATTGTTGTATATTTAATTAAACTACATCCAATTTTTAATCTCTTTCCATCAATTAATGTAATACTCTCCCTAAATTTTTTTGGTTATTCTTATAGTTCAATACCAATAAAGTAATAAGCCAAAGTATCATCAGCTAAGAATTTTTAATAACTTCTTTCAGCCATTAATAATTAGGTATCAGGAACATTATTTGTATTTAATTTTCCTATTTTTGATTTATTAGATATCCTTTTTAGAAATTTGTCTATTAATTGATATTTTTTATTAAATTTATAATTAATATATTATAAATATATTATCATATACAATCAGTGGAATTTTTAAAAAGAGATTGGTTCTATAATAAATACTTAAGATCATATTAAAAGACTCTGATCATTTTTTTGATATAATAAACATTTTCAGAAGGTTTAAAACACAAAGTGTCACAAGTTGTTTACTCCTTAATTTCTTCTTGTAATAAAAAATTGGATGCAACTCTATTTGTGCTTTTTTGATTAAACAAATATTAACATGATTAAGTTTAATCTTTTTTTTTAAACTTTTTGATAGTTTATTCCTATGATTAATCCTAAACTTCTTTCTAATAAATTGGTCCTAAAGGAATTGATTATTTATTTTAAAATTTATGTAGAATTAACATAGCATGTTTAAAATCAATGACTTTATTCGTTGGTCTATGAATTTTACCAAAACTATGTCCTTTCTTATATTCCATAGGTATTTTCTTGACTAATATCTTTAAATCTTTTCTTTTATTCTCAGTTTCCCACTTATTAAGATTCCCATTTTGTAATAATACATCTAAATCATATTCATCTTCAGTATAGGAATTCTAATCAATAAATCCTTCTTTAGTTTTTGCATCTAATAAATATGCAGCTTCACCTACATTTCTCATTCCTTTTCCTGGTTCTTCATATTCTCCTTGTGCAAATTTCTCATGATAATAAATTGCTTTATTCATGTCTTATTTGTAATAGTAACATAAAGATATTTTATCATAAGTAAATATCTCATAATTAGTATCATTTACTATCCAAGATAATTTTAGCATTTTTTTTAAATAAATTAAACTTTTATCATACTATTAAAGTTTTATACAAATCTTTGAAATGTGTTTATAAGCTATTAATTTATATTTATGACAATGGTTTCCTTGCATATTACAAATTCTTAAAACTTTTTTCCAATTAGAATATGCTAGTTTCTCCTTCCCATATATTTCCAATATCATATTATGTATATAATAACCAATTAAGAACAAATTCAAACAACCTATTTTCCATAATAATCTAATCATTCTTTCTCCAATTGGTGAAATTTAATTCACTTCCTCAACTACCATTTTTTCATTCATTATCTATAATAACTTTTAAATCTTTTCTATAAATTCTCCAAATTTAGGATTCTCAAAAACTATGGATTATAACTTCATTGCATCTCTTCCACCAAAAAAGGTTTACTTATATTTATCAGGATTAAATTTTTAATAATTAGCTTCCCCAGGTTAATACAATTTCTATAATTATTACATTTGCAATCTTCTATGTTAATCTTTATATTCTTATATTCCACTATCTGCCTAATACACTACTTGAACATGCATATTTTATGAATTTAATTCTTCAACTACATCATTCTTAGTTAAAATATCTCTTCCTTTTATATGTTTTATATTTAATGGATCTCTTAAAAATAAATAATCATCAAACCCTTACCAACGAAGTAAAGATCTCCAATATTATTTAACTATAAATTTTTCTTATTATTCAGTTAAATATGGACTTGCTTCTTATTAAACTGAATGTTTTGGATTTATGAATAAATTTCCTTTTACATTTCCAATTAAATTTCCCATACTTTAACTTGCTGATTCTGGTTTTGATTATCTTTAATTAATTCGAGATCCAATAGGTCTTCCTGATTCCCTTGTTGCAACAGTTCTTTTAGTTATCTATTTGTTTTAATTGTTTTATTCGAATTTTTGTTAAAGAAAATCTTCATAATCTTTATTAAGGAGGTTACGTAAACCTTTCATTTATTTAGAATTTTTAAACTATTTATTATTTTATATTCTTATTGTATTTCTTAAACAATTTTACAAATATACATTTTATTTCTAAATCCTTTAGATTTTATTTATTTGAGAAACCATCAGTCAGGTTTGGACAATGTATTAAAACTCTCTATAATTTTATTTATGTGTTAAAGTTAACATTAACTTTTTAATTTCAGAAATCAGAAAATAAAAGATGACATTATCAATTCAGTATATATTATACCATAATTTCCATTATCTTTGTTAAATATTTTACACAGATCTCAGATTTCATTAATTTAATAAATACTAAAATTTAAATATACTTTCGGATTGATCAAAGGATATGGATATAGTTATGATCATCAAACCAAATTTATAAAATAATTAAAGAGTATTACTAGATAATATCATTTGATTTACTCATATATTCGCTTATTTTTATTTAATGACTGATTAAATGTATAATGACTGATTAAATGTATAATGACTGATTAATATATATCTCACATATAAATTTCTTTTTTTTTTCACTTAATTTTTTAATCTTACAATTTTATATACTGTTCTCTTGAGGGATATTTATTTTTATTTTCATTAAAAAAAGTTAATGCGTAATTCTGATCATTTATCGAGTAGAACAAAATAAATATTGTTCGGTAGATGATGAAATAGCTTTACTTCTTCTTAGCTATATAATTTAATTTAAATAATTAAAATAATAGAAAGATTCTGATACATTACATAATTCAATATTATACTGCTTATTACTATGATCCTGGTTAATGAAGCAATATAAATAATATAATAATAAAATATTTTAAAATGAATAAAGTTTGAAACTATGAGCAATTACAAAAACAAGTTAAAAAGGATTATTTAATAATACCATAAATATAAAGAATTTGATGAATATGAATTCAATTTAGAAGGTGATAAAAAATAATTACTTAACTTTTTATTATAATGGATTTACTTGATTTTTGATTTTGGCCTTATACTAATAATAATCTTTATTAAAAATATGTTATTTTTGAAATTTTCTTAATAATTTAAAGAAGAATCAATATTAAGGAATTCTAAAAATTATTATTCCTAAGATTCAATTAATATCAGATAAATATAGATTATTGTAACAAGAGTCAAAGATATTGATGAAGTTTTTAAAAAGGATTTGTTAATTGAATGATATCAGCAATAATATTTTCCCAAATTATCAAGTACTATAGAAATGGGAGTTTAATAAATAGATAGTAAAAAACAAGAAAATAGTTTATAAAATCATGCATCATCTAGCCATTTGAGTCTTTTACCATCTTCCCAAATACCAATTTTGATAGTTCCATCATTCAAATAATATTTAGAAGTGCCATGTTATTTACCATTTTTCCATCCTCCCTCATATTTTCTACCATCTGCCCAATAGTAGGTTCCTTAGCCATGTTTTTTATCATTTAAATATTATCCATCATATTTTCTACCATCTTACCATTGATAAACTCCAAGTCCATTCATATTATTATCTAACCATTATCCAGTGTAATTTCTACCATCAGCCCATATGTATGTACCAAAACCATTTATTTTATTATCTTTCCATTCTCCTTCATAATATGATCCATCTGCCCAATCATATCTACCTTTACCTTGTTTTTTTCCATCAAAATAATCGCCACAATATTTTGATTTATCCTACCCTATTATAAATTATAATAATAATACAAGTTTCTGTTCCTTTTCCATGTTATAAATCATCCTTCCATTCTCCTTCATACTTTGCTCCATTAAAATGACTATAGACTCCCCAACCATTTGCTTTATCATCTTTCCATTCTCCTTCAAATAGATCTCCATCAGCATGATAAAACTTTCCTTATCCACAAGCTTTATTTTCTACCCATTAACCTTCATATCTAGCTCCATCTGGCCATTTTTGAATACCAAATCCATCTCGTTTTTTATCTTTCCATTCTCCTTCATAAATTGCTCCAGAATGAAATCTAATTTAATATCTTATTTTACTTATAAGCTGAGCTTTTCACTCTATTTGGATCTGGAGGTGGTTATGCATTTGCTGTCTCTTCTTTAAAGTATTGCTCTTTTATGTTTGCTCCAGCCTTCTCAACTCTTATTTCTTTTGATTTTCTATGCTTCTTCCAATTTCTTTATATTTTTATAGCTGCATCTCGTTCTGCTATTTTATTATTATTTTATTCATCTTTTTCAATCTGTTTCTTAATATTTTCTCTATCTTCTTATTTCTCAACCTTCTCTTATTTTTCTACCTTTTTCTTAGGTTTCTTCTTAACATTAATCTCTTGAACTGCTTCAATTGAACGATGCTAACATTAACATCCATTACAAGTTTATCCCATTAATATTAAAAATTATATGAATAATCGCAATATTCTACTATTAGCACATGGAGAGTATTTATCATTATTATCTAGTCGTAAATAATCTGAATAGTAACTTAGTCTATTATTTAATCGTATCAGCCTTCTTTAAAAAAATCAACTCAAAGTCATTAGAAGAATTAAATTACAATAAAAGTCTCTTGAAATGAAGCAACTTATTAGGTCCGAATAAGATTCATTTAATCAGAGTGTTATATACACATTATTATGATAGAAACTTATTTAAAATACTCAGAAATTACAGCTAATACAACAAATTAAAATGATGGCCAAAACTTAAAAAATTTAAAGTGAAAAGGAAAGCAAGAGAACATAAGAACAATAAAAGTTGATCAAATAATAATAAACCTAAAATTTGAAAATCAAGTAATTTGAATTAGAAAGACAAATACAATAATAAAGAGAATCTGAACTTATTAAAAATTTTGCCAGATAGAAAAAACTCAAATAAGAAAGAGCAAAATCATTATTTAAGATGAAAATTAGATAAAAATCAAATGAAGAACTCAGAAACAAGAATTATTCATAATTATTAGAAGTTGAATGCCATAAAAGAATATAAACAGAATAATCTATTCGTAAACTTGAATAAAAGGAGTAGTTATTAGTAAACTTTCTTTAAACTTCATAATAGTTGAGCTCAACATACTCTCGCCAATTAGTATTATTATTTTCTATTATAGGTTCCAAGAAACATTACTAAAATTAGAGCAAAATCATACTATTTATAATGAAACAAATACTATTATTATATTTTTTAATATTAACTGATTAATTTTTATATTTCATTTAATAATATACTGAATAATAAAACAGAAACAAATAAATTATTTTTAATAAAAATTTTATTTGTTATTCAAGATTTTAAAATAAAAAAGGATTCTTGAGCATTATTTAATAACATTTTCAATAGATTTATATACTGTTTATTTACAAGCGAATATCATTTTTGATCTTGTAAATATATTTTTATATGCATATCCATTAAGTAAAATAAATTTTAAAATTGTTAATAATATCTAAATTAATAATAAAAAGAACATCAACAGAAGAAATTTTAAACCTATTTATATATATTATTGATCTATCAAATTGGAATAATGATAAACTTGAAAAAGAGAATGTTAATAATATTGATTAAATTGTTACTTAATTGAGCATTTTTCTTTCCTTTGGTTTTATTATTAAAATCTTAAACTTAAAGTAGATGTTTAGATCTTGAATTAGCTTGCTGGGTTTGCAATAGCTTTTCAATATTAAAATATGGTAAGGTTTTAAGTATTATATGGAAAGTCAAAATAATGGAGAAATTAAACAATATTTTTTCAAAATCTTATTTATTATATTATTGGTTTATTGAAACCTTAAAATTCAAATTTTTAAAAAGAAAATTACTTGAAAGAATTTGAATTGACTTAATTAGCCAATACTTTCTCAATTTTCAAATAAATATGAATCCAAAAGAGTTATAAAATATTATTTATTTTCAAATAAATCAGGTTATCTTAATGCATCATTATATTATGCTTATTACACATATTAATTTAGAGAAAATTACAAACATTATTTTTGGTCTTAAATTTGTAATTTTTTGTTTCAATCAAAATTATAAAAATCTTATTACAAATAATTGCTTTCTATAATGCCTAGGTAAAAGCAAATACCAGATGCTACTAGAACTAAAAAACTATTGTTTATTTTGGGTTATGGATCACGACAGCTAAATGTTTATACTGCAATTTTTTAGTTTTTATTGCTTCTATTAATATTAAATATTTTTATAAAAGTATTTGGAAGATAAAAGTACTATGCAAGACTTTTAAGAAGGTTATTTTGTTGATGTTAACAATTAATCTTTTAATCTATTATTAAAACTAACAAAGTTAAATAATTATAATAATCTTTTTCCTTAATTCTCTGCTTATTTATTTATAGTTTTCATTGAATCATGAATTTCATTTATATGTAAATATTAATATCAAAAATAAAATTTTTTTTGATCATCAATAATTGTAAATTAATATATATTATAATGTAGAAATCCTAAGCAAAATGATTAATTTAATAAAATAAGAGCAATCTCTTTAAAATTTAGAAATTCTGCAATAAAATGCAAACATATAAATTACTTAAAAAAAAATTTATTTTAACAGCTCATTTTTATTTGTAGAATATATATAATAAAAATAATGAGCTAAAAAATTCAAAAAACCTAATTACAAATTCTTTCGAAATCTAAACCAATGAGAGTTAAAGAAGGGCATGATGAGATGAATATTTTTGATTCTTACGTCAAAACGTATACTGAGGAAAGAGACGTTAATCCTAAACTAATAAATGATTAAAAATAACCACAGAGAAAATAGTCCGAAAGAAATTGTTAATCAGTCAAAAAAAAAGAGATGACAACTCAATAGCTAAAAAAAAGGCAATCATAATCTGCACATCCTAGTTCAGCTGTCAAAGTTCAATTTCAAACTCCTTTATAAAATAGAACACATCGAAAATTTCAAAAAACACCATTCCCAAAAATTGATTATATTTAATGAGTTATCACAAAAATATTAATCTCAAATAAGTAATAAATTTTTTTATTTTCTCTAATATCAAAGACCATATAGATATTAAAATTGATACCTAAATTAATAAAGTAATTGATATAATTTTGAATATTAGGCTGGGAAATTTTTTAAATTAATAGATGTTTTTGCTAAAAATTTTAGTTCTCTAGAAGTTTTCCAACTTATTATTTTAAGTAACTTGGATTTAATTTTTTTTGATAATTTTAAGAAATACATTTTATATGCTTTTTCATATTTTGAGAAATAATAGGAAAAGCATCAAAAAAGAATAATCAATATTTGCACAATAATAAAATTAGATGAAATTTATTTGTCTAATAAATTTATATTAAAAAAGTTCTAAAGTTTTAATTCAAATAAGTCTATTTTTAAAATGAAATAATTTATCTATTAATATCTACTTAGTTTATTTCATAAAATTAAATATAAATAATTTATATGATTGATCTAATTATTGTTACTTTAATGAATAAAAATACATGAATTTTTATTATTATGATTGATTTTTTCATTAATATAAGGTTTAAAGATTTAAAATATATTGTATAAGTTTATGAATTGTAATCATATAAAAAAAAGCAATTAAAAAATTAATAATAGAAAAACATTAGTTAGGAATAAATTTATTTGATAAATAATAATTGAGACTTTGATTTTTCCAATTAGAATAAAAAATTCATAGATTATTCTCCAAAAGCTCAAACAAGTTAAAAAATACTAAATTTTGATTATATCGGACAATAAAATTAATAATTTCAATTTTACATACTTGAAATTTGCTCTTGGGTTTAACTTTAATGAATATAATTACAATTAAAATTATACAAATAAGCCTTTAACAATTTATGATTTAAAAAATATGTGGTAAAATGATTAAAAAGTAGTTTATCATAATGATTTGTAATCTAAGAATTAACAGATAGAATAATTTAATTGATAAATGATCATTAAAACTAATATATATAATTTTTCTAAAAATACGAAGTTGCTCAGAGATAATAATTAGATTTGAATAATCATTTAGAGAAATTATATCAAAAAGTTAAATTCCGGTCTTTTAAATTTAGAAATATAAATATAGTCATTAGCTGCCATTCATAATTCTTAAAATGATGAAACTCAAAAGTGCAAAAACATAAGGTTATATTAATAAAATTATAAAAAGAGATGAAAGTTAGTAAACTATTTAAGATATCACTTTAGGATAATGATTAATTTAGTTTACATAGAAATTTAGCAGATTTTGTCTATTTCTCTGATTTTATTTCTTTTTATAAATAAGTGTAATGAAGATTAATACTCTTTATTTATTATTAATAATTATTATTAAAAATGGAAACTGACCCTATGAATGTTACATAAAATTAAACATAAACAAGACGTCATTATCCAAAAGATGTTCAAGTAAATTAATATAGAAAATAAAAAGGGTTTAAAGTCAGAATGGTATGGAATAGAGCATCATATGTAAGAGATTGGATAAGAAATTTAACGAAATGAAAAAGAGATTTTAAACCTAAGGAAGAAAGAATTATTGTACCTTATTATATTTCATAAATTTAGGACTGAATTAGATAGAAAAATATTAGAGTAATTGTAAATAAAACAGAAAGAATTAGAGTTAAAATATGAAGATGCATAAGAAATGAAGAGACGATAAATGAAATTCTAAGAAGAATAAAAAAAATTCTTAGAAGATAAAGCTGTATTGTAAAAGGGTTTTTCATCTATATATGATAAATAAAAATAAGATGCTTTAATAAGAGAAATGGATTTGAGATAGTAAAAATTAGAATGGGAATAATAAGCATTGGAAGAAAATAGAAGAAGAATGGAATAAGATTTCTTATAGCGAAGATTATAAAAGGAATAATGGGCTAAAGAATAAGATGCAGATCTTAAATTATCTTAATTAAGACATTTGGAAGAGAGAGAAAGATTTAGAAATGATTAAATAGAAATTTAGGAATTGAATAGAAGAAATGCTGAAAAAGAATTAATTAAAGAAGAAAACTATAAAAATGTATTATGCCTATATTTTTAATCATTAGTTTTATAGACTGTGTTCATAAAATTAAGCTTAATTGTAGAGAATGCATATTGATAATGTTTTATAACCTTTATTAGAGAGATAGGCTTAATTAGAATCTTTGATTTCTAAAAATATGGATGCCTATCAAAGAAAACTACTTTAAGATGAATTAGATAGAGTATTGAAGAGATAAGAAGAATATAGATAAACACTTAATGTGAATAAAAAAATGTTAGATGAAAGAGAATAAGGAAAAGTATAAGAGAAGAGTGTTAAATAAGAATTAAATAAATAAAGATTAGAAGATGTAATATATTATTATGATTATATTCAGCTAAATAATTATAACTAATTTTTAGTTTAAAGAAAAGTAGAATAAGCAGAATAACAACGATAATATAAGGAATATTTAGATCAATAAAGAATCGAAAAGTATCAATCATCTTTATTTAAGAGAGGAATAGAGATTAAAATAATTAAGAATGGGAAGATAAGAAAAATCTATGAATATGTTGGATTTATAGGCTTACAAAAATTAAGATGCTTAATTAAATGCTAAAATTATTGGATGGTCTCCATAAGTTGGGTAATTTTATAATTCTATAAATTTAGTTAATTACCTCCAAAATAAGATTATTTATTAAAATAATAATCTCTAGCTTAATTAAAATAAGATGAAATGAATACAATTAATTAGAATTTGAGTAATGTTTCTTAAGTCAGTCGAGGCTAAGCTTTAAGAGGAGCAGGCTAAAATGCTATACATTAAAATCATAATCCACTTACAAATCCTATTCCTTTCAATAACCAAAACCCTTACATATAGAAATAATATGAATAATTGATTAGACCTAGACCTTATTGACATTTATACATATTAAATATATTTAATTCATTTATTGATATATTTTATTTATTTTGTATCAATGAATAATTCTTTTTTTCTCAAGCTTTAATATATGGAATTAAAACTTCTCACTATCTTAAGCTAACATAAAATTTTCAGACAACGAACATCCAATTATTTTTTTTCTATAATTTTTAAATTCCTAAAACAATTCCAACTCACCATCTTTTGTTTATATGAAAACTTCTAATTTATGATATTAATGACAAATCAAAAGGCTGGTTTTTTTATTGAATTTCAATGTGAAAGTGCTTGGAAAATGATTTTATTTATCAATTGGTTAGCTAAATTTTTAACCTTCTTTAAAGATGTTATTTTGATATTAATAAGTACTGAAAATTCCTTAATCACTTAGATAAGCTAAAACATTATGATTCAAAAAACAAACTGCGTTTGTATCTTTTCTAATTCTTGCTTAACTTTGAGTAAGACTCTACCCATAAAAAGTATTAATAACTTATTATATGACCCATAAATTATTTTATTTTTACCAAATTGTAATCTTAGAGTTAACATGACTTGTTGCCATCAGATTTTCATCTTCACTTAATGAAACTGAAGATATCTCTTTTTCAATACCATCTATTTATTAAATAAGTTAGAAAACTCCTTCCTTAAATTAGTATATTTAAAAACTTAAATCTTAACTTGAAACAATAACTTCTGATTTCGATGTGCAAACTAAGCATGATGCAGGTGATCTAAAATTAATAACAATGTCTAAAAGTTTCATTTTGTTATTTTCCACTCTTATAATTTTTAATGAAGAGTTATAATCAGCTAAATAAAGTAGATTGTTATCATTTTGATCAAAAACTATTTCATAAAAAAAACCTATGTCATGAATTTTATCTAAAAAACGGATTTCATTTTCAACTATTTCATATAACATCAATTCTATATTATGGGAAGCTACAATATATGTTTCATTCTTATTTATACAAGTAGCGTAACAATCTAATTTAAATTCTTTTTAATCAAATTGTGAGAATTCCAATTTTTTATCTTGTAAATTTTATTAAAATTCCTCTTCTTAAAATATATTTTTTATTTAATCTAATAAAATTTATATTTAGTCTAAAGTCTTTACTTCCTTCAAATTTAATATTTCTTCAACTTTTTTATCATATTACTTCTTAATCTCCTAAATTTTATCTATATGATCATTTTTTTGGCTTAATTCTTCTCCAATATTTTGAATATCAGTGATTGATAAACTATCAAAATCTATTAAAAAACTTCTCAAAAATAATTCTTTATTTCTGATTAATTCATCTTTCTATCCATTTAATCTAATTTCAACTTAATTAATGATGTTTAATAATTAACTTTTAAAGACACCTAATTATTTTATTTTTCTTTCAACAGGTGATAAGAAATTCTAAAAGTATTAATTGTATGTTTAAAATTCATTTTCTATTTAATTTTATTTTTCTTGCAAAGCTAATTCTATTGGCATTGGTTTTAATAGTTCACATAAGTTACACAGAGCTCTCTTGCTTTTTGGAACATCTGAATTTATATCAACAAAATTTATTTGTCGATTATGAAGCAGACAAACAGGTAAATTATGCATTTTTTTATTTATTATTTTTAATAATGAAAATTAAAAATAAAATCAAGCTGAAATACCCTTTTAATAGAATATGAAAGGTAAGATAATAGATCTTTTCTATACATTATTATCACTTGATGGTTGAAAACACTTAAATTAATAAGATTTATGATACTTTTTCTAAATCAAATATTCAATTTTTTAATTTAACATAGTTCATATTCTATCAAAAATAATTAAAACGATTAATAGAAATTAGAATTTGTTATCCATATTAAAGAATTATTTAAACTTATTACTTAAAATATGAATCCTTTATGACTTAAAGATGATGATAAAAATTACATTAATGTATAATTTCTAAATGCTAATTTTTTTAAGTAATTATATATTTTTTATAAATTTAAGTGTTTTAAATAAATTCTAAAATAATGAGTTTTTCCAGATATTTTATATAAAGAAAATGATTATTGAGGCAAATAAATAATTATTGAATCTATATTTATTTCTAATTCTGATAGTGTGTTTAATAAGATCAATACATACGTCATCCTTCTAGACTGCTGATATGCTATTAATCAGTAAAATTTTGACTTGAATTTAATCAATTTTAAAAAATAAAAAAAGATCCCCCATCAAATATGCATTTCTAGACTATCATGGAAGAAGGTATATAAGAATCTTCATATCAATAACTCTAATAATAAGGTATTAATTGAAATCTTAACCTGATAGTTAATGAAACAAAGGCGCAAAAAGCTTTATCTGAGATAAAAAGTTTAGAACGTATATGGCTTAGTTGGATGACTCAACAATAGACAGGATAAAGTTAAACAGAAGAAATGATAAGGAAAAACGATTCTATTGATGTGGAATGTACTTAGGAAACTAATGTATCGATTGTTAAACAATATCATAGTCTGTTGACAAGAATACTTTACTTAAAAAGTTTTTTGAAACATTAAAATAGAGAATGATTGATGAGAAGATATATAGTACATTCACTCAAATTCAAACAACTCAATTTTTTGAGGAAGTCACAACCTAAATTTAAAACAAAATAAAACTCTATGAAGACATATAGAAACTTAAATTGTTATCCAACTACCCAAGTATAACCTATTAATATTCATTTTTTAGCTAATACAAAAAGGACTTATTCTAAATCAGCAAATATGATACTTAAGAAATGGTTAATTGAAAACTACAACAATCCGTATCCAAAGCAATAATAGGTGGATTTATTAGTTAAATAAACAAATCTCACCAACAAATAAGTAAATATGAATCCTCTATTTTATATAGGTTTTAAATTGGTTTATAAATGCCAGAAACAGCTTAAAAAATAAATCTTCTTAGGAAAAGAAGTTTAAACATGTTGTTGAAACTAAATTTAAAGAGCTTGCTCTCTAAAAAAAAAGGAAATAAGAATAAAGTATTTGATTATTAGAAGATAAATCACTGAATATAAATTTGTTAATTATTATAATAAGTATATGTTTTTTCTATATCTAAATGCAATTCAAAATACAATAGTATTCTCTTGATGTTGGTCTTAGATATGATATAATCAAGTAATGTAATAAAGTATTTAATAAATAACTTTGTAAGTATTCTGTTTCTGTTCGAATAAGAAAATTCTGAGGAGAGTAGATTCATAATTTCAAACTCTTTATTTATTAATATCGATTAAATATCTCAAAGTAATTTTAATAAATATTATATAGTTTTCCGACAAACTTTAACATTTTTCAAAATCATAATTAAAAAGGAGATGGGATTGTTGAAGTAAAATAACAATAAAAGAATATTTTTCTAATATAACTAAAAATTTATAATAAGAAATGAACAAATGACATTAATAAAAATTGATTTTATTAGATTTAATTTATATTCATAAAATAAAATAAATTTTATAAATATAAATTTTAAATTATGATAACTTTATGGAAAGATTTTAAAGAGCATTCATAATATGGTGAAAAAGTTATGATTAAATAATGTTGGTTAAAAAAACTTAGAATCATCTTAAATTAAAAAAATATATTCTGTTTATTTTAAAATATTATTTTATTTAAAATAGATAAAGTGATATTCATTCATTAAATTTATAAATTTCTGTATAAGAAATAATGACATATTTATTTTAATATTATAAAATTAAAATTAATTGATTTTAAATATTAAATATGAAAGGAATGCTTCATACATTACAGAAGAGAGGATCAATGATATTGATAGAGCCGTAAATTATGATAATTGAATAATTAGTATCAATGATGGAATGGAAAAAGTATAAGAAAGACATTAGATGGTATAAAATTATGTGGATTAAGTAGATTAAAGAACTGTAATAGCAATAGAAAGAGAAGTAAATTTAAATTTAAATTTAGGAAGAAAGAGTGAATCAACGGTATTTTCATTTAATGAATCAATTGGAGAGGTTAATGTTTTAGATTTAAAAGCTTGAAGAGAAAAAGTAGCAATAAAAAGAGTATTTTAGTTAGTTTTATTAGTCTTGATAATCATCCAGCAGTTAAAGAAATGGTTTATGAATTACATAAATTATAAAAATATGAAAAAGCTTTATAAGAGAATCATACAAAAATGGTGGAGCAAATAAAACTAAATAATTTAACAATATAGTAATTAAAGTAAACAGTATATTAAAAACGAATTGAAATAAGAGATATTGTAAGAGATTCTTTTAGACTATAAGAAGAAATGATTAAAGTAAAGTAGGTAAAATAAGCAAACTCAAGTATTTTTATATTTGCTAAACAGTTGCTAGAGATAGTGCAGATATGTTTTTTACAATGCCAGCCACAAATATTCCTAAACCTACAAATCTTCCTAATATTCCTTTAAAACATAAGTCAAAAAGTACTTTGTTAAATATAATGAAAAATGCACAATCTATTAATTAATAAGAGGTATTTATATTTTATTATTACAGAAAATAAATGATATAGTAACTGTTTATAATAAAGTTTAATAATTAAGAAAGAAAGCATCTTCATCAACATTAATAATTTAGTAAGTTACAAATAAGTATAGCTAAATAAAAAAATTAATGAATGAATGTGCTATGATTTCAATTTAGAATTTCAAAAATAAATAAAAAATTACAAATAAAAATGGATATGCAAATTCAATATATTTTGATATGAGCACACTAAATATGAGCAAAAATGAAAGTAGTATCATAAAAGAGAGAAAAATATAAAATATTTTATATGATACATTATAGTAAATAATGATTGATCTAATTGATTCACGATAGAAAACAGATTTGAATGGATCATCTATTGCAGATTCAATGTATTTTGAATATTTTTATAATAGAATACGAAATTCTGTATCTTAAGAATAATTCATGTAATTTACCTCTGTTTAGATCTTAGGATTGTTAGCATTATAACCAAGATTATTAACAGAATTGATAGGAATATTTGAATTGAAATAGAAATAGTTAGGATAACTTTGTAATAGGACAAGATAATTATAAAAATAATTGGGCTCTTAATGAAACCCTTAAAGTTGTTATAAAATAATTTATAAATACTATATATGTTCATTTAATAAGTGAAAGTGTTTGAATAACTGATGGAATATGCATAATAGAGGATTACCTATTAATTAATTCTTTTAATATTCTATTTTCATTTTCATTACAGTGATGTGATTATAGGAATTCATCTAAATCTCCTTTATTTTAATTATGTTATTTGTGTAGATTTTCTTATTATTTTTTATTGGTTTAATTGTTGCACTAACATTTCATTTATAGTAATTGATTCTCACTAGTTAAATGAATTTCTTACTTTTTGTTCTAATTCTTAGATTCTCATTAATAATGAACAATTTTCATTAAGTAATCTATCAAATTAAGTACTATTTCTTTATTGTTACTCTGTGCTTCTTCTAATTTATGATGATAAAGATTAGGAAGTACTAATTACTTTTGTTTGAATATGAGGAGAGCTAAATGATTAAGGTTTAGTTTACCTTTCAATTGGAGATGTTTTAATAGGTCTATCAATACTGAATTGTCTAGCTGATTAAATAGCTTATTGAGATTGTTGAATTAGTGTATTCAATAAATTATCTCCTCTTTTACTATTTTCAGTAGAGGAATCCCTTATATATTTGCTAATGTTTCTTGAATTTAATTATATTTCTTACAACTAAATCTAAGTTACATGTTATGACTTTGTTTTACCAGGAGTTAAATTACTGTTGGATTTATTGTAATAACTGCGGTTCATTTATGTTAATAACAGAAAATAATTTATTAATTATTTATATGATTAAAAAATAACATTCATTTATAAAGAGTTGCTAAGACTATGTAGTATTATTAGGAATTTTAGTAAATCTATTTAATTAGATTATCTTCTAAAAGATTTTGTAAAAATTAAAATAATATATTATTGATAAATATACTTATAGAAATAGAGATTTGATTGAGTAAGCTATTGATTTATTCATAATATTTAATTGAAATAAATGAATTCAATAATTAAAAAAATAAATTGATCCATGTTTTTGGGGTAAAAATATTAAAATGGAAAATGTTAATGTTAATAAAGTTATGAGTAAAATCAAAATATTGTATTTAATAATATTATATAAATTGTAAAGTATAAATTGTGAACGGGATACGTCATGAAGATAAATATTTAAAAAATGAAAATTTTGTTTGTTCTTCTAGCAATCGTTAATGCTTTTAATTATGATCCAGCCTTAGCTAATGAACTGACTGCATTTTCTTTTGCAGCATATTGTAATCTAGAAGACATCTTAAATTGGAATGTTGGCACAATAAGTGAATAGTATCCCCATTTGAGCAAAATATAAATATTCGAGAACATAGAACTAGTATTAGATTTTATTAATTAATAGGAAACAAGAGGTTATATAGCTTATAATTCACATTCTTAAGCAATTACTGTTGTTTTTCGAGGTTCATAAAACCTGAAGAATTTCATAGCTGATATAGATGCTTAGAAAATTGAATTCAATCCAATTTGCAAATGTTAGGTTCATGAAGGATTCTTTGCAGCTTACACATCTTTGAAAATTCATTTGGATGTTTTACTAGGAGAGTATAGAATGAAATATCCATATGCTAAATATCATGTAACAGGACATTCATTAGGAGGAGCTATGGCAACATTGTTTGCAAGTGAATTATCTATGATAGGTCTGAAAGTAACACTTGTAACTGTTGGTTCTCCAAGAGTAGGGGATTCAGATTTTTATGATTGGTTTTCAACATTAAAAGTAACTCACTCAAGGTTGACTAATAAAAAAGATATTGGACCTCATTTACCACTTGCTAAATATGATTTTGAACATGTTAATACTGAAATCTGGTATAAAGATGGAATAAATTATGTAATTTGTGAGGAAGTAAAGGGAGAAGATCCTACATGTTCAGCTTCTGTTTAATATCCAAATTTAAATGATCATTTAACATATTTAGGTTGGTCTAGTAATTCATGCCATGCTCAAATGGCAGAATGATAATATCAATTTTTATATGACATCATCTATTAATAACTTCAAATTGTTTTATATATATAAAATTTTAATTATACATATATTTTAGAATTCTTTTCAATATCTACTTTTATTATATAACTATATCTGTAGATACATAATTCATAACTTAGTTAACTTTTTAAAATGAAATCATCAACTTTAAATAAAAAAATCTAATTGAATATTTTAATTTAAAGAAATAAGTAATAAAATATATTCTCATAACTCTTATCTGATGAGAATGTTAATAATAAAATTATAAAAATGTATTATAATTTGAGAAAATGAGAATATTTAAAAATCTTATAAAATATTGTAAGTATATGAGATGGTTTAAAATATAAAAATATATATAGAATATTATGAATGGTTATAACTTAAACGAAAAGAATAGGCTAGAACTTTAATGATTATATAAAATAGTTTGATTCTCTATAAACAGAATTCTAGAGAAAAATGTTTATAGAATGAAGATGGAGATAAACACATATAAATTTTAAAGTTTAGTGATTTTTAATAAGTAATGAAGTATTTTGAGTAAATATCGTATTATTTATATTAAACTGCATATCTTGTGATGCATATTATAATAAATATATTTGAAAAATAGAGCATTCAAAGAGGAGATTTGAAATTGTGTGTATATTTAAATAAATAAAATCCAAAATGAGATCATCTATTTTGATTTTGGTTGTCTTAGCTCTAACAGTGAATAGTGCTTTCGTTTATAATGAAGCCTTAGCAAAAGAGGAAGCTGCACTTTCATTTGCTGCTTATTGTCCAGATACTGCCATTAACACATGGACAGTAGGATATGTAACCACAAACTATCCAAATATCGAAAAGCCTTTAGTATTTGAGAATAACATAGCTGTAAGATCATTAATAATACATAATATTAGGGTACCAAAGGATATATTGCCTACAATCCTTCATATAATGCCATTACAGTTGTATTTAGAGGTTCTAGTAATATTTAAAATTGGTTGGACAACATCCAATTTGATAAAGTTAATTACAACACAGCATGTAATTGTTAAGTTCACAGTGGATTTTTGGATGCTTTTAATTCAGTTAAATCTTAAGTAGATAGTTTGTTAACCAAATACAGAGGAATGTATCCAAAAGCCATCATTCATGTAACAGGTCATTCTTTGGGTGCTGCTATGGCTACCTTATATACAACTGAATTAGCTATTGCTGGATATGCAGTTCAATTGACTACTTTTGGTTTACCAAGAGTTGGTGATACAGCTTATTATAACTATTTTTCATCATTCACAAAGGTCACTCATTTTAGAGTTGTTCATGATAAGGATGTAGTTCCACATGTAAAAATTATTTAAATATGTTTAATAGGTTCCACCTGAGAACTTTGGATTCAATCATGTTGATAGAGAAATCTGGTATCACAAGACTTCATATACCATTTGTTAATTGGATGAAGATCCTAATTGTTCAGATTCAGTCCTTGTTCCATCAATTCAAGATCATTTGAGTTATATGGGATGGAGTTCAACAGTAGATTGTTGATATTTAAAATACAAATTAACAAATATTCAATAAAAAACATGTTTATTCCATTGAAAAAACAGAAGAAAAAATATATAATAAATTAATTATGTTTTAGAATCCATTTTTCAAATCTGGTGGAGCATCTAGTCCGAAGAATAACTAATAATTAACTTAATAAAGACCATCAGTATAGGATATAATGAATAAATACAAATAAAATCCTCAAGAAAGAGTATCTCATGTTGATGAATAAATATTAGGGAGTCTTAACGAATCCTCAAATGTAGTGAATTAATAACAAATTATAGTTTTTAAATGAGTAATCAAGACATGATAAGATGTTTCTAAATCCAATCTAACCATAATTTGATTTGGATCCACTACCAAAGAAAGATGCAATTGCTCGAATAACATTTGGAGAAGAGAACAAGAAATTTGAATCTCAGAAATTATAAAGTTAGCGTTTATTAAATGAAAATGATCTCTTTGATGATATGTCTCACTTAAAAGATAAAGTATTAAGTAAAACATATTGTAAATATCAAAGACATGTTAGAAAGATATTCAGTAGCATTAAAAGCTCCAGAATAATAAAATAAGAGGAATAATATCAAATAGCAATTAGAATTAGATGCTAATCAAGTAGCATAGGAGTATTCTTAAATTGTGGATAAATTTAACAACCCAGATTTATCTGCTATTTCAATTGCAGACAGTACTATTCCACCATATAAAGTATGTATATAAATATGATTTCATAAGGAATAACAATTGACTTAAATGTTTAATCTTGTTGAAGAATTTTTAACTAAATTTAAGAATATATCTTAATAATAATAAGAGAAATCTTAATTATTACGATCTCGTATTAATGCAGGTGAATCTTAACTTTAGGTTAATAAGCCAATTGAATCAGATAAGTAATTTACTTTCTAATCTAATTAATCAAGTAGACATTCAAGTTAGGCAGTTAAAAATAAGGCTTAAGCATAATTTGCATAAACTATAACTGTTGGATAATCTAATTTGACTACAAATGTCTATCAATAATAGACTTTTAATAAAAATAATGGATCTCAATAATAATAATAATAATAAAGTCCAACTAAATCTAATATACTTTAATCTACCATTCCAATTTATGAATAGAAATCTATTCCTACTCAATAACCATAATCTTAATAATTAGATATGACAGTTTATACTCAATTTCCTAAAATGGATGATTCATTTTATGATTAGAAATAAATATCTATACAAAGAATTAATTAAAAGTTACATTCTTTGAAATAAAAATTATAACAAGAATTATAAAAAGAAAATATGCCATATACTTAAAAAATCTTAAATGAAATGATTTCAGATCTTTAAGAAATAATAAACACTTAAGATTATTAATTGGTTAAAACTATAATATTTAGAATTGAATAAGGTATACAATAGTTATCAAATAATAAAGAAGGTTCGATTAATCTCTATAAATATATAAATAAAGCTTTGGTTAATTCAAAAATGAAAACAGATTTATTTACTTAAAGAGCTTCTATGCCTGTTCATACTTAACTAGAATAACGAAATACTTTAAATACTATGAGTTCTCTAAATTCTTACTAAACTCCAGCGAAAATTGAAAATACTAATAATACTCATTTAATTTAGAAAATAGATTTAGATCGCAATTTTGAAAAAAAAGAAAGGGATTAACGTCATTTGGATGATCATAATTTATATTTTGAATAAAGATTAAGTAATCTCAATAAACCAGATATTCCTAAACCAAAATAATAATCATATATAAATTAAACAACATCGCCTAATTCTGGATATGAATCTAGAGGATCAGTAGAGTATGATAGAAAATAGTAAGATCATAAAACATAATCTTAAGATGCACGTTTGAGTTACTAATTATAGTTTGAATCTAGACCTAGTATAAATTTTGAATAAAGATATTCAAGTAATGAACCAAAAAATATATATTATGCAACAGATGTTCAAAGAAGATCTGAATAAAGTACTTTTTAGGAAACATAAAAATTTAACTAAGAAAGGAAATCTGAAGTATAAAGAATATCTGAAAATTCATTAAGATAATCTGACATGTAAAGACCATCTGAATAAACTATAAAGAGATTATTTTTTGACGCTGCTTTGACTTAAAAAAATAAATTACCTTCAAACCATCCAGGTAGGAATATCATGGTTTCTGATTTATATGAAGAATTTGTAAAAATAGGTGGAGACATGCATAAGTTTATATAATAATAATTTGATCGTTGTTGAAAGTATTTATGTAATTATAAATCAATATTCTATTCCTTAAATTCTAATTGCCAAAAATAGATCTCTTGCTAACAATGTGACTCTTTTAGCATGATGTGAACAGAGATTGGCATCTTCAAATAGATGAATGATGAAACCCTCTGTGGCTTCTTGTAAAGCATACATGGCAGATTGACTAAATCTGAATTCTTTATCAGATCCTTAAGATATTTCCCTAACTAGTCTTTAGAAAGGTATTTTTCTTATTAATAGATTGGTTGAAAATTAGAACCTTAAGTTTATATGAAACATACTATCTAATTTCTCTTAAGGGAATAGTTCCAGGTCTGAATCTGTGTTTCTTCTTTTATTTATTTTTATGAATATTTCTTTGGATTTGCCAAGAGTCATTACACATACTTTTCTTTTCAGGGGAGAAACTAAGTTTACCATTACATGGTTTGCCTTATTTGGTTCTTGCCATGATGAAGTGTATAATTAATAATATTTAAATAAACAATAAAGTTTATGATTTGAAAAGTTGAAATAGTGTGTTTAGTAATGGATTAAAATAATTTAAATTTTATATATATTAGAATATAATTAGTAATATAATTTAAAGTTTAGATAAAAATAAATGAATAAATAATATGCAAAGGAAGTATAAGAAGGAGTAAGGAAAGAAAAAGAATAAAAAATAACAGTAAGAGAAAATAGAAAGTTGAAGAGATTTAATAAGATTTGAATGAAAAATAAAAATCTTTGTTTTAATCAAAGGAATCAGATATGAATAATGTATTTGATTTATTTGGAGGAGATTAATTAGTGAAAAAGAATATAGGATAAGCAGATTTGAAGAAAATTGGTGAGAATTTTACAGCTGCTTTGTAAAATGTTGGTCAAAATTATATAGCTGAATGTTTGAAGAGATTGATAACTAAATTAGAAGGAAAACTATTATTGATTCATTATGAAGCATTATTCAAAGTTGTAGAAGATATTTATATATAAAAAAGAGAAATCAATTTGAAGTATAGGAAGCCACAGAGAAGAAGAATTAAAAATAAGGAACACCAAAAGAAGTTTCATTTGGAAAGATTAAAAACATATTAGGATAACTTTGATAATATAGATGATGATAGTGATTTCATTTGATAATATAAATAAATATATATATATATCTTAATTATGGATAAAAAGAATAAAGCGAAATCAATTGTTAAGTTTGATGATGAAAAATAGGCAGAAGAAATAATTCAAGAGGAGCCATAGAAAAAGAAAGATAAGAAAAAGAAAAAGGAGTAATTAAAGAAGCAATTGTCAGTGCAATAGAGACATATTACTATAGCTATTCCAGATTCAATAATATCTAATGCCTAATCATCTGAATTGAGAAGTTATTTTATGTCTTAATTGGCAAGAATGTTTGCTATCTTTCAAGTTGATGAAGTCATAATACTCAGAGATTATTCATAGTATCTCTATATTACAAATTTAGTATACCTAAAAGTAAACAATTTGATGTAGCATCATATGTTGTACGTAATTTACAATATTTGGAAACTCCATAATATTTAAGAAAGTATTTGTTTCCTATTCATTCTGATCTAAAGAATGTTGGACTCATGAATCCTATTGAATCAAAACATCATTTACTGACAGAATAGATATGTCCCTATAGAGAAGGAGTTGTTGTAGAAAGACCTAGCAAAGGAGATACATCTTGGGTGGAAATCGGACTCAAAAGATAAGTCTTAATTAATTATCCATTACAACCAGGAACCAGAGTTACTTTAAAATTAGATGATCCTACTTCTGATAAGCTCACTGGTATTCCTGTATCAACTTAAGATGCTAAGAAACAAGGTTATTATTGGGGATATACTGTTACTATAGAATCCAAATTTCATAGGTTATTAGACAGAGGTATAAAATTCATTTTTTAATATTAAGATGATTTCGATATGAAGATATTGATTGAAACTGAAAAAAGTGATGAAACTTTACAAACTACTAGTTGTAATAGTTTTCATCCTAATTAACTATCTTAATAGCCTTTAAAATTGCTATTGGTATTTTCTGGATTGCAAAAGATGACTGATTTTACAGAGAATGATGAAAAATCTAAAGTAAAGATTTAAATTACATTTAGTTATCAAGAGATGATATATATGGAAAATTTGATCATGTTTATAGATATGGAAATAATGAATTTGGAGTGAAGTAACTCAGATTAGAGGAATAAATGTTTATGTTTTTGTAATCAATTTAATGATTAATCGAATATAAAAAATATTTGTCGATAGGGAGGAACTAAATCAAAGTATAGGTGATATTGAATTTGGCCGTTCTCTTGAACAAACAACTATTGATTTCAATACAATCGATAATAATGGTCGTAATCTTCTTCATCGAGCTGCACTTCAATAAAACCCTAAACTTATTCATGAAATTTTGACTGAATATTCAAAATTGTAATTGCCAATGCATGCCTACATTAATTTAAATGACAAATTTGGTATCAATGCAGTCTAAATGTGTTGTTTTGCTAATTACAATGAAAGAGCACCTTGTTTGGAATAGTTTATAGAAGAAGGAGATTTAAATAGTTTTAATCCTCGAACTCTTTGGGCTCCTGCTCATTGGGTTGCTTTCTATGGTGATATAGAAAGTATGTAACTTTTAATCTCTAAAGAGGCTATTCTCTTTAGAACTGATTACGAAGGTTATTATCCATTAGATTTGGCGGGACGTAATAATAAAAAGGTTGTTGCAATTGTGATAATAGAATTCCTCATCTAGTTCCTTATTGATTATGAAAGATCAAGAGTGTCATAAAGAGTTAAGAATTTAGTTTATGATAGATTTTGTGAATATGAACGATTTATTTGTAATCCAGCCTTAAAACTATCTCTTTTTTATTGGTCCTGCTATTTTAGATTAAACAATCTAGAACGTTTTGTAGTATTCAATAGATTCTATCCTTTGGCTATATATTTGGATTCAACAGCTTTGCATAACTCTATAACAAATTCTAATATGGAAGCTTTCCTTTATCTTTTGCATTAAAGTTAAATCAAACCATTTACTTAAGGAATACTCTTATCACGTAATGCTACTCCAGAAAATAACAGAATATTTTCACTCAAAAAAGATGAATTATAAATTTATAAAAGAAGATATCAATTATATCTTGTTCATTTAGATGAATGGGAATATGATTATTTGAATAATTAGATATCTTTATTAGATTAAGTAGATAAATTTGGTAACACTCCTCTACATGTAGCTGTTTTATCTAATAATACTGAAATAATTAATTACTTAATTCAATTTGGATGCAGAATAGATATTTAAAATAGTGAATATTGGACTCCTGTAGATTTTAGTTATTCTTAAGAAGTACGTGCAATTTTTAGAGAAAACGAAAAACTTAAACTAAAATCTGTAAAGAATATTTAAAATTTTCTTTTTACATGCAAATTACCTACGTAAAAATATGATCCAATACATAAACGCAATTTATATTTATGTTAAGCCATTAAAGAAATAGAGGTTGATAATTTATTTTCAATAAGTTAAGATCTAATCGTTCCTGATTTTGTAATTAAATGTAGTGCTCAACATATTTCAAAACTAAATTTCTAAATCTAAGTTCTTATAAATGCTAAATTTGAAGTCTATTTAGCTAAATCCGAAATAGATCATTTTTATTATATTATGTTGAGAAGTCCTTTGAATTAATTGTAAATGTAAGCTATGATCTAAAAAGTTTAAGTTAAGTTATTGGATAGTTATGATTATGAACCATATGATTCTAATGGACATTTTGAACCTTTTCGTTCCCTTTAAAGATAATCCATTATAGAAGAACATCTTAATAGACTTCTTAATATTTAAGAATTAATACAACAAAAAGTCATTATTGATACTTATCGTATGCATTCCTTTGGAGGAACAACCAAAATTAGAAGACAATGGTTAGAATAATTAAAATGGTACCAAACATAACCTTTTAAATAATTAAGAGATTATTTTAAAGAAGGATAAAATTAAAATTTTAAATCTTGTTCTATATTAAGATTATATTTTGGAGAATAAATTGCTTATTTCTTTGCCTTTAAATCTTATATTACTTGTTTTATGATTTTTGCAGCATTTCCAGGGGTCATACTTTAAATTTATATTTTAGCAAATAATGATTTTAATTCATTATTCCTTCCATTGTATGCAATATATATGTCAATTTGGTCTACAATAACTGTTGAATTTTGGAAGAGAAAATAGTGTGAAATGAATGCTAGATGGGGATTATTAGATTAAATGAATTAATAAGAATTAACAACCAGATTAGAATTTTAAGGAGATGAGTATATGAATCACATTACACATTAAATTGAGAAATATGAATAATCAGGACATTCCACAATTATGTTTATGATTTCAATTCCTGTATTGATTTTATTCAGTTCTTTTATAGTTGGATTATTTGTAACAATTGATTACATTTAATAAACTTATACTAATTCAAGTTATTATAAGCTTTTAGTTGGAGTTTTACAGGGTATTTGTGTATCAGTTCTAAATATCATTTATACAGCATTGGTTCATTATTTTGTAGAGAAAGAGAATCACAAATATGAAGAGCACTATGAAAGCTCATTAATATATAAAAATGTTTTATTCAAATTCATTAATAGTTACATTGCAGTGTTTTATACAGCCTTTATTAAATTAGATAGTAGTTATGAAGAAATATTTTACATTCTTGTACCTGTGTTAGTGATTAAATAATTAAGTTATTTAATAGCTATAATGATGATTCCTCAAATTATTTATAAATATAAGGAAAGTTCATATTTTAAATTGTTTAAAGAAAAATTAAACCAAAAATAATATTAAGATCCTATTGATTTGTTATGGAAAGAAACTACAAATGTTCCACTTAAATCTTAAGGCAGAATTGTTTTAAATCTAACAACTTAGTAAGTACAATAAAATATTGATATGGATAGTGTTGAATTGAATGGTCTAAAATTACCTGCCTATAAATATTTAATGACTAATTATTTCATGGAGACCATGATAGATTTTGGCTTTGTTACCCTTTTTACTGCTGCCTTTCCGATAGGCCCACTTATTGCTATGATAATGAATATTATCGAAATTAGAATGAAGATCTATAGCTTTAATAGTGTATTTAAAAGACCTTAAGCTCAAAGGGTAGCTGGAATTGGAGATTGGATGTATATTTGGGAATTCTTAAGTTTCATAGGGGTTTTTACTAATTATGCTTTAGTATTTCTCAAATAAGGAGATTAAATTAATAATTTTCTATTTCCAACTGGTAATGTAACAAGAACAAATATGCTTTGGTTGTTCTTACTATTTGTTTTTTTAAATGTAATATTAAAATATGTTATTTAATGGGTAATTCCAGACAAACCTACTTGGGTTAGTGAATGGGAAGAAGATCTAAAAAATAAAAAGAGGTAGAATTCTGAATTAAAATAAAAAGAAGATGAATGTTAATAATTAAATAATAGAATTAGTAGGCTTGAAAAATAGAATTAAAAGTTGATTTAAAGATTGAATATTGAACAAAATTTTAATAATATATCCATTCAAAATGAATCTTTATTGCAATAGACTATTTAAAGTGATAGTGGTTCTTATTTAACTCTCTATTATAGAATGGAAAGAGACATTGCATTAGAGAAAATAAATTAAATTTTAAAATTATTAAAATAAAAAAAACAACTTTTGATTATTTGTGCAGAATGTTAAACAAATGAAGCAGTTGTATTATGTTTGTAATGTAAAATACATTATTGTAAAATATGTTATGTTGATTTATGTAAGTCACATAAAATAGAGCCGATTTCAAATGGATTTTACAAAATGTTTTATTATTCATTGCCTTTGGTAAATTAGTAAGGATTAAAGCATTTATTTGATATTTTATGTACTTATTATGAGAACAAATCATATGGGACAAAGTTATTTATAGGATTTGATGAGTTTTGTATAGATGACAAGTATGTGATAAATAAATTGCACAGTGTAATGTATAAGAAAGGTAAATTGAATTGGGAAGAATTTTCAAAATATGTATAACAATTATAGAAAGGGACATTTGAATAGAGAGTAGTATTAATGTATGAGTTTATGGATGAAGATAAATAGGGAATGATAAGTCGAGATGAATTTTAGAATTATGCAGTGTATCAGATGGTGTAGGATACAAATTTTAGAGAGATTTAAATAATGTCATCTGAAATGGAGGATAAGCGAGAGTTGATTAGATAGACAATTTCATCAGCATAACATTCTTAACAGATTAGAGAATATTTGAGTGCTTTACTATAAATATGATTATTATTGATTTTTTGTATATTGTCGGAATAGGAGGAGCGTCGTTGGGTGAATATTTCTTCGATAAACAAAGAAGCTACCAAGCATACCTGATGTTATCATCATTATGTGTTTTAATAATATGGTTTGGTATAAGAGTGAAGAGAAGACATTTTAAGAACGATCGCATTGAACTGCTTGGACTGTTGTTGATTGGAAATACATTAAGAACTATAGGATCAACACATATAAGCGAGATGTATTTTGCATTATTCCCAAAAAGGTTGCTTTATATCATTCCAATCTAGAATCATTAACATCCTAAAAAAATGTTTCTTTGTTTGCCTTTTATAGCCATTGTAGTTAGTGTGAGATTAGAATTCAGTTATGAACATACAATAGTAGGTTATGCATTCCTTCTTTTAATTTGGTTATCTAGTTATCATCCAATAGAGAGAGTAACTTAAGTATCAAAGAATCATAGTTATTCAAAAACATGGATAAATCCATCAGATAGTTTAATAATCAATTAGAATGATAAATATGATCTTATAGTTAATCGTTAAGGCAAATTAATATCTCAAACATTAGATTAGCGTAAACGTATGGGTACTGATGATCCTATACTAGTCTAACAAATACTTAAAGATATCACTATTCATAAACTTGATAAATAATTTAAAAAACTTAAGGTTATTACTACTCTTTTAGAATTAATAGAAACTTTAGATCTTATTAAATGTAAAGTTTTAGATTGTTCTGCTCCTTTTGGAGATAATTACATGATTGAATTAACTATTATTAATGAAAATATTTGTTTAAATTTCTAAGATATGTATGAAATTAGAGATTATTGGGAAAGAAAGGTTACTAAATAACTTATGAATTAACTATTTCGTAGTTTTAGTCATGAATTTAGTACTTCCTTAAATTGCATTAGAATCCTTGCTGAAAATGCTATTGAAGACATTGAAGATGACTATATTGTAAATACTTGTATCTAACCTATTTTAAATTCCTCTTATATTCTTAATTCAATTGTCTAAGATGTTAGAGATTTCAGTTTGATTTTGTCTAAAAATTTTGTGTTGACCATTCAAATATAAAATATTCAATTACTTATTCATGAAGTTGCTGAGTTATATAGATAATAACTCAATATGAAAGGAGTTGAACTCAATGTTAAAATGAATGAACTATATATTCATACTGATGGACAAAGATTTAAATAAGTATTAAATAATCTTTTATCTAATGCATAAAAGTTTACATTTTCTGGTAGTATTACCATTGATGTTTAGGAGTAAATCATTCATGATTAATCATTTATTAAAGTGTGTGTTCAAGATACTGGCTCTGGAATGGATTTAAATACCCAAAGTAGATTATAAGAGTTTCTCAAATAACCACATAAACGCAAGTCGAATCTTAATTATGGTTTAGGTCTTATGATTAGTAATACTATTTGTAATGGTCTATCTCCAAACTATGAATCTGGTATACATTTTCAATCTACTAATAATGCTGGATCTTTATTTTGGTTTTTCGTTGAAGATCTTAAAACCATGGAATTACCTGATGTTGTTAGTAGAAGAACTATCAAGTACAATAAAATACACAGTTCAGGTAGAAGCTTTTTAGAATAAAGTTTCCTCATTAGTCCTAGTGATAAAAAGAGGTAATCATCTTTTACATTCTCTTTAAAAGGAAAATAAAAGTTGATTGAGAAATAATCAGAAAGTATTTATAATAATTTATTTTAAGATTTTTCAGAACCAGATGATGCTATTTGTGCACCTTATATTTTTAGAGAAGGACCTAAAAAACCATAAAAACATAGATATCCATAAATAGATTAAGTTGTTAGTGAATATGCTGAAGATAGAGCTAAAATACTCATTGTTGATGATGAATTTGTTAATATCTATGCATTAACTACAATGTTATCTAGATTAAATCTTAGATGTGATTCAGCACATAATGGAAAAGAAGGATTAGATAAATTCAAATTATAATACTATTAAGTCATTCTTATGGATGTTGAAATGCCAATCATGAATGGTATTTAAGCTACTTAACAAATTCTTGAATTTTGTCATTCTGTTGATTTGGATCCTCCAATTATAATTGCCTAAACTGCTTATACTGATATGTAGACTAAGTAAATGTGTAAAGAGGTCGGAATGGATTATTTCCTATAAAAACCTATAAGTACTATTGAAATTAAATAAATTCTATAAACTATTTAGTTGACATTATGATTTTAAAACTTAATCATATAGCTACCAAATTATTCTCATCTTATTATTCAAATTTTTAAATTACGATATTTTCTGAATAATTTTATTTAATATGTTGATATTATTACTTTTCCTCTTTTTAGTAAATGCTGACTCCTACTTTAAAATATTAAATCCAAAATCCTTAGTTTCTGATATTAATCTTTTAGAGATTAATTTCTAAATAGCCAATTTTGGATATGTTCCATATGGATAGAAAATTTCAGGATAATTGGAGATGGCTAACCCTTACAATTATTGTAATCCTCCAAACACTTAATATGTCGATAATGATAAGATGAATGTTAAAATTTTACTTGTTGAGAGAGGAGATTGTTCAAACTATCAAAAAGTAAATTTTTAATATCTAGTAATAAGGCAATTTATGCTTAAAATTATGGATACGTAATGATGGTCCTTATTAATGATATAAATGAAGAATCAAATCTTGGAGTAGAAAACAAATTTAATGAGTATTCTGATATTGAAATACCATCAATTATAATAAAGAAATCTTAAGGAGAATTATTAAAATCTTTTTTATTGTAAAAATAACATGAGAGTGTTTATGTACAAATTTTATTTCCTGAATTATTGAAAACTGATAAAGTTAATTATGAATATTGGTTTAGTTCAATGGATAAATCAAGTTATAGATTTTTAAAATAATTTTACTCATTTCATATGTAAATGAAAGATTTTGTAGAATTTACTCCTCATTATACATTAGGACGTTGTGGACATTGTGAAAGATTTTAATTTACTCGAAGAGATTCCCTTTGTCTCTCTGGAGGAAGATATTGTGCAGCAGATCCTGATGGAAATGGTCCTTTAGATGGTTAAGATGCTGTAAGAGAAGTTGTCAGATAGATATGTATTTTCAAAACAGATAAAAATAAATGGTGGAATTATGTTCTTAAATATAGTCAATTATGTCTAGATTCTTCCAATTCTATATCTAATGTCTGCTATAATGATGTACTTTAAGCATTGTAAATTGATCCTAAAAAAATAGAAACATGTTATAATGATAGTTTTTTGGGATTAAATCATGAATTAGATGACAATATTCTACTTTCATAAGAATATTAAAAAAGTTAATAACTTTAAATTTATTTTTGGCCAATTCTCTACATTAATAATGTTAGATATAGAGGGAATCTAACAATTGAAAGTTATTTTACAAATTATGATAAAGGAGATTAGGAAATATATGATAGTTCTTAATTTGGCCCATTTTAAGCAATATGTAAAAGTTTTAATATTAATTCAATTCCTGAGGTTTGCAGAAATAGAATAGTTGGTTGTATGGATGATGATGGAACTTGGGTATAATTATATTAAAAATTATTAAATAGGTACCATATAAAGAAGAAACTAATACATGGGTAGTATGGGTAGCTGTTTTATTCATTATGGCTCTTATTATGATATGCACTTTATATTTGTACAAAAGATTATTCATAAAGAAAGCAAGTGAAGAAATTAATTAATAAGTAAACATAAACTTAGCTTAATATTATGCTATGACTGAATAAAAGAAAAATCTGAGCAAATGATTCTTATTTTCATAATAATTCAAGTGTTAATTCATTTATTAAATCTTCGAAAATGTGATCTGTTATTTCAACCAAGGTTTCAGTTTTGTCAGTATATGACCACATATACTCATTTTCTTGTATCTTTATAATATATTATCATTAATTACTTCATTATTGATACATAATTATAATCGTTCGTTTCGTAATTAGGATAAATAATCAGAATTGAGTAGATTTTATATTGCTTATTCATAACTTAAGAATTATTCAGCAAATTCTTCATCATCATTAATTAATCCGCATAAAATGGACGCATAAAATATAAGTTTTTCTTTAGCTTTCTCTAACAATAAATTGATGTTTTCATTATTGTATAAGACGACAACGAGATTTCTATTATATTCCCAAGGATAAGGTTATCCATTACAGTAATAAAATGGACGATATTAATTTAGAATTTGATTGAAAGTGTCAAATATAGCTCTATTGTGAATTTTTTCATATAAGGAACTATTTTGCTTATTCTATGATAATATCATACTTGTAATTCAGTAAATATGAAATCCTATATCGGATATTAAAATTTATCATCCTCTATAATTTCATGTCCATGAATTTATCGGAGTTTACTATATGGTTATAAACCAAAAGGATAGTTCATTCTCTTAATGAAAGAGCTTAAGTTCGTTTCTAATTTAAATCATAATTATCTACCCGTGATATACTAACAAAGGACTTCAACGAATAAACTAATAGTTCCAACGTTAGTTTAAATTTCAACTATATTTTGTTATGGTTAAAAATCAATATCAATTACTATGTCTTTTCTTTTGAAATTTATGTTTTACTATTATTTAGGAGTACTTAATTATATATCAGAATAATCTAAAGAACTAGATTCGAATGAAATTTACTCTAAATAATATTAATTTTATTACATAACTATTAAACTACAATAAATTTATTTTCTTATAATTCTTGTATACACTACAAATCTTTTTGAGTTTTTTATTATATCTTATTGGTAACATTTTAGATGTTCTTGAGTTTTTCTTAATATTACTACAACTTCTCAGTTTATTTGATTTCCCATTGCTGAAGAAGTTGATTATTATTTTTGAAAGATCTAGGAGATATTTTTTATTATTATAGTAAATTGTTAAATGCATCCATTTACATATTAACACGAAGTTTGATACCTTCCTCTCTTTAATGGCATATTTCATTTATAATATTTAAAGGAAGACTTTCTTGAAATGCTAATTATTGATGCTATTTTTGAATATCAAATTTTTCATGTATGCTTGTTTATTATGCTTCATCTTTCTTTTCTTATTTGATGTTTTTCAGAAACTATTGTAATTCAATCATTTATTTTTCATTCATCAATTACAATTCTTCGATTATTGAATTTAATAACATTTTATGAGGATCCTCACTCACTGAAAATGTATTTAATCTGATTGAACTGATCTTACTTATTTGTGGTTGATAATACTGCACCTATGTTTTTTATTTCTTAGATTTCTTCATTTGAGGACTTACTATCGTTTTTTGCTTTTAATTTTGTTTCTTTTTGCTTTAACTTCTAATTTATCTTTATTATGGACTTTAGACTTTTTTTAACTTTTAAGGTGATTTGGATTTTGAAGTTGTTCTGCTTTTTGGGAATTTACTTTTAATATAACTTTTTAAAATATCTTTTAAGGGCTTCTTGGGAGATACTGTTGTTTTAGATTGTGTAATAATCGAGCTTGTTTTGACTTTCATTGATTAAGGACTTTTGATATTATTTTCTTTTATACCTTTTAGTTGTTTTCATCTTTTTTTTGAAATTAGGCTTTACATACATGGTCCTTCCATCTACACTACTATTTTGATTCTATTTTGTTTTAATATCCAATTTCTCATTTGGAGTGGTTTCAGTAAATAAACATGATGATCTCAAAGACTTGATCTCACTTGCTCGAATGCTTTGTTTCAGCTATTTAAGTTTAGCCTAAATCTATTGTATTGGCAGTATTTTCTAACGTCTCTATTTATTCATTATATATTATATTTTATTAATCAAAATAAGAATACTTAAACAATAGATTCATTATTGATGTTGGAATTTTCAAAAACTTAGGAATTCTTTTACGTTTATGAATAATCCTACACTTTGCAGAATTTTCTTTAATCTTTAATTCCTCAATCAATAATTAATTTTTATTGCTATAAGTAACAACCTTAACATCATCACTACATAACACACTCCTAATTTTAAACAAATAATAAACAGTATCTATTAAATTTAACATCTTTTAAGGAGAGAAGGTAAGTTGATAACAAAAATTAGAAATAGAAATTGATTTTCAAGAGATGATCAATAATTAATTTTTTCTTGATTAAGTCTGTTAAAAAACACATCATAGACAAACTAGATATTGTTGTAAATAAGTTAGCTTCATGAATTTCGGATTTTTTTTTCAATATTTATTTAGATTGAAATTAAGTTGATCTAATTTTAATATGTTTTCTCATTTATCCTAATCATCATAATTTGTTAAATTGATCTAAAATTCATAATTAATTTTTTTAAGAAAGATTGTTTTGTAAGAAAGAATTAATATTATTTGATTTTTGTCAAATAAAAGTGTTAAAAATGGAATATAAAATATTTTAGATAATATGAGTAGTAATATTTAAATTTGGTAAAATAAATATATACTGATTAAATGATGATGAAGAAGTGGATAATTTTAATAAAATAACATTTAACATAAATATTTAAATAATAATTATGATTTAGTAGTAACAATAATAAGAGGATGGTGTAAAAGGAGAGATAAAAGAAGAGGGAGGTAACGTAACTTAGTATCCTGAAGAAAGTCGAAATGATCCTGGTCATAAGACTTCAACTAAGAAGCGCACTTCATCAAATGATTCATCTCCTTCATCTTCTTTCGAGAATAAGATTGGAAAGCGTTATTAATCGAATAGCGAATTCAAAGTACATTTTTACGTACGTCATGTACATATGAATGGTATGAGTGATAATGAATTCTTAAGTTTTATAAAGAGAAAAGGTATTGTGTATTAATATTTAGTTAATTTGGCTGGATCATGTGAAATTGTGTAAATGTTTAATTAGTAAGGATCATTTTGTGATGTAGCTATAGGAATGACTAATGATGATAATGCAAAATTAGTTTATATTGGAAAGAAGCATTTCAATTTTGGAAGGAATGGTAATTGGTTTTTTGGATGTTATTCATTTAGGAAGATAGAAAGAGATTGTAGAATTAAGTGATGCATTTAAAAATTATTTGGAAAACAAGAAAATGTTAGACAAAGAATAATTGGAACGCTCATTAAGAAGAAATGTTTATAATTTGAATATAATTTTAGTAATAATCAAAAGGAAGAAGTGATAGTAGTGAATCGTCAAGGAGATACAAGAGTAGAAGTACAAGTAAGAAAAAGAAAAGCAAGAGAATTGATAATAAATAAATATGGCAATAAAATAAGAGAAGATCTCCATCTTCATCAAGTGAACCAAGAAAAGTTAAGAAGACAAAAAAAAATAGACATTCATCTTAAAGTTCATCAAGAGATTCAAATAAGGATAGTATTCAACCAATAAAACCTTAATAAGTATTTACAGATAAGAATACTGTTTATATATTTTCAATTCCTTAAGAAGTTAATGAAAATGAAGTGATTTAAGAGATTGTGTAGCATCATAAATAGAGTGCTCCTATCAATCATATTTGGAGTTATTATTTATATTAAATATTAAGACACTTTAGATAAGATGCAATATCTAGAATTATAATTTTAAGATGAAAATACTGCACAATATCTAGTAAACTTGAGGCCCTGTTTACATGTTAAGGGCATACCACTTTTAGTTGTGTCTAAAAAATAAAGACCTGTTTCAGAGTTAATAAGAAATTTTGAAATTTAAGTTGAACTTGATAAAGATGTGCTTGCTTTTAATGTCTATTAAGAATTTAAAAAATATGGAGATCTTATTGGAATTTATGTTTTTTAGTAAAATAGGAAGTATTGAAGACTATTTAATTATCAAGTTATTTACTCTTGTATTCATCGTCTTCTTAATTGCAGGAGGCTTTACGTCCTCCAGTCCATTTATAATTAACTATTAATGATTAAATAGTTAATGCTAATGCCAAGATTATTGATAAACCTATTGATATCCAAAGACCATTTATCAAAGAAACTTTAGCTTATTAACTAAACAATTAAAATGATGAAGATGATGACAGTAATACAATCATTATATATTTATAAGACAAGAAAAGAAAAAATAAAAGAAAAGTTGAAAAACCTTAGAAAAAATGACAAGCCATTTTAATTTAATATTCAAAAAAATATATTATTTACATACACACACTCCTTTTACAACATCAATTTAAGGAAATATTAAACTTTATATATAGAATATGCAAATCTCCTCTCCTCCCCCTTTATTGAATTTATTTTAATATTAATTTTAATTTATAAGGGTATTTTTGTATGCAAACTTATAACCCTGATTGCTTATTTGAGTCAATATGACATATTGATACAGATCTCATAACATAACAAACTCTAGAGAATCATATGCCACCATAAAACCCTCTTCCACATTAAAACCTATTAATAGAGATGTTAAAGGCAATGTATTATTGCTAAAATAAAAAAGATCTTTCATGAAAATGAACATTAGTAGAAAAAGCTAAGGATTTCAATAATTCAAATTAAATCAAGAATATATACTAAATAATGCAAAATAACCCTTACTCTACTTTGATACTATGACAGAACATCTAGATCTATGTGTATGTGTAATAATCTTAGATCACAGTCTTTGAAAAATTATATCTTTTTAGGGAAAATATTGTTTAAGAATAAAAAATATGAAAGTATTAATTCGTGAAAATCCTAACTTTCTCTCTATTTTTAAAGTTTATGATCAAGTCATTTATCCTAAATTCTTTGATTGTTTTATGTATCTCAATTAATTATGATGATCATAAGGCTAAACAATTCAAATCTTAAAAATAAATATTGAAAAAATCATANAAGACCTGTTTCAGAGTTAATAAGAAATTTTGAAATTTAAGTTGAACTTGATAAAGATGTGCTTGCTTTTAATGTCTATTAAGAATTTAAAAAATATGGAGATCTTATTGGAATTTATGTTTTTTAGTAAAATAGGAAGTATTGAAGACTATTTAATTATCAAGTTATTTACTCTTGTATTCATCGTCTTCTTAATTGCAGGAGGCTTTACGTCCTCCAGTCCATTTATAATTAACTATTAATGATTAAATAGTTAATGCTAATGCCAAGATTATTGATAAACCTATTGATATCCAAAGACCATTTATCAAAGAAACTTTAGCTTATTAACTAAACAATTAAAATGATGAAGATGATGACAGTAATACAATCATTATATATTTATAAGACAAGAAAAGAAAAAATAAAAGAAAAGTTGAAAAACCTTAGAAAAAATGACAAGCCATTTTAATTTAATATTCAAAAAAATATATTATTTACATACACACACTCCTTTTACAACATCAATTTAAGGAAATATTAAACTTTATATATAGAATATGCAAATCTCCTCTCCTCCCCCTTTATTGAATTTATTTTAATATTAATTTTAATTTATAAGGGTATTTTTGTATGCAAACTTATAACCCTGATTGCTTATTTGAGTCAATATGACATATTGATACAGATCTCATAACATAACAAACTCTAGAGAATCATATGCCACCATAAAACCCTCTTCCACATTAAAACCTATTAATAGAGATGTTAAAGGCAATGTATTATTGCTAAAATAAAAAAGATCTTTCATGAAAATGAACATTAGTAGAAAAAGCTAAGGATTTCAATAATTCAAATTAAATCAAGAATATATACTAAATAATGCAAAATAACCCTTACTCTACTTTGATACTATGACAGAACATCTAGATCTATGTGTATGTGTAATAATCTTAGATCACAGTCTTTGAAAAATTATATCTTTTTAGGGAAAATATTGTTTAAGAATAAAAAATATGAAAGTATTAATTCGTGAAAATCCTAACTTTCTCTCTATTTTTAAAGTTTATGATCAAGTCATTTATCCTAAATTCTTTGATTGTTTTATGTATCTCAATTAATTATGATGATCATAAGGCTAAACAATTCAAATCTTAAAAATAAATATTGAAAAAATCATAAATTTAAGTTTGAAACAATCATCAGTGCCTATCCTAACAATATAAATGCAGTTGCAAAAATAAAAATAAAATAAAGTCTGTAAAAGGTTAGCAAACTATTTTTAATGAAGAAACAAGGAATTTTATAAATTGAAAAATAAAATAATGAATAATTGAAATAACCATAAAAAACGGTCTAATAATCTCCTCAATCCAGAACATTAAAGTATAATTTAGTTAAATCAATTAGGAGAACATATAATTGCATCTTATAATGAAGTTATAAAATAGGAATCTTAAAGAAAATTTTAATAAATATGAGATATTATTTGAAAAGTTTCATTAGTAAGTACAAACATGTCAATAATAGAAATGACTATTTCTAATTAATAGGTAAGATGAATTTATGTACAATTCTAAGAAAAGTGTGGTGATATAATTGAATAAATAAAGATGGTTATTAATGAAATGTAATTCTATTTAAAATACGAATGAATAATAAGATTATATAATGGATACAATAATCATTATTGATATTTAGACATGAGTTTAGATAAATCACTCACAGTTACATTGCTTCCCGAGAGAATGACAAGACTATTTTTATACTAAGTTTTTTTGCAGCCTGCATAGGCAATAGCTGAATTGAATTCTGCAATTTCATCTGCTTTGGCTAATTCACATTAAGCTTTTTCAACTTCTTGAGTTGAAACAAAAATAATTTCATCAATAAATCCTTCTATTATTTAAGAACAGATTGTTGATTCTCTTCTTGTAGAGCCATACAACATAACTCCAATAACTTTAATTTAATTTTTAGCTATATGTTTTAGATAAAATGCAATTGCAGCAATTAAAGCTCCACTTTTAAGTGTAACAAATACATAATCAAGTTTGGTTTTGGTTAGTACTTACCATTAATCAATTTCAAATCCAATTGTTGCATATCCTCCAAATACATCTACATCATTATAAATATCTAAATAGTCATAACCATTATCTTCTGCATATTTAAATGCTTCGACTTCAATATCTGATTTATTTAATTGAGAATTTATAACTTTAACATTTGGTAAATCATTTAAATCATGCATTTCATTCAAATGTTTACAAAATATAATAAGTTATCCTAGTAATTCATATGGTTTTATTTTAGATTATAGCTATTAATCTTTAATAACACATGATTATCCCGGATCAGTCGGAGTGTCATCTTAAAGTAATTCACTAGTTGTTTAATCAATATGGAATTCTTATTTCTTTTCTTATTTAAATATCTTTAAACATTCTATGCAAGCTGTTGCAGCATTTCCAGATGAACAAATAACGAGATTCAATTATTCCAATCCTTTATGCCGTTTTTTTTGCTGCAACCTAAATAACATGTGATACATGGCTCTCATTTTAACTGATCCAGATGGTAATAGACTCTCCAATTTACAAAATATTCCTCCTATCTCCTTTATAGGTGTTAACTAAATAAATAAATAGATAATACTTTTATTGGTGATTCATCTGAATATAGACACTATTAACCAAGTTTTATTGCCTAAACCAATTCTGGCAATAAATATTTTAATTCATAGGATATCATATTGCATTTCTCGTTTTACCTACTTTAAGCACAACCCATCTAATTAATTTATAGATATTTTTTTAAATAAATATTAAATGGATTATATCAAAAACCAAGCAAGTAAATTGGCATAAGGACTTGTACCAACTTTTATACCTCCTCCTAAATAATCTGTATTCCTATCAAAAGGTATGTTAACACCAGAAGAATTTATTAATGTATATTATTTTTAAATTTATTATAGGCTGGAGATCGATTGATAAGTAATGGAGGTAATTGGAAATGGTGTAAAGCCATTAGTGATTAATATAAGAACAAATATTTGCCAGATGACAAATAATTTTTAATACAAGAAAACATTATCTCTTATAAAAGAATTAAAGATTTAAATAGTGGAGGAACTTTCACTGAACAATAAGAAGGAGATGAAGTTATAATTATGAAGTCAGAGGAATAACCAGCCTAATAAATTGTACAAGGTCAAGAAAGATATTATACATTGTATATTACTTATGATCTTTATTACTTCACTCCTAGATTATATCTAAGTGGTAAAATTGATGAAAAACCATTAACTTACTCAGATGTCAAAGAAGTATTATCAAATTATTAAATATTTAGGATGTCTCTGGAGAATATGCTGATAAAACTGTGACTGAAGAATTATTTAAAGAGTTGAATATAAATTTACCAACTATTCACCCTTGCAAACATGCCGATACTCTTAAATTCTTTGTTGATTAAATGAGAGATAATGGAATTACAGAAGATAAAATACATCCTGATAATTCTTTAACAATATTTTTGAAGTTTATGAATTCAGTCATTCCAACAATACAATTTGATTTTGTTAACACCATTGAGCTTTGATTGCATATTAATAAATCCATAATATATATAATATCATTGCATACGGACATTTTTCTATTAACTTGATTTTTAATATAAATTTAATATAAATAATTAATTTTCAATTCTTTGAACTCTTTAATTCTACACTTATTTGAGTATCCTAAAAACGAACAACCTTTTTATAAATTTAGTCTTGAAGAATAAACTTAAGAAGAGTTAAAGAAATTAAAATTTACTTATACTTATAAAAACATATGAATACATGTATTTTTGTGTCATAATATATAGATATTTATTAACAGTTTTGATTATGTTTGATATTATATTGTTTTTTATTTAATTTGTAAAATGCAATCATTTAAAGACACTGATAATAATAGTGAAAACTTGAATGAAGAAGATAAGTAATGTAATATAGTCTATAACTAAAGCAGCTCAATTAATTAGCATGTACCCTAGTTCCCTTAGAAAAAGGCTCCATCATATTCTCACGAAGTTCCACAAATACTCAAATTATAAAATTAATTCAGAAATGCTTAAGGAAATATTCGCCGAGAATTGGAATGCTAATTGATAAAGAGATTGGTTGATTTAAAAAAGAATAGCGATTCTGATTGGTATAGATTGAATGGAGCTTGGGCATAAAAATACACAACATACTTATATGATAATTCAAGTACATTGCCTGGTCCAATCGACAATACTGATTTGCTCTAGAATAGAAATCAAGTAAGAAATGTAGATTTCTTTGTTGTAAATGAGACAGTTTGGAAGTTCCTTCTTGAAGAGTATAGTGGTGGTCCTGAAATCCTAGATGAAAAAATTCCACCATCTCCTACTTCAAATGCAAGTTCTACAACAGACAGAGCAAAATCAGTTGATATCAGCATAATTTCAAGTGTATCATAAATTGATATCAACCCTGAAATACCAATCAAAGGCTTAAAGAATGAATTGTACTTTTGTTATATGCATTCTACTCTCTAATGTATGATGACTATTTCAGAACTTAATAATTTCATATTAAATTATATCAATAGATAACACTCATAATCTATGACATTATGTAGAAATTATTAAGAACTTCTTCGATAACTTAAGGATACTCAATACGATTATATAAAAATTAATTCATTACGCAATACAATAAGCAAAAAATTTAATCCAAAACATTAACACGATGCATAAGAATTTCTTCTGTTTTTGATGTCCAGTTTTGAGGATGAAATAAATAATTTTAATAAAAAATAAACATAATCTAAATTACCCAACATTATTTAGAAATATCTTTAGGGATAGATTATAAGTGAAATTATTTGCAAAAATTGTTTACATAAATCATCGATTACTGAAGATTTTTTAACTTTATCTTTGGCTTTAACAAAAATAAATTCTATTAATTAATTGTTGGATGAGTTTCTTAAAGATGAATTGATCTAAGATTATAAATGTGATAGTTGCCATAAAAAAAAAACTGCTATAAAGAAAACAAGAATAACTAAATTACCATAATATCTCATTCTTCATTTAAAAAGATTCAAGTTTTTTCCTAAATCAAATAAAATAATTCAACATGTAAAATTTTCACTAGAATCCATTTTTTGTGGAATCAAATATACTTTAGTTGGAGTTATTGTCCATTCTGGATCTCTGGAATAAGGCCATTATTTTTCATATTGCAAGAGATAGAATAAATGGTGGCTTTTCAATGATCAAAAAATTAAACAAGTTAATAACATTGATGTACTCTAACAATAAGCATATATTTTGTTTTATTAATAACTTCTATGATTATATATTATAAGTAGTTAACATAATCCGTTTTTATTTTAATTATAATAATGAAAGTTATTGCAGTGACATTAGTGTTATTGTTGGCAGGAAATGCTTTTGCTGGTGATCTCATCCATAAGTGAGTTCTATTAATATGAAAATAGATATCCAATTATTGGCAAGAGTAAGCCATCCTTGGTTAGCATCTTGACAGAATTGGAAAATAAATTAACATCAGGCGGTTCTGTTGATACAGCAGTCAACTTTTTGGATAGCTTAAGAGCATCTATCGATTCTGAATAAATTAGACATGATCAATTATACACAGACTAAAGAAATTAATGCGGTGCTGAATTAGAATTAAGAACTAAGGATGTTAAAGATGCTGAATAAGTCTTAAATAGAGCAACTGAACAATATGAAAATTGTTCAACCTCAAAAAAGAAGGCTGATGCTGAATTAGATAACAATTTGGATAGTCAAAAAGTAAATAAAATAATTTATTGAATCAGGCAACAGATACTGATATTAAGATCTTAGATTCCATTAGATAAGCTGGCACTTAAAATTATAATGCCAAAAAACAAGATCATATTGATGCCTTAAGATCAATCTAAGAAAGTCTGAAAATTTTAGATAGTTTCTAATCAGGAGGTGCCTCATTAGCTTAAATGTCTGAAATCTCTTTAAGAATGATTTAAGATGCAGTCAAACTAAAAACAACTAATATCATGAGCTAAATTTCAAGCATCTTTGCTTAAATGCTCACATAAAATGGAGGGTATATATTAATATCAAATATAGATACATTGAAGTATTTGAAAGGCTTAAATAACTTTTATAAAATTTAGAATAAAATTTGTATACAAACTTATAAAAGATTTCTGAAGAAGAAGATTAATCCATTTAAGAGTATGATGATAGAAGAGTTCATTTAGTTGAATATTATAACAATTTAAAGAGAACTGAAAATAAATTAAGAGATCATATCACTACTATGGATATTTGCTAAGATCAATAATCAGCCATCATTGACAGTGCTAGAGGAAAGAAAGTAAATCTTTTATTCAATATCTTAAGGTGAGAAATGGAGAAATCTTTGACAGCGCTACTAGAATGTGTAATGATTTTGCTTCTGAATATGAAAAGGCTACCTCAGTCAGAAAATAAGAGCTAGACTTAGTTGACCGAGTTAGGTCTAAAATAATTGAAAGAGGATCTTGATATCAAGTTTATTAAATAATTCATAACTTTATCTTCAAATTCTTCTCCTATATCTATTTTTATTTTAATAACTTCAATTCTCACAATTAGAGCCTTTTAATTTCACTTTGATGTTTGAAAAATTGTTAAATATAATTTTATGCTAATTATTAATAATTAATTCTTTAATGAAATCATATTTTATAACATAATCTTAGAATTTCTGCTATTATCAAACTGAGTTTAATAAATAAATTAAACTTATTTTAATCTAATTCATCTAAATAACTAGATTAGTGTTTCTATCAACTAAATATTTGATCCTAATTTAGCTGCATCACAAAAATTTTAGGATTAATTAAGTGTTAATTTTTGACACTTCTTTAATTATAACATTCATTAATCTATTGATTTATTTATACATACTATAATTTTAAGAGAAAAAAATATAAATATTTAATTTATTTAATTAAATGGACAGATAGCAAAATCAATAATTATAGTAACAATAGGCATAAAAATAAAAATTGGATCCATAAGATAATCAATTGTAAGTTTTAATTAGGAAATCATTTAAAGCATAAGTATTCATTGCCAAGATTTTCTTAAAGAAATTTGGTGATGTGGAATTGCATGCTCTTGGAGAAGCATCTAAAAACAGTGTGAAAATGGCTGACTTTCTATAAAGATAAGGTACATTTACTAAATAAACTTAAAGGTATTGTAACAATTAGTAAAATCAACTCGTTCACTTTATAAAATAATGAAAAAAAATAAGTCAAATTTATAGTTTAATTGACCTTGACAGCAGAAGGAAAGAAAAGATTGGATTAAGAATTGAATTGATCCTATATATAATGAGTATTAGACATGAAATCACATTATTTAAATCATAATTAGTTTATGAAAAGCAGATATGCTTACTCTAATCTATTTTTAATATATATAGAAAGAGCTGTTTTGTTTAGATTTTATATATTTGGAATTAGAATATGATTTTTAAGGATTTTATTAATAAAATTAAAAAGATTAGAGAAAATTATGGATAACTTATTATATTTTATCAGTGTTTATATCCAAAAGAATGGACAAAATCTTATAAGCTATTTTCAATAGATTATTGAAGATGATCTTAAGTTTTTGGTTTAAGTAATTACAAAATCATATAGTTCTTTTAAATAAAGGTGTCATGCAAATTCTAAATTTATGTAATCCAAAAATTCAATTATTATATTGCTTCTGATTAGGAAGCCAGTTCTAGTAAGCATAATTAATTTTGTATTAAAATGTCATTAAAATGAGTAATTGGCATGGATTTTATGATATTGTCTTCATTTATATAGATATCTTGCTCCATTTGAATTATTTCTTACCATGCTTTTTCGTATTTTTAGATTTAGAGTAAATCTTTCATTTTAAGTAATTTTTTGATTGTATTGTCAATGATGTTATTTGGATTCAATTGTTATTTTGATTAATTATCAAAATTCTATTTTAATTTTTTTTAAAAAAAGATAATTGAACCGCATTAATAGAGATCTGCTAACTAGAGTATTTACCACATCTAATTGGTTTTTTTTATAATTCTAATCGGCGTTCAATAATTGTTTATTATAGATGAAAAATTTTAAAGTTGAAATAATATAATCTTTGATTCTTTTATTTATTTAGCATTCTATTTTTATAACATAAAAAATTAAATTGAAATCTATAAAAAAATTATTTTAAATAAACATTTCAAATATAATCTATAAATTTTATCATATAAGAGTAAATTTGAAGAAGTATGTAAATAGAAGAAAACAGTCCTAAGAAAGTTGATTATTTTATCTCTTATAATAAAGATAATCTTGCAATAATGAAATGTAATTTCTATAATTATTTTTTTTTTAGTTGCCATCTAAATCTAAATATTAGTTAAAGTGATATAAAGCCAAAATACTTTTGGATACTATTTAAAACACTCTCTAACAGTTCTAAAGAATAAATTAATATCATTTGATATCCAGCCTAGTTGGATTTCTTAATTTGAAATCTGCAAATGACAATATATAATTTCTCTCTAAGTCTAATTAATTCAAAATATAATCTAATTTTAGAAGCATCTAGTAACATTTTTTTTTTATAAAACTCTGAATTTATGTAAGTTTTAATTATTATGGCAACTATTCTTGCTTGAATTTAAATGAAACGTCTCTAAATGTTTTATTACTTTAATTCCTTATTAAAAAAATAATAAAAGATACTAAAAGTGCTCATTGTTTGATTTGCATGTTTCAATATTGTGTAATTATTATACAATTTCATTGATCATTTATTAAAATAGTTCTCATACTTTGATAAATTAAAATGATCATAATGGGATGGGCATATTTTAAAGTCGGAAAATCAATTCTAAATTTTTCAACTTAATCACCTCTTCAGACATTTGGTCTTTTTATATTTATTTTAGTGGTTAATCAACTAAAAGATTATTATTTTTTTCCAATAATACTAATCATTGTAATATTATTGATTGCTTAATTGTTGAAAATAAATGGTTTATTAGTTTAAGATTATTGCTAAGTACAGATGGTAGTAATGTTCTGATTAGGTTTGGAGAGGAACTTAAATATTAAAAATAAAATAAATTTAATATCTCACATATAAATTGTTCTTTTTGCATTTTAGGATTTCATCTTTCTTTTCTTTATTGTTCAATTGGATTTATTGTCATCTGTAAGTAACATTAATTTTTAATTTACGTCAAATAGGTAATAAGGTTTTTGTTTTTTTGCATTCAAGAAAATATATCTTTGATTTCCTCAAATTTAGCTGTTTCTTCTTCATACTAGTATCTAAAATTGCTCATTTTTCAAAAATTGAAAGGATTAATTAAAGGAAAAAGGAAATCCATTTAGAAATAGATTCACCATGCAAGAGTGCGTTTAAGTGAGTGGAATATATATTTTAAATGTATTTGCCATATTTAAATAAAAAATAGGATTCCTAAGAAACAATTAAATTAATTATTGTAATGAAGGAAACAATAAAAACTAGAAAATTTTAAATTAAGAAAGAAATGAATAAAAAGAAATTAAAACCTGAACAAGTAACCCAGCTAAAAATAATGCAATTTTAGATGGAGATAGAGCACCTAATAAGAACTTTTACGCTTTTCAATGCTCAGAAGCATTAAAAGATAGATGATTTTGAAGAGAATTATAAATTCTAAAAAATTATTTCTAGGATTAACAAAGATATCAAAGACATATATTTCATAATACATAAGCCAAAAAATTGATATGTGTGAAACTGTATTCAGCTCATTCAAATAACATTATAAAGATGATAAAGTTAACTCAAATGTTGAACTCAATCCTTTTCAATTATCCTCTAACTTCTTGATAAATAGTGAGAAACGATTGCATCATCTGCAGAATAGAAAATTTTTGATGATGAAATTATTCATGAGAAAAAAGTTCTTCAATCTCTTTCTTATTTTAATTTTAAATTTTTCAACGTATATTTAATTGATTAAGTTATAATTTAGAACATCATAAGAAACTACGTAATAATTCTATTCAAAGCATTGTTAAGAAACTTCTATTCCTAACATTAAGGATTGAGTGACCATTTGAGGAACTATTGGTCACAAATTAAAATTAAATGTTATAAAATATTTTAAAATATTGGAAACTTAATTTTTAATAGAGGATGTTCATTCATAAAACCTATCTTAAAGAGAGAACAATTTGTTAAAAAAATATATAACTATTCTAAATTACATTTAAATCAGTGTTTATATCCAAAAGAATGGACAAAATCTTATAAGCTAATTTCAATAGATTATTGAAGATGATCTTAAGTTTTTGGTTTAAGTAATTACAAAATCATATAGTTCTTTTAAATAAAGGTGTCATGCAAATTCTAAATTTATGTAATCCAAAAATTCTATTATTATATTGCTTCTGATTGAGAAGCCAGTTCTAGTATGCATAATTAATTTTGTATTAAAATGTCATTAAAATGAGTAATTGGCATGGATTTTATGATATTGTCTTCATTTATTTAGATATCTTACTCCATTTGAATTATTTCTTACCATGGTTCTTCATATTTTTAGATTTCGAGTAAATCTTTCATTTTAAGTAATTTTTTGATTGTATTGTCAATGATGTTATTTGGATTCAATTTTTATATTGATTAATTATCAAAATTCTATTTTAATCTTTGTAACTAATTTTTTAGTTAATCAATTTTCTTTAGTTTTATTTCTGTTTAAGGAGAAAATTGAACTTCCCTAATTATGGTCTCCTAACTAGAGTATTTACCTGGTCTTATTGGTTTCTTTGTTAATAATGCTAATAGGTGTTCTATTAATAATAAACCATTTTTACTGTTACATTGAGGCTCTTAAAATACATATGAACTGCTTGATCTTTCCGATTTAAGCGATTAGATTTTAACGATTTTATTTTCTTTTTGGAAATTCTTCTTCATAAAAATATAATTGTTAATTATAAGATAAAAAATTTTAATATTCAATAAAATAATCTTTAACTCTTTTATTTATTATAAAATTCTTATTGTAATTAAATTCTATTAGGAGATTTTCTCTAAGTTTATAACGTTTATTTGTTTTATGGAAAAAGATTATCAAATTCTAATTTATTAATTTGAGATTTGTTCTACAACCTGAAATAAAAGAAAAACTTACTTTTCTAATTGTTCAGTGTTTCCAATCGAACCTGGAGCTGTGCTAGCTTCTTTAACTTTCAATTTACTAAATTTATAATTTAGAACTTTTGGTAACTAAACAGAATAAGTTATTTTTTAAGATGTACCAATATCTAAGACTGAGAAAGTTTATTTTGATAATAGGAGTCGTTTTTGTTTAATAATTTTAGAGGGAGGGAAATAAGGTTATTTGAATTGATCTTCATTTAAGTAAATAATATTTTGAATAGGCTCTTGTTTCTTTTCTGTTCTCTTTTTATGTAATTCAACTTTATCAACTTTGAATTTAGGTAATATTTTATTAATATTTATTTCTTCATTAGAAATTTAAGATTATTGACAAAAGTATTATATTTATTCAACATTAGGTCTAAGTTCAGGATCATAACACATCATCAATCTTAATAAATTATTTAAATTAAGACTATAATTTGGATTATATGTTAATTGAATGCCCTTAAGAATCTTTTTATGTAAAATATCAACATTATTTGCAATGATTGGAGGATCTTTGAACATCATTTAATATAACATATACCCAACCATCCAAATATCTGATTTATAATCATAAATTTGAGACTTGATGAATTCAGGTGCTAATAAATAGATATCTTGATAGCTTTATTTATGTAAATAATATAGAATATTCATCTCACCCAAAATGGTCCTTCCTTTACTTAAAAATAAGTTTGACAATTATAATTTTGCATGTACCCTTTTAGGATGAAATTATTGTAAAGCAATAGATAACTACATATTTAAGGTTGGATACCTCTTAAATGATGTTCCAAATATCAGATTCTTTCAAAGGATATGTGTATTATTTATCTAAGTATTCACTGACTATGCTAATCTTTAAAATTTTTATCTTTACCCTAAGTATGTCATATCATGATCAAATGATGCTTCATAAAATTTCACAATGTGAGGGTTCTTGTAATTAGATAATTTGTTTAAGATTTTGATGATTGATTAAACTTTTTCTTTTGGAATTCCTTCAAGACTAAATATTCTGAGCATATATTGATATCCATTCCGTTTTACAATCACTGATTTCTTGTAAGTGTTTTATCTCACAATATTGACTACTTGAAATTGTGGAAACAATTACTCTATACTTTTCATTAAATATTAAATTATAGAACTTCATAATACTATAAAACAATTATAATATAACACTCTGAAAAGAATTGTACAAGTTATATGTAAAAACTTAAGAAAAATATATTGCATTGGTCTCTTCCAACATCTGAAGGTGATAAATTTACTGGATTTTATATCCAAGTAAAATATTTAAGTAAATTAGATCTTCTTAATTTGGTTATTTATAATATGGATATAAGATCAGCTATACGCAATCTAATTTCAATTGTTTCTAACTTTATTACAGAACCTAAATTAAAAACTTAACTTGATTATCTCTACTTACTAACTACTAAATCAGATTCTACTTTAGAAGAAATTGAAAAATTGATAATCAACTTAGGAAAGAATGTATCAACTCATCATAGAATTAATTCATAACCAATTGTATTGCCCTCCCCTAAACAAAATAAAGTTTAATTAATTTAAGGAGCAAACAAATTTGCTTATTCAAATAGAATACCTCTAAAAGCAGCTGGATTTGGAAGTAGAATTCAATGTGCAACTCCATTGAAATCTAATAAAGATAAAGATGAAAAACAAAAAAATATATCAGATAGGCAAATCTCTTTTAAATTTGAAACACCAAAAACTTCACCCAAAATTGTTACAGAATTTAAGCTTTTTGACCAACAATTAATAGATATCAATCAAAAAATCAAAATGAACACTGAAATACCATTATCCTCTAACACAGTTCCTGAATTACAATCAGAATTAGATTCATTTTCTTAAAATAAAATTACTCAAAATACTTTACCTATAAAAAATGATTTTTGCATATCATAACCAGAATTAGAAGAAAAAGAAAAACAATACGATTTAAATAATATGTCTGGTCGAATACTATAAAGTATTAATTAAAATGTGAAGGAAATGAAACTAAACACTTTTAAATTAATCAAAGTATTTGAGAACACATTTGAGATCAAGACACAATCTTCTCTTTTATAATGTAGTTAAGTAGATGCATCTTATGCTTCTCCATTTAGAAAATTATAAAATGTATAATAAATTTATCTACTTCTAGCCTCTTTTTAATGGAATTCGCCAAAAAATGACAGATTAAGATCTATTTAATATATAATAAAACTTTTTAATGAAAAAGCTTATTGTAAAAGCAAGGCCGAATGAAGTAATCCAAGATGAAATACCGAAATTGGATTTATTTTTTGTAACAAGTGTTAAAGGATGAAGAAAAAGGTTTTAAAAAATTATTTTTAAAATAATAATAATTTATCAATCAATTAAATCTAATTCTGGGTTTTCTTCTTCATCTTTTATTACTTTTGGTTAAATAAATGTTTATTGCATGATCCTGATTGCATCCATTTCTATTAAATAAGTATAAATAAATACGTGATGTTTTTTTATTGAGAATAAGAGGTTTTTTAATTCCTATCATTTCATAATCAATCATTTTTTTGAATCCTGGTATAGAGCTTTCTTTCATTTCAATATTTGGTAGTAATTCTTCACTTAGCACATCATCACTCTATAAATAATTATTAGTTTTAGATGTATGGTTAGATTAATTTAACGAAGATATTTAATCGATTTTGCTGCAAGAATTATATTGAGGAATTTAGAGAAAAGGATTTCCTGAAATATGTTAGGGTTGTACATCTAATTACTTTTAATGTTCTGATGGTTCAGCTACATTTATAAGAAATGGTTTATTATTATCTAATTTTTTAGTGCTTTTCTTTAAAAGTAATTCATGCTTATTTAATTTTTAGAATTGAATATTCATTATTTCATCCCTTCCTGAACTATTCATGATTGCGATAGTTTAATGTTTTTTTTTTTTGCTAGAATATTCTGGTAATTTTTCCCAATCATAGCCATAATTTTAATAATTAAGAGAGAGCTAAGATAATTCATCTTAGAAATATGCTTTGAGTTATTTATAATTGGGTTATTATGCAAAATCTAAAGCTTGGACTTCTTACATAAATTTAATAAAACATTTGGATTGTTTTGAGAATAGTTATTCTAATTTTAGATTTTTCTTCATTTGATGAATTTTAGCATATTTAAGATTTTTATTTTCGATTTTAACATTCATCCAAGGTAGATGCCCAGTAAGTAAATATAATAAAACATATCCTATACTTTATAGATCATCTCTTCTTCCTTATTCCAAAGATTCATGTGCATTAATACTTGCATATCGAGCAGTTCCTATTAATCCTGGTTTTTTTATCAATTTTATATGATCTCCTTTTGAATTCTATTAATCAAATATATTAATACAGCATATTTTTTTGATAACCCAAAATCAATTAAGTTAATTAGTTTTGGACTGGTCGTATTTTCGAGTACAAAATTATCTGGTTTAAGGTCTCTATGTAAATATTTGCATGAATGGAGGGCTTCAATTCTATCAATCATCTAATTTTGACTGTGTAATAACTTAGATTGCTAATCGCAGAACTGTTTAAAGGGAAAACGAACCACCGCATTTTCTAATTACGGATTCTAAATTTTTCCCCAAGATATTCATCACACAAAATGTATATCTCTTTTCTTTTCCATAAAACTTTATCTCTGGGAATCCAACATTTTTTCTTTCATTTTTTATAAAATTTCATTCTTACCTCAAATCTATTAAAACTTTTATTTCCTTTTCCAATAAATTGCATTCCTAACTTCCAAACTCCACCTTCATTGCATATGGAGTGTTACCATCTTTTTAATCAATCACTTTGTAAACCTAGCCAAAGGAACCGCAACCAATCTTCGAATGAATCTCAAATCTCCCTTATATGATATCTCCTATCTATATTCATCTTTTTTATAAACTTACTATTAGTGAATCTTCCTCTTCACTATCGGATTAAAACATAAATAAATTTATGACGTTTCAAAGGTCTAATATACCTTTTCAATCGACAACATACTCATTTAGATATCATAATGACATCTTATGATACGCACTAAATATCTCTCATTTTAAGAATATTCAGAGTCTAATTTAAATCATCTCAGTTTTTCCTTTAACATACTATCACTCTATATAAATAATTTAAATCCATAATTAGTATCAATCAATCAATTAAAGCTCTCTCTCATCTAAGAATTATCCATTTATTTATATTTCTTAATTTATATCCAGGCTTTCTCTATTCCAATTTTTCAATTTTTCGATCTAAAGATCTTGGTTTTTTAAGGTTCACTTTTCGAACCTCTTAAATTCTATACATAGTATTAATGTTTTACAATATTTATATTAAGGATTGATTTCAATGATTATTATAATTGCTTTCATACTAAAAAGAAGAAAAATGGTCGGATAATTGATCAAATATACATACATTTTTCTGTTAAATATAATATATGTTGCTTTGAAGTTTTTATTTTAATATTTATTGTATATTAAATAATGTATTATCAATATTATACTCAATTAAGAGTAAAATGAATCAATCGATCCTTTGCCAAATTCTTTCTTTTATTTATTCTAATCTAATTTCTAGTCTTAATTTATGAATGCTCCAATGATTTGGCTATTGATATTAATTTTATTGAATATCTTTCTGAATAATAAACATTAAATATTTAAGAAGCATTTAACAACAAGTTTCAATTAAATTAACAATTTTTATAATAATATGAATTATTGAATTTCAAAGTTAATCATTTTTTTATTTCATTAAAAATTTTGATTTAAAAATAAACTTCAAAATATATGGCTAAGATCAAATAGAGTACAAGAAAAACCTTGATTTTTTGAAAAATTTTATTTTGTGAAAATTTTTAAGATGTGTAAAAACCTAATTTATAAAAACAATATGTGTTTAATATTTATTATATTAATTAGATTGCTTGTTGATGAATATATGAAAATACTTATAAAGATCCTAATTCTTATATTTTATAAATGTTTTATGGGAATGGTGTATATTACTAAAAGAAAAGAAATAAAATATAAGTATTAAATTAACTCAATGAAATTATGATCAACAATTTAATAACAGAGTATAATTAACATTCTTATCTAATATGCTTTTGTTATTTTGGAAGAAGTAATTTAAATTTAGATTTATTTGAATCGAATAATTGTAAGAATTAAATTTGTCATCTTTATGCTATTGAAATGTCATTTTTGTCAAAATGAGAAAACAAATAGATTGATGCAAATTCTAAAGAATTCAAAATTTATACAGAATGTAAGTTAATGTATAAATTGCAACAAATGAAAAGAATTGTNCTATATAAATAATTTAAATCCATAATTAGTATCAATCAATCAATTAAAGCTCTCTCTCATCTAAGAATTATCCATTTATTTATATTTCTTAATTTATATCCAGGCTTTCTCTATTCCAATTTTTCAATTTTTCGATCTAAAGATCTTGGTTTTTTAAGGTTCACTTTTCGAACCTCTTAAATTCTATACATAGTATTAATGTTTTACAATATTTATATTAAGGATTGATTTCAATGATTATTATAATTGCTTTCATACTAAAAAGAAGAAAAATGGTCGGATAATTGATCAAATATACATACATTTTTCTGTTAAATATAATATATGTTGCTTTGAAGTTTTTATTTTAATATTTATTGTATATTAAATAATGTATTATCAATATTATACTCAATTAAGAGTAAAATGAATCAATCGATCCTTTGCCAAATTCTTTCTTTTATTTATTCTAATCTAATTTCTAGTCTTAATTTATGAATGCTCCAATGATTTGGCTATTGATATTAATTTTATTGAATATCTTTCTGAATAATAAACATTAAATATTTAAGAAGCATTTAACAACAAGTTTCAATTAAATTAACAATTTTTATAATAATATGAATTATTGAATTTCAAAGTTAATCATTTTTTTATTTCATTAAAAATTTTGATTTAAAAATAAACTTCAAAATATATGGCTAAGATCAAATAGAGTACAAGAAAAACCTTGATTTTTTGAAAAATTTTATTTTGTGAAAATTTTTAAGATGTGTAAAAACCTAATTTATAAAAACAATATGTGTTTAATATTTATTATATTAATTAGATTGCTTGTTGATGAATATATGAAAATACTTATAAAGATCCTAATTCTTATATTTTATAAATGTTTTATGGGAATGGTGTATATTACTAAAAGAAAAGAAATAAAATATAAGTATTAAATTAACTCAATGAAATTATGATCAACAATTTAATAACAGAGTATAATTAACATTCTTATCTAATATGCTTTTGTTATTTTGGAAGAAGTAATTTAAATTTAGATTTATTTGAATCGAATAATTGTAAGAATTAAATTTGTCATCTTTATGCTATTGAAATGTCATTTTTGTCAAAATGAGAAAACAAATAGATTGATGCAAATTCTAAAGAATTCAAAATTTATACAGAATGTAAGTTAATGTATAAATTGCAACAAATGAAAAGAATTGTAACAGCATAGAATGATTAATAGATAAAGCCATAAAAAAATAAATTAAGGATAAAACGACTAAATCTTTTCAAAAGAATGAAAACTTTAATATTGTGATTGACTAATTTTGTATTTAAAAGAATATCATCTTCCAGACCAGGAGGCAACTTATTTCTTGAACATGATGATTACTTCATCTAAGATGGCATTCTCTTCTAATCTTTTGGCTTTAGCTTCAGCATAATCAGCTCTTTTAGCTTCCAAATCAGCTTAGGCTTAATCTAAAGCATCTTAAGATTCTTATAAGATAATCTTTGATTTGGCTTATTAAGCAAAGGAAGCTTAGATTTACTAGAATAAGTTAGAAATAATACAGTAGCAGTTCTATCAGCAAAGACTTATTTTCTTTCATATTCAACTTCCAATGAGGCAATTTCAGCTTCTGATAATGAGACCCATCCAGCTAATTCCCATGATGCATTGATTTCATTTTATTTCAAATTCTCTAATGAAGCTGCTAATTCTGATTCTAATCCTTCAAGAACAGCTAAAACTCTTTCAGCTAATGTTTATCCATTTCCAGAGGATTCAGAAGCCTAATTAAATATATAAATATATATACTTATTCTTCTTATGCAAGAGCTAAGAATGATTTGATTTAATGTTCTTAGAATAAGTTGCTGTATTATTTCAATTTTTCAGCAACTGATTAAGCTTAGACTTAAGTGAATTCAAAAGAATCTCCATTTACAATGTATCCAGCAACATCTTATTTGAGGAGTCTGATGACTTCTAAGGCTTCTTAATTATGTTTGATGGATTTAACAAATAATTGGTTAGAGAAACATTAATTGTCTGAAAGTGTTTCAATTTTAGCAGCAATTGAATCTCTTCTGGCTTCATTCCATGCCAAATAGTTTTTGGTTTATTATAATACGTTTTCATATTCAGCTCTATTTTCTACAGCCTATTGGAACAATTTTTAGTTAAGAGTCTTTATCTTTGTGAATTATTCAATAGTCTAGGCACCAACCCATTCATCTGTTTCGTTCTTTTAGTCAGCAGCAAATTAGGCATCGATGTTAGATTGTTTTAAATCATTTAGTAATCCAAACACTGTGTCAATAGCATCACTGGCCTTTGTTCCTGTTTAGAGGAGAGCTAAGATTTAATCTTTTGTGCTTGTGGCATTTGAAACCACAGCCAATGCAAGAATGATAGCAATAATTCCTTTCATTTATTTATTAACTAAAAAACGATACATCTCAAAAACGATTTAATTTTCATATAATATTTTATTATTTCATATGATCATATTTGTTTATGATTCTTATTTGTGTAACATAAAATGATTTAATCCAAGATTGAAACATAATAATAATAAATTTAGACAATAAATAAAAGTGGATATAGTATTTTGTTAGCTTGACTAATACAAAATTAATATTATTCATATCTTTAAATTAATGTTGCCAAGAATAACAAATACGGCAAGATTAGGTATCAAGAATCTCTATCAATTGAATCACATAAAAAATTTTCATAATGCAACTATTGCTCATAAAGCATAAGTTATGAATGATGAATCATAATATGTTGTTAAAACAGATCGAATTTACAAACCAACTTATACAATTGAATTTGATAGAATTGGTGAAGTGCTGCTGTATTTCAATAAATTATGAGTAGATATTCATGTGATCCTCATAAGCATCTTACAATCTTTCTAAAATACCCATATGTTCTATATGAGACAGCAATACCCTTATCAATTTATCTTTGGTTCAAAAATCCATTGGACATTGCTTGGTACTGGAATAATCTATTTATATATGCACCATCCTTTTTGTGGATTCCTAGGATGTGGTAATAGATAGTTTTTATTTAAATAGGTATTGGAGATCATTATAATATAAAATTCAAAGACTTTCATTGTTGAGAGGTGGTAAAGTACTTAAAATAGAGACAAATACTCTTGCAAATGATAAAAATGTATATTGGGTTGAAACATATTAATTCCATCCATTGACAGCTGATTTAACATAATTTGATGATAGAGATAATGCAGACTATTTAACAGAAGAAGGATAATTAAAATATGAATTAGCATGTTAACTTGACCATATTTAAGAATTAGGTACAACAGTATAAGACGAAGTAATATATTTCATGAAAGTATTTGAATAATTAATGGAAAATAGGAAGGAATAGTACATCATCCAGAATTATTTGAAGCAGCAACAAAAGGATATGTAATAGATACATCTAATTTTGTAATAAATACAGCTCATAATATCAGAGCATTCGAAGGCCATCACAATTAATGAAAAATGGTTATATTATTATTATTCAAGAATATTAATACCAAATAGATCAACTAAACTACCAATTACCCGTACTATCTAATTATTCTAAATCAATTCCATCTCCATATCCAATATATCCTAAATCAGTAAATGATCTGTCAATAACTCTATGTTCGACGTACTTCCCATCTATTTTTTTTAATTTATCTTATTAAGGAGTCTAAGAATTAGAACCATCATAAGATCTGGTTGAAGCCTAAATTAAATATAATTATATCTACTCTTCTATAATTAGATAATAAGGTTGGTTAAATACCTTCTATAGCTTGATCTAATTATTCTACCTCTTCATTAGCTTTCTTTAATTTAGTGAATTTCTTAAATTCTTCTTCACTCATCTTATGTCCAATTCCAGGATCTGTTTATGATTATAACCATCCAGAACTTGGAATAAGATCTCTAAAATTCTAAAATTAGAATATTTAATCTATATATCTTTTAAGTAAACATCTCCTTTGTTATTAATCTAAATTATTTTAACATAATTCTCTCCTTAGAACTTCTTGAGCTGTTGTTCTATATTCTGGTAATTAATGTAACATAGGCATCATAAAAGATGCAAATGATAAAGCCTCATCAGTTTTGAATCTATATTTTTCACTTAAAACATTATGTAAATTCCAAAAATGTAATTATGGTATTCTCTTCATTTGTCCATTCTATTAAAAATATCTCTATTTATTTCTACTCATTTATTACCTTAGCTTTTACTCCTCTTGTACTATATTCATATGGAAATTTCCCTAATAATTCTTATATCTATGCTAAATGATCTTCATTCTTTGAAAAATTAGGTCCTTATCTTGGTTCAAATAAATAATCTCCTGTTAACATTTCAAATATCATGCAAGCAAAACTCCAAATATCAGCTGTTGGATTATATTTAATTCCCAATAATACTTCAGGTGATCTATATTATCTGGTTTAAATTAATGTTGAAAAATGATGATGAATCCAACAAGCATTTCCAAGATCTGCTATTTTCAAACGAAAATTATCAGGTAATTTCTTTTATTATGTAAATGATATTCTTAATTTATATTATATTCTAAAATTACTTCTTTTATTATTAAAACAATTCCTTTATAGATTTTGGCATTTCTATTTAATCTATTTAAACCTCTTATGATTCCTTTCTTGACTCTTCATTCTATTTTTTCTATTACTTTTTTCTCAATAATTTTCTCTTCTAAGTCTTTGATAAATTCGTAGTTGTACTCTCACTTAATTCTTCATCTTCTTTTTTCTTTGTAATTTCTTACTCTGTACGTTTCTCAATTCCTAACATTTCTCTATATATATGGATTCTATCTGAAAACAATTAATTTGATGTCAATTATCCATTCTCAACTATGTCTTTTATTTCTTCATCTGATAAACATAACAAAACATTTTCAGGTTTTAAATCTGTGTGAATTACTCCGCATATTCGATGAAGATAATCTAATCCTATTAAAATCTATTTTGCCATTCTTCTTGCAATATCCATTGGACACTACACTTAAATCAATTCATTACTCCTTTATATTCATATCGTTTAATGATTTCTAATAGATTCACACCCAAAATCTCAAAAACCATACAAAAATGATGTCCATAAGGTCCTTTATATACAAATGAATTTAACAATTAAACCGTGTGAGTATCATCTCTATTAAAAGATGTTCTTCCTTACTATTAATTTATATTATATTATCTTACATCTGCATAATATTCCTTTAATGATTTTATCCAAACTGGATTTTGAACATTTTAAGCTACTTTTTGAAGAATTTCAACCTAATTGTTAAATTTATTTATTCACTTCATCATAAGCTGCTTCTAAATAATGAGAGGCACTCTTTTGAATTTTCAATGCCACATATGTATCATATTTAAAATCCTTTGCCAACCAGACAGTAGAAAAGTGTCCCCAACCTAATTTTTAAATCATCACATATCGATTAAGTAAAATTTCGCCAATATGAACAGGATGATAACCTAAAAGTTATATGGTATGAAATACCTCCAATTTTATAATCTTCCATGCCTTCATCTTCACTATCATGTTCTCTATCAAGATGTTCCATTAATTCTCCAATTTATTCATTTCTGAGAAATAAAAATATTATAAGTGATACATTGGCTTTCCAAATTTATTCTATTCATCTTGATTCTCATTCTAATTCATTGGTGGTAAATAAAAATTATAAAAAATAGATATATATATACAATTAAAAAATAATATAAATGAATACCTCAAAAAGTATATACGATCAACCTCTAAATAATTCAATATCAAAATAAAGATACACATTTTCAAAAGCAGAACGTGAGACATATTCAACGAAATAAATGTAATAACTTATTATTCTAAATAAGTAATGGTTCTATGTACAACCTTCCAGATAGCTTAAGTAAGAGGATGGCTGGCATTGGTTATGGTCAAAAGTAAATTAATCGTAAATACAATATAGACATGATTTTTCAAAGCATGTTAAATAAGTTCCAGCTCCTAATAAATATGAAATAAAGAGTTTTGCAGAAACTAACATAGGAGAAAAGAAAGGAATCTAATTTGCTTTAGGTAGAGAAGAAACTTGGCTTTAAGGGATTTGGGCAACTCTTACTTAATAAACACCTCCTCCTGATCGTTATGCTATACCAAGCACAGTTACACGAAGATAAAAGTTTACATTTGGATAAAGAACATAATCCTTATAGAAGTTCAAAACTCCAGGTATTGATAAATTATCTAAAAAGGACCTGGAAATTATGAATATGTTTAAACCATAACATCAAAAGGTGTTTATCCACTCTCTAAGTTTCAAAACTCAGGTGCATGTATTATTGGGAAAGATCAAGAGAGATTTAAGACATTAGGAGGTACAACTTTAAGATATAAATTAGTGAATGATTATCCTGAACCAGGTCGTTATTCACTTGAAAATATGGGTATTAATTCTTCAGGAATATATCCAAAGAATGGAATGAGATCAGCTGTTTAATAAACATTTAGCAAATCTTAAAGGAAGGGACCATATGAAATAAATAAAGTTTCACCTGGTCCAGGAAGATATAAAATGTTTTCAGAATTTGATTAATGAATATATTAGTATTCAAAATGTATCTTATCTTCTTTGCTATGGTCGAAAACTATCAACAGTACGTGCTGTGTTTGGAATTTCTTATTATTAATGTTCAGTCTTTATGGAACTGATAAACAAATTTAATTCTAAATTTTCCTTTTTCAATTCAATTCTAGTACACTCTTTGAGTAGATATAAAAACTTTATCAAATAATTGAAATCCAAAAAATTGTCATATTCTACTTTGTACTGATCTTTTAATTGGCAATACCTCCATAAAAAATGTTCTTGAACCCACCAAACATCTACTGGAGTCAGTTCTCCCATTTCAAGAGACTTATAACATAATAAGACTTCGATGGATGTCTTAGATATCTAAAAGTGTTACAATCAATATCATTTTCCCCAGGTTGGTATTAAAGTTATTCAATTTCTTAAATGATTAGTTGTATACATAATTAAAATGATCGAGTAAATCGTCTTATTCACTATTTCTAATCCTCCGAGAATTTAAAAAGAATACAATTTCTTCAATTAGATTCTTACTTAATCCTCTAGTAATTATTTTTTGTCTCTCTAATTTTGTAATTACCAAACTATCAATATCTGGATGTTGTTGCATAGGGATACTATAAAAATAACCTACTAATTTGTTTAATGTTCTTTCTTTCGTCTTAGTATTCTCAATATTCTATCCTTAACTACAAGTACCCATTTATATTTATTATTTATAATAACTTATGGGTTCTTGCTCTGGAAAGCCTCCTAAAAATGATTCTGTTACTAAGAATTCAAGTAATAAAAAGGAATCAGACAAAACTTCTCCTTAAAAACTTAATGATGGTATTTCTATATTCTTGAATTATAGCTTAAAATCCTCTTGGTAATCTTATCATAACAAGTGAAAAGTTAGGACGTATTACTAAAGATTATACACTCTTGAATCCACCATTAGGAAGTGGTATGATAAATTATTTAATCTTATCTAGGTGCATATGGTGAAGTAAGAAAAGCTATTCATAAAAGCACAAATCTCATGAAAGCTGTAAAAATTATACACAAATCTTAAACAAGTAAGGAAGAATAAGAAAGATTGATGAATGAAGTTAATATGCTATAAAAATTAGTAAGAATTAATTATATTTAAGGATCATCCAAACATCATTAAGATTTATGAATTTTATTAAGATGAAAGATTCTTTTACATTGTTACAGAACTATGTACTGGAGGAGAATTATTTGATAAAATAAGATAAGAAGGTAGTTTCTCAGAAAAAAAAGCTGCTGATATCATGAAATAAATATTATCTGCAATCAATTATTGTCATGATGAGAAAATTGTTCATAGGTAATAAATATTATTATTTATATATATATAGAGATTTAAAACCAGAAAATCTACTTTATGAATCTGAAAAAGAAAATTCTATGCTCAAAATTATTGATTTTGGTACTTCCAAAGAATTTGTTCCAAATTAAAAATTAAATTAGAAATTAGGCACACCTTATTATATTGCACCTGAAGTTCTAAAAAAGAAATATGATGAAAAATGCGATATATGGTCATGTGGTGTTATTCTATATATTTTATTATGTGGGTATATAACTTATTATTTTATATTATTAGATATCCACCATTTGATGGCAAAACTGAAGAAAAAATAATGGAAAAGGTTTCAAAAGGTGCTTATTCATTTGAAACTTAAGAGTGGGAAGAAGTATCTAAAGAGGCTAAAGATTTTATTAGGAAAATGTTACAAATTGAACCTAGTATTTTATTAATTTTATTTTAAGATAAGAGATACAGTGCCCAATAAGCTTTGAATGATCCATGGATTAAAAAATTTACAAATCCAACTTAATTTGATAAACCTTTAATGACTAAAGTGTTAACAAATATGAGAAAGTTTACAGAATAATAAAAATTATAAGAAGCTGTTTTTAAATTTATAGTTAATTAATTGGCAACCAAAGAAGAAAAGGCTGAATTATTAAAGATTTTCTAATGTTTGGATACAAATCAAGATGGAAAATTAAGTAAAGAGGAATTATTAGTTGGTTATTCTAAGATTATGAAACCAATTGAAGCTGCAGAAGAAGTTAATCGTATATTCTAATAGGTAGATAAAAATAATTCTGGATCAATTGATTATACAGGTTTATTATTATCCATCTAAAATTAGAATTTGTTATTGCCACTATTGATAGACAATAATTATTATCCAAACAAAGATTACAAGTTACTTTTCGTATGTTTGATAAAGTATAATAAACAATTATATTTAGGATAAAAGTGGAAGTATAACTATAGATGAATTGAAAGAAATTTTTAGTGGAATACCAGAAGATATGTGGAAATAAGTAGTAAAAGAATTTGATTCTAATTCTGATGGATAAATTTCATTGGAAGAATTTTTTACAATGATGAAAAAAATCGATTGATTATTTAAACATACTCATATCGTTTTAGTTTTTCGATTAAATTTTTATAAAATAATCATTAATAAATTGCATTATACTAAATTATACTAATTTAAGAACATTTAATTTTTAAATTTCTTCTAGGGAAATTTCAGACTTCGTTTTAATAACTTTTTATTCTAAATCTAATCATCCAATAAGTCAAACACTATTAAATACACAAAAACAACATCAAATATAGATATTTTAACCGAAAAGAAAAGGAAATTGTTAGATCATTCCAATTTAAAATTTTAGCTTTTGCTTCTATTTAGTTGGCAATCTTGATATAGTAACAATTTTTATCATTAATAAGCAAAACAATAGAGATATCATGAAGTTTATATATTTGAAAGAGTGAAATTCATTCCTTTCTAAAAAATAGAATTCATCCATATTAGAGAAGTATTTAATAAATTTATAAGTGAACTCATAATTAACATGTTTATACTCCTTTATTTTTTGGATGAAATAGCAATATTCATGAAGGATAGAATTCTCCAGCATCATAATTTAAAAGATGTCAAAATTATTAATATATCCTCAGAAACCTATTTACTTTATAGTAAATAGTATAATGATTGCATTCAAGTAGGATTTTTGAAGTAATAAGTTTTAATTTGAGCATGGTGTTTTATTCATAAAATTTGGCTGTTGAAAATTATGAATTATGCAATGAATATTTTGAACTTATCTAAAATTTCATCAGAAACTATTATTATAGTATCATGATGATATAAGAAATTGAAATTAAAGAGAAAAATAAATAAAAAGCATGCCTTTAAATACAACATTTTAAAAATCAATGTATAGTAATTTATTAAAATTTCCTTCTTGATATGCTTTGCCATATAATTTATCGAATACCTTAGGTTGAATAAAAATGAAAATTTGATTATTAGCGTAATAAATAAAAATTAGACCTGATTTTTGATACATTTTGTGTTGTTATCATTAAAAATTATATTATATTGTAAATGAATGAATGATTACTTATATACAAGTAATAAAGTTAGATGAATAGAATATTTTAGAGGTTGAATTATTGATTGAAGCATATTGAATAACTTTTTAATAAATTAGATAATGAAAAGAAATTATATATATAAATATATAATATCAAGTGAATCTTAATTCAAATTTAATAAGTATTGGTTTTAAATTTTATATAAATATAATAAAAATAAAGATTCTACAGTCATGACTAAATCTGAAAATCAAGAATCATAAGCAAAATAGACAAGAAAGTACTAGAAAATTGATAAGGAAGAAAGAAGACAAGTTTTAAAGCTTCTTTTATAGGACAAGCTCTCTTTATAAGAGGTATCAAATTAATCCAAATTAAATGATTATGTCTTACCATTATATATGATATCTTAATCCTTTATTCTTTTAGGTAGCAAATAGGTTGAAGCTAAAATACTGTACTGTACGTACAATCTAAAAAGCTTATGAAAAAGAGGGTAGGATAGGTAAAAAAGAGACAAGAAAGAAGAAGCTCAAGGTGGAGAATATCTTGAAGATTTCAATTATTAATCCTCTTACTTTCTAACTGTCTGAGCCTATTGTATCATCGGAAGTTAGTCAGGTAATTTTAAATAAATTTATATAGATATATATTGACAAACAACCTTCTAAAGAAGATTAAGCAAATTTGATTTAAGAATAGCATACTCTTCTTCAATAACATTGTCAGAAACTATTTTCTATATTAACTTAATAATATTAGAAGGCTGCAGAATCCTAGAATCCATTTTATTACACAACTATTTAAAATTTATTTTTGGCATCCCAATTAATATTCAAGCAACTTATGGAAGTTAAATAGTAAATCCCCATAAAATAAGAATATGAACCTGTGTCTCCAACACTAACATAATATCCTCTTTAATTGTAACAACATTTATACTAACCACCATTTGCTGTGATGTTGCCACGAATTAATTCTTGATTATTAATGTTAATTGCTATTCAATATCAAAAAAAGAAAAAAAAACAATTATTATATTTATTTAATTAGTTGTAACAACAATTTAAATTTATAATTATTTTCTTTCTTTTTTTCTTTGAATTCATTCTTCAACATAACATTCTGGCTTCTAAATCAGCATTTTCTAAATATGTTGCATTATTACCACAATTAAAACAATACTCAATATGATTTCTCATTGATGATTTATTAAAATTAATTACTTTAATTAAATCATGCATTTCTCTTACTAAATTTATTCAATATTCTTCCCAATAATCTCTATTTATTCTACATTATTCTTTCTATTATCAACTTTTAAACATCATCAAACATCTCACAGTGTTATTTAAATTCAAATTAATCTTTGATCTTTCATCATTATACTAATTTCATTTTGTTTTTTTGTTCTAACTACATTCTGGAAATTTTAAAATATATATTCCACCCATCATTCCTTATTTTTTAATTATTTCTCCTTTATTTAAGCTAACCCCTAAAAAGCTAATGTTTCTATAGTTATTATATGAAATTTTTACTTTCCATCTCCTTTCATTGGCTTTTAAATTAAGCTATATTTTTAGAATTTATTTCTCAATCAATCAGTCCAAGCATAATTAATACTAAAACTTTAAAAATTTGTATTGATGAGTTATTGTGAAAATCATATAACCATGATGAAAATCTGTATTTTTGTTTCAAATATATTTAAGAACTTGGCTTAAAACTAATCATGTGTAATGTTATGGTGATTTTATAGTTCATCTTCCATTAATAAAATAATAAATTTCACAAATTTACTGAACATTTATCATAACAATATATAATATAATGAATGAAGAGTTCTCTAATTATTTATTATAATTTCTCATATTTTTTAAATATACATGAGTACTAACACTTTTTTTTGGTTATCTTATATTTATAATTAAGTATTAATTAGAAGAGATCAGAAAATTTAAACATTTCAAAAGAGTCTAACTTTAATGTTATTTATTCATATATTTAATTATTGAAATCTGCTTATTCATAATATAAGGCTTTTTCTTACATTCACCTTTTTCTATTTTCATAAAATTGATCATGATCATCAATTTACTATTTTAAAACTGCGATCTAAGTAATATACATAAACTTATTAAATATAAAGTGATATTAAGTAAAATAGATTTTCATAAACTCAATCAGTTAGTTCTCTTTCAAAATCAAATAAATTTTGTGTAGAGCAAATTTATTATGTTAAGAAGTTAGAAAATTGAGAAAAACCACCAATGAATCCTTCTAAACGATGATTGAAATCAATAAATTTGATCATATATTGATTCTCAGTTTATTCTCTTATGCTTGATAAGAATTAGAATTCATATTTGGTAATTTTTATAATTTATAAATGTTTGTAATTAAATAAAAATATTCATAGATTAAAATAATTAATAAATGTAGAAATTATATTATTCTATAAATAATTTATATTATCAATAATTTAATCAATTTTATTAACATTGGCGAGAAGTATTGGCATTTTTCGAATAATTTGATTCACAAATTAAATTTTTGATATTTCTATGAGTTAATTTCATATATATTCTATCAGTATTGGATTGATATTGAATTTTCTAAATATTAGAATTATTGTTATTAAGTTTTAATGGAGGAACGGATTGTTTTTTTTAGGGAAGTATAAGATTATTTTATTACTTAAGATTTTATTCAGAAGAATAATGAGAGTTCCCAAAAAGACACAATCTTTTATGACAGTATGGATAAAAGAAATCCTTTTTATTTAGATAAATTAAACTAAAATTTTAGTATTTTTTAAGTGTTTGTTCTAGAGGTTGTAGGCAAGGATTAACAGAATATGATGAAGAGGGTTTTTGTTTTATTCTCTGTTTTTACTATGGATTAATGAAAGTTATTGAAGATTAACATCGCTTCATAATAATATTATAATTGTTTATTTAATAAAATAAACAAAGCTTATGATGATAATTTTGATTATTATAATGCACAATATTGCTTTAACTAACTGTAGAATCTAGCATCCAAAAAAGTATATTGGATTAGTTCGGAAACCAATTTCAATTTTATAATTGATATAAGAACCTCTAATCGGATAAGAAAGGATAAACGAATTTTCAATAGAAAGACTTGAGTTCGATTCTAATTTAGTTTTATAGCAAGAATTATTAGAGGAAGATATTTCTGAATTTCCAAAATAAAATTACACCATACCATAGTTTTAATAATTAAATGAGTAAAAGCAAAGTTCATATAAGGAAGAGTTCTAGAAAGTGAAATAACTGTTGATAAAACTACACTATAAAGAAGTTTTATTAAGCTTGTTTATAGTATCGGTTTTTATCATTATTTTGTGCATTATAAAATTTTGTTTTTTATCTCAACCATAAGAACAAATAGATCATGAAAAAGTATTTGTTTAATGTTTATTTAAAGTTAGAAACAAAAATAATTAGGAGCAGATTATTCAATATTGAATTCTAAGACAATAAGTGATGACGAATAATTGAATCAAAGTACATTAATAAAATATAAAATAACTGATATGACACCATAAATAAGAAATCCATATGATGAGAGTTTTGTTAAAGCTTCAATGAAAGCAACAACAAGAGGATCGGCATGTGATTAAAGCTTATTAGAAATAGATGAATTGTTAAAAGATTTGCAGAATTGACAAATAATATTCATAAAATTTTTATTATCTATAAAAGTTTTCTCTTTAATATTAATTTATTAATTATACACATATATTATAATATCAAAAAGTCAATAAGTGATTGTACATTAAATAAGGAGAGGACTTTAATTACAAAACGAAGATAGCAATAATAGGAATAATATTAAATTTTGTGCTGCCAATTGTAACTGACTTTTTAAGCAATGATTTGTAAAAATATTGATTTAATTCTGGAGCATTACCAAGAGCAATTTTTATGATTAATACTTTTCTATTAATAATATTGAATTGAAAAAATTATAATCATTTTTATTTCTTTAATGTTAGTTTTTTTGTCAAAAATGAATCCTTTACACATTGCCATTTAGTTTGTTATAAAGGTGATTTTTCTACTTGATTTAATTAGATTTGAGTATTTGTTTGTGATATCTCTCTAATATGAATTCCACTAGATTTGAGAGACATTGTATTACTAATTGTATTGCTATATTATTTGATATTAAGCTTAAATTTTAATTGTGAACTACTTAATTATCGAATAGTAGTCTCTACAGGAATAGATAATCTATGATTTTAACATGATTGTATAGTTCTACGATAACTTCCAGAAGAGGCTCTTAATCTTAGCTTGGTTATTTGACATGATTATTTAATCTCATTTGTGAATTTAATATATTATTTTTTTCTGATTAAGTCTTTTATGATGATTTCAGAGTCTTGTTCCTTAAGATTTGAACTTTTGATAGGACTTAAGGGAGGTTCATTCTAAAATTTTTTAGTTAATTAAGAGTCTTCATGCATAGATTAGTTAAAGGGATTACTATAATATTTTACAAGTGATTAAACAATTATTAATAAATTGTTCGCTCTTGATGATAACTTTTATGCATGAACAGTTTTCAATAATACTTCAGTTTAAAAAATTTTGCACTCTGTTATGTAATATTTTTAAAAATTTTACAACATTTTAATGAATTTTGATGTGTGTCCAATAGTTCTTTAAATGGTTGCCCAATCCTTGATATTCTTCGGTATCCAATTTTCAGAATCTTGAAAAATAGTTAACAATGCTTTGAATAGAATTATAACATTTTTTTCTTATTTATTCTGAAGTATTAATGTCTAATCTAAGCAATTAAACATACATTTAGAAGTTTAAAATTAATATATGAAAGAGATTAAAGAACTTTTTTCTCATTAATGATTTCATCTTCAAAAATTTTCTATTCTGCAGATGATGCAATCTTTTCTTACTCATTCATTTCTAATAAATATTAATTATTATTTAATAATAGTATCAAAATGAATATTGGAACCTAATTTAAAATATATATAGATGTTAAAGAAATAATAGAAAATAATTGAGTTCCTTAAAATTATTAATAACTAGTAGGTTTCAAAGCATCATTAATTCAAACATTGAATGAGATTTTGAAATAATCTAAAATAAACCCTCATTAAATTAATTACTTTAAGTCTTCAAATATCAAGATGAGAAACAAGCAGAATTATTCATAATATTTTATGATGCTGCTAGTAATTGAAAACTGCCTTAAACTAAATTAAGCTTTTAACCTAAGCAATTTTATTAATCAGAAATTTGATAGATTGAAATACAAAGAATTTTAGAGACTTACAACAATTGAGTTAACTTTATCATCCTTATAATATTATTTCAATGAGCTGAATATCATTTTTTGGCTTATGTATTATGAGATATCTGTCTTTCATGAAAATATCTACTTTTTTATTGTTTCCTTCATTATAATAATTAATTAAATTGTTTCATAGGAATCCTATTTTTTATTTCAATATGGCAAATACATTTAAAATATATATTCCACTCATTTAAACGCACTCTTGCATGGTGAATCTATTTCTAAACGGATTTCCTTTTTCCTTTAATTAATCCTTTCAATTTTTGAAAAATGAGCAATTTTAGATACTAGTATGAAGAAGAAACAGCTAAATTTGAGGAAATCAAAGATATATTTTCTTGAAAGCAAAAAAACAAAAACCTTATTACCTATTTTACGTAAATTAAAAATTAATGTTACTCACAGATGACAATAAATCCAATTGAACAATAAAGAAAAGAGAGATGAAATCCTAAAATGCAAAAAGAACAATTTTAATGCGAGATATTAAATTTATTTTATATTTAATATTTAAGTTCCTCTCCAAGCCTAATCAGAACATTACTACCATCTTTACTTAATATTAATAATCTTAAATTAATAAACCATTTATTTTCAACAATTAGGCAATCAATAATATTATAATGATTGGTATTATTAGGAAAAAAAAATAATAGCTTTAAGTTGATCAGCCACTCTAATAAATATAAAAAGACCAACAGTCTGAAGAGATGATTAAGTTGAAGAATTTAGAATTCCTTTTACGACTTTAAAATACGTCCATCCCATTATGATCTCATTTATCAAAGTAAGAGAACTATTTTAATAAATGATCAATGTAATTGAATAATAATTACACAATATTGAAGCATGCAAATCAAACATTGTTTGCATTAGCCTTAGAAAATTTGAAAATAAGTTAAAAATCATTGATTATTTGAATAAAAAAATAGACTTGCAAAATCATCCTTCTATTCAATGAACAAACAAATTTTCAATAAGAAACTAAAGTAATAAGCATTTTTGGAAAAAATTATCTTAATAAATAAGAGACATTTCAATAAAATTCAAGCAAAATTTATTGAAATAATAATTTACACTTATACGCATCCAGAGTTTTATAGAAAAAAAATTATTAGATGTTTAGAATTAGAGAGAAATTGTTATATTGTCATTTGCAGATTTCAAAGCAAGAAATCCAAGAGTAGATATGTATTTAGATGCCTCATACAATAGAGTTAATATTTTAGTTACTTCATTCAACTATCTTAACCTCACTCCAAGGCTAAATAATACTGAACATAAAATGATATAAAGATAGTATGAATATCTACATGCACTTTCTTTTGTTATTATTTATAACTTTTATAGAGTTTTTAATATAATTTTGTAATTATTGGCTAACTTTCTATTGAATGTAATTTAATGATACTTATTATTATAAGGAATACATGGAGAGGAGAGGAGTGAAAAATCTAGACACTGTCTTTAATTTTATTTAATTTTATTGAATCATTTCTGTAAACAAATTGTTTTAAGTTTAAGATTTCTAGGGTAGTAAATAATTATATTTTTAAGTCTTTTAAATACTTTGAGAGTCTTTTTAATAGATTGTTTATTATATGACTTTTAGGGCTTTAGATGGAATCATTCACTATTGATTAATATTATAGTGAATTTTCAATTTAATTAGTTTTATCAATATATATATAAAGTTTATCTGAAAAATTATATTAATAAAATGTAAGACATTGAATAAGAAAGATAGAGAAAAGAAAATTTATTGATGTCATTAGTAGTAGATGCAGGCTATGATACTATTGCATTCTAGGTGTATTGCGAATAAATTAAGTAAAATGGAAGCTAAGATATTGATTTATGGACTTATGAAGAATTGGAGAAAACAATTTAAGATTTTATCAACAAGGAAGAGTAAAACAATTTTTAAAGTATATAGTTAAAAAGAGATGTAATAAAAAAGTTAGATGATTGTGTAAAATGAATATAAACAACCAGTTTCATAATCCACCGATCCATAATTTCAGATATCGAAAGTGTAAGATGATAATAATTTTATTACGGAAGTCTAATGCTAATTACCAGGAAGAACAAAATTAACAGATTATATATTGGAGAATACTCATAAACAAGTAGAAATTATAATGAGTGAATATATGAGTAAATCTGATGGTATTATATCATCATATATTTCTTTTAAAATTGAAACTAAACCAATAGGATGGGTAGTTAATAGAAGATTTACTGATTTTTAAAAATTGAGAGATATTTTAGTAACAACTTATCCATGTCACTTGATTCCTCCAATCCCTGGAAAGAAATTGTAATATTAATATTTTATTTTATTTAGGAAATCTTAGACTGGTGCAGCATATTTAGAAAAACGTATGAGAATTATGGAATTATTCTTATAGAATTGCTTATATCATCCATTATTTAAGACCCATCCTTTATTTTCTGATTTTTTGGAATTAACAGATGATGCAAAATTAAAAGAAAAGTTCAACTAGTATGATAAATAGAAAGGACCATCGAAACCATAAGAATATATAATGACTAATGGGTCATGTGTTTTGGAAATTTCTAATGAGTTATAGAATTATTCTTAGGGATTGACAGATTATCTGAAAAATTCGTAAGACATATATAAAAAAACTGGAAATAATTTTAGCAAATTGTGTACAGATTTAGAGAATTTAAGCAACACATTAACTTCAATTACAGAGAACTTTAATACTTTGGACAAGCTAACTGATGGTTTTATTAAATAAACCAAATCTAAAGGAGCAATTGAATAAATCTAGTTAGTGTATTAAGAGTTATCTAAGTTTGTAACTGGATGGCAATATGGAGTGAATTTTTAGATGAAAAATGTGAAGGTAATAAACGAGCATATTAAAATAGGAAAACTTTTATGAATTCTTCAGATATCATAAAAAGAGTTAATCTTCAGCTTATGATTATTTGTAGAATAAGAATTAGTTACAATAGAAGTATCAGAATTTGAGGAACAAATTAAATGAGAAAAAAGAATAATTATACATAAAAGGTGATCCTACAAAATGGGAATTGCCTTCTGATATTCCAAAGAGTGTAAAAGAACTGTAATTTAATAAAGGAGAAGCATTTAAATATATGTTAACTAGTGAAACAAAACAAGTGAGTGAAGTAAGGGAAATGTATGCATTTATGAATCATTAATTGCAGGATGAAATAAATTAGATGATTGACTTTAGAATAAAAGTATATGCTAAGAAATTTGTAAGGATGGGATAGATGAGAGCTTTAGAAACTGCTAAGTTCCATCATATATTGGCTAATTTCCTATAGGTTTTAGCTGAAATGTAGGGATCTACAACAGGATAAATGTATAATCGTAGAGCAAGTGTTTTTATAGATTAGAGATATGATTAATTTTTTGGAATAAAACCAAAATGATAAATATTTTATATGCAATATAAATAATTTTAAGGATTTCTTTGAATAATGATATTTGATTATATTTTAAATAATTAAGGAAGGGAAATGAACGAAAAAGATAACAAACAATTAGATCTTTCAGTAGGAGTGTTATGTATTTCATTTTCTTCCCATTAATACGATTATAAATCAATTTTAATTCCTATACAATCCCTAGTTTAACACCACTTAAAAAAGGGACACTCAGGATTTAGATAAAAGAAACAATCTCATTTCAAAGATAAAAAGGTACGCATAATAAATACAATTATTAGGCTGAATGTTGTGTAATTTGTGGAATTGGATTTGAATGATAAATATAATAACAAGAGATTGGTACAAATAAATCATTAATTCCTAGGTATCATGATACTCTCATGTTTTAAATGTCTATCTACATGCCATTATTATTGCTATAGTATATCAACAGAAGATGAAATTTTATCTATTACCAATAATTAAGGGTATTTTTAATATGACAAGTGTGAATCATCTATAAATTAAGATTAGCCATGCGTTTTTTGTAATTAAAATAAAGTTTTAAAAAAAAACTACATAACTCTAAAGAATTTTTACATCCAATATGTGCATAATTCTCCAAATAAATAGAAATAATCTCATTTATACAAATGAATTTTTGTAAACTGAATAAATTTGATAAATCTAATAGAGATAAACCTAAAGAGAATTCATCAATATCTGTTGTATGATACTTAAAATTATAGATACTGGTCTTAAACTTGATTAATTGCAAATAATTAATTACTATTGATAATGTCATTCAATCAATTAGAGACAAATTGTTACTCAAAAAAAAATTATGTCTTTAATATTTTTGATATATTTAAGAAATTACAAGGATTTACGATATAAATCAAATTAGATAAAATATTTTAAAGATTATATGATTTAATTTGAAATTTGTATCATGATTAATGTGTCAAAAAATATTAAAATGATTTTGAAGAATAAAAAAATAAAGATAACTGTTGTTATCCCTTTTACTTAAATGGGCAAAAAATTAATTAAATCATATCTTGAAATTCAATGCAATTTCAAATCTAAATCAACTTTTTCTAAATTTGAATTTCATACATTCTTGGAATTTATTGTCCTAATAAATTTTATTTATCCTATTTAGATGATGAAAATAAATATCAAACTCTCCAATCCATCATATCCAACCTTCCATTTCCAAATTCTTTATAAACTTAGCTTAGCTTAATTTAACCGAAATCTAAGTTAGCTTGTTTAGTGAACTTTATATTTACACAATTAATTTCTTATAGAGAAGACAATCAATAGACTATTAGATGATAATTAGATGAACACATTGATACTTTACCAAGAAAATATTCAACTTAATAATGCTTTACAAAACAAACTGTTGTAAGATATTGATTTGTTTAAAGATTTTGATGAGTGTAAATTTTATTAAGAATTATTACAAAAATTGAATCATTTGCAAAAAACCTTTGACATCATTATAATGAAATAGAAAATTACTAAAACAATTATTTTAATGGAATATTAGTCAAATTTTTGGAATTTATTTATTAGCAACATCAAATAGCAACATATAAAAAATAAAAAAAACTTTAAAGAATTTTTTCATCTTATATCACAATCTCGACTCAAATTAACAGCATTGAATATGTTAATAAGATTGTAAGATTAATCTATATTTATCCATAAAAATTCAGTATATAGAATAAGAAGTTCATTAAGGATAACATATAATTGAATAATTAGAGGATTCAAATTTGAATAATTAAAATAATGCCCATACATATCTTAATGGATTAGATGGAATAGTCATTTTTTTATTATAAAGATCTTCCCATTATGCTTTTCTATCTAAAATCAAATTATATGAATTATACATTCACGATCTCGATTATTAATAAGATAGGGATGATGAAGATGAATTATATTACAAGTAGCTAAAGATTTTCGTATCAAAATATCCATTTCTAATTTATATATGTAATAAAAAGGGTTAAATGAATAATTAATAAAGCAGTATTAAGTTGATTTATAGATGATAAAATATTATGATGTACCAGAAATTAAGGAACTTTAATTAAATTTAGAAATATTTACAGAAGTTGAAACAATTACACTATAAAAGAGATAAACATTGTCATTAGTTATAAATGTGTTTAGAGAATTTAAATAATATAATTTTGATGGTAAAATAGTTCACTGATAAAGATAAAACAGAACTTAATATTGAAGATAAAAGATATAAAAAGTCTAAAAAGTCTAACTATAATAATGAATATGAAAATTAAAGAATTGAAAAAAGAACTGAATTATTAGATGTATCAATTTTCAAAGATAGAAAAGATTTAAGTGATAAAGTTAAAGAAATTGAAAATCAATAGTTTTGAGAATATATAAAAAACAAACCAAGTATATTTTTAATTCTTATTTATAGAATATGAAGAATTTATGTAAATGATCACTGCAACACATAAAGAATTGAAAACTATTCAAAATAATAATTCTCTGTTTCAATTAACCTTTGAAACTACAATCAAAGTAGTTTAAAATTATTAAGATGGTAAATTATAACAATGTGAAAATAAATGCAAATAAGTTAGATAATTAGATTAAAATCCATTAATAAAAAGTAACTTTGCTTTCCAACCTTAAAAAATTAAACTTAAATCTTAAACTAAATCATTTACATTAAAATACTCAACTTAAATTTAATAAAATGTAAAATAGGATAATTTAAATTAATCATTTAATGAAGTAGATCAATTAATATAAAATTATAAGAATAAAATAAAAATGACAGAATGCATAACTTTAATAAATTAATGAAGTACATTAAAAATAAATAATAATAATAAGAAAAAATACTTGCAAGTAGATCATCAAGCCAAGAATCAGTTTCTAAAGAATTCTCTGAATATAATTTAGTACCATATACTAAGAGTTTTGGACTAAACAAAGAAGATAAGGATCTAAACTCATATATAAATAAAAAAGATTTAAATGGATATAAAATTTAAGAGATAATTCCTTGTGTTTAAGGCGATGAATTGACAAAAATAGGCCAAAATGAAGTAAAATTAGTGTTACCTAATGGTTCAATATCCATTATTGATTATTTTAGTCATCAAAATGAACTAAGATATGATAAATTTCCAAAAACGATTTAAGAACTAAAAATTGGGAATTATTAGGATTAAAATATATGTGAAAAGTAATAGAGAGTATAGCTAAATAAAATAGATAGCAAGTATTATCAGAGTAAATAATCAAGAGAGATTGTAAAAGTAAGAGCATCAAATAGAATAAGTGAAGAACTATTAAAAGATCATAAAAAATTAGAAGATAAATCATTAGATATGAATACATATTTGATGCATTTTGAACAAATTACGGAATCAGAATACTTTTGCAATTTAGATTAGAAAAGATTATTTTAAACTAAATAAAACCAAATAAGATGAAATTTATAAAGAGTTAGACCTTATACATTAACCTTATGTTTGTTATTTCACTTAAATAATAATCAAGAGAATTTGGGTTAGTAATTTTAGTAGAGTTTCTATTGAAATTATAAAGAAAGTATCTTAAGTTTATAATTAACTTTATATGTATATTATTTTTAAGATAAGAGTGCTTGGTATTTATTGAAAGAATATAATATTATAAAATTGAGTTATTTATCTGTTATAATTTAATTTTTCTAATCGTTAATTCTTAATTTATCCACTCAGCAACTTCATGTATATTATACCATCCTTAATATTCTATCCTATGTAAACATTTAGAGTTTTATTAAGAATTCTTTATTTACCTTTTTTTTTGAAAAATATAAATAAGTAATAAGAATTATTATAATTTATATTATTTATATTGTTTATTATTAATTAATTCTTTTTGTGAGCTTTACATCTGTATCTTTAACTTTATGGTTATTTCATTTACTTCTACTTTATTTCTTTCAATTAATTTGTTTTTGGCATCAAGATTATTTGTTTTAATTATTCTATAATTTTGCCATCTTTTTGCAATTCTTTCTTCTTTAGTCAAATCAACCTTTGTCATTTGATTAATAAATTGAATTTTTTGTATTTATTAGTGTTTCTGGATTACAAAATTTTGCAAATCTGCAGACATTGTATTATAACAAAACAACAAACCACCTTTGATATGAGACAAATATTTATACTCTATCAGAATCTTGCATATTAACTATAACAATTATTCCATGGGAATAAATTTTTAATTTAGAACTAGAAGGTTTAAAGAATTTATATGTTTTTATATTATATTACTCCACCAATGTTTAATAGATTTCATATAATTGATTCTTTAATTTTACATTTATAAAATTTTACTATTATCTTTTCAGATTCAATTAATTTGATCCATTTATTAAAATTTTTCTTTCTTTTCATCTCTATAATAAAAAAAAGATAAATTAATTTCATTCATGAATAATTATTAATTCTAAATAATTCTATTTTATATCTTCTTCTTATATAACAAATTTATAATTGATTCTTTGATCAACTTTGTTAGTAGGTATAAATTTGTTTTGGTTGTCATTCTCTTCAAAAATAATAGAATTACTAATATATTTTGATTTCAATCTATTAATGCTGTATATTTGCTTTGGTAACTTAATATAATTATACTAGATTTAATTTGCCATTATGATTTATTAAAACATACTTATTATTCTAATGTATTTATATCCCAAATATCTAAATTCCTTCATTTAAACCTTATACTATTAATAATCGATAATCTTTTAATACGATTAAACTATTTACCACTTATTATGAAATCCCAATGTTAATCCTTTATTGTATTACCATTAATCCGAAATCTTTATTTTATCACTATTCATTTCTCCTGATACTTATAAATTGTTATCATTTTCAAATATACTTAAAAAACATATTACATTTTTTATTTTGTATAATTAATATCATATATAATAGACTTTTTTATGCTTAAAAATCACAATATATTAATACTCCTCCATCATCACATCCATTCAATATTTTATTTTCTTCTACTAATTAATTACAGATTTACTTCGCATATGTTTATTTGTATTTAAAAAATAATCAAAATTTCATACAAAAATTTTAAATCCTATCTATCTATCATTCATTAATATATATATTTTTTCATTCAAGTTAACATGTATCAGCAATTAATTCCATTTTTGAGAAAAAAAATTTATTCGCAATCATTTATATTTGATCATTTTTTAGGAATTAATGTATTATGAAGTTCTAAATCAATCAAAATCTTAATTTCAATAAAATCAGCCTAATAAAGTGAGATGATGAAAATTTTCTTATTTAATTATCAATAACTGTAATGTAAAATACGAAATTTGATTGATTTTGTATAATAATAGAATAAATTTTTAAAATGATGAAGTTGAATATAAACTTTAATTGTCAAACTTAAATTACTTTTTCAATATTATATAGCTAACTTACTTAGATTCTTGAAACATAATGATAGTCATAAATTTATAGAATTTGAGATGAAAAAATAAATAATTTTACTTCAAATTTTCTTACTAATAGAATAAATTTATTATATTTTAGGAGAGAAATTATAATATCAAATTATTAATTTTCATAGTCATCTAACTTCATAAATATATTGATTAATGCAGTAAGATAAATATTCAACCTATTTTTAGGAAAAATCCTGAAGAATAATTAATAAAACTTTTAGCTAGTTTGGCAGCTTTAGAAATAATGGAAGAATAATATCAAAAAAAACAGTAAAAAGATTTAATGTTTCTTCTCTAACTTTTGGCTAGCACCTAATCAAGAGAAAAAAAAGTTCTATAGTTAGTCTCTTGCTGTTAGGACACTTGTAAATGTGAAAGCAAATCAAAAAAAGTTAAAAAATGGTAACATCATTGTGGTGGAGATGTTTATTAAACAAATCAAGGAACAATAATGTGTGAGAAATGTGGATTTGAGAAAGCTGCTAACTATTGGTATTTATATTGCCAAAACGAAACTGCAGATAATTACAATTATCCTGTTAACTCCCTTGAAAATTGTATATTTAATTGTGGAGAATCCTTAAAACAAGTTAAGGATAAAAAGGTTGCTGCGGATTTTTTAAAAGAATATTATGATTCTCTTAAAGCCAAAGCTGAATATTGAAACAAATGATATCTATGTTATAATCAGAATAATTCATTAGGTTTCTTTTTTCCACATTAAATATTATATTATTCTATTAAGTAATTGTTTTTAATTATTACTTAAGAAAAGAATATATAATTTTTCATTTAATTCTTATTGATATAATTTCTTGATATTACCATATTACTTCATTAAGCAATTATAATATAATATTATTATTTACTTTTGATCGATGAATTTAATAAAACATGCCATCAATCAAGTTTAATGTATTATATGAATTTAATACTATTTTTCTTTAAGAATAAAGATTAAATCTTCTCAAGAATGTTATTAATGATGATCAAACAAATAAATGACCATTTTTCCAAAATGGAATAAAAATCCAAAAAACCATTAAACTTATTATTTATATGAATAATTCTTATCATTTTAACATTGGCAACAGTCCTCCTTTTTCATGTAGAGTATGCAAATCTGAATTTCCACCTATGAATTGATTATTTATGAAAATCATAGGAACAGTTTTATAATTTAAATTTATTTTAATGCTTTTCTTTCTTACTTAAATTAATCTGACACATCAGTTCCTCTATATTCAAATTCTATATTAAGACTTTTCAATAGATCTTTTGCCTTAGTGCAATAAGGGCATTGAGTTGTACCATATAAAATTACTTTTTTATCTGATTTTAGATCAGCTGGTGTTAATACTTACATATATTAAATTATGAAAAAATAATCTAATCAATTTATTTGGTTTATATATTTTTATAATTATTACTTATAATTTAGAATCTAATTATTATATAATATTTGCAATATTAATATAATATAAAATTTTAAATCCTCATAAGCAGGTTCAAACAGAAATAAACTTTCTAAATCAATAAAATTGTAAATATAGATTATGTTTATATATTTTTGGATTAATAATAAATGATTTTAAGAATGAATATGAATTTTGAAACCATTTATCTCGATCTTTTTTCAAATTAACAAAACGATAATCCTGGAACTAATTTCTATTAATAATTTGTATATAAGTATCAAAGAAATAATGTATTTGTAATTCCATTAAACATAGCATAGTGTTAAATAAGGTTTATTAAATGATTTTACATAATTAAATATTTAATTAAATGTACCATCTTAAAGAATCAGATATAATTTAAACTATAAATTATTCGAATTAAGAAGGATTTTGCATTTATTTTTTTATAATATATATTCATTTCATTTTTAGTTAACAATTTCGAAAAATTTTAATATCTCAAAAATGTTTTGAAATCATTGTCCCTAATAATACTTATTGTTACATTTATCATCACATATCAAAAAGTGAATATCTAACTAATCTTTGTCTGACTATTGCATATCTAAATTCATTCTCGCTGCACAATTTTTCTAAACTCTCAGAAGCGCCAATACCCATATATCTATTGTATCTAATTTTTTTATCCATTTCAGTCCTTTTTGGCTTCAGGTTAGCAAATGTTCTATTAGGTGATTCCTATTAAACCAACTCCTTACATTTCAAATTGGAGTATCTCAATTAATCAAAGTATCTGTAATTAGTATACTATTTCATCTTTCAGTTCATTTATTTAACATGCTAAACTTCAGCTAATGTAATGCCATCAATTCTGAATAATATGAATCTAAATCCCCTATGCAACTCCATAAAACTTCATATTTGTTTATCATTTATTTCTTTTCCATCCATAATATCGGAAATATATAGTCAAAATTATATTGTCTCATTGATTATATATATTTTCTCTATTGATCTCGGCCTCTATGCCAATTAGATTATGTACCCTGATATCTTTTTATTGTGTTATATACTGATCCTCTTGGATTTAGCCACACACCAACATATTTATATGTTTTTGTTTCTAAACACCCTAGTTGGTCCAATTATTCTATTGTTTATGCTCATTTATATATATTGAACTTTATTTAATATTTTTCTGCCATCTCTTTCAATAGTTGAAACAATAATCCACTCATTCTTCAATCTGCCATTATTACAATATCATCAGCATAAGTCAAAGATCTTGATTTCTCCAATATACTACTTTATTACTTCTTTCTACTGTTCCTCGTTTTAGCAGATTCCAAAAAGACTATAGTTATCCATTACTACAGCAAATAGTGAAAGTATAAATTAAAAAAAATTGGTATTTATCCATTAAAATTAGAATTTTTATTCTTATATTTTTTCTATCATTTTCTTCACTTACTACATTTTAATTTTTATCTCCTTTTTCCCCCACTAATTTAGAAAATCCTCCACCAAAAATAAAACTTGTAAAAGAATTTGTTGTTTCCATTTTTTCTCTCCTCTTAATCTTTAGGTTCCTAACTACCGATTTGTGTTAAAATGGTTTTTATGTTATTATAATTCTGAATACAATTTATAGAATTGAGTTGTTTCCTTCACCTATCCTATTCAAGGCAGTATCGAATCCTTCTTTATTCAAGAAGGCATCAATTTTAATTGAGAGTCTAATTTATTGTCCAATTGGGTCTGATGATTAGTTAGTACTTCCGTATTGGATTCTCACTTCTGTGGCTAATCCAACACTTTTGTAGGTTCCTAATACATCGTTATACTCATTATAATTAAATTATAGGCTTTATATTTTTTAAATAACAAAGTCGAAATTATAAATCTTTTGATCCGTATTGGTACTATTTTAATTATTAAGGATCTAATATAAATTCTGAACAATTATTTTTTATTATGCATTAAATATTATTTAAATTTTAATTCTATACAATCCAATTAAAATGATATAAAAATTATATTCTTTTCGTTTATTTGGTTATTCAAATACTTGCCTTCATTCAAATTAGCATATATTTTAAGGGTCTCTCTTTTTTTTTATAGATTATAAATTGATAATCTTTTAACATTTTCAAATCCTCTGAACACTTTTTAAAATACAATATTTATCTTGTGAACAATTAAAGCTTTTTTTGAAAACTTCCATCGAAAAAACTATTTTTATTAGATGCAAAGTAATCAGGAACCTTTTGTTTAACTTCTTAATTTTTAACATTAATTAAGTTTGAATTAGTATTGAGATTATATATTGGTTTAATTTAATCCAACGTTTTACTGATAGAACCATAATAGTTTTTAGATAACTTTTAAAAAACAACATAAAAATGAATAATTATCGTATATGTCGTGACTTTGTGACTTTGGTTTATTATGGAATAATTAAAGCGATGTTGTTTGAAATGATTTTTGTTGTTAGCATGTTGTGTCATGTTTTTTAATATTTTTTCTTTATGAAAATATTTAAATTATTCAGTAGGGTTAATACTAAGTTGCTTTAGTCTTTAACTATTAATATATCTTATTGTCATTATTTTTAGGGCTAATTAAATTAGAAAATTATAATTTATAATAAAAAAAACGGATTTTAATGAAATTAGCAGTTCTAATAGCGATAATAGTATCAATTGGACTCTGTTATAGAACACCACAATATGAGAATATGTAAGCACTCATAGTTCAATATGCTGGTGGTCATATATTAGAAGCCTAAGCAGGAGTTCCTAGATAAGTAGTTGTGGATGTAAAATTCAAGAAAACTTTCGAAGTAGCTCCTTAAGTTTTTATTTCATCATAATTACTTGATTGGGCTGCTGGTTTACCTTAAGGATATATGGAAAGAGTTAGTGATATCACAACAACAGGTAATAATTTTTTATTATTTAAATAATAAAGGATTCAAATTAAGTGGAGTTGCAGTTGGACCATCTCCTGTTTATTCGTTATTTGTTATTTGGTATGCAATTTACGATCCAAGAGTTTAAGTCGTTACATTTGAATCTACAGATGTAAAAGAACTAAAAACAGGTTAAGGTGAAAGAAAAATATCATTTACAATTNGGTACTATTTTAATTATTAAGGATCTAATATAAATTCTGAACAATTATTTTTTATTATGCATTAAATATTATTTAAATTTTAATTCTATACAATCCAATTAAAATGATATAAAAATTATATTCTTTTCGTTTATTTGGTTATTCAAATACTTGCCTTCATTCAAATTAGCATATATTTTAAGGGTCTCTCTTTTTTTTTATAGATTATAAATTGATAATCTTTTAACATTTTCAAATCCTCTGAACACTTTTTAAAATACAATATTTATCTTGTGAACAATTAAAGCTTTTTTTGAAAACTTCCATCGAAAAAACTATTTTTATTAGATGCAAAGTAATCAGGAACCTTTTGTTTAACTTCTTAATTTTTAACATTAATTAAGTTTGAATTAGTATTGAGATTATATATTGGTTTAATTTAATCCAACGTTTTACTGATAGAACCATAATAGTTTTTAGATAACTTTTAAAAAACAACATAAAAATGAATAATTATCGTATATGTCGTGACTTTGTGACTTTGGTTTATTATGGAATAATTAAAGCGATGTTGTTTGAAATGATTTTTGTTGTTAGCATGTTGTGTCATGTTTTTTAATATTTTTTCTTTATGAAAATATTTAAATTATTCAGTAGGGTTAATACTAAGTTGCTTTAGTCTTTAACTATTAATATATCTTATTGTCATTATTTTTAGGGCTAATTAAATTAGAAAATTATAATTTATAATAAAAAAAACGGATTTTAATGAAATTAGCAGTTCTAATAGCGATAATAGTATCAATTGGACTCTGTTATAGAACACCACAATATGAGAATATGTAAGCACTCATAGTTCAATATGCTGGTGGTCATATATTAGAAGCCTAAGCAGGAGTTCCTAGATAAGTAGTTGTGGATGTAAAATTCAAGAAAACTTTCGAAGTAGCTCCTTAAGTTTTTATTTCATCATAATTACTTGATTGGGCTGCTGGTTTACCTTAAGGATATATGGAAAGAGTTAGTGATATCACAACAACAGGTAATAATTTTTTATTATTTAAATAATAAAGGATTCAAATTAAGTGGAGTTGCAGTTGGACCATCTCCTGTTTATTCGTTATTTGTTATTTGGTATGCAATTTACGATCCAAGAGTTTAAGTCGTTACATTTGAATCTACAGATGTAAAAGAACTAAAAACAGGTTAAGGTGAAAGAAAAATATCATTTACAATTGAACACAGTTTAAAAGATGCAACAAATGCTATTGTTGGTTTAATTGGTTGTAAACATTTACTAACTAATCCAATAGTTGAAGTTAAAGTAATGTATATTTTTTTAATTTTAGGTTGAATAACTAACACCAAAGTCTGTGACTGTATCAGCAAGAACATATTGGTAAGCATAATTGGAATTTGTAAGATTTAATGTTCTTTTGGGTACAGATTAGATATTATGGGCTTCTCCTCCATATGTTTTTTATAATGATCCTGCTTCAAGTCATCCTTTTGTCAAAAGAGCTCCAAGTGCTGCTGAAGTACCATATATTATTGCATTACCAAAAGTATGGTAAAGTGGTCCAAGATTTCCTATTGTTACATTTAGAGGTTATGATGTCGAAAGATCTAGAAATATGAGATTATCATTTAATTTTATGGGTTTAGATACAAACTTAAAATACAATTTAATAACATGTAATTATTATTAATAATATCTTTTTAGGGTGGGATACTCAAATATATGGAGTTTTCCATTAAGCTGGTGTCTTAGTTGCTGATACTACTTATAAAATATTTGATCCAAATTGTGCTGAGCTCTTCTCTGAATGTAATTTTAATGGAGACTCTATCACTGTTTGTGATCGAATTCCTGATTTACCAGCATATGGATGGTCTAAACCTATCAAATCATTAACCGTTCCACTATCTAGAAGAATTTATCTTTTTAATAAAGAAAAATATGAAGGTTAGAGAACTTCTTTTGTTACCAACTAATAATGTATGGAATCAATTACCTTTACATTTGTATAACTCTAATCATTTGAAGAAGAACAAAATCATATTCTTACAAGTTAATGAGTTAAAAATTATCAATCAATAATATTTTTTATTAAATTTTATTGTTTATATCCTGAGTAGTTTTATTCAAATTTATTAGCCTATCAACGATCTGCTAATTATTAAAGGTTCTTATAATTTATATTGGAATTACATTTTGATTAAACAAAATTAAAATAGAATAATTAGTATGGCATACTTTGTATCTTTTTAAGATCATAAAATTAAAATAATATCATACTTCAATTTAATATAGAATTTTCTAATCAAGTTGAATCGGTATAAAATTTCTAATAATTTTGTTTGTTTAAAATTTTCAATTAATTAAATAATTGAATTATTTCAATCACTTAATGAAGAGAAGATTTTTATCTAAGCAGAGAGATGTGGAATATTTTTATAATAAATTTGAAAAAGAAGTAATTTGAATTATTTGCAGGCATACCTTTGGTTGTCATCATTTTGTATAATTTCAATTTAAAATTCTCAAACGAGGGAAAGAATCTATGAAAAATAGACATTCTTAAAAAAAAAAAAAAAAAGAATAATCAATCTTATTGATAACGGACATCTCTCTCTTTAATAAGTAGGACTATAGTTTTGAGAGGCTGATCAAAAAATAAAGTAAGTTTTTGTGGTTGTCCCCTGAAGCTGAATGCTAAGAGATAGCAACCGTATAAGGCGTTGACCGTTCGCTTTAAGGTTTATGAGGGTTTGGGTTTGGGTTTGGGTTTGGGGTTGGG